AAGGCTCATTTTGAAATTCATTAATCAAATTGATCAGGCTTAGGGGTCCTAGCTGCACTGCAATTTTAGTGTCTACGGGGCGGTTGATCAAGTCAACTGAGATCAACAAGGCTCATTTTGAAATTCATTAATCAAATTGATCAGGTTTAGGGGTCCGAGCGCTGGCTGTACCTAGGAGGAGTTGTTTGTTGTGGTTTGTCGTGCACTGTAATTTTAGTGTCTACATTGTATGATACTTTCAAATGTCTAACCACCGACTCCGGTTAGCTCTGTAAGCACGGATGAAAAATGTAAAGCCTTGGAATATAGCAAGCGTGAGATCCAGCCACGCATTGTGCAGTTTCTTAGGATGTATGACTCGGTCTATCCAAATTTCCTACAGCCAGTAATGCATTACCGGTATAGTTTTTGTACTTACAGGCTCCGATTTATACCAAGTCAATCATGTTTAATTAAGAAATATTTATTTTAATGGAATAACCAGGACAAGTACTGGTGCATTTTTAGCTTTGGTGCCTCGTTAGACGTCTGCGACGAATGGCAGCGATAGCACTGCAATTTTAGTGTCTGCGAGGCATTGAGGAACGTCAATTCGTGGTATCACGCACTTAAAAATCCGGTCCTTCAAGCACCAATCGCACCCAGGATCTTGTAACTTGAGAAGGATTACTCTCAAACTTTTTATACAATATTGACTATCATATGTATCTATTGCAACTTTCGGGATTCATCGTCTATCAGTCAAGCCGCTTACTAGTCAGCTGAGTGAGATTACACTGCAATTCTAGTGTCTGCACGGAGTTGAAATATCTTGCTACGTATTGTTATCATATTTTCGTGATTCTGAATTCATGGTCTAGATTTCACAAGGCTGTATCTGAGATTATACTGCATTGACTGAAAAGTTTCAGGAGTCCCCCCCGTCCACTTCGATCTTCCCGGATGCGACCAGCGATCACCCAGTGGAGATGAGCCATTGCACTGCATTTTTAGTTTCCCCTGGGGCTTTAATAGATATGTTCAATCACCGAATTAGTTACTTGGGACACTCGGCACAGAGACAAGGGCTTTATGTTTCGAGTCCTGTGATTATTTCCTGCATTGCAGCGTCCCTGATCCTCAAGGGACTGGGCGAGTAGTATTTACGACTACCAATCACTGGCTATTCTCAGTATCAATATATCGTCTACCCATAGTGATAAAAAGACGGAACCCGGAGTAACATTACTGATATTTGGATGGACTGGATGGCTGATGCCTTTGGCTGTCATGGACCCAAGTATGCAATTACATTTAGTGCGATATCCAGGGTATGCTGCAACCTGCTCATGCAGCAAGCCGGCTTTGCACTGCAATTTTAGTGTCGACGAGCCGTTGAAACTGAGCGGAAAGTGAGAGATGCTTGTGGGGGAATAACATGCTTTTCACTCTTTAGGGAAATTTAAGATCGTGGTTCAAGCCTTCCAGCAGCACAAAGTAGTCTTTGCTGTTGGGTATAAGACACCGTAATTGCAATTTCTAAGTTTTGTTGAAACATGTTACCTACTGATCACGATTTTAAGCTCTAACTGAATGACCAGGATGAGGGGTCTCGAGAATGGCAAGGCTGATTCTGAGAATTGCTCGACGTACAAAATCCAACTTACATTTAGCCCGCATTTTAGTTACTCATGTACGATTGGTAGTTTAATAAACTGTGAACTGTAATTCTAGCGTCTATGACGCATTTCGAGTTACGCAAACACAAGAACAGATTAATTGGATCCTAATTAGTTGCACGTAAACCGCAGTCAAACATGGTTATCTTTGGCTCATATCTGACTACCCTGCTGCAGTTTCAACGTCCGTAAGGCCCAAGCTACTATCTAAGATTACACAGATCCCCTTTCCAACTACGCATATAGCCACGCGCCTTGTGTCCGGACAGCTTGAGCCCATGGGGAAGCGATCCCGAACATGCAGTACTCTTTCTTATTCAGCCGCAATGATTATATCGGGTGCCACTGGAAGTATGACGACCATGACGACAGTGGACCTTGTCAATCTGGGGTCCCCGCCTAGGACCCAAACGCTGCACTGCATTTTGGTACCCAAGAGAAGTTGGGAAATACGGAAGCACACTTTTGCCGTCACAGTGTGCTGCAGATTATTACATACACCTTTCATTTGTTTCATATTCATCACGTCGTATCCAAGCAGTCTGCACTTCAATTAACCAGACCCCTGAGTTTCAATTCGTAAAACAACATGGTCATTCTGAAAATTATCTTGAAATAAAGTATCAAGGTACTCTTTAGCTTAGTAGTATCAGACACTGGATAGACAATATTCATTCAACCTCCCTAGGAGAAACTTAATCTCCGACAAATTGCCTGGCAGATAGATTGCGATATAGCGCTGCAGCTGTCAGATACCAGACTGAGTGGTAGAAATTTTCTTGACTGTACTACCCATATGAGCTTCAGGATTGTACTGCAATTTCAGCCTCTACGAGAAATTTGAGAACGAGGAGAACTCCAGTCACCCAAAGTGATATGCAGATATATCCCATTCTTTATTCAATATATGCCCTCTTTAGGGGTAGGAGGCGTCTGTACTAGTTAGCCGTTATATCTGGTCTTTTCACATTGTAGCTACACACCACTCTGCAATCCGAGTATCTACAAAGAGGTGAGCTGTCGACTGTGGTCCCGCAAAAGAGGGTGTCATGTAAAGTCCGCTGCGATCTAAGTCTCCCAGAGTATACTGAAATACTTGTGGACTTCAATGTTTCTGCATATTCTGATTCGATCTCTCAGCTTGCGTCACCTTCAATAGTGTTCTATGCAAAATTGACGAGGCCCTGCGCGAGTCTTCGATAACTAGGTATTTGATATTATTGTTGTTAGGTAGTAATGTATGCAACCAAAGTCTGACTCTTGAGCATACGCATGCACTAAATGGCACGTCCCCGATCGATTATCCCGCAATACAGTTCTAATCCCCACAAGATGATAAAAGCTGATTAAGGCTGTACTTACAATGATTTGCAAACAATCTCGCTATTTTATTCATGCCTGCATTTCTTTGGTTGCGTGTACTAGCATAAAAGTGGACGCGTGACCCTAGCCCGCCTGCACTGCAAATTTAGTATATGCAAAGCATTGGAGTACGCTACTACTTGTTTTTACATATACTCTGATCTAATTTATAAGCGCTGATCATTTTCAAGACCTTGAATAGCAAGGCCGGGTATCGAGCGTAATTTACAAGACTGATTGCCCCAATTTCCGATAGCTTTCGGAGTTATATATGACACTGACACCGCCTCAGCAATTCTGGTGTTTAATTTATGAATGGTCACCTTGTAACACCCAGCATAAGGAAGTTACTATATAGGAAAATGGAGAAAGTTCTGCCAGAAGCTAGGTCTAACCAAAGATAAGCGAAATAGAGCTTGCCCTGATAATAACTTAATAAATATAGAACAAAGCTTGGTTATGACTATGTTCGAAAGTTGAAATATGAGTATATCTTGACTGTTAATACGAAATCCCACCACGTACTTAGCCTCTTTTTTTAAATGCCCCAGAGTAATTTAGCCTCAGGGCACGGACAACTACAAAGCAGAGAATGTCTCAGGGCAGAAGTAAACGCTGCGCAGGGCCTAGCGCCACAAGAGCCAGTAGATATACCAGGCTTATAGATAACATGTCTGCAAAGTTCCACCATTTCGAAAGTCAAAAGATTATAGGCAATATTCAATACCTGTCGGGTATTGGATATCTATAATCTTTTAGCTAGGGGTCATAGGCTCGTATATACTGAAGAATCCGTGATGAGTAAAAGATGAGGTGAGGATTATAATGAATCATCTGACAATCTGATTGTTTGTGGCGAGTCTTGGTAATATTTGGTAGCAAAGATCACATGTTCAATAGAAAATAAAGCTGCTATATCTTGCTCTTTTGTCCTCTGCTGTCAATCTGACCAATGAGAGGTCTTGGATACCGCTTCCCGCTTCCTCCACCCTCTTGATGGCCAATAGGAGACTAAGAATTAGCCCAAATGCGTACTAAAATCTTTAGTGTACACTAGCGCCTACACTAGCTCGCAACAAAGGGGATAGTGTCGAGTGACATGACGTCAACGACAATTACAACAATTGACATAACCCTCCAAACGAAGTCTATGAAACCCTTTTCTATATATAACTAAGCGAATAGCATTGTCGTGACAAAAAATGGAAATTTCGCAGTCCCTAGCGAGTCACTACGGGTATTTGTGCGAATAATTGAGTAAGATGGAATTTGATCCAAAAAAGTCGGGTCATCAGGCACAATGCTGGCTTGTTGGTGCTGGGGTTGGTTGCCTCGCTGCCGCCGTTCATCTCATTGAACAAGGGGTTGCCGGACAGAATATACACTTTATAGACATATCGTCAGCCACAGATGCACAAGAGGTGGGAAATGCAGTGGAAGGATATACGATCCACCATGGTGTACAGCCATATTTCCACGATTCATGTGTCGAAGAATTTCTCTCTGTTGTACCAGATTCCTCTGATCCCGAAAGATCTCTTTACCATAAGGTAGAAGATGATATTCGGCGAAACCACCGACTCCCAAAGGCTTCGGTGCGTTTGTTGTTAGAAAATAAAGACAGACTGGAGGGTATCGATATTGGAAGACTTCACCTGAGATTACAAGATCGACTAGAGCTAATGAAAATGATGGTTGGCAGTGAGGATAGTCTTAGTGACAAGGCTATCAGGCAATTGTTTGATACCGAGTTCTTTTCGTCCAGATTCTGGATTTTGTGGTCGACGTCGTATGCTGCTAGATCTAACCTCCCTTTATGTACAAAGCTAATTTTGATATGTAGGTTCGCTATTCAGCCTTGGCACAGTGCAGCAGAGTTTAGGAGACATCTCTGCAAATATTTGTCCAAAATCCATGATCTAAATAACTCTGGTATTTTTGGTCGCATCCAGTACTCAATTTACGATTCCATTATCTGGCCTATCTTCAAGTATCTCGAGGAAAAGGGAGTTCAGTTCCTCCGCCAAGCAAGGCTTAAAGCAATATTTACAGATCTAAGTGATGACGACAATACCCTGTCGGTGACAAGAATCAACTTGCAATCTGCACAAGGTGCAGAAATCTGCTTCTCTATCCGCCCTAATGATCTTGTTATTGCTAATCTCGACCCAGCGGTACCTGAAGCGACACTGGGATCAAATACATCCGCCCCCGGGCATTCTGACAAATTGTTTAAAGACTTGACGAATCAAACCTGGTCTCTCTGGCATGAGTTATCTCGAAAAATTCCAAACCTAGGAAAACCTTCCAATTTTTCCGCACGGCTGGGGGAATCAAAACTGGTGAACTTTACAGTGACTCTGAAAAGGTCTCCTTTTCTTCGTTTGTATACCGAATTGACACATAATCAACCCGGATCAGGGGCATTCGTGACTCTAGCAGATAGTAACTGGTGCTTGACCATCAATATACCCGAACAACCAGTGTTCTACGATCAGCCAGACGGTGTCGATGTGTTCTGGGGTTACGGTCTTAACTTTCATGCTGATGGTAACTTTATTAAGAAGCCGATGTATGAATGTAGCGGAGAAGAGATTATGACAGAATTATTGTCGCACCTCAAGTTCCCTTTGGAAGGCGTCCTGGATACATCTACGACTATCCCTAACTTTGCGCCATACGCTACAGCTGCAATGTTGACACGAAATATAGGAGATCGGCCTCAAATCAAACCTAAGGGAACATCAAACTTCGCCGTCGTGGGTCAATTTGTTGATATACCGAACGAACCGACTTTTAGCATGGACCACAGTGTAAAAAGTGCACAAATTGCTGTCTATAGCCTGCTGGGAACGAAGGAGCCTTCGAAGTCGAAACGCAACAGTCTTCTTGCCGCATTTGACTTGTTAGCTTGATTTAAAATCAAGAAGAAAAGCATCTTATTATAGTGTGGAAAGTTTGATGGGCTCCCACTAGTTAAATGTAAATCATGTGAATTGACCGTTATTCATGCTACTTATGCTATTCATGGCACATTATTTAATATCCAGTATATACTGGTGTAGGAAAAACTGGGGCATGTATGAGGAGGATCAGGATTGCAGGATTGATTAATCAGTACCGTCCACCAAATTCGAATGATTCGATACTGGCCAAAAGTAATACCGGGTGGAGAATCACCGTGTAAAGGAGGGGAAGGATCATGATCACCAGAAAGACGAGCGACATGAAAAACGTGTTGTTACTTGCCCATCGTCCTTGTTGTGGAGACTTCGGTCACTCTCTTCTTCCCCCGGAATTATATTGCTAGACACATACTACCTACACTTTTGCCTGAATCAATCCGGTAATAAATGTTTGCGGGGTAGATTGTGGAGGCTCGGGGTAAATTGGCAGGATCGTCACTTCTACATACCTGTTCCGATCCTTCAAACTCTCTTTGATCGAAATATATCCGAAAGCTACTTTAAACCATGATTCATCCCCCGTCGGTGTAGATGCTGAGAAACATCATTTTAGCCGATGGCTCTTCTCGTTGCTTGACTTCACGAGAATTCGGTAAATGAGACATGATTAGATGGATGGCTCCAAAATGGCCGGTTATTTGTAATTTTCAATAATTCAATCGATATTTAAATGCAGGATCTGACATAAGTCAAAGCCCCATGTCGTAATTTTCAATTTCATGGGGAAGTCATCTTATAAAGAGTGAGTGGACTGGCGACTAGCTCAGCTGAGATTGATTTCGCTACTCATCTATTAGACAAAAGTCGCCATTCGTACCTCACTTGTCAGAATTTAGACGAAAAACGACTAGGAGGGAAACATGTGGGATTCGATCTTGTTTCTGTTCGGCGTATTTTCTGTCGGAAATGCCATCACTATTAATGTTTCACAAAACGGTGGCAATGAAACCAGTCCTTTGCAATATGGTCTGATGTTCGAGGTAGATATAACTCTCCCATTCCATACACGAAATTCGCGTCATTTACCTAAGGCAACGTTTTCAGGACATAAATCACGGCGGTGATGGCGGTCTATATGCAGAGCTTGTTCGAAATCGTGCATTCCAGGGTAGCACAGTGTATCCAGCAAACCTCGATGGATATGACACGGTCAATGGAGCAATCTTAGCTCTTCAGAACCTGACAAATCCTCTATCGCCCTCAATGCCTAGCTCTCTCAACGTCGCCAAGGGCTCCGCTAATGGGCTTATCGGTTTCGCAAATGAAGGCTGGTGGGGAATAGAAGTGAAGCCACAAAAATACGCGGGTTCTTTCTATGTCCAGGGGGACTATGACGGAGACTTCGTGGTTTCTCTTCAGTCGAAAATTACGCACGAAACATTTGCAACGGCAAAAATCAAGTCCTCGGGCAATCACAAGGACTGGGTTCAATACAAGTACGAGTTGCTACCTAAAAAGTCAGCATCAAACACCAATAACACTCTAGCAATTACTTTCGACTCAAAGGTAAGTAGATATTAATTTGATATTTGGCATTTGTCTCACAAGAAATATAGGGACTGAAACACGGGTCCTTGAATTTCAACTTAATCAGCCTGTTTCCTCCAACGTACAACAATCGGCCCAATGGCCTCAGAATCGACCTAGTTGAAGCTATGGCTGAACTGGAGGGGGTAAGTTCTATTAATTAATTACTTTGATAAGTCTAAAGACTGACATGAAAATTGCCAGAAATTCTTGCGATTTCCCGGCGGTAGCGATGTGGAAGGTGTACAAGCTCCTTATTGGTATAAATGGAATGAAACTGTGGGAGATCTCAAGGACCGCTACAGTAGACCCAGTGCATGGACATATGAAGAAAGCAACGGCATTGGCTTGATTGAGTACATGAATTGGTGTGATGACCTGGGACTCGAACCGAGTGAGTATAATCCACTTCAGCGTCAAATTCGGTGTTCTAACCATAGCACCCATCAGTTCTCGCCGTATGGGACGGACATTACCTTTCCGACGAAGTGATATCAGAAAGTGATTTGCAGCCATATATTGATGACACCCTCAATCAACTGGAATTTTTGACGGGTTCCCCAGACACGCCATTTGGTAGTTGGCGTGCTTCCCTTGGCTACCCAAAACCGTGGAAGATTAATTATGTCGAGATTGGAAACGAAGACAATCTATATGGGGGCCTAGAAACGTACATCGCCTACCGTTTTCAGGCATACTACGACGCTATAAAAGCTAAGTATCCCGATATAACGGTCATGGAGTCTTTGACAGGAATGCCTGGTCCGGCTGCTGCTGCAACCGATTACCATCAATATACTACTCCCGATGGGTTCGTTTCTCAGTTCAACTACTTTGACCAGATGCCAGCCTCTAACAGGACCCTTAACGGTATGAGACTGCCTTTCAAATATACTTTTTATGCTACTAACCATAATTAATAGGGGAGGTTGCTACTGTTTATCCAAATAATCCTAGTAATTCGGTAGCTTGGGGAAGCCCGTTCCCGCTGTATCCTTGGTGGATTGGATCCGTTGGAGAAGCTGTTTTCCTAATTGGTGAAGAGAGGAACTCGCCAAAGATAATTGGTGCCAGCTACGTGTGTTAACATTGCAACACTTTGAAAAATGATGAAGGAAACTAACCTAAATATAGGCTCCAATGTTCAGAAATATAGACAATTGGCAGTGGTCTCCAACACTCATCGCGTTTGACGCAGACTCGTCGCATACAAGCCGTTCAACAAGTTGGCATGTGATCAAGGTATGCTTTGTTTTGATTTCTATCTATGTAGAAGATTGCAAGGGTTGTACACTAGTTGTAGATGTGAGCTAACTTCAGCAGCTTCTCTCAACGAACAAGATCACACACAATTTACCAACGACTTGGAATGACGGGGATATAGGTCCCTTGTACTGGGTGGCGGGACGAAATGATCAAACAGGATCAAACATATTTAAGGCAGCTGTATACAACAGTACCTCGGACGTTCCTGTCACGGTTCATTTCGCAGGATCTAAAGCAAAGATCGCCAATTTGACCATACTGTCATCTGACGATCCAAATGCATCAAACTTCCCTGGTGGCCCGGAAGTTGTAAAGACTGATGTTCACCCTGTCACTGCAAATGCTCAGGGAGCGTTCGAGTTCAGTCTTCCAAGCTTAAGTGTGGCCGTACTCAAGACATAATTCTCTTAAAAGCACTGTGCGGTCGTGCTGTCGATGGCTTTTGACCTGCAAGTCGTCTTGAATTACTTTACGAGGAATTTTAGATAGAATAGATATCAACGTCATTACCACTTCTATCAAATCTTTTGGTATCTCTTATTTATTAGATTGCTTTGGATCCTGATCAGTAGACGAAGCGGATCCTTCCAGGCTGAGAAGAAATCGCAACTGAGAAAACGGCCATCTACTGCCGTTGTCTTTCTCCTTTGGGGTGTAGATATTAGTGGAAGCCTGCACAAATCTACAACCGCACAATTCGTACAAGATCGAACTGCAAAAATATGAATCTAGTGTCTATGAGGAATGGATTTAAACGACCTATTATGATCTGATGTCAAGCACGAATCAGGTACAGAATCTCAGAAGGTCAACAAGACTCAATCCGCATTATGTAAGTTGACTAAGCAATTAAGGGGCAAGCACTGCAATTTTAGCATCTATGAGAAGACGAATTAAAGCAGAATAGTATTAGGCTCTTTCTACTAGCAAATAATAATTTACCTGCAGTTACATACGGAATCATAAATTTGAGCCTCTAGTTCCTTTACTTCAATTTTAGTCTCTATGGAGAAAAGAGTTATCAAGTAGAAATAGTACTTACACTCGTCATATGAGTAAAAGCTGATTTACCTACAGCTACACAGTAAACAGTGAGGTAGAGCTTCTAGTTCTTACCTTGCAAGTTTAGACTCTACGAGAAGCTAGAATCACGCATGACAGCATTTGTGTTTTCTTTATTGATTGAAGCCAAGTCAGTCCCTGCACTGTCCATGCGGAGTGATCTAGAACAATGCCCTCCACTGCAATTTCAGCCTTGTCAAGTTGGAACATCCATCCGTAGCACTGCACTGCATGTTTAGTGTCTACGGGTGACTGTGTTACACCGACGCCGATTTCGATAGAGTAGTACTTATGTCGTTCGCTCGATGTATTGTACGCAAATCATAGACGAGACGTGTGGCTAAGTACGTCTTATGCACTGTAATTTCGCTATCTGCAAGATACGTAATATAAGTAAGTTATAGGTGGGAACAAGGCTCAATCCCAGAATGCATTGCACTATGTACAAGTTTCGCGCAAAAAGAATTGTTAGCTCAGCCTTATCCGCAAGTGCATTGCAATTTCTATCGCCTTAAAATAGAATCATCGACTTTTCAGGTGAGAAAAAAAGACCGAGTCCGAAATCGCCTCGTCTAAGACAACTACGTACTACGTAATTAGATAGAACCAGAGCAGGGACCCAATTTTGAAAACAGTGGCATGCAGAATTTTTGAATGCACTACAACTTTAATCTCTACAAGAGTCTGCTACAGGACCAGAACAACGTCTCCTTTCCCGTTGGCGAACAACCCAATATCAGCCTTTGAGGAAAAAAAGAAAAGAACCTTTACACCAGTCTACAAGGCATTTGGGTTACACCTCAGACCTCGTGCAGCACATATGTGACTCGCCTTCCTTTACGTCCGCCAATGAAAAAAGAGGCAGATCAAGCCTCCATTGCACTGCAATTTTAGTCTCCGCAAGAGGTTGAAGCCAAGCTTAAACCATGGAGGGCTGGGTTCGTACTCTGTCGTTCAATGGAATAATAAAATGCCTCATAGCACTTGCACTGCAATTTCAGTCTCTACAAGAGGTTGAAGCCAAGCTCAAACCATGCAGGGCTGGATTCGTATTCTCTCTCATTCAATGGAATGTTGAAATGTGGCTCAGCTCATAGCACTTGCACTGCAGTTTTCGTGACTCAGAGGCAATGATATTGTGTCGACACCCCCACGAACGTTTACGTGAGACGAGTTGATAAGGCAGAGAAAATGGCATCTGAAGCAAGAGCAGCACAAACAGTTGTGCACTGCAAATTTTAGTACTACGAGAAATTGAGTTGGGTCACACATATGTCTCGTTAGTACCCAGGGTAGGTGGCTCGTTCGCTCCGCACGCCAACGATGCACAGACAGAGCTGAGCGTACCTTATAAACAGCAAAACCACCCACAATTCATCACACTGCACTTTCAGTCTCTGCGGTAGGAATCACTACGTCTAAACTCTAGAAAAGGCAGATTTCGAATATGGCGTGGAAGTGGACGAAATCCGCCCTCGCATTGAACTGCAATTCTAGTATCGACGAGGCTTTATCTTTGATTTCCGAGCGAATACGTAGCTCAAGTAGCTAGCTATGTAGATAGTAGTAGAGACGCATGCTTTTGTCTTGGCAGACCAGTCACAAACAAGGATAAAAATTGGGCGTGTGGCGGTATTTTAATTGCACTGCAATTCTAGTCTTTATGAGGGGAAATACATGATTATTTATAAGGGCCCAATAAGGCCTCAAATTCGACGTCTTACCATAGCATTCTGCGATCCTTGAAACCTATCTCCTTCTGTTTGCCAGGGTTCGTCTCGCTCTTACCCTGATGTTGGATTTTTAGGCTTTGGAGAGTATCAAATTCTTCGAAAAGTATTATATCCTTCGGGGTATGTTATACGTACTTTATTTGATATATCATTTCAGAAAGTCTACTATGGCAGGATGAAGCATACAAAACACTCATCCTGCCCACCAGTTCGATCTAAATACCAGCAATGTCTTCTTGTTGTTTTCCTTGTACATATTTTGATAGTCACGGTAGTTAATCCATATTATTTTCCCATGCGAGTTCCTTGAACTTGGGAGATTTTTTTTGCCCTTCACACATCACGAGCGCTGAGTWCTTTTTTTTTTTAAAAGATCAGTCCAAGATACTAGTCTCTACTTATATAATAAAAAAAAAACAATATATATATTCCTTTAAATAACATAATTGGTATTATAATATTCGTCGTAGATATAATTACCTCTCCGGTTTACTCCAGGCCAACTCTGAATAGTAGCGTACAAGGATAGTATAATAAGTGACTACCGAGATTGTATGTATTGACTTTTATGTCTGGTTCTTAATACATTGACTTGCACAGCAGCTTTGTTAGCCGGGAGAGCTGAGGAAATGACTTGATCGTCTTTATGATAGCACTATTTTCAATCATCCATTAATTTAGGGGTTCATCAAAAGAGCCAAGTCAACCATACCTTCTTCTTACGACGCCGACAATCTTCGCATGCCCCGCCAGCGGCTTTGAGCGTCATATGCAGGAATGACTTCCCAAAGGTCATCTTACATATTATCCCGTATCCACCGACGGGGACATTACTCCCCGCAGGATTCATCTGAGCCAAGCGATCTTCGAGAGCCGGTTTTAGATTTGGAGGTATGTGACGTCGGTTTGCGTGCTGAACACCGGGTTGTCCACTATAGACACTAGACCGTTGAAACTGCATCAAGCCTAGGTCGGATGCATCTCCATGCCCCGTATTCTGGTTCAAAATGTGGTCGTGCTGTCGACTTCTTGAAGGCAGTGATATCTCATGGCGAGTATGCAATCCATTACGCATTTCATTTCTATTCTGGAGATATTGCAGCTTAGCAACGTTGTGGTTCTCTTCTCCTGACAAGTCCTCGGATATAGTGGCTTTGACAATAATTCTCGATCTGTTCATGCGGTCGGATTGCATAATACGTCTCATTCTTTGGCAGTTTCTGCCTTTTTTTTATGCCTTAAACGGCAGGCTGTTGTATGTTTTTTGTTTTTCGCGTCGAAAGGTGTAGTGTTCAGAATAACCCTTCAAATTTTCCCCATCTACATTTCATATTTGCCTAACACGACTGATCAATCCAAAATATACTCTGTCTTTGGATACAGGAGGCAGTGCTAAATTGCACTGCAATTCAGTCTCTACGAGGGACTAATCAGCCCTCTGTAGGCCTACAACGCAATTCCAGCGTATACGAAAAAGGCTCTCAGGTACGTGACTGTGCCATAACCTGATCTCCATGCACAATTTCGAACCAGCAGCTTTAGTCAAACTAACAGGGCTGACTTCGACAAACGGATTGCACAAAATCGACAACGTAGTGTTATAGACCCCCTTCAGAATAGCATTCGGTAAGCTTGGCTTGCGTATTTATGTCTGAGAGGCCACTTAAGCGGCAGCGCGACAGAAAACTGCATGACACTATTACATACTGCTTGCACTGCAATTTTAGCGCCCATAGGGCAATAAGTGAGTTGTTATGAGAAGTCCGAATCAGAGATGTGCATTTCATAAATGTTACCTCTGTGGTAGAATCACTTAGATCAGTGGTGAGCGTCTCAAATCCAAGTTTGACTTCGACGTATAAATCGAATCTGTTTAGATTAACAATCAAAGTCCTCTCAAATGATTTTTCTTGCAGATGATATCGTGAAAAGAGCACTTTTTGTGTCATTGTCAGGTTCTGGGTCCTTAAAGTAGTATTGACCCAAGAATATCCAGTGGTCCACTGTAGTGCAAGTTACGGGGACATTTCTGGGCACAATATTTTCGAGACCTACCTTCTAAAGATCACCAATCACTACTTTTTGACTCCAGAAAAGCATCGCAGTTCACATGATGTTTTACACCGGTTATAGTATCAGGTGTAGTCTTCAGAATAATGTTTCAAATTTTCCCCCTACTTTTTTCACATTTGCCTAACACGGCTGGTCACTCTAAGATGTACCTCTGTCGTTCGACAAGGATTGGCCAAGTCTATTATACTGCAGTTATGGTCTCTACTAGAGGAATGAACTAGCACTATATAGTCATATTGCGAAAGGTCGGGTTGCCAATTGCACTGCAATTCTAGTGTCTACGAGGAGATATCATCAATTTTAGAGTCTAGACCTCTCGAGAAAGCAGATTTCAAATATAGTGGAGAAATGGACAACATTGAAAAGCCGCCCTGGCATTGCACTGCAATATTAGTTTTAGCCACTGCACTGCACTATTAGTGTCTACAAGGCATTGATCTGGGTTCCACACACATATCTCGTGAGTACAGATGTAGCTCAAGTGGCTAGATTATACGTAATAGAAAGGCAGAAGGCTGGATTTCGGCAGACAAGCCAGCAACAGACAGGGGTAACCATTGGCTTACTACCGGGGGAGTTGGTATCACTGCACTGCAATTTTAGTATCTACGATGCAAATCATCAGCCCTGGAACTCTGGATAAGAGAGGCTGTGTCTATTGCACTCTGCTTCTAGTCTCTGTGAAAGGATCGACCTAAATCTTACCAAAAGTGGACGAATTTAACGCGGTGATTGCACTGCAATTTTAGTCTTCACGAGGGATTGATTCAAGCTTGAATTAATTATACATACATCACGTGCGTACATACGTGGCTCAAATGGCTGATGATACATGAATTTTGCACGACGAGTCACAGCCTTGCTGCGACATGCACTACAATCCTCGGGTTCAAGATGGATTTCTATTTACAATTCAAGTGGCAATATTGAGCCTGAAAATGCATTTGCCCAAATCAAACTAGTATGGACCTAGATACCAAAGAACTAAAAACGGTCGCTTAAAACCCAATCGTCGATGTGATGCAACATGCAAATGGTAGCTAGAATCAAAAAATAGCAAATTTTAAACAAGGATAATCTGCAGGCTTCACTTCAAAGGGGTCAGGGCTATAGGTGGTTATTGCATTGCAAGGTCAGGTTCTACCAGATCAGAGTGTGGTCTTCACCTCCCAGTACACGAACCGCATCGTCGAATAAATGACTACGCACATGTATATACCTACATGGGTAGATAAGACCTAACCTTGGAAGTGATCAAGCGACAAGGCTGGCTCACAAAATGCATCAGCAGTATGCAGATGGACCAGATATGTAAGTCCAATAGCTCTTTAAAGTATCATCGTGCTTTCGAGATGGAAAACACAGAACCCAAAGATTACTGCACTGCAATTTTAGTCCCTACGAGGGAAATCAGGCTGGGTCTAGACCCTCGAGAAGGCAGACTCCAACTACGTACGTGCACCGGGAAGTGGATGAGGTACTATGCAGTAAGCTACACTGCAGTAAGCTGCACTGCAATTTTAGTCTCAACAAGGCATTGATTCAAGTTTCCTACGGTACAAGCACCGCGTGCGTACATAGATGGCTCAAATGGCTACGTAGTAGAACGATACAAATATTTGCGCGATAGTCACAGCCTTGCCGCGAAACGGATGCTGTGCTGGAGCATGCACTGCAGTCTTGGTGTCTAGGATGCATCTCTGTTACATAAACACATTTACAAAAAAATCAATCGTTCACATTAAAGGCTGGGCCCGAAAATGCATTGTCCAAATTAACTAGTATGGAGGTAGGTATCAACAAAACAAAACGCCGCTTTAAAAAAAACATCGCTGATCATATGCAAATGCTCGCTAACTCAGAAATGCAAGTTTCAATATATACTCTATAACATGCAGCCGCCGAAAATTAGAAAGAKAATAAACCTGTTCGTCGTTTACCAAGTGGATAAATCACTACGGCAGACAGGAACAGGCCCACGGTGATGCCGATGGCGACTTGGATCATGCCGTATCCCATTGAATACACAGAACTGTCGGATGAGCCTGTCGCGGAACTGGAGTAGTCGCCGGTGATATTTGCTCGGATTTCGGAGGCTGATTGGACACCTGAAACTAAGGAGCCTTGTGAAGCGAGGCCGGATGGCACGAGCACAAAGATAGCGGGTAGAATCGCTGTTGCGGCGTGGCCGTGCCATATTCGACTATACAGGTTACCCAAGACGCCGATGGCAAATGCGCCGAGAGTGTTGGCCAACTCTGGGTTTGATTCGAGTTTGAGATTGCTGAAATAGTTCACAATATAACCCGCTTCGGCAATCAGGATCATCACGGGGACTTGTTTCCATTTTCCTTGGTTGATAATGACGAGAAAGACGACGTATATTGCGACAAAAGGGAATCTTTGAACGTAAGGATTGTTGCCAATGAGTTCACCGGAACATGTGGTGTTGGGGTTCGCTTTGGGATCCATCAGTCCGTATATCGTTGTCCCGACTGTGATGCCGTATCCTAGAAACAACGAATAAATAATCGCGTATACCATACGGATAGATCCCGGAATGATTTGATGAGACTGCAATTCGAGACTGCTGCTGAGGACAAGAAAACCGGGGAGAATCAGAGCGATAGAGGATTGGGCCATGGATGAGAAACAAAAGTAATATTGCTGCGCGCCATCTACCACGCCATTGCGGATGCTACCAAAGGCGCGGGCCAGGAAAGATGTGAGAATTGTGGCGAGGACTTCGAAAACGTTCGAATAAAGACTAGACCGAGGAGAAAACACAAGCTGGAGTAATCCCAGTAAACAACCGAGAAAGAAGGTGATTGGCATGTCAACCGGCCTTGCTTCAAATGCGAACGGACCGACAGCCACAGACGCAAATCCATAACATAGCACAACCAGCCAGGTAGGATATTTCGCAGGGCGGTTGATCACATCATCGAGCTCGTTGATTGCTTCGTCGACGGTAATCTTGTCGTGCACTAGATTTTTATAAATGTTTTGCGTGTCCTCTAACCGAGCCAAGTCCACTCCTTGTGCCACTCGTACTAATTTGACTTCGGTAGTTCGCGTGGCCAAGTCGTCGAAAGACATGATCATTGTCCCAGGGAGGTACAGGAACTGAGCATGCAGATCCAGCACCTGTGCAGTCATTGACATGTACTCTTCTAGTCGATGGCTTGGAGCACCAAATCGCATCATTGCCCGACACAACGTCATCAAATACCGCTGTCTGGTGATGATTGATGCAATGCGTGCTGCGATATGATCATTGAGATGTTTCTTGCTCTTTTTGCTTTTTCCATTCTTGGTAGTTCCCATCATCTTCTCCCGCTTACTAGCCACGGACTTTTTCAAATCGTCCATCGCCATCGGTGCGGCTTGTGAACCGAGATTCAAGCCAGCTCCAACCAAAGACATGGTTGACTGGTTTGGGGAGTGCTTGCTGTACCATTTCACCTTCTTTCTTGGAGTCGTCGCACCGCTGATGGGACTAGTAGCACCGCTCTTGGGTGTTGCGGCGCCACTGTCTGGAGTCTGCGGTGTACTGCGTCCCGAGAATGAGTGATGAGCATGCAATTTGAGCAGATATGACAACACTCCTTCGCCATGTTGAGGGGTTTCAACGTCGGTATCTGAGCCACCAACACTGGTCACAGACTCTGAAGAATGTGTGCGAAAAGGCTTCGGCCTTTTCCTCAAACCAGCATGCAGTCCAACACCACGAAGTGCACGCTGCGCCTCAACAGTAGCATCCTGATGAACATGCGGCTCACTTTGAGGGCTGGCCAGCGGAGCAATTTCGTCCACCCATTCAGATGTACTTATCGCCGGCGTCAATCCATCACCTGGCTCCTCTGGTCTTCCCATCTTCGTCAACCAATGACGAGCACGATCCCGTATAGTCGGCATACGCGTCAGCCCATTCTTGCCCTCAGGATCATTTATATCTGACCTGGCCGTTTCGCCTTTTTCGAGGTCGGCGCCCATCTCGTCTCGAGGTGTGGTTTCCGCTTGTGCATCTTCGCCATATTCTGGAGCAGGCATGTGTTCATCGTGAGAGCGGAATTTGACGCGGATTTCGCGCAGGCGTTCCACGATTTCTTCGGGTGGGATGCCGGGGTCGGGGAATACGACGCTGGATCTGTCTGGGGTTATTTGGCCTTCGTCAATGCGCTCGGGGGTGGAGGCGCCGCTCAAGCTGAGTGCGGGGCGAGGTTCGTTGTCCATAATAGAGTCAATGGGAAATGAGTTATTCAAATGTTATTCGTTTGTGTCGTTGCGGGTGGTCGAGAATGTTCGCGATGATCGGAACAATCACCCCACTAGCCCACCATGCTCAGACGAGAAATAGATCAGCGTGGAGGGATCACTGAAAGAGTTGAGTCACTATCGTCAGTCAAAGGACTGATGGAAAAGAGGCAATGAGGAAGAAAATGGTAGAAAAGTGTAGAGAAGAAAGAGGGAACATGGCTCGACTGGCTGTGGGGAACGGCCGTCATATACTTGCTTCCTTCCTGGATATTACCCGCCGGTAAGTCCAAGCTTCCATCCATGGATAATTTGATAAAGTCCGTACTAGCCAGCCCATGGCGGCGATCTTATCAAGCACCACCCACGCCATGTATTTTACTCGTTGCTTTATCCACATGTCGTATGCACCACGCAAGCTGCACAATCCAGACCTCTCAGACCTCGGATTGCCGAAAACAGTCAACCCGGTGGGTTCATTGCGTCAGTCGTTCTATCAGCGCGCGGTCATTGGTTGGTGATAAGCCGGCACAACCGACGCTCTACATAGTACACAGTACACTCTACTGTGTACACCCATGTCGACAGCATGGATAATATATTCATTAATATTATTCTGCTCAATGACTTCAAGTGACTGTAGATAGCGCCCCTGTGCATACAGTAACAGCCGTGTCAGCCACCAGATTGGTGGTGGCCCTGTCGACGAAAATTTTCACTTCCCTCTACATTGACCAATCAGAGGCCGCAGAGCCCTTGTACTCATTTGTGCCACTATCTTCGATAATGATGATAGTGTACGTACGTAGTACTACTACGCATTATAAATCCATCTATCTACATTGTACGGGTTATAAATAGTATATACCTACCTTGTCTTCCGCGTAGACAAGTGACACCTAGAGAAATCTAGACTCTGGCGTGGCGAACATGGCGATGCTACCGTCCACCGGACCCACGGTTCTTTGTCCACCCTCAGCTCGGACTTTTTCTTCTGCTTCTCTTCTGCTTCGACTTATGTACGGCAAATCCCCTGAGTCGGGTACCAACGCTCGGGATTTTTGAACTATGTCTGCCTGATCAAGCCGAGCCGAGCTGATCAGTCTCAGACATGAAACGGACCTAGATGATCTTTGTTGCGTCTCGACTGAGTCGGCTACCGAGTCGGGTGACTACATATGGGTATCTCCACTCCGGGAGTGTCCATCGCATAGCTTGAGCTAGATATCCACAAAATCTAGTCGAGAGCTATGGTAAACAAGCGAAAATTATCTAGCCAGCCCCTGGCGACTTGATAATAGAAGGATACCCTGCCTATCATTGTTTCCTCTCGGGCATTTATCAAAAATGTTAACTCGGCAAGCCGTCTTGGGCATCTCAACTCGGGATCTTCTAGCTGATCCGGCATGCCGCCCCCTTTTCTTTTTCTCATGATTGCGATACATCAAGTCGATCAACAACTCGACCCACGCAAGGATTTTAGGTCGCACGTGCAACGACAACATTTTCCCAGACTCTTCTAGATCGGCTCCATTCATACTCTAGCTTTTAGCCTGTTAGTGTCTGTTAAGGTACCGAACTTTTTGATAGATCAAGTGGGACTATCCGTGTCTGTACTCCGTACGTACTATGTAGATAAGGAGAATCTAGCAGTCTAGATGCCAGATGCCGAGAACACGGCAAGCCGGGCATCGATGGAAAAAGAAAAGAAAGGGACAAGAGAAAAAGCAATTATACGCACATGCCTCTAAATGCGAAGCGATTGGATGAGCAATTTGGTGCAACGCGGAAATTTATTGTACTACGTAGTATGCACACCTAAGTACGATTTGGATTTGAGTGCGTGACGGGTAAATTCTTCGAAGAATTTTGATCTAGAGTTCAGTCCAGACTTCAGAGCTCTATCAAGGTTTTCCGCGTCTCGGGACCACTATTCTGGTCAGCCAACACAACTGTATGAGTCTAGAATTCCCCTTAGGGACATCAAACAAGTCTTACCTATTTTTTCTTGTCAAATCTTCTTGGCTTTTCGATGGAAACTCCTTTTGTTGACTTTCTGAAAATAGTTGTTCTAGTATATAATGCAAGTTTAGTCTCTACCCAGTAGATCGCTGACTGATCAACTGAAAGCAGACCAGTATTTCAATTTTTCCATCTCCTATTGAATTTGTTCGGGCAATATCACAGTAACAATTTTGTAGGCCCCGGGCCCTCCCAAAACTGTCATGTACCGTCATGGAGAGAAACGAAATCGCTCAACTAGCTTGGCAGAAAGAAAAAAAAAACCGAGAAGTAAATATCTAAATTTTCAAGACATAACATTTAATACAATGTTCTCGTTCTGAACAATAACTAAGTCTAAATCATGCCTGACACTTAGAGTGACAATGTATGTACCCCTTGATAAGGAACGATAGATGGGATTTCCGTAGCCCTAACATCATAGCCCTAGCCCTAATATCAGCCCTTTTGGGAAATCTAAGAGATGGGGAGCCCTGAACCAGTCAGACTCAAAAAATCTTCAGCGCGCTGCTGTAATCAATTATTGTCAATGTGATTTAGCTAAGACTACGTACAGTCAGTCTCATTCTTATCCATGACAGAGAGGAGATGAGAGAGTTACTCGGACACGACGGATAGAGCGATCTATATCGGCCGCCAGAGTCCGATGGGACATCGCCCATCCGCCGTCGGGGTACTAGGGCAGGACGCGTGCGATAGAAGTCATGTAGCGTATTATGCGGGGGGAGGGGGGCTTTTCTTTTGATTTTATATTGGAGAAAGATTTATTCAAGGTATATTTCTGCTTCCTGAACGTGTAATTTGAATAGAGGAAGGAATGAGCGATACTTATATAATTCTTGAATGTAGAGAGCATTGAAAAAACGACTACCATGTCTACGACATTACCATTTCAGGTACACTTGTATCTTCCTAGCGACTGGTAGCAACAGACACACTGACTTGCATCAGCTTCGTCGCCCTTCACTCTTTCGAAACCAGAGCCTCGTCGACGGTTGCTGGACGGAAGCTACAACCGGCAAGCGATTTGAGGTGTTAGGTACGTAGCTCTCAACCTACAAACTAAGCACAAGCCACGATTAACGATTGAAAATGACCCAAAGATCCCGGTACGGGCGACGTATGGGCCACAGCACCAGACAACGATGCCAAGGACATTGACGCTTTCGTCCAAGCCGCCCACACGGCCTTTCTCGCATACCGCAAATCCAGCCCCTTGGTCCGCTCACAACGACTCCAGAAATGGGCGGCATTGATACAAGATCACAAGCCAGATTTGGCGACAATAATCACGTACGAGACTGGAAAGCCGATTGCGGATGCCATGTTTGAGCTTGATTATTCGGTTAATGCGATTTCATGGTTTGCGGGGGAGGCGATGCGGATTCAGGGGACTGCGTTTGATTCTGTGGTGCCGGGGAAGAAGGCGTTGACGATTAAGCAACCGATTGGTGTGGCGGTGGGGTTGATTCCGTGGAATTTGCCAGTTGCGTGAGTAGTTCATTACTTATATGTGATTCCTTCGCAGAGCTCATAATATAACAGGATGGTGGTTCGAAAAGCGGGGGCTGCTCTGGCGGCTGGTTGTACAATGGTGCTCAAGCCGTCTCCGGAGACTCCATTATCGGTCCTGTCGCTAGCATTACTGGCTGAAGAAGCTGGATTTGAGAAAGGTACTTTGAATGTCGTGACGACCAGCCTCGATAACACTCCAGCGGTCAGCGAGGCTCTCTGTCGCCATCCGTTGGTCAAAAAGGTCACTTTCACAGGATCGGTAAGTTCGCTTGTTCGCTCATTTCGTTGCAAGTGCAGGGCGTGCTGATTGAGATAGACGCGTGTCGGGAAACTCTTAGCCAAGACATGTGCAAACGGCCTCAAGAAACTGACCCTTGAACTTGGAGGCAATTGTCCGTATATCGTGTTTGAAGACGCGGACTTGAATCAAGCTGCGGACGGTATGAAAACACCACTGACTGTATAGAATGACGTATCTAAGATAATACAGGACTCATGGGACTCAAATGGCGAAATGCCGGCCAGGCATGCATCAGCGCAAATCGCGTCTACGTCCAGTCAGCCGTATACGACCAGTTCGCCAAAATCCTGGTCGAGAGAACCTCAAAAATAGTCGTCGGCCATGGCGCATCAACGACCTCGACAATGGGCCCCGTCACCACGCCACAGAGCATCGACCGCTCCGAGCGACAAGTCGAAGACGCAAAGAAACACGGCGTTCGAATTCTGTTGGGTGGAAAGCGTATAGATAGACCAGGATTCTTCTTCGAGCCGACTATTATCGCTGATGCTACGACTGATATGCGTATAACCGACGAGGAGAGTTTTGCGCCTATTCTTACCTTGTATCGATTTGAAACAGAAGAAGAAGTTGTGCAGGCTGCTAATGCAACTTCGGTGCGTCCCTGTCCTGATCGGTACGAATTTGTCTGGCTCACTACTTTCTACAGATGGGCTTGGCGTCGTATGTTTTTACGAAGAACGTCGACCGGTCATGGAGGTTGCTTGACGAGCTTGAAGCTGGAATGATCGGCCTTAATACTAGTATGTCTATCCCGTTTCCACTAGCAATGCTAATGGCTGACCGTTCAGGTGCAATCTCTGGCGCAGAACTGCCCTTTGGGGGCACAAAGGAGTCTGGGTATGGCAAGGAGGCTGGCAAGGACGTCGCGGTGGAGGAGTATCTTGTCACAAAAGCGGTTTCGTTTGTTGTAGAGCGTAGACTGTAGCCAGTAGCACCGAGATAGCACTTGATAATGAACCAAGAAGTGAAGAGTGATGGAGAGTTCTCCGTAAAGGCAAGAATTTGGAGAATGCGGAGTCAGACCCGCCAATTGTACGCTAGTCTCAATCCTGACTAGCACCAAGATAAGGGGAAGCCGCTCTCTGATTGGCCATCGGGGCCATCGGCTCCCATCGCAGTCTTTGACCTCCAAAAGTCCGACAGACTATCTCCCCAATGAACCTTATCGCAACTGCCAGGACGACAATAGTATAGTTTCTGCTCTGCCAAGCTAATCTATGCGTTCATATCATGTTGACTGTTGCGCGTCGCCCACTGGGCCAGGCTGAGGATAGATATAMCCCTGTCCTGCCGCAAGCCATTTCACCACCATCATTTCTTCTGGTGTATGAATTGCGCCTGTACTAGACAACACCATGGCAGAAGTAGACAGTAAAGAAGCCGCGACCACCACTCTCAATGATCGTGACCGAGACTTTGGCGATGGCCAGGTCATACCGGCTGACGACCTCGCAATGGACGATGGCATGCGTCGTGCCCTCAAATCAAGACATCTGCTCATGATTGCATTGGGTGGTGTCATTGGACCGGGCACGTTCTATGCCACAGGATTTGCATTGGAATACTCTGGTCCCGTGGGCTCATTAATTGGGTACATCATCATTGGTATTGATGTGTTTTTGGTGACCCAGGTACTTGGAGAAATGGCCACGCTCTTTCCGTCTACGGGTTCGTTTAACGAGTTTGCTGGTCGCTTTGTGGACCCTGCTTTGTCGTTTGCATTAGGGTGGAATTATTGGTATATGTGGGTGAGTGTCTGCACCACGATCTACATGTGGTATCTAGAATACTTGGACTGACCAGTGAATTGTATAGGGCACAATTTTGGCTAATGAATACAACGGCGCCGCTCTTATCCTGACTTACTGGACCGACAAGCTCCCTAACTACGCCTGGATTTTGATCTGTTGGGCCTTCTTCATGTGTACCTCCCTGTTGGGGGTTCTGGTTTACGGAGAAATGGAATTTTGGCTCGCATCTTTCAAGTTTGTCGTCGTCATCATTCTCTATATCATTGCTATGTGAGTTAGAGCCTTGCACAATATACTGCTTATTACTGACATTCACAGCCTCCTAGATACCGGTGCTATTGGCGGTGACTACATCGGATTCCGCTACTGGCGCGATCCCGGTCCCTTCGCAAACGGCATCAACGGGTTCGGCAAAGTCCTTGTCTTAGCAGCAGTCATGTACTCAGGAACCGAAGCCATCGCCATCACAGGCGGAGAATCTCGCAACCCGAAAAAGGACATTCCCAAAGCGTTGAAACAAACTTTTTGGCGAATTCTGATTGTATATATTGGCATGGTGTTTTTCACGGGATTGATTGTGCCGTCTGATTCAGATGGTTTGTTGAATGCGACGTCCAAATCGGCTTCCTCGCCATTTACCGTTGCTTTGAACAAAGCTGGCTGGAGTGGCGCTGGAAACTTGATCAATGCGATTATTGTAGTCACCCTTTTGTCGTCTATCAATTCAGCTATCTACATCGCCAGTCGTTGCATATACGCACAAGCCAAATCAGGCCGTGCACCAGCAATCCTCGCCAAAACGACCACAAATGGCGTCCCTGTCAACGCAATCGTCTTTACCAACCTGTTTGGTCTGATTTCGCTGCTCAATATTTCCGAAAATGCCGGTAACGTGTTTACCTATCTACTCGACATTTCCGGCTCGGCGGCATTCGTCGCTTGGGCGTTCATCGGAGTTACTCATTTGCGTTTCCGTGCTGCCATTGCCGCACAGGGAATGCCACTGTCTTCACTGCCTTTCCAGTCCAAGGGTTATCCATACATATCCTGGGTGCTGGTCGTTACCAACATCTTTCTCGTTTTTATTTCTGGATATACGACTTTGTTGAACCCGTTTGACGTCAAGGGATTCGTTTTTTCGTACCTAGTCATTCCTCTATTTATCATTTTGTATTTTGGATGGAAGCTATGGCACAGTAAGTCTTTTGGTCCCGTTCGTAGAAGGACGTGTTTGCTTATTTCTTCTAGAAACGAAATGGGTCATTGCAGCCGAAGCAGATATTGTCAGCGGACGACGAGATTGGCTGGGKGGGATCGATGAAGAGGTTGCTCGTAAAGATTTCTTTGGTAAAGTGAAGGCACTCGTCATCGGTTAGTGGTCTACGCCTACAGTGGTGGAATTATGGGTAGGGGGGGATTTTTTTTTCCAGCTCTACGCCAACTTCACTAATATCATTCTGCAACAACTACAATCTAAGTTTGGTATCAATAATCAATCGATCTTTGAATTCACTAGCTCGACGTATATAAGCAGCTCAACAAGTATCTTCGAACACACAGCGTACAATTGAATAAGGAGGAGTATCGACCACGCAATGAGCCAGAGCTCATGACCCGTAATATTAGGAAAGATGCACTTAGCGCAGCATAGATCTCAGTACCATGATATTCATAGCAGAAACCAAGTTCCTCCAAGCCATCGAACCGACGAGGCGTAACCTTGTCGGCCGCAGCACTGCGATGCGGGGCCGTTCTCCGACAGACCCAAAATTCATCAATCATCGGAGCCGAATCGAAAGTTTCCTGATAGAGATAGAAGATTGAGGGGATATAGAAATTCAAACAGCTTTATCAAAATTCGCATTTGAAAAAGTGAGTGGCCTCCAGGCCAAAACATCTTTTCGAGCCTGCCATTTTGACTATACTAAATCTTGCTTTTAGCATTGGCTTCTCTTCTATTATCTATAGATTGCTTCAAAGTCCGATCAACATCATGCCTGTGCCCCCGAAAACCTTCCAAAGTGACGACACCGTCCTCGACCCCGCAATTAAGAAACACATCGCCTCCCTCTACGAAGCCGTCGACAACCACGAGCTCGAAAAATGGGGCTCCCACTTTACTGAAGACGCCGAACTAAAGAAGGGCACATCTAACGTCAAGGGGAGAGCTAGTACGTCCTTTGTCTCCCAGGCTTCAAACCTTCTAAGTGTTGATGAAGCTGACATGGCTTAGCACTCATCGATCTCGTCACAAAATCCTGGTCAACCCTTCGTAGCCGCGACCATACCGTCTACGCGGTGTACCCGTTTGGTCATAAAGCGGAGGAGGTCATGATGCATGGCAGGAGTGTCAACATCTCAAAAATTGGAGAGGAGAGTACGTTTACTTGGGCGGCGAGGATGCATTTTCGAAGGGATGGAGAGGGGAGCGTTTTGATTGATAAGTATACTATTATCGTGGTATGTTCTTTCTGCTTCAAGTCACACTTAGTCTTGCTGTATTAATTTGCGCTGTAGGATCCACATCCAGCGATGTTATCAACATAGGTTCGGTTTTGGTGCATTTTCGTGGATTGAAGCATCCCGATGGTGAGGATAAGTTCGAAGCCATGGGCAAGAAAAAATTAGGGCTAGGGCTATGATGGTGACATCATCAATAGAACAAATGCATCACACAGAAATATGAATCTAACGGCCGGAATTTCTTGAATATGCGAATAGAAATGACAATGGATCCTCTTAGACTTTCTCCGCATATGTTGCTGAAGTAGTTATAATAAAAATGGAGACAACCGACGATAAAGTTGAAGACATCGGCGGATTGTATTGCCGATCCGATCAATCTATATGGACTCAATTTCATCGACCATCCCCACTACTCAGCAACTCAATAGATAAGATCTCTACACTATGTCGACGGAAGCGGGACAGGGACCGCCGCCGCCCAAGAGACAGAAAGTGTTAGCATGTAAACGCTGCCGACACCGGAAGCAAAAGGTGTGTTGGTACATACATGAATTGAATACGGAGTATTGTAGTGCGGTTTCTGACTGAGTTTTCCAGTGTACTGAGCATCGGCCGTGTGAAAATTGTACTCAAACTGGTTCTGGTATGATCAAATATATGAAATGAAGTTCTTCACTGATTGTTGGTAGAGTGCATACCTACTGAATCTGTCGTCGCAAAGCCGCGCCTGGAGATTGAGTTTGTGCTTCCTTTGCACCCCTAATCAAGTTTCTGGATGTGGATTGTTGATGTCTTTGTAGTTATGTCCACCGCTTGGAAGAGCGAGTCGCGGAACTGGAGTCTTTGATTCCTCAAGAAAGTCTTGATCATATCACTAGTAGGGAACCTCAAGGACGGCCTGCGACCGCTCCTAGGACTGAGGCACCGGTGAGTTTTTCGTAATCATTTTATGCACAAATTTACTGACATATATGAAGATTATACAGCAGCAACCACATGATTCATATCTTAATTCAAATTTCAATTTTCAGCCAGATCTTACCCAATGCGCACCAACAGCAGTTCAATATGACACTCCTAGTCTACCTACATCATCTCCATTGGCGGTAACATCTTTAGACGTCTCTAATTTAGGCATATTTGGCGCTCTATCTAACATCAATAACCGAGCCCAGCCATCTACAGCTATGAACGACGAAACTTCTCCAGACATGCCTGATCTCGGTTATGAAATGGAGCAGTTCCTCATCCAGACCTATTTTGAGATGGCTCATTCCCAGTATCCGATGTTACTAAGGCACCAGTTTCTGAAGTGGTATGAGTCGTGGCGTACGGAGAGGGCGAAGTTACCCGTTGCGATAAGGTGGAAAGGGTTTTTTGTGTATATGGTATGTGCTATGTTTTGGGGATGGTATACAGTTGGCTAATATTCAGCTTAAAGGTCTATGCGATTGCATTCCTGATGACTAAATCTCGCATCAACGGTGAGATCAGAGCGCAAGTAAGTAGCCCCCATGTATACTTATCTGTAGGTAGACTGACGTCTTTTAGGAATTTCATGCTCTCGCAACAACAAAATATCTCCCATATTTGCAGGCATTGCCAAATACTTTGCTTCGCGCACAGGGCTTCTTGCTACTAGGTTTCTATGCACTGCACATGCCATCCGGAGCGGATATTATGGCATTATCATCATGGACGATTCGGTTTTGCGTCATGTCGCAGATGCATCTAGCCGAGACAGAGCCAGATCCAATAAATGGCGATGCATTGATTCATATTCAGCATCGGAGACGAGTCTTTTGGTGTGCTTACGCTATGGATCGAGCTGTGTGTAGCTCGTTTCACATTCCGTGCTCGATTCCAGATAACCAAATCACTGTTCCGGTGAGTCCTCTTCTGTTATCAGCTACAGATCAAACTAATTTTCAAAGCTGTTCGATAAAATTGACGACGACCAATTACTTGCATCACCAGGTGACATGCTCACACACCTCGTAGACCGGAATGGCCCTGCTAGCATCTCCGCGGCTTTACACATCATTGTAAGCCGGCAACTCGAATCACAAATTCAAGAAACCGTTCTCAGCAAAGACTTTAACCCTCAATCCGAAGAACTTTTCCGATGGCGATCCGAAATTTTAGGAAAACTGAAAGAATGGAATACGCAATCTGCGACGACCTCGGAACCTTCCCAAAAGGGGTATGTTAGTATCCAATGGCTGCAGATGATCTATTACTACAATATCGTGATGCTCTTCCGCCCTACAAAGACAATTGTGCAGGGTGTAGCGGGAGATTTGACGGTGCAAGCATGCTGTCAGGCGCTGCTGTTGTTTCGGAAGTTTCAGATGGCTAGGGAAATTGCGCAGCCGTGGCTTGGGGTAAGTTCATCCATCTACTCTCTTGGGACTGAAAGGAAATAGTAAAGCTTACGTTCTCTGTCAAGCTTCTCACACAATTCCAGCTGGGCGTCTGCCTACTATACTGCTTCTTTGCAACTCCACTTCCTCAATGGAAACAATCCTACAAATCGTCTACAGTCTCCAACGCCATTCGCGCCTGTTCTAGCACGCTAGCCATTCTCGCTGAACGATGGGACGAAGCAGAATGCCTCCGCGACGTGTTTGAGATTCTGGCTCGCGAGATTTCTGTGAGTGAGACATGGGGACGACCAACGAGGATTAGCGAGGCTGGAAGGTCTGGTATTGAGCAAAATTGGGCGGGTCTGACGGCGGTGCTGGTTCATCGGCCTACGTTGTTGATGATTCGGGAGATTATTACGGAGGATTTTGTATGTGTGAGCGCGACGGGCTCGGAACAACCGGGGTTGATTGACGCACATCATAATGCGACGCAAGGTGAGGCTGGAACAGCGCATAAAGAGGTAGATCTGCAATGGGCAGATTATACTCCCGGTCTATTGCTTAGTCTAGATACACCTTTTGATACAGAGAATGCCGCGGAGGAGTTCTCTGATGATATTACGTTCTACTTGTGAAGGCTAATGCAATTATCCTATGACCATGGTACCCTCAATAGCAACTTGTGTATATCTATCGCGCCAAATATGTACCATGAAATTAACATAATAAACCTTCGAATGTTCCAATGACGGATTAAAGCCGAGACTGACAACAAGCATCCGCCTTCTTCGTCGCTATGTTCTGCGCCTCTTCATACAGCATACTTTGATTTTGTCGTTGAGTACTTTGTGGTACATCTAGCGCAGGATTATACTCAAAAAACCCACTCGGCTTTAGACTGACTGTCATCGTCTCACACGGCATAACGGGATAGTCTTCCGGACGCGGGTTATGCGTCAAGCTGATAGAGTGCCACAACACAATATCCTCGTTGTCGACATTATCGTTTCGGGCGGCCCATGTCGCGACGTCTCCCTTTTTGGGGAGCGAGCTGCCGTGCAGAACATCGGTGGGGAGGGATTGGTATGTATAATCGCCCGCAGCGTACAGCTCGCCATCTTTGTATGAAGTAACCCAGTACGGTTGCAAGGCATATTTCGCTCGTCGACCGTGCCAAGATTGCGGATGAGCGAGAAGCATTTGTTTTTGCGCGCTATGCACCGAATATGCAACTGGCTTTCCAGAAACCTTGTTGATGATGGACGGATTGATGATCTTGTGTACTCGATTCGGCTGCGCTTCTGAATAGCCTGATGTCGCGATGACTTTCTGTTTCGTGATGTATCCCACGCCAGCATAATTGTACGCATCAAACGGCAACGGAATAGAATCTTCCTCCACGAAACTATTTTTATCGCCGTCCAGCGCTGGATCAATCCGTAAAGCAAAAACGTGTTGATGATAAGGCGCCATGACGCCTTCGTTCACGTTTGTGCCCCATGGCACCGTCACTCCTGGAGTAATCGGTACAGTAGACAGAATGCCAGTCGCCTGAATTCGGTAATGTAGTGCAGCGGCTTGGTCAAAGTGCCACATGAATATGTACTCGTAGTTTCCCACTGTGATGATGGTCTGCAGCGCCAAGACGCGCGAGCGGACGATGGAGACTTGCTTTGAGGCCCCGTCAGTGTGTTTCCAGCCTATTCCGTCGTCGATTTCGTGCATACAGACTGCGTTTGGTTTGGGCACCGGGTTGCCGTTTGAGTCGCTGATTGTAAAGGAGAAGTACTATCCATTTAACATCAGCTAAGAAAAATGAGACGGAGAAGGTGAGGAAATACCTTGATCAATCCCAAACAATCGCACCCCAAAGCAAGATTGTTTGCTGCAACGCCAGCACCGATATCACCAACATCAAAGACACTCTTTCGTGAATACGGTGTTCGCGGATCCCCATACGGCACAAACATTTCACTCAGACTGAGACGATGGAAAAGCTCGCGGCCATCGTAAGTGACATCATGCAACAACATGCCCTCACGCCAATTGAAGCCAAGTCTGAACCTCCATTTTTGCCATGTCACAAGATGGCCGTCGACATGAAAAGAAGCGCCTTGGGGTTGATGGACAGTCAGAGGCTTGAGATCGGTGCGTTTCGGTTGCGAGTGGAGATCATGATGCCATTCTCGTGGCTCGTGATGGGTATATTCCACGTCTGGCGTGACACCGTGATCGTCACCGAGTGGCAAATCAATAATATCAACCAACTCTTTTGTGACATAGTCGATGATGGGCGAGAAGGGGAGCGGATTATCATACGCGTTTGAGCCGGGGTGGGACTTGTATTTTGCGTAGAGGTAGCACTACCCAAACAATCAGCAATCAATCCATATTTCCAAAAGTACATGAAGGAAAAAGGACATACCTGAGCCAATCGCCTCGTAAAATCATCGGTGTCCCTTCCATACGGCCACGTATCACACACAACCTCCAATTCATCCGACAGCCCATACTGCCGAATCCTCTCCAAGACTTTAGGGTTACTTAGACATTTTGCTCTCACTTCGAGGACTTCGTCCATATCCGCTTGGCCATGGTAGCCTTCCTCTAGCTTTTCGATCTTCTCGACTGAAGAGGCTGTGAGGTTGATGACTGCAAGAAACAAATCTGTGGTGCCGCGGTGGTAGTACAGTGACGATGCACGACGCGTCAGGGCCGAGACAGGGTCATTGCTGCGTTCTGCAGCAAGGTATCTGCGCAGCTCACGCTTGGCCGGCTCGAGTAGAGAAATATTCTTGAAATGCACTGAGCCCTTTGGGTTGACGGATTGAACGATTTTGGCCGTTGCCGTGATTTCGGCCGCAGTCAGAGGGTCGAGAGGATGCATCTTGTCTATTATGTCAAAAGTCGATCTCGACAGACAGCTGGTAGTACTTGAGTAGTTTTTGGCTATCTAGATGATTATTTATTCCAATGGTTTTCTCTTAACTTTTTTGTTCGTTGATAGTATGATCATACTATCTATCTTATCGGTGCGATGCGGGGACGAATCGGGCATTCCAGTCCGCTGATTATCGTCGGACTGAAGAGTCCGATGGCTGCTTCTTTATCAAGGCTAATCTATGCGAATGTCGATTGGCAAATTCGAGGATAAATGATTGGAGCAGTACGCCGATACCGAGTTAGACTATCCAAGTTAACTCCTTGGTTCTGCTTAAGAAGGTTGTTCTTAGGGCTAGGACGTCAGATTAGGGCTACGAGCATGCCAAATGGGGCAATTATTCTGCCCATTTTGAAAAAGAAAGAGTACTTTAAACATCTATGTCTTTTCAAAGTTTGTTTCCATACCATTCCATGTTTACATTCATTCTAGTAAACCGATTGGGTCTGAATCATCACTTTCAGAGCTAGTTACATTTTCTAAGCAGCTCCTCCGGGATAAGCGTATTCTGGTGATACGCAATTAGCGGTTCCTCCAACATGCATCAACGTGACTAGATATTAATATTCTAAATAGTTTATGGGAAACAGGTTTGAACATGTAGCGCGAATCTCCAAATACTTAGTCTATGAACTTAATGAGCTTGATACTTTTTTGAAGAATGGAATCTATAGAGATGGGTCGACGCCCGAAAGTGCTTCTCATTGCCTCTCCAGTAAGAGAAGTGATCGAATCTAAATGGACAAACGTTACACAGCTTTTCGACATCGTGACATACGACTGCAAAAGCACCGAAGAATTCAAATTACGTCTCCAGCCAGACGGCGAATACTCCTCAATCGATGCAATTGTGCGTACTGGCTGGCGCAACGCAGGCCCGTTCGTGGATCACATCATATTCTGCGCCGACTTTGTTCAGTATTATCCAAAGTCACTACGTATCATCTGCTGCACGGGTCATGGCCACGATCTCGTGAACCTGAATGCCCTCACCACGGCGGGTATTTGGTATTGCAATACTCCGGATTGTGCAACCGAAGCTGTCGCCAATACAGGGTTGTATTTGATTCTGGCAGCGTATCGATACTTCAGCTTTGCGGAAGACTGTGCACGGCGAGGACCGTGGATGCGAAGCCGGGAGCTTGGTACGATTGCCATTGATCCGTACGGTCAGATCCTCGGTATCGTGGGGCTAGGCGATATTGGGTTAGCAGTTGCCAGAAAAGCTTCATTGGGCCTGGGAATGAAAATACACTACTTCAACCCGAGACGAAAACTTGAGGCCGAAGCTGCGCTTCATGAAGGCGCTACTTATCATTCATCTCTCGAGTCACTACTGGCTGTCGCTGATTGCATCTGCCTCTCTTGCCCATATACACCCGAGACTCACCATATGTTCTCTACGACGCAATTTGCCTTGGCCAAAAAATCTGGATTGCGTCTCGTGAACGTGGCCAGGGGTAAAATTGTTCATGAGAAAGCCTTGATTGAGGCACTTGGCTCTAGTCAGGTTATTGCGTGGGCAAGTGATGTTCATGAGAATGAGCCGGAAATCACTCCTCGACTCAAGAGTAATTACATGACCACATTATTGCCGCATATTGGTGTGTGTTCAAAATCAACTTGGAGAAACTTTGAAGAAAAGTGTCTTAATAGTCTTGAAGGATTCTTTTATGGAACCACAGCGGGTCAAAAACCTATGGGGGCTTTGAATTCGGTTGATTACAGAGCTAGAGAGTAAATCACTATGCTTGTATATGACATGCACCAGATATACATAGGTGGTTTAAGGAAATATGTCAAATGAACAAGCTCACAGTGGGATCTGTAAAATGTCATATAATATCAGTCAAGATTCCTTCAACATCATCGATAGCCTTCGACACGTAGTGCACATTATTGCTGTTTACTATAATACCTTAATGTTATCAAAGACATTTGGTAAATAATAAATTCAAATTGAATCATACCGAAGTTAATTTCAGGGTTCAACTCCACTTGTGCTTCGGAATAAGCCCTAACCCGGCGCCATACACTCTGTAAGTTAGTGAAATAGTAGTAGCTAGGTACTGCACCTAGTGTAGTAGAGTCCCGGAATAAGCACTATCCCGAATGGAGGCGTTCAACTCTACGACTACCCTTACATTACGTATCTGCATTGTCACTCCATCGATTTACACTGAGGTAATATATTTGAGATTATAGTCGACTGACGGGTTTGCTACCTATCCCGCAGCGACAAGCATTCTTGCTGAGTCGTTCGGAATACCGTCCGTGTCAAAAAGCAGAGCGAGATGCCAACTGATTATTTGGGACGCTCGGCACAAGTCTGGTATGTGCCACTCAATCCTCTTATATTCAATAACATCAGACTAATAGTAATGAGAATGATAGTGATCGATGTAGAATGTGAGCTGCAACTAAGCACTGACACAACGGCTGAACTGCTAACGTAACATCCGGTAAAAGCAAGAAAGTCAGATGTGATGGTGTCCTTCCTCAGGTGAAAAGCCTTCATTTCATTTTCACTCTATGTATCTTCGACTCAAATAGCTTCTTAGTGTGGAAAATGCGCGGCCGCAGGCGAAAAGTGCGTCGTAACGACACGCCTTCAACGAAAAACGACTCCTAGAGGGTTCGTCTAACACCTCCATTACAGTATTCAGGGAGCTGATTCTTGGACAGATACAAAGTTCTAGCATCTGTTAAACAAAAACAGTTGATAGCAGAACTTGCCGGAACACGAGAAAGACTCGACAATGCCTCGAGAAGAGAGCAGGATCTACGGGATCAACTAAATGAAGCACTTTCCCAAATCGAGTCTTTGACTAATCAATCTGCTGCGCTAGAAGTCGAAAGCTCGCGAGATGTTCTCTCATCTCCTCCAATATTCCAACTTAATATCCCCAGAAATCAAAAACCAAACCCCCAGCTGATCCTCACACACATGGGCCGCTTCATCCCCAACGACATCGGCATCAACTACTTCGCCGGCGCCTCATCAGGCGTCCACTTTATCCTAACAGCACAAACCCGCTTCCAACAAAAATATCAAACCTCTAAGAAGCTTCCCGAAAGTATGTTCTATCTACACTCCGTGCCCGCTCGAGGCCGTATTGGGGCCGTGTACGACACCAGCAAACATAACGAATCAATCGAACTACCCTTCGCCGTGTCGCTACTCCATCGAGATGTTTGTTATCTAGAAGCAAAAAGATTTTTCGATCGTTGGGCTAGGATATACCCCATCTTAACACCGAAGCAATTTTATGATAATATTGATTCATTAATGGCGCAAGTGACTTCGAATCAACTGCAGGAAATGGATATAGGGTTTGTATTTCAATTATACTCTATCTTTGCACTGAATTCGTTTCTCGATCACTCGGTGGAAAGTGGTGCAAAAAGGGAGGTTTTGTATCCGAATACCTTGGAGGCGACCTCGTGTTATCAGCGTGTGCTTGATCGATTGCTTCCAAACGTTGCAGCAAAGGGGGATCTGGCAAGTCTGCAAGGGCTCGTTATTTACCTTTTGTATGCACAGGCTAGTGCACAACATGCAAGCGCTATTCAGGTTAATGGTATGACAGTAAGACTTGCTCAGATACTTGGTTTAAACTGTCATTCGAGGAGGTTTCATTTCGGAGCGGTTGAGCAGGAGGTACGAAAACGGGTATGGTGGTGTGTCTTTTTGCTTGATGTGTGAGTACTCTCCCTTTCTCTTACTCTTTTGCCTTACTGAAGATACAATTCATTTAGTCATACCAGCATACTCCATGGACTACCACGCCTGATACACCAACCAGACGTCGACACTGACCTTCCTATTGACGTAGACGTGGACGATATTACAGCCCCTGAACTGGCAATACCGCTCCCGGGGGAAATTTCAAAGTCCAGTCTCTTCATCTGCTATGTTGAGCTCGGAATGATCCTTTCAAAATGCCTAGATCAGCTATATACAACTACTCGCCGCAGAGGAGCGGTTGAGAATATAGACTACTTGAACAGAGAGCTTGATGCATGGGGAAGAAACTTTAATCTTCGGGCTGAAGCATCCATACGCTTCTCAAATCAAGAAGGACGCCAGTCTTTCAAGGAGAAATTAATGTCCCCGAGTCTTAGAGCCGACTCAATGGTACTCTGGCTATTCATACTAGAAGAATTAACCAGCATACTCATCAACCGTCCTGCTCTGTCCTTACAACGAGCTGTCGGGAAAGAAGACGAACCAAAACATCACGTCGGATTAGAGCGATGTGTTCAGTCCGCATTCAACATTATACAGATCTGTGACCTGTATCGTTCGGAAGGCTGGATCTTTCATCTCTGGCCCTTTGGCAGTCAGAATATAGCGCAAAGTGCTTTAATGTTACTATATAACCATTGGGTCACTGAGCCTACGCTCAATACGCCTAAAGTCGGTAATGGTCATTTGTTACCAACGTATAAAAGCGAGGAGAAGGCGCATTATATGGTCATGAAAGCTGTGGATATACTCATGCAGCGATTTAATGCAGTCTCGTCTACGGGAGTGGAAACACCTCTCGCTGAGGTTGCTAATTTTCTGGCTGATTTTGCGCGGCTATCGTTTAATGTTTGATTTTCCTCCTGGTATTGGATGCAACGTTCTATCGTACATAAGAAACATCTGTATAGCTCATAGCCATCATACCGATGTAAAGGAAAGACGTCCTCAGTCTCCACCAGATCTTGGTATCTCGGTATCTCTCTCCAACTTGGATGGAGAGATGCGTTACGAATCGGACAAGTAGAGAAGGCACAAAGACTTGTGAAGCTATGTAGGAAGAAGTTGGTGAGAGTATAAAGATTACAATTCGATGAAATGCTCTCACAGCCCAGCAAGCGATAAATCATGCCATTTCTATACATTTACATTTAAGCAATGCAATCAGAACTAACCGCCATCCTCATAAACAGGCCCACTCGGTCCCCAAATCACAACTCTCTTGCCTCTCTTCTCATCGCTCCGGTACCCCCTCCTCTTCCCCCTATAGCCACCACAACAACAGCAGCAATAAACCACACAAGAATACAGCCATCTCGTTAACCAAAACTTAGCCGACCACTCCAAGAACCCCATTTTCCGGCCCTGGCCTTCCTTCCCATCTGCCGCGTTGAGACGCGCAGAGTTGCGATAGCGAATATTATAAATGACCCACGAGACGAGCACAACAACACAGTAACATACCACCAGAGACAAGATCTCAGTACAGACCAACACCGACAGAAACTCAATCAGATTCTCGAACAGGGCGAAAGTGACCATCAAAATCGGCGCCAACACAAACAGAAGCGCGGATCGTATCCAGTACGTTCTAGTGGTAAGTTCCGCATTGCGAAACGTCATCCTAACATCCCACACGGACGAATGCGACAGGTGTGGGCGTCTCAATTCATCGACAAACGACGCCAACAGGCCCTTCGAATAATGCTCCTCGCTCCTGAACATATTCTTCACAAATTTGACACTTTCCCCGTCTTTCTGTGGCGTTACAGGAAAGTTCGGGTTGAGTGTCAATTGCTCCTTTTCGTACCGCAGTCTCAGCCATTCCGTCACAGGGGCCGATTTCCAGATTTCGACAACAATCGACTTATCGTCAGCTGTGAGTTGGCGCGCGACGAGCCTGATGTCCATGTCGTACGTGAATCCGTGCATCTGGTTATGGAACCACGCTGCATCTGGAGTACTGAACCAGGGGAGATTAATGATATGATCCCTTCCGCCGGAATCAACTTGCACAGTGATCGTGTCGCTGATATAAACCGTCTCGTCTCTCCCGTCATCCTCATCGAGGAAAATCACCAAGTCATCAGTTTTTACATTCTCGTTGCGGAGCATGCCATCCCGGACTTTGAGTGCGGCATCCGTCAGATTCAGTCTCGTCCTGAGATCACGACCAACCCCAATCACCAACTCTCTTGCTGCTGCACCGATTCCGCTGACGACTTTCCAGTCAGCAAGTACATGCGTACAATCACTACTCGGCACCCCCCTGACTCTCGCCCACTGCCTGGGCGAACCCGGATAGAGCGCATTCGCAGGCTCGAAAGTCACCGAAGCAGCTTCAAACGATCTATCCCATGGATAGACTGTGTGCAGCAATTCCCCAGCTTTGAGGACATCTGAAATGTATTTATTTGTATGCTGAGATGAAACGCGCACAGAAGGGAGAAAGGCCCAGAGACCGATGAGGGTGAGGTAGGAGTAGAGGATGAATTTGAGGATGCGGGAGAGGGTGGATATTAGTCTGGGCATTTTACTGCCTTTGTAAGTGTAACGATTGTATGGAAGTTGGAAAGTAGTTAACGAGTGGATGCATGCGAGTGCATGTCTTATTAGTCTATTCGATCATCGATTTTTCTGTAGTAGGGTTGTTGAAGATGAATTCAATCAATGAATGATTTTGATGTCGTCCAACTTCCAAGATTTAGCCGGATGGTCCGCCTGGTTGCCTTGGATGCCGACCAATCAGCGGGGGATTTCTACCCCTTTATACTCTTTGGCACAGACACGTAGTTTTTCTTCAAAACATGGATTATGTTAAATAGTAAAGATCAGTCTGACATATTTACACATGAAAAAAATTCCCAAAATCTCCTATCACTAAATCAAACAACCGCAGTCTGATCATAGTACAAATCGCAGGAATGAGGATGCTGCAAGCAATACTTGGGCACCAGCGGCGCAGCCTGCACTCCGTTCGCAACCAGATACTCTCTGAAGTTCAAGATGCGCTGCGTCATATACGTCGTCCTCTTGTCGCCAGTCTTGGGGTCCTTGTTACCAGACCACACCAACTCCGCAAGCGCGGCAGCACGAGGCCACATTTTGCCCGAAATGACGGTATCGTCAACCTGCTCAGACCAGAGCGGTGCAACCGCACCCTTGACATGCGCGGCTTGGGCGTCGGTCAAGTTGGTTGTGAAGTCGTAGTCGTAGATGCGCTGCCAGGTCTTGTAAGGCGCGCACCAACTACCGCCGTTTCCGCCCCAGTTGAAGTTTGCAAGGCCGTCGACGGCGTCTGGGTTGACCATTACGTCGTAGCGGGGGTCGTTAGTCACAAAGCCTCCGTAGCCGCAGTCGAGGTACATGAAATCAGAAGAAGATACAAGAACATCGTAGCCCAAGTCGGTCAGGTTGTTGATGTTGGTGAGACCGTTGTTCCAAGACTGGACAAGAAGGCCTTCCGTCGACACGTTGGGTGCGTGGGGTTCGTTGATGATCAGATCCTCCCAAACAACGAGCTTACGGTTCTTGATACTCTTAAAGATGGGGAATGCGTGGTCGACCCAGTACTGCGTGACGTCGTTGTAGGTGCGGCTGGGGTCAGCGGCAAGATAGTCAGTCACGTAGGTACTGAAGTTGTAGCAACCAGTCTGCAATTCGTCGCCACCAACGTGGAAGAAATTATCTGTAAAGATACCAGAGAGCTCTTTGTACACCTTCTCAACAACGCCATAAGTCTTGTTGTTCAAAGGGTCGAGTTGGCCGGGAGTAGGCTCCACGGCAGTATGATAAGTCCAGACATCGTTCGACCACCAGGAATGAGCACAGGCGACAATACTAGGGTCAACCTGCTGCCAACCCGCAGCCGAGTGGCCTGGCATATCGACCTCAGGCACAACACGCACAGCACGCGCACGCGCATACTCGATAATATCCTTGATATCGTCGTGCGAGAACGTCTGCGACGGCGAATACGCATCATTCGTCATCTGCGGGTACGTGCTCATGCGCACCGGCCAAGACTGCGAATCATCCAAATGCCAGTGCAAGATGTTGAGTTTCGACAACGCCATTCCGTCAATCTGTTCCTTGATCTTGGTTGTGGTGATAAAATTTCGGCCCGTGTCGATCATGACACCGCGCCAGGGGTACAACGGCGAGTCTTCAATGGAAACGGGCTGCTCGATGATGAGCCCATTGTTCTGGAAGATCACGAGCTGCTGCAAAGTCGTGAAGGCGTGGAGAGCGCCCCAGGTGGTGTTGGCGGTAATTGCGAGCGTGGACGAGCCCGAGTCGAGGACAAGCGTATAAGACTCATCGACCTCGGCCTGTAGGTCTGCATTGAGGTCCGAGACAGTCACCGTGACGGTTCTGAGGGTTGCCTGTGAATGGCCGCGCTTCTGGCTGTTGAGCGCAACAGCTGCCGAAGACGACGGGAGAGGCGTCGAGGGAGTGGAAGTGGGCGCGGCGGTCGGGAAGGGTTCGTACGAGGAAATGGGGGCCTCGGTGGCCTGGGGCACCCATTTCAGCTGCTTGATGCTCGTCCAGGCGCGTTCCCAGGCGTCGCTAATGATTGCGTTCCTGGGGAGTTGGACATTCAGGTTCTGCGGCACGGAGATGGGACCTGAAGTGCCCCAGGTGATCGACCGGGGCGCCGGCAGAGGGTTGACGGCCACGCCAGCCACCGCTGAGGCTAGACACCCGACTGTTACCAGACTGACTCGCATGGTGAATATAACAATAACAATATGTAAGAAAAAAGGAGCGTGAGAAGAGAAAAAGAACGAGAAACGAAGGAGGACTGGACAAATAATAAATACTACATCCCTGGTCGATCAACAGACCATTCCACTACCGTGCAGTACATGCTACGTCGTGGTCGGAGCATACCAGGATAACACTACGGGGTGCGCCAGGAAGTAACACTTCGGACTCCATCCATTCGACAGAACGGCAAAAGGATCGTCCAGGAAATTGCTTGATTGCAGTGTCTCCATCGATTTAGTCGCTTTCTTACTACTCTGTAGTAGCCAGTGTGGAGTCTACTGTCCATTGCCCACAGCCGAGGGCTGAACAGCCTGAAAGCGAGAACAAACAAGCATAACTCTCTCTGAAAAGGAAGCATATTACTGAAGCAAGGGCTGATTTGTTTTAGCTGTTTGTTTATGCCAATCCAGACTCGCTGCAACTAACAAGCAGCTAAATAGTAAAGCCCCACTCGACAGAATTAAAATTAATTAACGTTTCTTTTGATCAAAGCACTGTCAATGAAGTTAATGTCGGATGTTGTAGCTTGATGCAACGCGGAGATAGAAGACCTATGTACCAGAGGAAATGCAACTATTCAGTGCATCATACTCCTCATTAATTTGCATATTGAATTATCCTACAAACGCGAATACTTGAGAGCTGCCAAGCAGATCGGTACCTGAAAACCTATAGCGCGAGTCTTGTATGTCTAATTATAACCACCACGGCAAGTCATCTGGGGGCCATACCCTAACTCTCTATGCTATGGCCCGTCACTCCTTATCTCCTCTGTCCTGACTTCCTTCGGCAGTCAAACTGAAGATACGTCTAACCGTCGAGTCATTCAAGTCTCATCTTAATTACTTCATTTCCCCATTCCTCCGCATCTGTACTTATCGGGTACATACATATGTACGGTAGTAAATAGACAAAGATCGAGTGTCACCATACCATTCATTAATCTTCTCCGCATCAATTAGTTCTGCCATAAACAAGTAAGTAGGAATCAATCTGCGAACTCTATCTTGATGAACTGAAAGTAAAAGTGCTACCAGGATTGAGGTTACATCAGCCACGAGTTAGACTTAATGATCGTTAGTCTAGTTGCTCTTTAGTTCTAGAATCTACTTCGCGAGTCTCGTGCAGCGGACTCGTGAGCTCTTGGTCGGTGCCATGTGGAGTGGATGTAACCTTATCGACGTCTTATCACCGCTCATCTTAGGGCTACTACCACGTTCACATGCATGGCTACTTGACAATCATATCATATATTCAGTGTATCTACTATCTACCATGTAGGGTCTAGACATGATAGATATGTGTCCTCGTCGTAGATACTGGCTAAAACTCAAACTCCCGCCGGAACACATCCACGTCCATCCCCGACACAACCATGTCCGCCAAATCACGTCTCCCCATCGACGTAAACMCCCGCCGCAGCGTATCGTACAGATTTGTACTCTGGTTCTGACTAATATGGATCATGCGCTCCAGCTCTGCGTCGTCGATTCCATCCACACCTTCAACAATTTCGCGTGCTTTTTCCCGCCCTTGTTGTTCGACCACTTTGTGCATTGCCAGTGCGCCGAGTAAGTGTTGCGCGGCTTCCGGGAAGCAGCCGATATTAATACATGAAACGCCCAAGTTGTAGCGCGCGCGGACAAAGTTGGGGTTGATGGTGAGTGCCTTTTCGTACGCTTCGATCGCTTCTTCGGAGCGGCCTGAGTTGGCGAGTGTGGCGCCGAGGCGGTTCCAGAGGAGGTGCACTTGTTCTTGTTGGTTGGAGGTGCCGGACTCAGTAGAGGCGAGAGCTGCGGAAAAGCAGTCGACGGCTTTGTCATATTCTTCAGCACAATAGAACAGTACGCCTAAACCGACTTGCACGTCTGGATCCATGTGTTCGCCTGAAGGCGAGAGTTGTGCTGCCTGGATGAACAGGTCTGTCACTTTATCGTGCAGTAATTGCCTATCCGTAAATCCGACATCGGTATCGGCGGAAAGATCATTGGGACTTATGACTTGAGGATATTTCACAGAGAGCCAACGCTCCAGTGTACGATATGCCGTCGAATCGTAGCCCTCATTTGTATACGACACAGCCAACCCCATAAGAGCATCGAGATTGTTCGGGTCTAGTTTCAGCGCTTGTTCCAACGCCCGCAATGCCGGGTTCTCCTTCTCATTTTGTGCCTGCGCAGATCCGAGCATGGTCCAGGCTTGTACATGCTGAGGATCCTTTTGTACTGCAGCCTCAAAGGCCAGAGCTGCTAAAGACAGGTTTCCACCTTCCTGCATGATCTTCATTCCTTCTTCGAACGGGTTACCCACGGCCCGGAACATGTTATCCTCCTCGAATAAATAATCTCCCAATTGCGGGTCACGGAATCGCGTGTTTAGACTATCGAACCCTTCCCATCCACTAGTATCCCCCAGATGTAAATTCGCAACTTCCTCAAAATCATCTTCGGCCAATTGTCTAGAAGCCGTACTTTCAGCCTGAGCACTTTGCCACACACGTTCAAATTGATCGAATCCTTCATCTTGACTGTGTCTCTGATTCTGATAAGGGGTAGTATGCACTGACCTGTCCAGATCATCGAGTTCCGCTTCCATAGCTTGATTCGCCTGATCATCAAACGCTTCTTGTCCCGCAGCATCCATTTCAGCGAACTGCGCTTCCCAATTCACGTCATCCAACTCCACCATTCGCCCTTTGCCCTTGCCGTCTTGCTGTTGCGCTGCAGGCTGTTGCTGTTGTTGTTGCTGCTGCATAGGCATATACGACGGACCCATCATCCCCATAGCGCCCATTCCGCCCATCGCACCCATATAACCTCCCATCATCGGCCGCTGATAGCCACTCATCATGGGCGACTGCGTCGACTGCGTAATGGGGCTCGCTGTACGATGTTGTTGCTGAAAGCGCGAGAATTCCGCCGCTGAAAATCCCGGTCCTCCTCGGTTATCGAGGACAGCAGGAGCGGCGTTGGGGCCTTGAAAAGCGGCTTCCATACGTGCTTGTTCGCCGTCGAATTCGGCTGCCCAACCGGGCGATCCTGTGCGTTGGGGGGCATGTTGCATCGACTCGATTTCGCGGCGCATTTGTTCCATGGCGAATGGTTGGACGGGGGCTTGATGAGGGAGATGGCCGGGTTGTTGCATGAATTCGTCCATCATCTGTAGACGAGTCAGAACTGTGGCTAGTAAATCTATCGTACAGAGATGATTCGTACCTGATCCCCCGGTCCTGCCATCCCCCGGGAACGCATACTCTCTTGCATCCCCGGCGTCCTCCCCACCAGTCTATCTCGCTGTAAAGACTTGTCATCTTGAACATGTTTCGTGAACTGCGTCAACGGATTGCCGGCGGTCGAGCACTCGGCGCCTCCGAGAAAGGACATGGCGGACGTTGCTGAATATACTATCTGATATATCAAATCAAGCGATCTAATAGCGTGACCATCTATTCTGCCTGTTCTGCAGAGAACAGATCGAGCACGTCGTTGTACGATTCACGGGATTGTCGTTAGGTTAGTAATCGCTCCGGTCGACAATGGGTATCGGCGTGGGGTAAAACTGGGCCGAGCCGCGGCTGATTTGTTCAGGCTTGAATTTCAAGGACACAATAATCTATCCAATGCAATTTCGTAAAGGAATATTCAAAGAAAGGAACAATATGTTCGGATAATTGAAACGAATCAAAAGCTCGCCTGGTCTGTTTCGGCAACTATCGATGGTTCAAAGACCTCCGCCACCGAGGCCGGCCGCGCCGAGGTTCTTTCCGGATTGATCACGTGTTTGATATCTATCAAATTATCTATTAACATTGCACAAGTGATTGTGATATTGAAAGGAGATCAACTTTTACTCATCACAGAGCAAGTCCGTAAAAAACCCAAGACAAATAATATACAATAAGCTAATTGGTACATGTGTAGAAAGAAACCCATCAAACCATACAAAGCACATTATAAAAGTCAACAGACGGAAAATCACAGGGATCTCCGATTAATTAGCCTCGAACGCCCCAACGCGCGGTGTCTGTGAATGTTGATGAGATCGAGAAGCTGCATAAATAGACGGAAATTCTATAGCATCAATGTCGAGCTCCCCCGACTTTATTGCTCATCGTTCTGAGTCTGGTTCTCTGCGGGTTGTCGGCTAATCCGCTTAGCGCCCTGGCTGAAGTCAATCTTCAATCGACGACCGTGAGGTGCCTTGCCGCTAAGGATCTCAAAAGCAGCCTGAGCACTGGGAACATCAAGGAAATCGGCGTGGGCGAATCCCCGGGGGTTACCGGTCTGGCGATCGACGGCAACACGGACTTCAATGACGTTGCGAACGCTCTTGAAGAGTTCGTTGAGTTCTCGGTCCGTAAGGTCGTAAGCCAGGTTTCCGATGTAGAGGCTTCTTGTAGGTTGTCCTACGGCACGACCTTTGGGAGCGCGAGGTCCGGCTCCAGCAGCGGTGAATTGGACGAGTACACGACGGCCTTCGTAGACTTGCTGGTTCATCTCTTGAATGGCACGGTGGGCGGCTTCCACGGAGTCAAATGTAACGTATCCGAATCTATCATATGGTCAGTGTAAGTTGACCTCGTAAAAACTTGGGATCATGCAACCAACCCTTTGCTCAAACCACGAGCATCAGAAATAATAATAGACTTCTCAACAACGCCATACTCCTCCATCCTGGCCTTCAAATCCTCCGCGGTGACATCAAAGAACAAATTTCCAATGTAAACAGTTGGTGAAGGGACGGCCTCCGGGAAACGATTCATCCGACCGTTGGAATTATTTCTCCGGGAAGCATCTACGTCTGCTGCACCATCTTGAGGGGCCGCATTCGCAGACAAGCTAGCACCTTGCTCTGTAGGCTCAATCTCGCCCTCGACTGCTGTGGCCTCCACAGTAGATCCTTGCTCCGTAGCCTCGATCTTAGCCTCAGCCGCAGACACATCTACAGTTGATCCTTGCTCCTTTGCTGCTTTCATGGCAGCAGACTCAAGGGCAGCTTCGAGGGAAGCTTCGTCTTCTTCGGCTTTGGTCTCTGATGCCTTTTGGGCGGCAATCTTGGCGGCTTCGTCGCTGTTCCATCGTCGCTGGATTTGCTGAAAGGTGGAGACACTGGAAGTAGCAGCTGGGCGGCTGAATGCGTTGGATTGAGTGGTGATTGATCGTGATCGCGCATTGAGGAAAGAGGCATTGGGTCTGACGGACAAGAGCCGGCGAGCGGCAGGGCGAAGAGCAGAATACCTGATGAGAGGAACTAGTCAGCAATGCGATCGATGTGGTTGGCAATAACGTCGAGCTTACATTTTGAATGATTGACTGGACAAGAAATTAAAAAATAAAGCAATTAGTAATTTCGTAAAAGATTTAATCTGAAAATGAAGCACAATTAATGAATCAAATAGAGAGAAGAGTATTCGAAGATAGAGAATGAAGGATGAAGGTTTGCCAACCAAATAATTTTCCAGAATCTCCGCTAGCGCCGGGGTTGGTTGGCTGACTCGTTATGTGTCACGTGATATGTCTCGATATTTACCCCCTGACAACACTATCTGCTTTATCATTTTGTTTCATAGACTTCGTTCTGTTCGAAAGTAGCGGTTCTGTCTGTACCTACAGGGTGCTAATAGAAGGAGCTGCTTATTTCTGCTTTTGCATCACTATAAAAACAACCTGTCCTGTGAACACTTGTCCGGAGCGCGTCCGAATATTTACCTTGCCAGACCAGATGATGACATTCGAACGACTCTGAGCTAGGTAAATATTGGAGCTCGCTACTAAGTCAGAGTAGGCCTCATGAAAAATTACTTTCATCAATAGATAGTACGCAGCATAAATTGTGAAGAGCAGATCCTAGTATACATACATAATCACATATACCAACATTGAATACCTGGAACACAATACAGCGCATGGAGGAGATTTTCGCATTTCACATACCAGTTTACAAAAAGAGACAATCATTTTTCTTCATCCCCTAACAGGCATAACATATAAGTAACTCGAGTCCACCGAAACTCCATAAGTAGCAATTCTAACGAGGGGAGACTTGGAATAAAAAGTGAATCAAAGGGTATCGAAAAGGTGAGAGAGAAGAGGAGGTGGTTTCGCGTATAATTTTCATAAATCAATCCACTTGTATATAATATCAGTCAATTTTATTCCCATTCGGCCCAGCCATGAAGAACGACGGATTCGCCGAGTCGTACGTCATACCCGTATCCGAAGGCAGGACGCCGGGCATTCGTACCCTGTTTCGGATATTGTCCGTCGATATTGCGCTTCTGTTTCCTGGTGTGTCGGTGGTGGTTGTGGTAGATGGAGTTGGTTGGCCGCCAGATGCTGACGAAGATGGGATTGGGGAGATCATTTGATTAGGCATGTCGAACATAGGCCAGAGGGGATTTGAGTTGTTAGTGTTGTTGTCGAGGGTCGTGTTGCCTATGTAGCTGTCCCAGGCGTTCTGCAGAATTAAGTTAGTAGAGGGATATAAAGTAAGCAGGAGGAGACGAACCCAGTCGAGTTGCATGTCTGGCATTTGACCAAGCATATTGAATGGAGACGCAAAGCCCATGTCAGCCCCTCCAGCGAGAGCCGATGGAGACAGTACTGAGTCGGTGTTTTTGAACGGATCTGTAAATCCGGTTCCCGTATCTTGCGGGCTCATGCCGCTACTCAAAAGGCCCAGAGTCATCGCAGCACTCTGCTTCTCATCCGGCACTCCGAGCATGCCTGAACTGCCGTTCATGTCTGTCGAAGTCGGTGGCGTCACATTCAACTTATCAAGCATAACAGTCATCATGCCTGCTGCTTTCCATGACTCCATCGACTCGTCGCTTTGATCCCGCCAGATATCTCTCGCTTGTTGGATAGCGGCAAGCATTTCGTCGCGACGTTCCCGGCCCCAAATATAGACATCGCCTGATGGGCGTCCAGCTGCCTGCAACTGCATGCTCTGATAAAGGTCGAGACATATCACTGTCGCAGAGAGTAAGTAGTTACTGTTATTGATGGCGTTATCCCGAATCTTGCTCAACAGACGACCACCTGGCAACTTCTGGCTGTGGAAGATGGCCTGGTAACGCAAGAGCTCCAGTGATGAGTCAATACATGTCCGGCGCGAATGGGTGAATCGGGGATTTTCTCGGGCACGGCCAATATATCTTCGGTGTAGAACAACTTGTGCCTTGTGGTAGACGCTTTCAACCTGCTTTCATTAGTACCAATTTGGGTCAGGAAGGGATACCACTTACATAATATCTCATCAAGATCGAATCAGTAGACTCTATCGTGCACTCTTCAAATGGAAGCACTCGCAGATGTTCAGGAATAAGATCCCGAGCTCGTCGAAGCTCAGCATCTATATCAATAACAACCTCATATGGCGCATTCTTGACAAGCGAGGTATGTTCAATAACACGACCAAAAGCAACCGACAGGCGACTTTTGGCAATCATATAAGACAACGGAGTGGATTGTTCGTTGGGCCTGGACGGCGGTATCTCTTTGCTATCAGGACCAAAATCTTCGTCAAACAGATTTCGCGGCAGCTCAGTGTCGGTGTCTCCGGGCCGTAGCATACTGGGCATGCCGACCTGGAATGAGAAAAGAAGATCCGCCTGCCTAAGATATGCCCACACCCTTCTTCGCATCTCACCTTGAAAAGGTGTAATGTTGGGAAACATTTTCGAATCCCGATGGTAGCCCATGCGCATGGCTAATCGTGCGATTATACCGCAAAGAATCCACACACGAACATTAGCTTCACTGGTCTCGCTGAAATCAGCATGCATATGAAGAACAAGAGTCTCGATCAGATACGGATACGGCTTCGTGTAGTCTGCCAGAATCAAACACTGACACATGAGATGGCGGAAAGACTTTGACATATCAAGTGATTTGCCCTTGAATTCTGGCGGCTCTTCCCCGTCGTGGTAATATGAGAGCATAGCCAGTCGCATCATGGCATAAAGCATACCGATCCATACTGGACATGAAGCGGAGGGATCTTTCCAGTGCTCATTGTACTTTGCATTGTTAGCATGACAGTCAATTTTTCACAGTTAGAATCGCTTACATCTTTCTGAAAGGTTGGCACATGAAGAACATCTATTATTCGTTAGTTTCGTACACTCACTAGCCGTTCAGAGTATACATACAACTGCCAGGACCATGATCACGATTATTGAAGAACCGCGATATCAGCATATCTGCGATATATCGTGAGGGGAAGGAGGCCAGAATCTCGGATTTGCTAGGTGCCTTCACCGAGCCAAAAAGTAACATGGTGGTAGTATCGGCTTCTGGCTTTGTGGCTTGTATTTTCTGTGCTTGTTCTTCATATTGCTTTCTCGAGTTCTGAAAGAATTGACGAACTTCCGCAATCTGCAAAAGTTAGACATACTGAATGATCTCCACCGCGTAAGACAACTTACATCATTCAGAACAGACGCCCAATGAGCCTCGCTGATATACATTGATTTGTTATTGTCGACCTTCATGATGCCGAACGATTTTGTCACCGCTTCCGTATCGCTCTCTTCATTCTGTCCATCAACGTCGTCATCTAACTCAAGATCCTGGTAATTCTGTCCGGACTCAACGCTATCGTGTCCGGATAGAGCTGCGGCGGCGGCGGCTGGTCCAGCCGCTTGCGATCCATTCGTCATGAGCGATAGAACTAAATTCTCCAATCGATCTATCCTGTTTTGCATATCATCTGGTGATTGGGAAGAGCTCTGAGGAGAACTCTTCTTTCGCGATCCTGGTTGAGCATAAGTGCAGGAGGAGGCGTCCCCTCGTTTGATGCAATTTTCGCAAGGATGGGAGCGATTGCATTTTAATCTAACATGACAATTGCGTCAGTTTTCTGCGATGGCTGCGACTAAGCGAACGACGTGACCACGTACTTTCTCTGTCGACAAGGCGCGCACGAAAGCGGCACCCTGTTTCGCTTCCTAACCACCCTATATTGGCCTTCGGGAGAATGCGCGCCCACGCTGGATGATGTCGATGGCGGTGTCGGTGTCATGGTGAAAGTATATAGTGTGGCTGACAGACTCTTGGATAGTATTGACTGAGTCGATGTTAAATGCGACCGAAGACGAGCTGGACGTGAGACGTAGATGAACCTCAAAGATGGCGGGGTGTGCTGCGACCTCCGACCAAGTTCTCGCGGTCTTCCGTCAAATGCTCGGTACGCAAGTTATCGTGCACTTCAGTATCAGCCGTACGAGCTTACGTCGTTATACCTCGGTAAGCTGGAGAACACAGTCGAAAATAAAACGGTAGAAAATTGCGACTCTCGGTAACGGATTCTTATCGCTCAAGAGTTGTTGGAAAGATGGGCGGAAAGAAGAAGTTGGTCGTCGAGTTGTCGAGCCACTCTTTATCGCCAAAGTCGGTCTCTCTGGGCTACCGTAGACACTCTGGAGAGGGCTTGTTCTGCTCCACCACACCGGAAAAGTGTCAACCAGGATCAACACTTTCTTGACGATTGAGGGGGCGGCCGCTTATTTATACTCATAGCTAGCGTTGTTTTTTGAATTATACGCTACTTTTCCCTGCAGGTTGGCTCTATGATCCCTGCGAATATGCGTTCCATGATGTGCCCTGCCTTTCCTGTCCCAGGTTTTTGGATTCTAACTACCTCTATGTACGATTGTTAATGATCCATCGCTACCGCACATCTTGAACTCCAAGACCATAAAGATGAAGAGCTCATTACCTGACATGAGATGTCCATTTCCATTGCACAATCTTCGAGATCGTCATCGTGGGATTCAGTCGAGGCACATACTTTGTAAGCCTGATGATTAGTCAGTCTCGACGACGGCGTCCCAACTGTGGCAGCTTGGCTGATCAGATGGTGGCCTCGTCTTATACCTTACCTTAGTTAGAAGTCTCTCAAGACTATGAGTCATACCTGCCTTCAGTCGCCAGACGAGCGTGCGGGCGTCTTGTAGTTGATGGCATACGGCATTTACGGAGAGAAGCCCTTAAGCCCGGTGTTAATTCCGAGTGTATGATTGGCTGGCTTGGTGGGATGCTTAACCCTAATTTAAGTCTTACTTTTCTGTCCGTTAACTCTGAAGTATATGCGAAACTCAAGATGTTTATGTCTTGCAGATACAGCTAGCTGTTTGCAAGTCAACGCCTTGATAGGGGGAAAGACGCCGTGGACAGCAATCGCACGTGCCCTAGGGACGAGATGCAAATTGCCTCCAAATAAACGGTCATCTTCTTTTGATCAGATAAACTCAGTTACACTCGATTTCTGACGATTGTCGTCCCAAGTGGTGAGAATCGAATTGTTCGAGAAGAGGTCATATTACACTCTTACAGAGCATGCAGCATGCAGAGATCGACCGCACTAATGATGCTTGACCTCTCGGAGATTTCGCATTTTCAGTCCTAGACAGGGCCTGTCATACGACAAAGAGCAGGATCTACTGCTAATGTACGTAGTAATTAGTTATCAATCAAAAGACAAAAACAGGCGCCAAGGCAGAAATAAGGCAACACCGCTAGTCTGGCTGCTCCCCATTGACCGCCCCACTGTGGATTGTCCAACTTCAACATCAACAACATCAACATCGAGCTTCTCTTCTGATATAGCTTTTGGTCTCATGTTTGCTCCTTTTCTTGGTCGTTTATCGTTAGCTTATAGTTTTTGTGTCAATTAGATACTCTTGTCTGTGCCAATACCTGATCTTAGCTTTCATCTAGCTCTCGGAAAACTTCATCTCAACTACCTAAGATCTATCAATTCTCCAGATATTTGATCATATTTGCTTCATCTTATCAATCCTCGATCCCCCATCCAATCATTCCCGTCTAGAAGCGAGACTTACCTCGGAATATCTTGTCAAATCACAGTCTGTATGACTAAACCTGTCTAATGCATTCCTAGTTGATCAGGCTGCATTGGCTCAGCCTTGTGGGTTGGGTGTATATAGCCCACATAACTTCTGTCTCTGATTTATCTTCCACAAATTTGACTCTCAGCTGTTCGACTTTTTCCATCAAGCTTTTATCGAACCCCATCTCCTTCCCCGAATCTTGCGACTAATTTTCTGTGCGAGAGGACGCTACAGCATGTCTGACAAAGGCGGCCGCGGAGGCCGTGGAGGCCGTGGAGGTCGTGCGGGTGGTGGGGGAGCTCTTTTCCGGGGAGGCGGAGGTCCTCGTGGAGGAGGTTTCTCTGAAGGAGGGGAGCGCGGTCGAGGTCGCGGAGAATATCGTGGAGGGGCCCAGCGTGGTGACCGAGGCGGTCCTCATAATCTTCCCTTTCGGGACTCCTCACGCGGGGGTGATAGAGGGGGTAGAGGAGGACGAGGGCCAGCTGATTCCCGAGGTGGGCGTGGCCGTGGGCGTGGACGTGGCGACGCAAAGATCTACAAGTAAGAGTTCTTTGACTTGGCAGATCTTGACTAACATACCATAATAGTCCCGGGCCAGCCCCTCCATACAGCACCGTTATTTCTCAGAAAGAAAATGAAATCGAGAAATTTGTCCTCAAGGCCAAATCTGGCGCCAAAGGATCTGCACCTGGCGCCAACGTTCTTCCCCTCCGTCCTGGATACAACACCCAGGGCAATGAGATACTTCTCTATGCCAATTACATGGAACTTACCGTCAAAGGTAGTGTAAAGTGTCACAGGTATAGCATCGAAATTGGACCAGGCCCTGACAAGAAGGTGCCGTCGATCAAACGGTGCAAGCGTCTCGTTCAATTGCTACTTGAGGAACATTTTGCTGCTGAAAGAGGTCATATAGCTACGGATTCGCGTGCTAACATGGTTTCCTCCAAGAAACTTGACAAAATATCTGACGACGAGGAAAGCACAGATTTTCGTGTTCGCTGGAGAGCGGCAGATGAGACCCAATACGAAGAAAACCCAGATGTCTACACTGTCACGGTCAAGTACACTGGAATGATTGCAGTGTCCGATTTGATCGACTACTTGACCTCATCAAATGCAAGCGCTTTCTTCGCCAGTAAATCCGAATTTCTCCAAGCTCTGAACATCGTGGTCGGCGAACATCCGAAATCTCGCCCTGATATTGCGAGTATCGGTGCGAACAAGCACTTCCCTCTCAACCCTGGGCCAGACGATCGTTACTCACTTGGAGAGGGACTCGAGGTCATCAGAGGCTATTTTGTCAGTGTCCGTGCTGCGACTGCAAGACTCCTCGTCAATGTGCAGGTCAAAAATGTCGCCGTGTACGAGCGTGGCAGTCTGCCTAGCTTGATCGGGAAGAATCCTACGAGCAAATTCAACCTGGAGAAGTTTTTGAAAACCTTACGAGTTGCCGTTACCCACCTGAAGGATAAACACAAGAAACCGGTCCGACGCGAAAAGACTATCTGGGGTTTGGCTCGCGAGGGTGACGGGGCAAAGCTCAAGAACCGCGCTCCCAGGGGCGTGACAAAACAAGGTCAACCTCGACAGAAGATTCCATTTGGAGCTGGTCCAAATGAAATTGAGTTCTGGCAGGACAAGGCTGTGGAGCCAATGAAAGCGCCTGGTTTTATCACCGTCGCCTACTGGTTCAAAATTAGTTCGTCTACATATTACTGATTGATATTTTTGACCTACTAATTCTCGAATAATAGAGCACAAGATTGATGTTGATAACAGAATTCCTGTGATGAATGTTGGATCCCGTGACATGCCGTCGTATGTCCCAGCAGATGTATGTGAAGTGGTTTCGGGACAACCTGCAAAAATGAAGTTGTCTGCGAATCAAACGGCTCAGATGATCCGCTTCGCTGTGAGATCACCAGGTGAGAATGCGGACTCGATTGTCAACCAGGGTGCCCCTCTTTTGGGATTCTCACCGACAACAAACAACGTCTTGGTAAGTCGGCTAATAGTCAAAAGCGGACTGGTTTTCGTTTCGTTGATCACGATCTAATGCTCTCGAAATTCAGAAAGCCTTCGGCCTTGAACCAATCCCGAAACTCATCACAGTGCCAGGACGAACTCTGCAGGCTCCTGTTGTCACGTACAAAAAGCTTGATAGGAAGCAAGAGTTACGCCTTCAGCCAAAAGATGCAACCTGGAATTTGAGAGATGTTGTGTTTTTTGAGGCCAGACGCGTGTCTACACGATGGTCGTGGGTAGTCATCGACCCATTCACAACACACAAGAGATTCGGCGACGACGAGAAGGCGTGCATCAGGCGTATCGAGGAATGGGCTTCGAATATCCGCACTGCTGGAATCGCTATGGACTCCAGGCCGACTGCTCCTGGTGTGAATGTTGCGTATGTTCGAAACGAAAATCCTCAGCGAAAGCTGGATGCTGCGTTTGAAAGCTTGGTCAAGTACAGACTTGATTTCATTTTAGTGGTCTTACCAGGCCGTGAGACGGTTTTGTACAACACCATCAAGTATTTGTGCGATGTCAAGTACGGACTTTTACATGCTTGTGTTGTTGCGGACAAGTTCGCCAAGGGAGGTGCTCAATACGATGCGAACGTGGCTTTGAAGGTCAATTTGAAGCTGAACGGGACGAATCATGTTGTTGGAGGAACCCAGCTCGGTATAGTCAGCAAAGGAAAGACTATGTTGGTGGGAATTGATGTCACTCACCCATCGCCTGGTTCCGCTAGAGATGCTCCAAGTATTGCGGCTATCGTGGCCTCCGTTGGCAAAGACTTGAGTCAATTTCCTGCCCAGCTTCATGTGCAGGCTGGAAAGCAGGAGAAGGTCGATGCTCTAGATGTTCTACTCAAATCTCGTCTCAAGATCTGGCACGATATCCATGAGGAACATCCTGAGAACATTATCGTCTACCGAGACGGTGTCTCTGAAGGCCAATACGACATGGTCGTAACCGAAGAGCTGCCCCAACTCAAAAAGGCGTGCAGGGATATGTGCGGTAAGAAGCAACCTCGTATCTCCATCGTGGTAGTAGGCAAGCGCCATCATACACGTTTCTACGTGACCCAGGAGCAAGACGCTTCGAGGTCCAAGAACCCCCAGAATGGCACCGTTGTCGACCGCGGCGTTACTGAAGCGCGAGCATTCGATTTCTTTTTGCAGTCACACGCAGCCCTGCAAGGAACCGCCCGACCAGCACATTACATCGTCGTTCACGATGAGATTTTCGCGGGCATGCCAATCAGTGCTCCATTCACCAACTCTGCTGAAGTCCTTATCGACCTGTCCCACCGTCTCTGCTACACCTTTGGCCGCGCTACAAAAGCAGTCAGCATCTGTCCTCCGGCTTACTATGCGGATCTAGTCTGTGAGCGCGCCCGTTGCTACCTTCAAGATGTGTTCGATCCAAACGACACGAGCAGCGAGGCGTMAAGCCACAGTTTGGATACGAAACAGAGGATAGTGACGATCCATGACAAGATTAAGAACAGCATGTTCTACATCTAGTTATGTGATCGTCTGCTTTCCGCTTTCTATTGGGTACCAATTCCATAACCCGGAAAGTATGAAGAGGGAGATTGGACAAAGGTGGAAATTTTGGAGAATGTATGATTCATCTTTCGGATTCAGGTTTTGTTTGATTGAGTTGTATGTCGTCTATGATTTACGATGTAACGAGTCCATAATGAACAATTATTCTATACTGAGTCGAATGAGTCGAGTATAGGAGACGTATTGAACAGCCTGGTCGGATAATCACTACTTCTGTTCAACACATCATGTCTATAAATCCAGAACATAACATTTTACACCAGTGATATCCCTATGCATACACTCATTCACCCTACCAACCTATAACATTGGCCATTAACCACCACTCTTCAGAGGGAACAGTCTCAAGGCCTCCAATTATGCAAAACCCTCTCCTCAATGCCATCCAACAAACTGAAATACTCCATCACCTCCAAATTCTCCGCCTCGCTCTTGTACAACTTGTCCGGATCGGCGCCTGGCTGGAACGGGTTTGCGCCTGCGGCGGGGKTGGCCATTGCCATTTGTTGGGACATTTGGTTTGCCGCTGCAGGAGTCAGTATCGTGTACAGTGGGAAGGCAAAGGGGAGGGGAAGGGGGGGTTACCGTTATCGGCGCCGAGGATAAATCCAAAGATGGATTGGAGACCCATCAAATTCAAAAAGTACCATGACAGACTTGAAACCCAGCGCACGTCAAGATCGCGCGTGGCAACGCCCGATTGGAGCATGGATTTGAAGCGGATCGTGAGTGGGAAGGGTAATTTCACTATCTTCTCGTCAGTACACATCCTAAAGGAACTTCTGCGTAAAAGATCTAGAGTTGCAGTGGAGGGGGAGGGGATGGGGGCGTACAAATAACAAAACCCGAAAAAAACGCATTGATCCAACTCATAATCAACGTCTGCGGAATCATCATCATCATATTCCCCTTCATCATACCCATCATACCCTCCATAGCCGCTGGATCGGACATCGGGTTTGCGGGCGGTTGGCCACGATTCTCGGGATCCTTGAGGAATGCGCCATTTTGGTAGGCTGCGATCAAATATTCCTTACGGGATGAGAAGCCTTCTGCTGTTAGGACGGAGGGCGCGTTGGTGCGGAGGTTTACGCCGTGGATTAAGGCCAGGCGTTCGCGGGATTCGAGGAGGGTGGATGCGGGTTTGGGGGGTGAGTTCATGAGGACTGTTGCGTAGTGGCGGAGGATACCGGTCAATATCTGTAAGATGTTAGCGACTTTTTCACAAGTAGATATGATGTCTAGGTATGTACCATGACAATTGTGATGGGAATCAGAATCCAGTAACTTCATTCAGTCGAGTAACGTCAGTCAGTCTCATCCACTAGGTTTCCTGCGGAATGAGATACTCACAAAAGAGCTGGATCGCGAACGATCGTCTGCTCTAGACCTTGAACAGCCATGTTGAAGCACTGCGTATGACTACTGGATGCAATGCTGTGTGTTCTCGTTGGGGTTGGCGAGGTGAGGTTAAAGATCGGATCAACTTCGTACTTAGAGCAGGTTAGGATCCACTTTAGCGGGAACAAGCTGAGCCGTTATGGCATATGGACAGCTCGCCGCAACTCTTATCTACAACACAATATTTCCTACTACACAACTTTTTCAACATTTACATAGTTCGGACTTGCGATTTTCAGCGAATCTTTCGTTCTGACCAAAAAATGGCATCCGCATCGCCCAAGGTGCCCGTCTACTCTCTCAATGGTTCGAGCCACCTATCATCCCTCCACATAAACAACTCAACTAACACTCTATTCAAGACCTAAAAAGCACAACCGACGACGCCTTCACACCATACCTTTGCACCCTCCCTCAACCCTACACCTTCACGCGCGACAACTCCAAAACCACCATCCGCTTCATCCTAGGTTATACTGCCGTCGCAATCGCCGGTGTCACGTTCTATCTGGACCGCCAATTGGGCTGGGAAGCCACGGAGGCAGTATGGGTGAAATGGGCTGTTGGAGTTTATTTCTTGCTGAATACGTTACTGCAATACTGGATTTGGGCGGTGGAGGCTGGGGAGGTGTTTAGGGGTGTTAGGCGAGATGGGAATGCTGTGAGTATCCTCCCCCCTTCTTTCTCGTTTCTTCGCATGGAGATATTACTGACTTTGACTTGTTTGAAGATATCAATCCAATCCCTCACAAAAAAGCACAGTCCCATCTACAAAATCAAAGTTCAATACGCCTCCCCCGCCGGCAAAATCTATCAGCGCAAGGAGATCGAGTCTCCGTTCACGGCATGGTTTTCGGCGAATGGAACGTTTCATCCAGAGCCGTTCAGGGCTTGGCTTGCGAAGGAGATTGATATCCTGAAAGAGGCTGAGACGGAGACGCTCAAAAAGACTGGTAATGTTTCTGCGCATGTCGGTGTTGTGGAGGAGTCTGTTGGCAGTAGTAAGAAGGGAAAGGGCAAGAAGAAATAGTCATTTCATGCATATGAGACTTGGGTATGAATGGGGGGAGCAGCATGACTGTGTTGGATTACCTCTCAAAGGAGCATCTATGTATGGGGGTTAACAAATTCAGCGTGATTAGTCTAAATATAACGTTACTCCATTTTTCATTAATATACAACATCATAAAACATAACTCATTCTAACGCAACATCTAATTTGAAGTAAGAAATATCTATGCTTTCGAAACCGCGCGGTTCTGAACAATTCTCTACACCAGATATTAGCATATATCAACTTCCTCCGAGAGAAGGAACTTACCAATAAATTCCTCAACAACACGACGATAGTGACTTTGCCAATCGACGGCACATAAATAGACGCCTTCTCCTTTACTTCCGGTCCGAAATTCTTCTCACTCGAAAAATTAATACATACCGCTCCACCTCTCAGCAACGATGTATCGAATTTGTATCCATCCCCAGGAACACCGGTAATAACCACATCGCACAACGGCGCAGCATCCTTGATGGTCCAGCCTTCCATATCCTCGACCTCGTGTCTTCGCTTTTTCAGGCCTTCACCGCGAGTGAATTTTTGGACGCCTGTGACGTCGACGCTGTAGACGCATGCGCCGTCATTAGCCAGTAAGGCAGCGAGTGGTCGACCGACGACTTCAGATCTGTTCACGACGCAGATCGTGTGTCCGTGCAACCTGTTTCCGTAGGGGAGGATGGTGTTGTACACCCTCAGATACTCCAGAATCTTCACAATCGCAAGCGGTGTGCATGGCAAGATCGATTTCTGAGTTCCGCCTTCACCACTTCCTTTGTCTGTCGAGACATTCTCATCCAAAAATCGGATGTTTTGGTACATATTAAACACATAGCGATGACTCAGCCCCTCGACATCCTTGGATACGTCCACGATTTGTTGCAGATACTGGTCCTGGCGGTTGTTGAAGATTGGGTAATACACGATTATGCCGTCAACCGAGTCGTCGGCGTTGGCGGCTAGGATGGCTTCTTCAATTTCTTCTTTGTCGACGTCGCGGCGGGKGTATTCGAAGCCACTGGGACACAAATCAGGATGCTATTCAATGCGAAAGAGAGGACAAAAGGGATGGTACTTCTCGTGGCAGGTCTTCTCTGTCCAATCCGCATACATGCGCGCAGCAGGATCTGCGTTGGCCAAAAATCCGACGAGATGCGGTTTCTTGCCTAGCGTTTTGAGGCCGTCGTGCACTTCTTGTAGGAGGCCATTGGCGATGTTTTTGGCCAATACGACCTTGCAGCTAGGTGCTTCTGCAGCCATTGCTATAGATATGCTCGAGGAAGAAACAAAGAGAAGAAATGGATGGTCGTGAATTAGGTGAACGCGGGGTGAGGGAAATTCAAAATAAAATTTTTGGCGCGGGCCAATCTTATCGCGGCCAATATGACAGCATCGATCCGATCCCGGCGGGAATCCCCCTTCCGATATACAAGCATATGTTCAACGAGTGTTATGACTCATTCTAGAGAATAGTAAGGTAAACAATCAAGAATAATATTGGCATAGAATACAGGTAAAACAATGCTGAACGACAAAAGAAACAAACAATTGATCTCGCTTTTCAAATCTGCGCATCCGCCCTATCGACCCAAGTATAAGATTCATATAGTTGAACGATAGACAATGCAGTAACCATACACCGACAGCCCGTCAGGCAATGCAGGACAAACGTTACAATGGACGATGCGAGTATTATTCGTCTTTCGGAGATAGATTATTCGCTCTCGGAGATAGTGGAACAAAAGAAATTACTGGTCTCAAATTGTACACAAGCTATCTTGTCTATACACAGATAGTGTTAGGAATATGACAATACATGAGGGCATTATATCACAAACACCCCGGAATCTTTTTGCGGCTGCTCACCTATGAGAAGCTCTTGTTGAACTCAACAATGATATCCTTGAGCTTGGCCTCGAGGTCCTTGCTGAGTTGACCTTCCTTGTCAATGGTCTGGAGAACCTCGGACTGGTTGGACTTGAGGTAAGCAGTGAAGTCCTCCTCCCACTTCTCGATCTTGGCGACAGGAATTTTGTCAAGGTGACCGTTGACACCAGCGAAGATAAGAGGAACCATCTCGCTGACACCCATGGGAGAGTACTGCTTCTGCTTGAGAAGCTCGGTAAGACGCTCACCACGGTTCAAGGTCTGCTTGGTGGAGGCATCGAGATCGGAACCGAATTGAGCGAAAGCAGCGACTTCACGGTACTGGGCCAAGAAGAGCTTGAGGGAACCGGCGACCTGCTTCATGGCCTTGACCTGGGCAGCGGAACCGACACGGGAGACAGAGAGACCGACGTTAATGGCGGGACGGATACCCTTGTAGAACAATTCGGTTTCCAAGAAGATCTGACCATCGGTAATGGAAATGACGTTGGTGGGAATGTAAGCAGACACATCACCACCCTGGGTCTCAATAATGGGGAGAGCAGTCAAGGAACCGCCGCCGTGCTTGTCGTTGAGCTTGGCGGCACGCTCGAGAAGACGGGAGTGGAGGTAGAAAACGTCACCGGGGTAAGCCTCACGACCGGGGGGACGACGCAGCAAGAGAGACATCTGACGGTAAGCCACAGCCTGCTTGGACAAGTCATCGTAAATAATGACGGCGTGGCGGCCATTATCACGGAAATACTCTCCCATCGCGGTTCCTAATGAATAATAGAGGTTAAAATATGTTGGTAAAATGCAAATGCAAATTCGCAGTCAAAAAAACGTTGTGGATAAAAGTTGGTAGGGTTAGGGTTAGGCGGACTCTACAGCGGCAAATGCCTCATCGGCAGCGCAATGGCTCCTGGTGGCATGTTTCTGCAAATGGGCGTCCAGCCCAAATGCCTTGTCGCAAAGCGCAATAGCGCAAGATCTTCGCAAAGACAGATCGAGTTCCGCCAGATTGGGAAGCAACGACAAAAAACGAGATAAAATCGAAATAAGGGAAAAAATAAACTTACCAGTGAAGGGAGCAAGGTACTGGAGAGGAGCGGCCTCAGAGGCAGTAGCAGCAACAATGATGGAGTACTTCAAGGCATCGTTCTCCTCAAGGGTCTTGACGAGCTGAGCGACGGTGGAACGCTTCTGACCGACGGCAACGTAGACACAGTAGAGCTTCTTGGACTCATCGTTGGTGGCGTTGATGCGCTTCTGGTTGAGGATGGCGTCAAGAGCGACGGCAGTCTTACCAGTCTGACGATCACCAATAATCAACTCACGCTGACCACGACCGATGGGAACCATGGAGTCGACGGACTTGAGACCAGTCTGGACAGGCTCGTGGACGGAACGACGAGGCAAGATACCAGGAGCCTTGAGCTGAGCACGAGCCTTGGCCTTGGTGTTGAGAGGACCTTTTCCATCAATGGGGTTACCAAGACCGTCAACGACACGGCCCAAAAGCTCAGGACCAACAGGGACATCGACCTATAAGAATTAACATTGGCCCATCCGAGGTTAGGTGAGGTAACGTACAATCTCTCCGGTACGGCGAACAGTCTCACCCTCCTTGACGAGACGGTCAGAACCGAAAAGCACAACACCGACCTGGCCGGCTTCCAAGTTCATGGTCATGCCCTTGACGCCAGAGGCGAATCTGTCGTCGTTAGTTGGCAACATCTCAAAAGAGCTTCAAAGTGGATATCACTTACTCGACAAGCTCCTCGGCCTGGACATTGTTCAAACCGTGGACACGGGCAATACCGTCACTATCCAAGTCAGCTTAAAGATCTCATTGCGTCGCAGTAATATCCAGCATGGATATGATTGATAATCCCGGATTTTGTGGTGACATACCCGACGGAAAGGACACGTCCAGTCTCGGCAAGACCAGCTTCCTCCTGAACACCACGGATTCTCTGCTCGAGGATCGAGGAGACCTCAGTGGGCGAGGCCTTAGCCTCGGCGGCATATGAGCGGACTTGTTTGGCACCGGCAGCGAAGGGAGAGGGAGCAGCAACGCGAGCCTACAAGCGACGGAAAAAATTTGTTAGCGACGGCGCAACCCCATGAAAACGCGCTAAAACAATTGCAATCATCCATTGAGATGCCATATAATCCATGAATAATCAAATCGGGATCGAATTGGCCATCGAGTGGGTGGATTGGGTTGATGAAAAAATATACGTATAGGTTCATCACGGTCGGCAGCGGCTGGAATGGACTGGGAAGTCGGGAAAGGGATTGTACTCACCGAAGCGAGTCTGCCAGAGACGGAGACAGCGGCCACGGAGCGGCTCGATTGCCGCAAAGCGTTCCTGAACATTGTGTGTATATGGAGTTCAGAAAAGAGTCGGGGGAAGGTCTTTTCTCTGAAGAGAGAGATGGGTTAATTGGAGGAGGATGGAGAGTGGTAGAAGGGAAGGGGAGAAGAGAGGTTTGTGGTGGACGGGAGAGCTTTGCCAGCAGCCAGCCAGCGGTTGCCAGGACGAGCGCTAAACCCGGTTGGCTCGAGTGGTCCAGCACCTCCGACTCCGCCCTAGTGTCCGAGAACACCCTGCCTTGCTGGTTCTTGAATGTTTACTACTTGATATAATTACTTTATGAGTTTTTCAATTAAAATAACATATATGTATCTCTACATAGACATAGATATATTGATTCAGTCGTGTTTGTATCATCCGGACTGCCGGTGTTGCGGCCACTTGTCCAGCCGGGTCATTTCGGCTGCTCAGAATTCGTGAGCTGCTGACTCAGCGCTGGGCAACGGGCCAGGCAATAAGGCACCAATCTTCGTCATGTTTACTATGCAGGACGCAGCAGTACCTGGTGGTGACATAATTGTTTACGATAATTTGCTATCCATACCTCACCTGAATAAATTGGAGAATTTGGATAATTGAATCAAATTGATCGTATCGCCATAAAACGCCTTCATCGCCAAAACGCACATGTGTTCAAGCTAAACACGGTCAAATCAAGCCCAATGCAACTCACGCTGTACTTCATCAACAGGAACCCATAGCCACTCAGATAGTCAATGGCCATTCCTACCAGAATCCGAGTCCAGTATCCCATCTGGACAGAACCATCAGCATCTTCTCGTGACCTCGTATCCACACTCCGCATATTTCGAGGCTATTAAGCCGTAGTCCTCCAGAGCATCTTATCAACCACTTCACGCAGACCAACGACATCCTCGACTGCCACTCATTCAATGCTCACTTATTCTTCCCCCCATTCAACTGCGCAATCTTCTTCTGCACCTCCGCCTCCACCCTCCGCTGCAACTCCGGCCGGTATCCAAACATAAACAAATACTCCAAAAACACAAACAGCGGCGCCAAAAACAGCGCCTGAAACAGATTATCCAACAATGCCGGCGATCGTCCCTCGTAGGCTCCATGGCCAACAAATTGGGCAATCCATGCGACAATGAAGATTCCCGAGGACCAAGAAGTGGCAGTCGCGCCGTAGGTCATGGTTAGGTAGTTCATGTAGGCGGCGGCACCTAACAGAGTAGGAACGCATACGAGACCGACGACAGGTTCGAGGAGGACGTAGCCTAGGGCGTAGATGAGGGACTGGATTGTGCCGGCGTTGAGGGGAAGGTATTTGTATTGGAGAAATTCCGGTAGGGGTATGAGTGTCGGTGTGTTTGAAAGCTGTGATGCGTGAGTATGCAAATCCGCTTGAGATACAAGATGGAAGGAGCTTACTATTTGGATACTAGTGATGAGGATGATGGGAACGAAAATCATGTGTATACGGATGTTAACCTGTAGGACGTTTGTGAGACGACTGCGCACAATGACAACACGTTGAAAACCATACCGGATTGTGGTGGTAAGCGCCATACTAATGGAGAGTCAGCAGCGATCCTTTGATATCAACGTATTTCGTATTTGTAGGGAGACTCACAAAGACGAGCTGTTTCTCGAGGTCCAAAGCCATCATTATGGAACGTTTTGCACGTGGAGCTGCAATCCCCAACGACCGACAATAGGTGATAGATTGTGCTTCAGAGAACGGTGATTTGATCTTAAAATATCAATCAGTTAAAATAGTAATATAGCTCTCAACGTTTCCGTTGGATCTCGCGACGCTGCAGATCGTTGCGTGGTTGTCGAGACGTTGCTGTCTGGCCGGTTGGGTGTCGTTGCATGATACTGCTACGTAATGGACAACTTAACGAGTCCGCTGTACACAGTATGCCGAGGTGATTTCCACCAAACAAATGTTATCCTATCCCCCGCACTCGATTTATGCTAGAATATGGGGTTATATGACACGGATAACCAGCCAGGCATTAAGCCAGAGCCGATTGATATGATCAATTGATTGATTTAGTTTGAGCCTGTCACATGGAGCATATTTTATGCTGGTATCGCAATCTATCTTTTGTGACATTTCGAACATGATAGATATCCATATCGATCTTCCCGTCGTCGTCCACAATGCAGATCTATGTAATGCGAGATTTACCTGACTATGACTAAATTACATACGTTTAGCTATTCAGCGCGATCCAAAATAATTGTAGTTCATAGAGTCGTGGCAGACCATTTGACTTTTGGTGTGGCTAAAGGGCCAGGCAACATAGGTGGGCCGCAGGTCATGTGATCGCATATGGAAAGCAGCTCGGAATCCCGCGTTGGAGGATCGAAAGCTCAATCACTTCACGACAACGACTCAGCAGACGTGACCGGTGACATTCATCGCAGGCGCAGCACAAAGGAGACTTGCCTCTCGATAAGACAGACAGAAAAGTTCCTACGACAAGAATACCTGTGTCTGTCCGTCGTTGTCTCCATGTCTTTAGTCTAAAGAGCTCTTTTCACTCGCATTGCCTTTGGACATGCTGATCTTGGCCGGTTCCTTCTTTTGATTTTGATCAAGAGCTATCGCAAAACGAGTAATCCTTGATTCTCGAATACGCTCATTTCTACCGAGGAAACCTCCTCGAAAGCAGAGAGAATGTTCTTCCTCAAAGAGGAAACCAAGGTCGTCACCCTGCACCCCTCCTTTTTCGGACCCAATGTCAAGGAATACCTCATCAACCGCCTGAACGAAGAAGAAGAGGGACGATGCACGGGTGATCATTTCGTGATTTGTGTTATGGACATGGTGGATATTGGCGACGGGCGAGTGATACCGGGTAGTGGACAGGCAGAATATACCATCAAATACCGCGCGATCATATGGAAGCCTTTCCGAGGGGAGACAGTATGTTTCCTTCTACCTCGTCGTCATCGTTTTATTCTAATTGGTGTAGGTCGATGCTATCGTGACTTCGGTCAAACCTACCGGTATCTTCACACTCGCTGGCCCTCTGTCAGTATTTATCGCGCGAAAAAATATACCTTCAGATATCAAATGGGAGCCTGGCACCGTACCGCCCCAATATACAGATCATGCAGATCAGGTTATTGAGCGCGGGACGAGTCTGCGGTTGAAGATACTGGGTGTGAAGCCGGACGTGTCTGCGATTAATGCGATTGGCACGATTAAGGAGGATTATCTTGGGTAAGACATGCGCATGATTGAGATGGATTGTTACTGACAATAATATAACAGCACTCTCTAAGACTTCCCCATTTTATAGAGATTAAATCATCTCCCTCAGCCTTCATCGTCATGCCGATACGTACAGGCGATTGTCCTACGGAGATGGCGCATGCCTACTTCTACGAGTCGAAAAGAATCAACAACTCAGGTAGGGTGTCAAAATACGGCACTTGGAGTAAGCTTCAAAGTACAAGGACGCAACCAGATACTTAAACAAAAGGCGCTAAGGATATCAGATAGGGAACATTCTGTATCTTTACCCAACAAGACAACAAGACACAGCTGGATGAATCAGCGGACTAAGTTGCACTCACGGTGCATCACAGAATTGGCATAGTTACCGTACATGAATACAATACAGTATGAGTCAGTTCACGTGCTCTGACAACTGTTTCGTAGTTACAGTAACATAAGAGAGGCTAGAAGGGAGTGGGCCATGCGCTCCTCTAATAAGAATTCTAGAATGGCGATTAGACCCGGGCAGTTTCAGGACGGAGAATATGCAGCGCAACCATGTGAAGCATTGCAGCCTACATGAATCAGTACAATGATCTGTGGAGTCAATCGATTGAATCAATTGCATTCTGAATAGTGAATACTGACAAAACCAGATTGTGGCCAAACAATATCAGCCATCTTCTTCTAGAAGAATTGTTGTACCAACTACGTGCTATAGTAAGAGTAAGGGTAGTGGCAACCCTACTAGCGCAGTAGACTAAAGATGAAACACTGGTACCCTTGCTTAGTCCCTCCCTGCCATAGATTATCGCAACAACGGCCCCAGGTGTTGGACGTACCGCGACAGTGCTACTGCAGCAGGCAGGTGCTCCGTCCAGTATGCGGAGCGTAAGACTACGGGTAACAAAATAAATAGAGAAACGCGTGGAGAACTGAGTAAGAACTTAGAAGATGTTTCCTGACTCCTGTCGCAAACCAAGGGTTCTAGCGGAGCGCGAACCAAACATTCGAGCAGATTAACCTTTTAAGTATAGATACAAACAATTGTTTTCTTCTGACTCGTCGTCTTCTTCTTCTGTCTCACTCCCTCATTCCTCTGCCATTGTTTACATCTGCAGCCCGCAGCCTCGGCATCCTCCATCTCTCTCTTACATCTCCTCTCTCGCATAACATTCAACTGAACACTTGGAACAGTCGCTCATTGATCTGTTCTCTGTTCCGCTGATTGTTTACCTACCCCGCCTTACTTCTTAGTTGCAAAGCGTCAGGAATCTGTTCCTACGAAGTCGATCGACATGGCGCTCAAAGCAGTCTACGAGCGATTCCTCTCGACGCCAACCTCTAGCGTCCTCAGCCCCGATGTCTCACTCAATTACATCACGACTACAACCTCAATCACGGGCAGCGAACAGGTCATCAAGCATCTGAGCAACCAGGAGAGAGCAGTTAAGAAAAAGGGAGACAAAATCCTCAGCATTGTCGAGACCCCGGATACTGTTGTCCTGGACGTGGAGACTACACTGGAGTTTGTGACTGGGGGCGGGGCTTATCTGTCTTCGTTGGACGATAATTTCCTGGCCGACCGCGTGGTGACTTTTCCGACGGTACGTGTGTTTATACGTGTGCATATGCCATATGACCCTTGCTGATGATTGCAGATTCACATTGTCCGCTTTAATTCGCAAACCCAGATCCAACAGGTTAGAATCTACTGGGATCAGGGCTCGCTCCTGAAACAAGTCGAAGTCATCGGTTCTCGAGGAAAGAACTGGCCTATTCGCGATGCCAAGGACCAGTCGAAACTGATTGTCAACGTAGCAACTGCGCAGGGTATTACCACACCTCCATCCCAAGAGCAGGTCCCCGTTGCAGTTGCAGCAATTGGAAAAGCGCGTGGTTCGTCCAGGCCTCCTTCACGCGCTCCCAGCGATATCTTCCCTGGTAGCGACGACGCTGAGAACGAGTCCACTCCACGGGCACGCGATAGCATCATTTCGCCGCGCGCTGGTTCTACGAAACATTTCCGCCCTGTCCGTGTGTTTGGTGGTGAAGACGACGACGAATACGCCACTACAAGTCCTATCAAGCCCAAGATTGGCTCCAACAAGGGATTCCAGCCCGTGCGCGTATTTGACGTTGAGCAAGATGACACCGAAGCCGCTCAGCAGCCACGAGCCGGATCAACCAAGAACTTCCAGCCCATTCGCGTCTTCGACCTAGGTGAAGATGGTGCCGAGCCCGAAAAGGAGCGTCAATACAAGACCCATCCTCAAAAATTCAACCATTTCGAGATAGGCGCCGAAGCCAATGCTGCCCGCGAAGTCAAGGATACTCCGGCGGTTCGCTCACGACCCATGTCTCAATGGGACTTTGAGGGTTTCTATACACCCGAGAAACCGCGTCAAAAGCTTCGTGCGCAGGACGTCCGTCATTTCGGTTGGAGTGACAATGAAGAAGAGAACATCGAAACGCCTCCAGTCCGTCCACGAGTCGTCCAACCACGCCGTGACGCAGAGACTCATTTTCTTCTCGACGAGACGGACGATGAGAACAACAAGCCTGCACCGCTTCACCCAGGCAAGCGCGTGATTGGGTCATTTGGCAACAAAGGTCAAACTTTGTACGACAACAACGTATACGACGAAGAGCGCAATCCGACCCCCAAGCAACCCCTCGGCACTGTCGTCAACAACATCCATCGTCGGAAGGATTTTGATTCCCACTGGGAGGTTCGTGATCCAACTGCATCGGATATTGCGGCTGCATCTGCAGAGGAGAATATTGGTAGCAGACCCGTGAGCAGCGACCGCGTCAAGGCTGTCAAGATGATGGAATCTTCGTGGGATAACTTTGATGAGAATGATGATGAGGCGAAGAATAAGACCACTACCGCGTTGCCGAAGAGGGCTAGTCGGGCTGTTAACCAGCCTAGTTGGTCTCTTGGAGATGAGTGATGTGTCAGATGAAGGTTTTTTTCCGTTGAAACTGATCTCCAGGTTCATTGATTGAGTCGATTCGATATTAAGATTCTGTCTGTGTATACAATATTTTCACTTTTGTCACTTGTCTTTTTCCTCTACTTGTGGTTTTCTCTTCTCTTTGTTAAAAAAACATCCATGTCAATTAATACCCCGGGTGGATTCTGTTCAAATCGAACCAAATCTAACAACTGTGTTCATGTGTACGAACCTTGGAAGTAGTCGATAGATATTCAAAGTTCAAGTCGTATTCATTTCAGTATTATTCGGTGTTGCCTATATACCCGGACCCGAACGCCAAGTCATATATATATATATATATACATTTATATATCCCTATGATATCCATAATTTTATAATTAACCCAGTCGATATGATGACTACAATAGGTATACTACTTAATTACCAATATTGGGATTACTCATCAATTGTAGGTAGAAAAACTGTCATGCGACAAGAATATAAAAAAGAGCCATGTATGTACAAAATCATTCCCTAAGACCAGCTTGGGCTAAAGCTCGTAGCCGCGATATATCCCCAAGTCCAACGAATCCAAAACGAAACCCAAGAAATCAAGTAATCGGTTGTCGCATCATAAAGATAATTCATAAATCCAAACTAACCTCGCTCATTTATAATTAATAACCCCCTTGAGAACCCAAACATTCCCATTTGACACTTCCGAAGCAGTGCTATCAACCTCAATATGACCAGGTTCAATCTATCACATTATCGTTAGCAACCATGCAACCCAACAATTTCAGGTCCCGAAAGGAGTAAGAAATGAGAAAGACCTACAAAAACAGTACCCCCCTCCTTATGCCAACTAACCTTCCCACCACCAACGGTCTCAACCTCCTCCCCTTCCCTCCACGGACTCACAGGTACCAAATGCGCCTCCACAAACTTCTGCAAATTCCTCTGCGCCCTATCCCTGCCTTCATCCCCTCTATAAGCTTCTGCTGTGCCGAATTTGTCGTAATCTTCCGGATCTTCCCATGGTTTTCTAGGCAAAGCGTTTATGGCTGAGTTCAATGGTGCAAGAACGGTCGTGTTTTGGGCTTTGTCGCTCAAGCGGGTTGTAATAGGATAAAAGTCGCGGGTGAGGGAGGCGAAGACGTTGATTTTGGGTGTTTTGACGAGGAGGTCGGAGACGATTAGATTCGATGTGTCGCCTGTGACGGGAGGCATGGTGATGACGTTTTGAGTTGAAGAGTCGCTATCTGTTGGGGCTGTGTCTCCGTTGTCGTCAATAAAATCGAGAACCTCAATTTTAAAGGGAGGCTGCTGCTGCTGCTGCTCGCTCGATATGTGCCTACCACCGCAAGGCAGAAACTCCCACTCTCGTAATGCCAATACAGCAGTGTCGGCGACAGAGATGACGAGCCAGGCGAGTGTCAAGCTCAGTATTGTAGCGTATATAGCCAGTTGGATATTCTGGACGGAATTCTTCATTGTGTCGAGTTGCTCGACTTCGACTTCGACGAATCTGATTAAGAAGCCGGTTTCGATAAGGTTGGTTGATATGACGCAAATCACTTTGGCGTCGTCTCTGATGTATCACGTGATATCAGCACCCCTCATCTAGATACCATTTTAATACATATAACCATGTAATTATAGCCTCATTCAGGAGAATAGATCATTAATGATAATACTAAATTCAAGATAAGGTGTGTCTTTGATTTGAATCGACCCACGTGACCTTATCGATAACAATTGCGGCACCGGATATCGGCCACAGAAAAAGAGGGACATCTCAACCACTCAACATACAATCTGATAGATCAGTACCAGCAAGATGTCGGCTTTGCAGACATTCATGCTGACGGTGGACCGCGACAAGCAAGCTGCCATCGCAATCGCTGAACAAACCGCTCAAGGTAAGCCAATCACCACTTATGCGTAAGGGGAAAGACTAACAAAAAAGATGTCGAAAACAAGCAAACCACCCTAATCGACGTCGTGCAATCCCTCGGCGAATACATAAACTACGACGACGCCATCATTCGCGGAAAAGCTGTTTCGTATCTGGCGGCTGTTGTCAAGGCGTTCTCGCCGAAGTTTTTGACAAGGCAGCAAGTGCAAGTCTTAACGACGTTCTTTTGTGATCGGATCGAGGATGGAGGGGCTATTACGGGGTTGGATACGTTGCAGAGGTTAGATAGGTTTACGAGGGATTTCGCGCAGGAGGTTGCACGGGCGTAAGCTCCTTTTTGCTTATTGTTGAAGGATGAGGGGTTGACTGACGTGGTTTAGGATATTCGAGCATTACAAGGAGTTGCAAGCACGAGCTCAGTCGCAAAGATATCAGATATATCAATTGGTCAACGGATTGATGGAGAATCACCGAACAGGTGCGTAACATAGTACGGTTTTGTAAAGGTTCATTCTGACGACAGTAGCTCTCCACGATCTGGGCGACGAATCTCTCGTCGGTATTGTGGATTTGATGACCGGCGAGAAAGATCCGCGCAATCTCATGCTTGTCTTTTCTATCCTAAAGGTGCTCATGGTTGAATGGGACATAACGCACCATGTCGAAGTGAGTCGTGCTCCTTCAAACAGACTGATCAAGCTAATGTCGACAGACGCTTTTCGATTCCGTGTATAATTACTTTCCGATTACCTTCAAGCCTCCCCCGAACGATCCATACGGAATCACGGCTCAAGACTTGAAGGACCGTTTGCAGGCTTGTATAGCTTCGAACTCATTGTTTGCGCCTCATGCTTTCCCTTCGTTGATTGATAAGCTTGATTCTACGTCGAATAATGTCAAGGCAAGCCAACCAATTTCTCTTCAAATAGCATGATGCTGATTTTATTAGCGAGACGCGTTGAATGCTTTAGTCGCCTGCATAAAGTCTTACGACACCAACACAGTATCAAGATATTCCATCCAAGTCTGGGACGCCGTCAAATTCGAGATTCTAAACGTACAGGAAGATTTCTTATCTGAGATGTCCCTGAATGTTTTGAAAGTAATTGTCAAACGACTATCCGAACACACCACACAAGTCTCGCAAGAAATGCCACTTGCCCATTTCCTCAAACCAATCATTCAAGAATGCAACGAACAACTCCGCGAGCCTCAAGCCAAACAAGCCAAACCCGCGCGGGAAATCATTCGACATGTATCTTCCGCGTCTATTCCTGCATTTGTTCTCGTCATACAATCCGTTGTTGCACCCCTGTTCACAATCTATCAAGAAGCAGACTCTATTGCCAAGCAAAGAGCGTTTTTAGAGACATATGTCACTTTGCTGGATTCTGCTATCGATCTGTACGGGACGTGGGCCGACAAGGGTTTCACGCAGCAATTTGAGAATCCATTGACTGCATTTCAGGATCAGTTCACCGAGGTGTTTAGTCAAGCATTGATGGGTGCTGCCAAAGAGGAGATCTCTTTCCGGCAAACCGCATTACAAGGTCTGTTGCGCTTGTCGACGCTCCGCAACTTCTTCCAGGACAATGAGATCGGTCTATTCGTGCAGTATCTCGATGAAATCCTCCTCAAAGAGGAAGTTGTCGGCTCTGGCGCTCTGAAAAAGGATGCCGTCTCCGCACTTGCGGAACTCTCGCGATACAAATCGAACATCATCATGGAGATCACATTGCCAGCTTTCATGGCTACACTTCCTGACCAAGATGATGGCTCAGATCTGAAATATATAACCACGCTGGACACATTGGCTCAGATCAGCGGACAACGAAACATTTTCGAGACGTTAGTCAGACGGTTGTTGAATAAACTGGACCTGCTGTTGCAGGGCGATAGTTCTCATCCTCGATATGTCAGGATTATTCTGCTGACAATCATCCACGCCATGGAGAAGAAACGAGATGACACGCAAAGTTTCAGTCTTGACAGCTACTATGACCGTATTGTGGTCGGACTATCGAAAAGGGCAGCATTAGCCTCGACAAAAGACTCTTCGAAAATCCTGCGCGATGTCTCTGTCTTGGACACACTAGGCCGACTCTGCACGCTCATCGTGCGAAACATTTCACGCGAGAATGAAGATCAAGTTGCGCGAAACATTTACACACTTTTTACTGCTGAGACAGACGCCTTCCAACCCGTCCCGTTCTCGCAAACGAGCAATCAAAATCAAAAACGCACAATGATCCTATCAACACATTTGCTCGCTGGTCTACCGAAAGACACCACCAACCTACCCTACAGCACCACCGACCCCGGTGACACCATCACTTTACTCAACGACCTGGTACACCTCGCCGAAACCACTACCTCCTCAGCCGACGAAGCAGCCATCCAACTATCCATCCACCGCCACATCGCCCTTCTCATCAACAAATTCCTCCCGACCTCCTCCCTCCCCCTCGCCACCTCATTTCTCACCCAAACCTTCCCCTCAACCCTCGAGAGTATCAACAACGGCATTCCCCCCAACCGCATAAAAACACTATTCTGGCTCGCAAAGTCCCTCGCCCTCCGCCTCGCGCCATCCACATCCTCAATCCTCTCTCAGCTTTTGTCATTACTCTCCTCCGCCGACCCCAAAACTAGCTCAACCGCCGCCCGCGGCTTCTCCCTCATCTTGAGCGCAGATGACGTCCTGAGCACCACAAACGGCGCAAATATTCGCTTACTATCAAAACAGCGCGTTTTCAGCATCGTCGTGCCCATGATCAGCTCCAATTTCCGCTCCCTCTCCACCACACCGGGGGTAAATGCGCATATAAAACCAGCATACCTAACCGCTCTCTCGGGAATTCTAACGTCTATCCCGCCCTCCCTCGTATTACCGGAATTACCATCTTTACTACCGCTTCTATTACAATCCCTCGATTTGTCAACAGACGCCTCGACGTCGCTGCCTGTGAAACAGGCAACGCTCCACACATTCTCAGTGCTGATCCGCGACAACGGCGGCGCGAGCGTAATCGATGCGACGGGACACATCTCCGAGCTCGTGAAACGTCTCCTCCGTACCGCGTCTCTGGCAATAGCCAAGAAAGAAGGAGTCCCGACGGCAGGAAAAGTAAGAGAGTTGGCGTTGAAATGTTTGTATCTTCTCGCTACATCTTCTTCCCCGGCAGGCTCTACTGCCGGCGTAGAGGATGTGGACGTCGCGCTCGCAGCGGCTATCAATCGGCCGACAGGCTCAAAAACTTCGACTGCGACTGCGGCAGGAGTATCGCCGCTCTTACCGGTTAAGAATATGGTCTTGAGGGAGTTATTGGCGATATTGGATGATCCGAAGAGAGATGTTAGAAAGGCAGCTGTTGATGCGAGGGCTGCGTGGTTGAGGGGTGTTGAAGACGCAAAAGAGGAGGATGAGTAGATTCAATCGACCGATCTTGAAAGGTATATATTAGAGGTGGAAGAAAAGTTTGGGTTATATTATACATAGCATGTTAGAGGAGTGGATAGAAGTGATAGATGGGGAGTGTCATTCTTGTTAATCTAGAGTTGAAGTGAATACAATGTGATCAACACCATTGAAATAGACTGACGAAACAGTTTCAAGATCAAGTAGCCTCAATCCCAGATCTCCTGCAAAATATTTATCAAGGTAATAGCCGTATTCAGGTTAAATTACCACATCGCCAATTCTCATGCGATCCAAAATAACCTTTGCTAGTCGATACATGCCCCCCAATCCCGCATCACCAACAAACTGAGCGACTTCGCTCGATTCATACGCCACGTCCTTCACCTCAATCTCGTCACCAAGAAGATCGACTGCGGTCCACTTCTTTGTCTGCTGCMCAAGTTCCAATTGTTGGTTGGTGGAAAGCAGTTCCTGAATTGCATCACTCACTACTGACACTTCATACCACAGCTTCCTAGCTGCGACGCACTTTTGGCGGTTATTCACAGGGATGCGGCCACGGATCAATCTGGGATGGCCTGGTTTGCGGGCGGTCACAAACTGTCGAATCTCCACCGTCTTGAGCATCAATTTCGAAGACAGTTCCTCGTTCATAGGTCGATGTCTGTGTCGAACTGTACTCTTCATCAAGATCTTTTCCACGTGAAAGATCTTGTTTTTAGGCTCGCTGCAAAAAATAAGGAGATCACTGTCTGGTTGAAAGTAGATGGTCTTGATGAACTCGTCAATTGCCTTCTTCAAGGTCGGGTCTTTGTAGCCGTGCAGATTCATCTCCCCTTTGAAGGTAATGTTCATATCCCACATGCGGTGAGGAAAGTGAATCGTAGAACATCCAAGGACATATGAAGTTTGGTGAAAGCTTGTATGACCATCTTCATCCAAGGAAATGACAAATCTCGAAGAATCCTCTTTCAATTGACAGTGATATTCGAATACAATTTCTTGACCCGCAGGCATCTCGTGGAATATGCGCCGCGGATCCCGCTCGCTCCAGATCATATCTATCATAGCATCAACGTCTGCCCCTGAACCGCTGATCTTGTTCCATGCCCAGTACGGAGTCAAAGAACTGCCTTCCTTGGACTGGAATTTCTCCTTCCATTCATCAATCGTCAGGACAATGTCATCAAATCCTGAACTAGACAACGACGGAGCGACGGTGATTAGTTCAATGTTAGCTTCCAATTCGAGAGTTCCCGGAAATGACCTCGCTGCTTCCAACGTCGGTTGCAGTGCGTTGAAGATCTCGAGAACGTCACGGGAATCTGCTCGCATGACTGGTTTCAGGGTAGCCTTCTGCACTTTGACATCGATTTGAGTTGGGACAGAAGATTCGCTTACACCCAGTCCAAGCTTCTTTTCCTTGACTTTGATAGTACGACGTGAAGCGGCGTTCGGAGAAGGCTGTAGCGATGCTGATTTGCTGCTGTTTGACTTTGGGTCTTCAATAGCTGCAAAAGCATTTGACCAGAACTTTTCCAGCGTGGCTTGCTTGAGAGGAGACTTGCTACCGGGTGACGTCTTCTGAGCCATTGTACTGTGCAAGGTTGGGGTGGGTTTGACTTTGAATTGGACAAAAGGAGATGCAGACACAGACTCATCCGATGTTTTCTCTTCGTCAGCTTTGGCGTGGGTATTCCCTTGATTGATTTTGGATTTCTGCCGGACCCGACGCCTCAAGACTCCTTTCACAGGCTTTTGCTCGGGAGGATACTCTTCTATGGGGACGGACTTCTCGGGGTCGACAGGCTTTGTGCCGGTTTCGGTTGCCTTGCTCACCCATTTTGTGACCCGATCAGCGTTCTCCGAGGCTAGGATAGAGTAGTACTCCTTTGGTCTCAAGGCGAGGACAGGTTCAGCTGGGTCTGGGTTCGGCACCACTTGTTCAGCAGGAGCAGCATTCGATCCACTCGAGCCATCGCTTGATGCCGTCGTCTTGCCGTTGTACATGTCGTAGTTTCCGAACATCTTCAAAGACTGACTTGACAAAAAGCGTGATGGAACGGCGGGGCGTGGATTGGCCGTGGACACTTTCATGTCTTGCAGGCGGACTCCTTGTCTGAAAGGTACCAAGACACCCATGGAAGCCAAGGAAGTCCACTCATCAACGGTCGCAAGGGTCTTCAACGTAGCTGCTGCTGAGTGGTGCCGGAAGGGCGTTATCTGCAGCTTCTCATAGCCGGTTGATGGGAGAAACATATGATGCTGGTGGCTGGTCGGGACAGGGGTCAAGAGGGACTAAAGATAATTAGAATTGACTAGTTGCTGCATAATGAGATGCATACCAAAGCAGTGTGTAAGTGGATCAGTCGATTGATTGTCTGTTCGACAACAGCGGCGTTCTTGCCCAAGACATCAACCTTGTGGCCGAGTTCATCGTAGGTGACTCTTGTTCCTGTCAGATCTGCTATGTGCCTGAGAAAAGGCTCATAGAGTTTTGGTTGATAGGTGCCAGGACATTCCCATAAGCCGGTTGCCGGCGGCTCAGTACTGGGCATGTCATCTACTAACACGTCTCTAGCGTTTTCTGGTCCCTGTATTTGAGCGTCAGTCCATGTTCTTTGAGAAAACAGTACGACGCACCTTTGGATCGCTAGTAGCCATGTTGATCGGGCTGTAGCAACTGAGATGGAGAGCTGAGCTGGTGATCGAAGTGAGGGTAGATAGACCAGGAAATGAGGCGAATATGACAGCAAGCTGCCTGAATCGGTGGGACGAGACGAGGTATAGGAAGATGTAGGAAGCAAGAGAGGTGAGAGGTAGATGAGGTGTAAGAAAGGGATAGATGAGGTGTAGGAAAGGAAAAGAATGGAAAGATCGGAAGGCGCGAGAAGAAAGGAAGGAGCGAAAGATAGATAGAAGGAGTGCTCCCGGGGCAGGAACGAGAATAAAGTCAATGACCACATGGTTCGATAACTAGGCTCCGAAACCGAACTCTGAGACACATCACCAATAAAGAAAGGGGAACCATGAGAGTGGCCGGGAATTGCCATCCATTTCTTTGAGGCGGTTGTGTGTAAGATGGACAATAAGGTGGTGCACGGAGCGTAGTTGAGTGTTTGAGCTGGGCGTAGGTGACGTGCATACAGTGTTTGTAGGTAAACACGTGAGAAGGGATAAAATGACGTATCTTGATTGACAACAATTATAATTGATAGTAGAATTCATACAGTGCAAACAGTCATGATATGTAATAAGACTCTGCAGCGCCCCCGAGAATATGATAAGACGAGGCCCGAGACATGCAATGTAAATGACAACCAAACGCCGTCTCCATGAATATGACAGGGTATCGAGGTGAATATGTATTAGGTGGATATGATGTGAATGTTTGTAGTCGAGCACTGGTGACGAGAAAATTATGTAGCTAATGAGAACCGAAAGTAGTGGCGTAGCAGTCTGATGCAAAGCAAGCTATTCAGCCCACTCGATATCCTTCTTGACATGCATCACCCACTTCATTTTATCCTCGGTCTCCTTGAGCGACGCAACAGCTGCGTCGACATTGGCCTGATTTTGACGGCCCTTGGTCACCAGATCCTCAAACTCGCGATCCCGTGTCGTTTTATAAGTGTCATATACAGTGAAAATCTCCTGTATGCGACGTCTCTCCGTCTCCAGTTCTTGGTTCTGTCGATCTATCAGTGCATCTAAGCGTTCTTGCTCCCTATCCTTGAGCTCCGCCTGATCTCGAAGGGACGCGAGTTCGTCTCGTATTCCTTTGAATTTCCTCTGCATATCGGACTTTTCCCGCAGTGACGCCTTGGACAATGCATCGTACTGGGACGTGCTATAATTCGACGTCTCTTGTAGCTCAGCACATTTACGATGAAACTCATCCTGCCCTTCGGACATGAGTTGATTGACCTTGGCCGTCTCTGCCTCTGCTCTGAGCCTTCTCGCTTTCTCGTTTTGGACTTCTGCTTTCAAGTCTTCAATCTTTCGGTCTTTTCGTGCAATAGAAGCAAGATTCGTTTCGTTGGACTGTTCGGAATTTCGTAAGCGCTCGCTGATATTGATAATTTGCTCTTTTAGTGTTTCGTTGATGTGTTGTGCCTCTTCTGCTCGCGATCGGTAGAGACTGAGCTCTCTCGTCAAGCGAGCAATCTCTTCTTGTAAATTGTGAATCACCCTGCCCGACTTTCCGGTACTCGCATGACCGACCGCTGACGTCCATTCCGAGGAGAGATCATTATTCGAACTTTTCGACGAGATTCCCTTCGCTCCGTTGGCGCCGTTGACACCATTGACACCGTTGACACCGTCTGCATCGTCAGCGAAATCCTTCTGCGATCTGGCACAAGACATACCCTCAGGTGGAGAAGCTGGATTCGAAACAACCCTCCGATCTGCCGTCAGCGAGTCAAACAATCCCCCCGTCTGATTCATTTCCAGCCTCGTCTCGACACGCGGTAAATTCAACTGCGGCGCATCTGTATCGTAAGAAGAAGAATTATCGTCAGTCGAAGTTGGCTCTTTTCGCTGTTTGATGGTCAAGGCTTTTTTCATTCGCTTGAGAGGACTCAAGCGAGGTGGTGTTGCGTCCATCTATATGTGCTGATGAAACAGGTTGCCACAAAGGATGGGAAGTCTGGGGAGGCATTGTGCTTTGTCTTGTGGAAGAGATTAAAAAGAAGAAAGAGTGAGCGTGGAAAGTCTGAAAGTGAGCTCAACCATGGGTTAAGCGGGCCTTTTGCCTTTGACTTCACGCAACATGCAGGGGACTGTGAGAGGTTTAAGGTATGGCGGCTAGCTGTATGCTATACGCTGAGAAACAGGAAAGGCTTACCACTGTCTAAAGCCCAGGGTCGAATGCCAAGAGCATCTGCAGGAGATTTCTTCCTTAATGTATGTCTCTTCATTAATTCCGACTCAGTATACTGTGCTTAATTGTTGGACCGGGGTGACGGGTGATGTTGTGGAAGCTCCGGAGAATAAATGGCCTCCGGAATCAGTCACAATGTGTGATATAAGATGCAAAAAAAGTGTACAACATCCACAGACATGCCCTGACAGACCTGAATAAATTTTGTTCATAGGCAGAGCAGAGAAAGCAAGCGGTCTTTGAATCCGGCGTGTATTGACGAAGCAGTTTCAGCGACATCTCAAAAAAAGTAGACCAGGAGGAAGGCATGATGTCAGCTACTGGCGAATCAGAGCGCCGATACAGATCCATTTGTCTTTTCTAGCCAATAGAAAGTGGTATGTTCAGGGGCTGCGACTGATGATTGGCTGGAATCCAGACTATTAATCGGTAGCCGCGGGCACTAGTCGCAGCTCCCACGACTTCCGATCAGAAGAACATCTACAACAAATCAACAACCAGACACCACGATCAGCTCTGACAGAACTCAGTCGATCTTATAATTCACTTTTGACTTTCATTTGCACTACCTAATTGCGAATCCAGCCAGGACTCGACTCGGAATATGTACTGGGGGTATCATCGCGGCGACATGACAGGATGATGATGATGTGGTGGCCCTGGATCAGCAGGAGCGCCATGGTACAGGGACAGCCGGACAAATTTGCTAACCATTACACATAAGGAGAAGAAACAGTATTCAGACCCGTGCTCATATACTACACAAATAATAGCAGAAACCCAGCAGCGCCGGCTACGAATGCAAGGGAAACACCGMCCCTCCCCGCCGAACCGGTCTGCACGCTCGACGAAGAAGTGGCCGTGGACGTAGCCTTCTGCGAACCCACAAACGGAGTGTTCATTTTTGACGCTTTGGCGGTCTCGGTTGATGATGCCCCTGACGTCGTCGCGCTCGATCCTTCGCTTGCGGTAGCMCCAGCCGTTGTGCCAGTGGCCGACCCTGTTGATGCAGCGGTGTCAGTGACTGCTGCAGCAGTAGATTGTGCAGTCGTCCCCGCTGTGCTTGAGCTGGTAGTGATTGTATCCGTACCTGTCGTTCCAGTCGCTGACGCAGCACTGGCTGCGGAATCAGTCATAGACGCGGCGGTATCAGTCGCAGAAGCAGAATTGCTCAGATTTTCCGCATCACTTTGCGTTCTATCCAATGCATTCGCATTCGGCGTATCCGAGCCGCCAGACAACGGCAATAGACCAGTGTAATTGATTTCATCGCCCTGCGTAATCTGGAAAGCGTAGTCATCGGCATTCTGGAGATCGGCAGGAGGAGTCCAGCTGAATTCGCCTTTTGTGGCGTCACTGCTCAGGACTTGCACGTCTTGTAGGTCCGTGGAGGCGCCTTTGCGGAGGGTGATTGTTACGGGCTGTACTTAGTATTAGGTGCTTGTCTTCGCTGTATGGACAGGTAGGGAAAGGGCTTACGGCGTCGCTACCTCCGGTCCATTTCAGGGTCACGGGCTGACCAGCTGTCAGACTCGCAGGCCATTCTGAGAAGGCGACGTAGTCGGCCATGACAGACGCTAGCAGCCCTGCGCCGACAAGGAAGTACTTGACTGGGGCCATTTTGAGTATAGTAATTCTTGAAGTGACTTAAATTCGACGTCAAGTAGGAAACAGGTGTAAAGGAAGAACGAAGGCTCATAGCGAAGTGCGCCAACCAGTATCTTTAAGACATCGAAACCTGTGAGGGCAGTATCAACAACATCCTCATCCCTGGAATAATTAGAACCATGGCTGTGAAGAATGTCAACCCAATTAAAGAATGAAGTACATTTTCACAGGCCAATTAGCACAAAACAGCTCCGCATACTCCAAACTTTCTGCAACAAGAAAACGTGCATTCTTCGGGAGAAGAACGGAGATCATTTGATCCAGGGTCAAGACGCCAGATGAACCAAGATGGACTACATTCCCGTCCTTTGCCCCTGGCGACCAACAAAGAATTGGGACTTGATAGCATTCTTCACTTGGCATATCATCCTCAGAGTACAGCAATCAAGGACAACCCCAGAAAAAGCTTATCATCATTATCATCACATCCACAAAAGCTTGCCATCAGCAAGACGCAGCCAGTATATACAGTCTATGAGCTCAATAGGCGTATTCAAGCAACAGGAAACTCCACAACCCTCCTCAACAAACTCCCCACCCCCTTGTCCTTCCCCCCATCCTCTTCCGCCAACAACCTATCCGTAAAAATCCTCTTCGGGATCTGAAACTCCACAACCGGCGACTTCCTAAACACTTTTTCTTCAGTACCCAAATCCGCCATCAACATGCCCTGATAACTGTAATCCAAAAAGTCCTCCATGTTATACGACTGTTTTGTGAATTGCTCGGATATGATGCGCGCGATGGCGGCGACGTTGGGGTGGTAGTGAGATTGTAAGGATTCAAGTTCCCAGAGACTGCTATCGATGGCGTTTGTGATGGTCGGATCCGTTTCGGTCGGTTGGAAGGGGTCGTTCATCATGTCGTTCTTTTTGTTGTTATTGCTGATGCCGCGGTGGATCATAAATGTGCATGTCGGATGACTTTTCAGCAGATTATATGCAAACGGTACGATGGCCACAATCGCACTCGGGGGTGCGTTGAGGGCTAATCGCGCTAGTCGCTTGATGAAGCTCGCTACAAGGGTAGCCGGTAAGTGCGTCGAGGCCAAGAATGTATCTAGCAGACGGAAGAAGCGCGATCGATGTTTGGAATGGAGTAGCTCAGAATCGAGCAGAGAGTAGAGCTTTGTGTAAAAGTGTGGGTAATCGAGGTTCCGTTCTTGGATCAAATAAAACAGACCAGAAAGCGCTAAAAGGGCCGTTGAGCCACCGGCGTTATAGCTGTCTGTCAGGAAATCCATGAGGAGCTCGGGGCGGAGGAACCAGGGTGCGATTGTGTGCGCCATTCTTTTCAAGAGGGATTTTCGTTGCGCTGCAGATAAGGTGCTGCTTCGTAGGATCGCGAGCCAGGCGTCTTGAGCCCATCTTCTATGCGAGTTGACGGACAACAGTGGATTTTTGGATTTTTCTTTCTTGGACGGTTGCTGACCGTGGAAGTTTTCGAATTTGTAGTCTTGCGGGATGGCGGAGTCGCATTGAGAGAGGATCCAGATTAGTCGTTCGAGGACTTCGGAAGGTCTTTCAGTGGCATATGATCTGCTGATTGTTAATATGAATTGGCTTCTTGATTGAGTTGGGTGGGGACGTACGAGATTTTTTGAAAGGTGTAAAACCTCACGTCGTCGAATTCCTTGACAAACTTTTCGACAAATTCCGTGCGAACCAAGTCGCCGTTTCCTGCCTCGACTAACGCCTCGAATATAGACTGGAACAAGCCTGTAGTCCAGACCTGAACTTCTGCTTCGGGGATGTGAGTTGCGCGCACGTTCACGAGTCGCATCGACAAAGTCAAGGCGGTGATCTACAAAAATTAGTTCGGTTCCTTTAAGAGGCGGAGTAGACAAACCTGAGAAGACGAATTTGCATATCGGATAATATCCAACAACGCATTCTGATATTCCTGCAATCTCTCCTTCAGCCACCCCACCACGATCTGTTCCTGCTCGCTAGCCTTGGAAGGTAATTGTAGGTTTCCGCCAGCGATGAGTCGACAGAAAACTCGACAAAGGGCAACTGCTACTGCAAGATTTGGCAATTCGCTAGGATCTTTGATCAAGTTGTCGGCATTGAGCATCGAAATCAAGGTCGCAATGTTGTTGTAGTATTTTCTGGACTCTGAGATTTGAGCTTCTAGCTCTTCGATCTTGGCCTGCTCATTTTTCGACTCGTCGCTTGCGACGGCTCGACGTTTGGTGGATTGATTGCCAGAGTCTTTGGGTATCTTTCGTTTTTTGGTAATTTCGTTCGCCATGGTTCTAAACGTTGTGTTTTATACAATGCTACAACGTAGAAAGTCCTTACAATGAATAAAATTATTATCGGACGATGTTTTTCCGAGATACCCACTATGCCCAACGCGGCTAGCGTCTTCTTACTGCCAAACTCCTCTTCCCGACAACTTCTCGTCACTTCCGGTTTCACTAACACTGCAATTCTCAGACTACATTGACAACAATGGCTTCGCGTTTGGCAAAGAGCGCCATCGGTATGTCGTAACCGGCGCAAAACAGATCAATTGATCGCATACTAACCTCTGATAATCAGGCGCCACCCGCGTCCGGCCGGCTCTCGTCACCCGCAACCTCCCTTCCATCACAGCCAACCTCACGGCACCTCGATTCGCCTCGAATGTCCCGGCTGAGGAGCCTCAGAAGAAGGCCCAGTCCATTATTGACTCCTTGCCCGGCAACTCACTCATTTCCAAGACCGCCATCTTGTCTGCCGGCGCCGGTCTTTCTATCGCTGCCATCAGCAACGAGCTTTACGTGCTCAACGAGGAAACCGTCATCGCATTCTGTTTGATCAGTGTCTTCACTGCTCTCGGCAAATATGGCGGTCCCATGTATAGAGAGTGGGCTGAGGGTCAGTCGCAGAAGTACAAGGATATTTTGAACTCTGCTCGTGCCGACCACACCAATGCCGTCAAGACCCGCATTGAGAATGTGCAGCAGCTCGGTGGTGTTGTTGAGGTTACCAAGCAGCTTTTTGAAGTTTCCAAGGTTAGATCTTTCAAATAATGTCGAGAACCAGGAGCATCGATTGACATGACATAGGAAACCGCCAAGCTTGAGGCTCAAGCTTACGAGCTCGAGCAGCGCACTGCCCTCGCCGCTGAGGCCAAGCAGGTCCTCGACTCCTGGGTGCGCTACGAAGGTCAGGTCAAGCAGCGTGAACAGCGCGAGCTTGCCGAGACCGTCATCCGCAAGATCCATGAGGAACTCAAGAACCCCAAGGTTCTCCAGCAGATCCTCCAGCAGAGCATTGCTGATGTTGAGCGTACGTCCAATCTCTGGTATAGAAAATTAAAGACGGGCTAACATTTCATAGGTATCGTTGCCGCTAAATAAACGTCAAGACTCAATAGATGGATGGCTGTCGGTTGATCCTTCATGTACAAAATCAAGCGTCGGTGTTATATGATGCACTAGACTTAAACACACAATTACAGTCTTCTGTTTCCTTTGTTTCCTATGTAGCATATCGCATTTGAAGATGATATTGTTGATCTATCTATGCTTCATCGCTTGGTCCATCGCGATCCGTACCTGACTCCTATATCACTGTTGACAAGACGAGTGACGCATCATCGTGGCACTAATTTCAAGTTTCTGGTCACATCTCAGCTAACAATCACCGCTTCGTATTACGTATATACCCAACTACGTACATGATTTGAGGCTCAAGCGTTGTGCATTCCGGGGACGTGGCTTGTATTAGATAGTGACATGCGTGGATCTGCTCCGCTTCATGCACGTGTTTTGATTTCTTACTAGCACTCATAGAGTAATGTGTAAAGCCATCAGACATTAAAGAACCATTGTCATCACATTGGCAAAAATAGATTCAGCTGACGCGAAACTGAAAGAATACGCTGGGTGCTCAGACTACGATTGGCCCATGGATTCAATCCGGTCCAAGACTTTGAAGGCGCTGCGCCCCACGAATCAAAGCGGCCAAGGGACCAGGACAATTGACTCAGGTACTTGATGTAACTATCTTTAATCATACAGAAGTCCATCCCGAATACCGATCTTCTAAGGTTCTTCTTCGAAGCTCCAAAATACCACAAACCCGCTGCATATCATATCATCAGACATAAGTCTCGACGTAGATCCCCGCCATGCCACTCAAAGACATCCTGCACAGACACGGCAAAGACCAGAGTCAAGACAACAACAACAACACATTATCTCCTCAAGAATTCACCTTCATCCGAACAGACACCCACACTCAGGAAATCATCACCCCTTCTACCCTCAACACCTCCATCGCGAACACTGCTGCAATAGGAGGACCAGAAGAAACCCAATCCCCAACAACACCCACAACCCCCCGCCGCAAATCATTCTTCCGGCGCCGCTCACACGTCTCTTCTTCCGAGAATCTTGCTTCCCCCCCTGGAGGAAGTTCTTCCAGAGGAAATTCAGAAAAAGGCGAAAAACGAATCTCTAATCTGCTACATCTAGATCATCACAGCCGCAAGTCTCTCTCCCGCAGCGGCAGTACAAGCTCGGTAAACATACCGGCTGATCTGCCGCAAATCGATGCGGAGAATGTAATCGATGAGCAAGAACGAGAAGCGCAGTGGGAGAAACGGGCTACGAGGCTTGTGCAGGGGAATCCGCGGATTGGGGGAGGTGTTTCGCCTGACCGAGTTTCGCAGAGTGCCGGCACTGGTGGTGCTGGTGCTGGTGCTGGTGCTGGTGCGGTAAATTTTTCGTATTTGCAGCCTAATCAAGGCCAGCAGAGGTCGAGGAGTAGAAGTACTAGTTCGGGTGTTTCGGAGCCGCAGGCTGATGTAAGTCTTTCTGCTATGTCCTGGACATTGAGAGAGAGGATACTGATTGGGATAGATTAATATACAAGAAGCGATTCGGCTTCATGAGAATGGGGGTATGTCACAACGTCACATTGATTGACCCATGTATGGATCTCTGATAATTTACGGATCTACAGAACTCGAAAAATCGACACAACTATTCGGCATCCTCGCTGACCCCAACGGCTCCAATAATGCCATAGCCCAAGTCCTCTACGGCCTCGCACTTCGGTAAGTCTCAAGTCTCCCTCTGTTGTACACCTATCCCAATTAACACTCTCCAGCCATGGCTGGGGTTGTCCCCCCGACCTTCCCAAAGCCGTAACCTATCTATCTGCCGCTGCCGCCAACTCAGCCTCCATCGAAACCCTTGCCCTCGAAGCTGGTCTCAAAAAGGGCGGCGCCGCAAAGGGCGAACTCGTGCTCGCAATCTACGAGCTTGCGAACTGCTTTCGAAATGGTTGGGGCATCGAGAAGGATCCCGTTGCGGCGAGATTGTATTATGAGACTGCGGCTAATTTAGGGGATACGGATGCTATGAATGAGTGTGCGTGGTGTTATTTGGAGGGGTTTGGGGGGAAGAAGGATAAGGTACTTATTTGCTATCTTCGGGTGTTAGTCGTGGTTGGGAGGTAGGCTGATGGTGTCTAGTTTACGGCGGCGAAGTATTATCGGCTCGCTGAGCAGAATGGGAATAAAACGCTGGGTAATTCTTGGTACGTCGAACCTTTCTATTCCCTAGACGGAGTCGATGGCTAACAGTCTACGATAGGATTTGGAAAGATAAATACAATCCCAAATAAAGCACCAGGCTTACGAACACGGCTTTTGATACCCTCGGAATCATACTTGATGTCACATGTACCCTTAATAGCCCCTGATTTGGATATGTAAATACTAATAACAATTTGTTGTCCTGTTCCATTTGATCATTCCACAGGTGTTTAATGCTCACTTCGTTGACACAGGAGCCCGAGCTATATCAAGCTTTGTAGCTGGGGTCTCGGGCCTGATATCTATGTCAAAGATATCCATGGGCAGACCAATAGTGGTGCATGCATTAGGAATCTACCAGCAATCAGCACCCTTTTTTTGTGTCTTTTGTGAAGGAGAACTCACATCTACAATACCAGCAATATGTCCCTCCACAGGCGCCGCACTCAACAGCAAATAAATCTGATAATCGTCATACCCGTATCGCCGCAAATACTCAATGATGCGAAGACAGCTTTGACGATAGGCGACGGTGGCGTCTAGGAAGTGCTGTTTGCCGTTTTCGTCGACGGAGAAGCCCTACCACAATATCAGCGCTTCCTTCTCAACAGAAAGAAATAAAAGGGGCGAACCTCAAAATATAGCATTCGCCCAGGGCCGAATTGCGGTTGGACAGGCCCAGGGATGAAAATCGGAGACTTTCCATTAACCATACCGAGTTGTTTCTGTCCGTCTTTCATGACTGAGAATTTGATAGTGATTACGCCAGCCATTTCGATTGCGCCGCAAAATGAGATTTCGCCGTCTCCTTCTGTTGTCTTCTTAGCCTTCTTCCCGAATTATGGTTAGCAGAAGGGAGAGGACGTACGCGAAAAATGCAAATCACCAACACTAAACTTTGCGCCCGGAACATGCACAGGTAGATACACTTTACTTCCCCTTGATAAATTCTTTATATCGCAATTACCGCCATGTTCCGGTCTTCCGGGCACCGTGCGCGCTCCCTCTGCTGCAACCTTTGCTGCGGTGGCTTCGTCTGCCGCACCGGCATGCGCGTTTGTCGTCAGGGGAGGGTTCGCGACTGTTCGTGTTGTACCGCCAGCAGCCTTCTCGGAGATGAGTTCGGCTTCACGACGATTCCATTCTGCGAGGATCTCGGCGGAAGGTGCACAGCCCAGGATACCGGGATGAATCAGACCTGCAAATTTGACGCCAGGGATGTGCCGGGATGTGCAGTGTATACCCTCAAAATCCCAAATTGCTTTTGCCCTGCCCTCATATCAGCATTTCAACAGCATGGATGATAAAAGGCAATCTACGCATGAGGATAAATCTCATCCAAAAACCCACCCCCATTCTCCTTATGAAAGACACCCGAGAACCCCCACGGCTGATCTTCAAAGGGCTGCACATCCTGGATTTCGACGCAGAGTACATCACCCGGTTCGGCACCCTCGATTTCGAAGGGGCCCGAGAGGTAGTGCACTTTGGTGAGATCGACGTTTAGCACGTCGTCGGCTGAGTCGTTGTTGCCAATCTGGCCGCCTGTCCAGTCGAGGCATTCGATTTTGACGGTTTCGTTGTTGTGGATGGTGCCGCAGAAGGGGACTATGTCAGTCAGCCAGTCACGGTTTTGCAAATTAAGAGGTTAGATATGTAGTACCATCGGGGTGCCAGCGGTTCTGTTGTATGTTAGTTTTGAGTTCTAGTCAAAACTTCTAAAGAGTGGTCTTACGTGTAGATACGGCTGCTTCGCAGCAGGTGTGTTTACATCAACCTTGAGCGCGGTGCGAACGATACCCATCTTTTCAATTGTTTCAATTACTTGTTTTGTTGCTAGACTGTCTTTCTGTGTACAGTGAAAGGGAGAGAGAGACAGGGCACTTCTATATATCCTCACCCCGCAGTTGAGCATAGGTACCACACTAGTCGTACAACATGAAGATTCAACCGTTGATAACCTATCTGATAGACAAACCCTGCAGGTCTCGAAGCATCGCTAACCCCGTTTGGACATCTAATGCGGAGCATCCTCGTATCGTTCAAAGACTACTGGTTTGATCTTTTATTCCACTTTGGGGATGAACAAATGATCGGGCAGCTCGTTATCTGCTTTGTCCTGGTTTCAGGTATCCGAGGATGTTCGACAGGATGAACCTTGGATTGTTTGCTTGGTTAGGGCCTAGGATTTGGCTAGTGTCATAGGTTATTTGTTCGATGCTTTTATCCTAAATAGTATCAAAGCTACAAAAAGCTCATGATTTATAATAACACGCCGAGTACAGTAACTTGGTTCGAGATATCAAATAATGAGAAGAATGTGGATACGCACAGAGTAATTGTCTGCATTCCTTAAAATCACACACATTCTTGCCATCCAGGTTTTTCACGGAGCTGTTTGACGATTCTATTGACATCAATAGTTCTATTCGCCAAAATGTCCTGGATATGCCCATGAATAATATCCCCGATGTATAAAATCTCATTGTATATACTTCTTTCTGATAGGCCAATCAAAATTTACAAACGACTGGAGCAAACGAATATTCCCAGCCTCTTCGATAATGAATTCATAGAGCAATATCTCGGACATGGTCATCAATGGTAGTCATTTGAGTGTGTAATAGTCTATTGTGGTGACGTTGGACGTTCGGCGACTAAGAAAGCCCGCCTTACTTTTTGCTTAGCTGACCGCGCTACCTTCTGTTTACTTTCTCCCGGCACACCCACAATTTTTTTTCCTCGCATCAATTGGGTTCCCATCTACTGCTTCTTACTCTCATTATTACTTGAGCTTCATCTCCCATATTACTCATTTCAATTCCTTAATATCACCACATATCCCACACGCAATGCCTCCAAAACGCACAGCAAAATCGGCTGAGCCCAAGGCCGCCGCCACCACCGCGAAAGCTACCAAAACTCGCGGACGACCAGCAGCTGCTGAGAAAAAGACGACCACAACTACCACCACCAGCACCAAAAAGAGCGTCGCAACTACCAAAAAGACCACTCAGTCCAAGAAGCCCCTTCAAGAAGCAAAAGCCAACACAAGCGCAAAGCGCAAGGCCGAAGCCGACCTCGAAGAAAAACCACAGGGTAAGCGCCAGAAGCCTCAAGCCGAGACAAAAGCTGTCAAGAAGGAGCGCGTCATCAAGAAGCCCACTGCTCCTCGAGCCAAAACCCCCAAGCCTGCGCTAGCACCCAAGCCTCCCAAGGAGAAAGTAGTCATCAACACTGCGCCGACTACGCGTCTTGACGTGTTCGCCTTCGGGTCGAATAGCAATGCCGAACTGGGAATGGGCGATACCTTCAAGAAGGCTGAATGTCCTCGACCCAAATTCAACAGCGTCCTTTCTGATGCCGGCGTGGTGCAGATTTCGACTGGTGGAATGCACGGTATCGCGCTTACACATGATAACAAGGTTTTGACTTGGGGTGTGAATGACCAGGGCGCTTTGGGTCGCGACACAAACTGGGAAGGTGGATTAGTGGATATGGACAAGGCGGAGGAGTCTGGCTCTGATGATGACGACGAGGAGATTGAAGTCAACCCCAAGGAAGCTACTCCTTCAGTGATTGATCTGTCTGGTGTCGAGAAGGGGACTGTTTTCACCCAGGTTGTCGCTGCAGACAGTGCTTCTTTCGCACTTACCGATGATGGTTTTGTCTATGGATGGGGTACTTTCCGCGTAAGTATTTTCCTCTGCACATTTATTTATGTACTAATGAAGGTATAGAACAGCAATGGTGTCTGGGGTTTCTCTCCCGAGGTCAAAATCCAGCAGACTCCTACCCTCATCCCTGGTCTGAAGAACGTCACCAAGATCGCCGCCGGCAGCAACCACGTCCTCGCCCTCTTGACTGACGGCACCGTTCACTCCTGGGGATCCGGTGAACAAGACCAACTGGCCCGTCGTCTCGTGGAACGCCGCGCCAAAGAACAAGGCCTTGTCCCTCAAAAGGTTGGCTCGAAGCGTGGATTCATCGATGTTGCTGCTGGCGCCGACCACTCTTTTGCCCTACACAAAGATGGGTCTGTCTATGGTTGGGGATTGAACAACTACGGCCAGACCGGTATTGCCAGCAAGGCTGGTGAAAGTGAAGCTGGCGTCCTCAAGCCTACTGTCATTCCCAGCTTGAAGGGTCAGAACAAGATCACCCAGATTTCTGCTGGAAACTTCAACACTCTTGCCATCACCGACAAGAACGAATGTCTCGTCTGGGGCCGTATTGACAACCACGCCACCGGCATTGACGCTAGCACTTTGGCCAAAGACGACGTGATCTTTGACGACCGCGACCGCCCTCGTATCTTGACCAATGCAACCCGCATCCCTAATCTCGAGGTCGCTTACGCCACTTATGGCACCGAACATGCCATCGCAGTCACCACAGACGGCAAAGCATACTCCTGGGGCTTCAACTCTTCCAACCAAACCGGCCAACCCGGCGATGACGATATCAAAGTTGCTACTTTGATCAGCTCAAAGGCCGTGCAAGAGAAGAAGTTTGTCTGGGCTGGTGCTGGCGGTCAGTACGGCATGATTGCGACTGTCAGGGAGTAGGTCAAGAAGGCCGATGCTTGATTTACGCCTTCGTGCGCAAGCCGAATCTGTACCATTTGATGTCCTTTCTGCCACATTACAAGTTTAATGCCCTTCCAACAATTCAACATCTGTACATAGTTTGTTCCATCTCTTCTACCCTTTTTGATAAAAGCTTGTTTGTTATGTCATTTACAGGTGGTCTCCGTTACAGAATAGAATGAATACTCGAGTTACGTTTAATCATCAGTCAGCGATGGTATGTTTTAATGCACCTACGCTCTCTTAGATTTACTATTCGGTCATAGGCTGCAACTACATATCCCAAAAGTCCAGTAAGGCTTGCTCGAGAAAGACACTAGATGCCCCCTTTCTTTGTTCAATAAAAACTCTCCATCGCACTAAAGATGGAGCACGGAGTCTTGATGGGCGCTTTTCACTGCTAGACCACTTCTGAGAGCCGTCGTTAAGGTAGGTGTAAACGTTTCATTTGGTTCTTATACTAACATGTATCCCCTATCCTCAATAAAGGTCCACTTCAAGTATACTGCTCCGGCCAGTTTCATCGCCGCAATTGTTATAGCAACATTGTGCAAAATCAATGCCAGCATCATCTTCCCTCATAGGGGAAAAAAAAGCCGCTCGTTTACGCAGGCAAACAAGCAATCTTCAACTCCGCCCTGCGCGTTTTCGGCCCAGGCTTCATCGCCAGTTCACTGAGCGTGCCTCTCCTACGACTCATCTCTGAGGATACTCCTATCATCACCCATCGTACTCCTCACAGGTGTCGGTATGGCATTCATATTTGGTCTGGTGTATCTCCTCCTCTCCAGCTTTTCCCTATCTTTGAGGAGACCAACGGCTGAGCCGTCGGCGTCCAGGGGCTAGCATACATAAGGGGCATATCTCTCAGTGGCCTCGATTATGTTGTACGAAAGGCCGAGATTGGGATGGTGCTCTAGCGGACTTGTAGGTCCAAGAGAGCGTTCGACGGTCGAGTCTGATGGAACAATGCTTCAAACGAATATGGATAGTCAAATTTATTTCAACTATCCTCAACCCAGTACTAGATACATTGAGTAGAATTAGAGTCAATGCGAAAAAGCTCTTTTATAAGATCCTCGTCACTAAAAGTACCCAAGCATGAAGGATGAAAGATATCAACACATGAACCAGGCTCATCAACAAAAACATACATAGACAGGAAGGTGCAGGTCCCGAAGGAAGGGTGCCTAAGGCTTCAGCACCTTCTTCAAGATCAATCCATCTCCATTCAGCATTCCCCAATCTTCTTGATTTTTCTGGACCAATTGCCCCCTTTCCATGAGGGAAACCCCTTTGACACCGAGCACACAACCTCAGTTCCATAAAGTATGACTCACACATCCTCGAAATTCAATTCCAAAATCTTACATCTAAATCACGTATGCCACGTACCTGACTATCAACTGATATGCACGTGCAACTTTTTGAGCATTTGGCCAACTACCTACATGACTACCCACAGTATACACCCACCCAGTGCTGTATAGACGGGAGGACTGTACATGCATACCCGTAGACACTTGTAGGTTACATATATGAATCATGAAGCTAAGGTGGGTCGAGTATACTTGGCGGTCTGTTACAGATTTATGTGTTGGACTAGTCTACATACTTAATGTAGATAGTATATTGAGATTCTATGGTTGAGGAGAGGGTATGAGTCACTTCAGAGGTTGTTAGAGTGGTAGAGGTACCTAAGTACCTAAAGAATTTTCTGTGGATGAGAGGGTTGGGCAACAATCTGGTTAGTTCCGGTTCTAGTACTTGAAGATAGACTGTGGTGACAGTGAACTAGGTAGATACATGTATCGACAACATAATTAAATAGCTTCTGTATCGGTTAGTCTCTAGCTGTTCTGATGTCATATAGCATGTGATAATGTATCTATCTATCTTTCGACTCGATCTGGATCCTGTTGGATGAACCTTCTGAATGCGGAAGAGGTGACGTGTGCTAGGTGTCTGTTTCATGATAGCAGCGGTTTGGAATCTATCTTGCTTGTTTTGATCAAGCCAAGTTGGATGTAGAGCACTCAATTTCCTGGGTTGGTGATGAGTTATTGAGGTAAGCCTAGGCTCTAGAGTTTGACGAAATAGGAAATTAGGGCTTCTCTCCATGACCATCCACTGTTTTATGCAAGCAAGTTAATAGCTTAGGAAGACATCTCTTAAGGACGTAACTTTTCGAAAATAAATCTCTTAACATACCAATGCACTAGAAAAACCCATCAATATTTTAGATTGACAGAGGAAAAAAATTGTTGAAGTCAAATCCTATAAAGTCGATGAGTTAATGAGTCATTATAGCGGTCAGCCCGGCGGTAAACACTGACATCTAGATCAACATGTTTTTCTATACTTTTTGCCCTAGTTTGAAACATACCGCCTACAAAAATAGATTTATTTTGGTATAATTAACTTAATTTTCCTGAATAGAGTTGTCTAGCAAGGCGTCTGGTACGGAGATATTACGTACCATGAATCAAGTTAGAGATTCACCAATATCGATGAGAACATTGTTTCCAAGCAAGATTTATGCACCTTTATTCTGATATTTCCTTTCTAGGTAGGTATGCAAGCAAGCAATTGACGTGGTTTAGATTTTCCTGTATGATGAAGCATTCATCCATCAGGGGAGATTACACCCTCAGCATGGCCGTAGTGGGCCAAAAGCGGAGTCATAAGATGTGAATATATGTGCGATTATCCAAATGAAACGCTATATATGGGCTCCAAAATCAAATATCAATTCACCCTCAGAAAAGATCCACTGCTCTGTACTTAGTTGGTTAGGCATGATCCACGATACGGTTCAGATTCAAAGGCGCGGATGTACGTCTCTTCATTCCGCGCCAGGAAAACATACATCCGCGCCAGGAACTGTCCAAGCTGGGTCAATACTAAATTCAGTTCAATTTGATAAGGAGGAAGCGCTCACGTCAAATGACGTTCATACCTAGTGCATCAACGCTGAGAAGAATGAGACCGACTAATTCCGCACAGAATGAGGCATCATCTCACTTACAGGCTACAATAGGTCCGAGTCTCAGTCATCAAGCCTCTCAGCTTTGAGTCGTTTCCTATTTTTCAACTTGTCTCCGAGAAATATGAAAAGCCATCATCATAATCACGTCGGAGGTATCCAAGAGTCCGACTAGTTTCGAGCTAGGTCCGGTCTCCTTTTCCCATGAGCTCGGTTCCAAAGTTCCCAACGGGCATGAACGCCCAAGATCGGGGTCGCCTCACTACAGCAATGCCAAAAACACTTTTTGTGCTGCCTTATGAGACCGGATTCTGGCATCGGATTGGATGAGGATTTGACGGTTTGAACTATCAGCTAGTACGCTAGTCAGGTTAACCCTAAGCTTTGGAAGACAGGATCTCTAAGCCAGTCAATGGACAGAACGCAAAGAAAGAGAAGAATGGTCCCTGCGCATAAACCCAGCCCAACCAGAGATCGAGATTTGACCCTAGGCTACTACATATTAGGACATACTTTTTTGGGTCTTTTGGTCTGACGGGTTAGTGGATTAGACTAATGTAAGATACAGTATGTATGGGATGGGGACTCGTATCTCAGACCGGGCTGTCAGGTTTGGGGATGCAAGTCTATCGGATGGGGACATGATAGCTGAGAGATCCTTTCTTGGATGTCGTATACCTGATTCCGACATATCTACCTGGGTAACAGTCTATTTGTGATGCGTGAGCATACTTTCGCAAATTCAAGATTGTTATAGGATCACCATGTCCCCGCCTCTCCTATTGGCGGCACAGGGACTATGTCCTTGTACATGGAGGGGCAGCAGGTAGGAGGGGGTCATAACAAAAGATTACAAGAAATGGCCGTGGATTTAATGGTCATACATACACCTATACAATACATGCATATAGGTCGAGATGGTGTGTTTCTATTGGCTTATTCGGAGGGAATGCCCCGCTCGGCCCTCATCGGACGGGCCGTCCCTTTGCTTGATCCATGGGACCGTTCAACGATTTCAGTCCGTGTCCAACTACGTAGTATCTACACACACTTAAGCTACGACTTCGTAAATCCTCGAGAAACATCGTCTCAAACAGTCCCTAAAGTTATACCTAAAAGTTTCAGTACTAATGTCAAATCAGCAAAATTCCACGCTAAACCATCACAGTTGATCAAACCGCCCGCGTGCAAGCACCTCAACGAGGTCTCGTGTCCAATCATGCCGTACACCATGATCGTTTTCCAGCCAGCCAATCAATACGACTTAACAATATACCAATGATTGGCTACGAATGTATCTTTTTCACTGAACTAGTTCGAGCCTAGGGTCATTCGTTCTTTTGGTCGTTTCTATCCGGTAATGTACTAACGTCTCGTGGATTGTAAGAATGTCACTATCAGCCGACGTGCTCATCGAGCAAAGTCACCTTACACAATTAGCCCCAAAGAAATACTGAAAGGAGAAGAGATTATCCGAGACATATGACTCCTATATTTGGATAGAAATAAAATGTTATGTAACCACATCACCTGACTACGGGGGAAGGGTCACAATGTCTTATTTACCTAGGCAGTTAGAAAAAGAAAAAAATATATGATCACGGCAAAGATGCTGTCAGACATACATATTTTCATCGATCTTATGCATAATAATCAAAGTCAGTCATACAATCATGATGAAATCTGTTGAGTTGATCGGCAAGTGCGCTTCTTCAAGTCTATCCGGCCACACGACATGACTCTTTCTTTTCTTTTTCTATTGAAGAATGAACTTTAAGCTTATTTGTCCAGTTTTTAATGAGTCTATAGTATTACAGCATAGCATTTATAAGAAGTGTATTATAAACGATAGGGAGGATTTGTCAAGTGTTCCTTACCTATGCATAGGCATATTGATATGGTGATGTTCCTGTGACATGACGGCAATATCGATGACTCGACGCTATGATAACAATGTCATTCATGAGACAGTTCATAATATTTATGATAAAACCGGTGCTAAAACTGAACTCGAGCGCTGGGATTACTACGTAGTCGTACTAGAGAGGGGTGTGGTCCCTACATAGCGTACGTCATGCTGGGTGTTCGCAGTGGTTTAGTCAGGAGTACAACGTCCGACTGTTGATAGACTGATTGGACCAGAATTTTCCATTGTAAGTTACACTTTGTAGTGACCAGACGATCAAACCCGAAGGAGGACAGAATTGGGATCGCCCAGGTCGGACACGGAGGATTACCAGTACTAAGAACCATCACACGTTGAGCGATCTAGATCGAAGACAGGGCTTTGCTGAGACAGATACCGCCTGTTTTGTGTATAGTGATGATCAAGTCTGGTGTTCGTTATGGTCCAATTCATTGGCTTATATGGTATATTGCCAGTTCAGATCTGGCAGCCTAACTTGGAGCCATGCCATGCCAGGAGCAGGCCATTACAGGCTGGAAGCGCCGGTCCGTTAAATGACGCTCGCCTCAGAGACCCTTGAGTGATGTATAGGTAGTATTCAGTCTCAGCACGACTCGGTGTAGATTTTGTAGAGCATAATTTCAATGACAAGAATAGATGAGAGCGCTTGCTGAGGGAAAAGATAGCCTATGACGGAGTGAGAGGAGGGCTKTAATTTATGTATTTATTACGACAGAGACAAGCATCTGATCCTAGACAGCCAATAACGTATTGTAAGCGGTGTATCATATAACTAGTCTAACACGTTTACAGACTAGGCTCGTATCATCTCGTGTGCTAAGTCTTCGTATGGACAATACAGTACAACGGCTTCTTCTCACGCTGAACAGTCGGTAAGAATGGTCAGTCTGATACAGTCTTATCCTCGTCCTCAGTGTTTAGTTGACTAACGATATTAACATGCACGTCTGCCCAAAACGAAGCATCCAATGACCTCCCCCCGCCAAACTCGGGATTCTCCAGAACGATCAGACCAGAAACATTCCCTCGCCTTGCTTCTGGCTCCCACAGACCGCCGACTCTGGCTGGCCCATCGTAGACGGTCAGTTGCATTGTAGTGTGATGCTTGGCTCTTTTTTTCCCTTTTCGCTCTCTGCTCCATTCCCCATCTCAATTTTTCTACTGGTTCACGGCTTCAAGAAAAAGGGTCCCTCCCGTCTTACCATTCATTCTCCCCGTCTATCAGAAGGAGAATCATGACCCATAATTTCCTTCTTCTTTCTACCTAACTCAATCTAGGCTCACGACCTTTTTCTAGGCTAGCCGACCAGTTTCAACTGAGTCTGCCACTGGGTGAGCGAACGTCGTTCGCCGAATGACTGTCTGACTGACTGACTGCTTTGGGCCCAAACGGCCTTGACTCAAAACGGACAAGCTTGATTCTTTTAGTCTTCAGATCAGTAGGTGGAAGGTCGATGGTCTGGGTCCCTTGAAAGTCATAACTATATATCAGATCCATTCTGTTCCCGTTCAATATCGCTCCATTATTCAACAATTCAAAGATCATACACTCAACCTAGAGGGTCTGTTATATACAGAAACCTCTTGATTTTTTTTCTATCCTACCTTATATTCTTCCTTAGACAAGACTTCATTCTTGTCTTCTCTTCTCCTCTTCTACCTACTGCGTGCGCGTGCCTATTGTGCCTGCACCCCCACCAATCATCCACCCACACCGCCTCTTCTATCATCGCATCTTTTGTGTCTGAGTCTTCTTCTTCTCGACACACAACCTTCGCATATACATTATCCTTCTAAATATCGTTGATTTTTTTTTATTAATATTTGGCTTATTCATATTTTCTTCTTGCTATTAACCCTTTTGCTCACTCGATTTCGACCTTGATTCTTGATAATTTTCTTCCCGCACATACCATGATGGCTCGATTTACGCAACAACCATTTGAATTCTACCAAGAGTCGTCCTCAACGTTAGAGTCAAAACCTACATTCTGCGAGGAAGATGAGATGAGTGTGTTGGACGACAAGATCCTCGACTCGACCTCAGATGTGGCCGGCATATCCGATCCTCGACGGTCGTCGTATGATCAACATACAGATGCTCTTTCCTACCGAGAATCAGTCTGGGGTGACTTTGCACATCAGCAACAACAACCACAACAACAACATCATCATTCACATGTTGCACCGCCGCTGCATCCTGAGGCCTCTCGGCAAGATTCGCATGTGCCTGCATCCATACCCATGTACGACCCGAGCAATCAATTCATGCGCTTAGATACTGCGCAGACCAATGCTGCCTATGCACAACAGACCGCTTGGCCCATGTCCCGAGGTTCTGGTTCGTGTACGCCCACACCTGTATATGATCAGTTCGCACAAGACTACGATGCAAGCTCTGCGGGCGCATTCTCCGGTGGTGCCGTCGGTCCTGTATCGGCTATCAACTTTGGTCAAATGTCTTCCTACAGGAGCAACATATTCGGCGCTCCCGGCAGTGTGGCCATGTCTCCGCAGTCGAGTCAGGGCTGGATGCAGACTGGTGAAATGGTGGATGGACGACCAGCTCGAAGTCCCACGTATCGAACGGACTCGAATATGCATCTTCGTCGCGACGGTATTCGCAAGAAGAATGCTAGATTTGAGATTCCTGCCGAACGAACCCTAAGCAACATCGACCAGCTGATCGCGCAGTCGACCAACGAAGACGAGATCAAGGAACTCAAGCAGCAGAAGCGTCTCCTCCGAAATAGACAAGCAGCGTACGTTCTTTCCTTGCAATTTAGTGGAACGAAGACTAACATTAATAGACTCGACTCCCGCCAACGAAAAAAGCTTCACACTGAGAAACTGGAGGAAGAAAAGAAGCAATTTACCACTGTCATCACTGATCTTGAGGAAGCCCTGCACAACATGAAAATTCGTGAAGGCGAGCTACTGCGAGAAAAGGCTGAATGGTTGGCCACTCAACAACAGTTTTCACAGTGGATCGAGGGTCTGCGAATTGAAAAGGACGAACTCATTCGTGTTCACACATTGGAGACCGCGGAACTGCGCAAGAAGAACAATATCCTTCGCGAGACCATGGAGAAAATGGAGCAGCAATTCAAGTCGATAGGACACCAGCAGCCAAATGCTTTTGCTTCCAACGGATACAACGACTTTGAGGGTCTTCACATGGAAACCGGTCCATGGGACGAACTGTCTCTGGTTAACAACATCTCTCTCGAGGCCGAGGGTTTGAGTGCACCGGTGGTTGATGCTAATGCTAGCAACAATAACAACGGTCATGAGAATATGACAGCGCTCGTTCCCGTCAAGAATGAGAAAGCCGAGAGGATCTTCAACAGCCAAAACAGCGACTATCCCTTCAGCTGGAACGCATTCTACATGTGCTTGCTATTCGGCGCCTTCATTGCCTCAAACGGCAACTCCCTGTCTTCTCCAGCCGCTCTTCCTCAACTCTCAGACGAATACCGCGCCGAGTCAGCTAATGTCCTCAAAGCCGTTCTCGCCTCTGCCCCTGTCGACGTGACATCCTCTGCTATCCAGCAAGCTCATGCCCCCGTCCAATCAGGCCTGCCAGCCACCATTTCCGGCGCCGAAATGGCCCATTTGACCGGCGCTCAAGCATCGACACTCGACGAACTCCACAACAATCTCGCCCTCCCCTCCAAACAGCAGGAAAACGAACAAGTCTTTGCCCTCAACGCAGAACAATACAATACTCTAACTACTTTCCAAGAAGATGACCACACCATGGACTTTGGCGATAAGCCATCTGGACAGCCGCAACCATCAAACCTTCAACAAGCCCTTGCAGCCATGCGAGGAAATAACGATGGCAGAATGTCGGACGTCTATTCGCGATCATTGATGTGGGACCGTGTTCCTGAGAAAGTCGTTCGTGATTTCCAGCGTATGGTTCGGGAGTGCGGTGCGACCAAGTGATCTCCTACTTGCCCCTGTTTCGGCCTTTGAGCTCTGCTCTGCTGCTTGCAAGTCAATCGATACCGGCATGGTACAAAGACTAGGCTGGCCTAGCCTTACCACCCGGCCTTATCTGATCAACCCATACATCTTCATATGAATACGACAGGAATTTCAAAGCGTACGGCGCGCTTTTCAAAAGAACGGCCGGTAGCCCAACGCTCCCCTCCACCTATATATATTTATCCCTCATTTCCTTTGTTCATATCAGATGTGTTTTTTCTACGATACGAATCTTGCATGATGATATGACTACTCTCGAACTTTTTGTGTGTTGTTTGGCTTTCTGTTTCCGTGTCTGTGTCAGCACTTTTAGCGAAGCGAGTTCAGCAAGCGTTGTCTTTTGTTTTTTCCTGATTTCTGCAGTTCTTTCGGCGTTGCTTTTTTTAACGAGTTTGATAACGGTCGGATGGATTGATGATTTTACGATTGATTGACTTGTTTACCGAATTGACGAAGAAAGAAAAAAGAGACCCTCCCTTTCCAAGCCATTGGAGTTTCCAACTTGGGGGATTGATGTGTGCGAACACCAGGGTTTTATGACTTGTTTTTGTTCCTTTATTCTTGTACATTTTTTTTTCTCTTGACCACTACTGAGTGAGTCACGGTCTTGTTTCAGAATGATTATGTTTTTATATATTTTCAACATTGAATGTATCTACCTATTCTACCACTTCTCCCATCCTCATCCTTTACCTTCATACTCTGTGGCCCTATATATGTACGGCTATCTCACTTCTTTGTTCTTCGCGTTTTGCGGATATTGTCCTTCAAGCATATCTCTATATAACGACAGCAAATTACCAGATCTCCAGTTACGAGTCAAGAAAATGATTTTCTTTTCTTCTATGTATGGAAACCGTAAATCATAAGAAGTGGTGAAGCCAGAGGACACCTGGGCATCTGGACATAGAGGAGTTGATCTTGGTCAGGTCTGTACATGTATATCTCCTGTCTTCTGAAGAAATCTTTCATCACAAATCCTCCCCATCTCAGAAAGATGGTGACTACGTAATACTCAATGCAAATAATTAAATGTAATTCTTCTTCCATTTAATGTTAATCATACAGCGAGACTAAGAGGCCCATTTCTCAAGCCCATAGCTCAAGAAACTAGAAGCAAGACTATTCCTCCGCTGCCTAGTCTAACAAAGTCCAAATCCAAGTCAAAGGCAAGGGTATCAGACGTCCAATCAACAATCCTAACGATATAGAAAAGAAAAATAAACCGAGGAATGGTTTTGAACGCCAAGTACGCATGGCGATGCGATGCAGTCATATCATGGTCATAGTATTGGCATGATAAATGTATGTATGAACCACTGAAGGGACATATTTGCAAAGAGGGGACTGACTCAATGTTCTACGCCTCTCTATTTCTGATCACTGTACTGTCAGTTAGTTTCAAAAGAGCTGACGAGGTTGAAGTGACGAGCTTAGAAGTGGACAAAGTCCTGCTGTCCCGAAAGCTCTCTATCGTCAGTACCACCCTCGACAAACTCCATCATGGGCTCATCCTCATCGGAATCAAGCTCATCCGAGTCAACGTCATCCGAGTCGATTTCGTCATACTCTTCTTCTTCACTGGATACATCCTCCTCGTCCTCGTCCTCACCATCGGGAGACGTCTTTGCAGCAGCAGTGGCTTTTCTAAGTTGTCCTGCGCGGTCAACATGGGGCAAGGTGCATTTCTTCTTTTTGCAGACCCCCGTGTTGGCATAATCAGGGCATTCATAGACATGTCGATCAGTGCATTCTGCGCCCTTTTCGCAATATCCCAGTACTGCAAAATCGCGGCAGACGGGTGCTCCAGGCGTGACGCGGACATGTGTGTAGCGACATTCCGGGTTTGAGCAGCGGCCTCGAAGGAAATGGACACAAACAGGTGATCTATGAGGTGATGGCTCATGCGAGAGGTCACAGCTATCTCCTGAGCGACATTTACCAGTTTGCAGAAACTCTTTGCAGATTGCCACTTTATTTGCGTCGTGGATGTACGGGCAGTCGGGTCCCTTGTAACATGATCCTAAAAACGAGAAATTAAGTCAGTATCAAGAACTTATCTACATACTTGTATTTTGATAACACCAAGCGCGCGGCCTTGGCGTCGTATAGAATAGTTGTGTAGTAAGGAGAGAATCGGGTACCCGTTCGAGAGAATCGCTTGCACAGTTCATTTTTCCTCTTGATTTTGCTCGGTTTCCTGCGTGTAGTTTGAGTTGTAGCGTGATCTTTTGGTAGGACTGCGATGTCGAATACGCACCTCTTAGCCACCACAGCGCCGAGACGGTGGAGGTTCCCTTTCTTGCTGCGAACAAAGGTGACACCTCCGACGACCACTTTCTTCGGTGTGGCGTTTGCGTTTTTGGGGTCGTCTGATAAGGTCAGTATGTGATGAATAAACAATCCATGGAAAAATACATACTCGATTGCCGGATCAATTTGCTTCCACCTCGTACCACCTGAAAAGGTGTATCGTGTATGTATATCTGATACGAAGACGATGGCTGAGTCGCAACACCGCTTGGCCCTGCTGCAGGAGTGGCATGCACACTGTGAACACCCTGGGCGTATCGCATGACTTTGGCCTCCTCCGCCTTCGCCCTCTTCTCGCGTTTCGTCTTTTCGGTTTCTGCGATAGCTTTTGTTCGTGCTTGGACTTCTTTGTCATAGATGGATGTGTTGATTAGTTGCATATGACGGTCTCTTTTCGCAATCCATCCATTTGTGCTGGCCGGTGGCGGCGTCGCGTTGTCGGTACTGTCAGTTTTCGATGCGTCTGCCGTGTTATTGTTGAGAATTAGGGTACGGTTTCTATGCGCTGCTGGGCGACCCCTAGCACCTCGTCCGCGATAAGGAGCCCATCCAGCGCGAGGATGACGGGCATGGTAGCCGGTAGGAGGTGCTGGATGTTGGTGTTGATTCTTGTGTTGGTTGATTTGGCCTGCGCGCGTCAAATTTATGGTTCTACTTGGAGTTACTTTAGAAAAGGACTTACCAGCTAGCTGGCCGATCTTGGCTAGAAGCTCTTGCTCTTCTGTCATGTTTGACTGGCGATATATGTGTTGAGTGAGGTGAAAGCAAGTTGGATGGATTAATCTAAGGTCTTGGGAGATGCCGCCACTTCTCTCATTTGCCGCTTCATGCTCAGTCACGTGCCAGATTGTTATCTAACCAACTTGAAAATAGCAACAAAGCTGATGTTAAGTGGATATTTAGTTAACATTGAATTAAGAGTGATAATATCATTACCTTCGTTCCAAGAGTCAGATAGGCTTATAGTGATTGCTGGTTGTGAGTGATCCCCAATCTAATTTATCAAAGAACGAAGTCACCAGAGCAATAGACTCAAATTGTATGTATCAAATGGTCAAATAATAAAGAGAATGACCCATATGCCCTTCCTAGATGTTGTACAGGAGCTTCTTTCACCAACTCAAAGTACAGTAGTTTGCACGTTCAGAGTAACAACTCACACTCTCTTCTCTTTCCTCTGAAACAGCGCTAGGAATTTCCTAGTCTACATACAGCTAGATCCAGAATAACTCTGGCTCGTGTAACCTTCACCTTGGGGTATTGCGCATACGCAGACTTGATACGCCCGTAAATTACATGTATCGCTGCCTGGACTGAGATAACTTGCCATTTCCGAGTCCCTTTCATTCCTTCCTTTAACACCAGTCACTAGAACATAAGACAGCCTTACACGGGAGACCACTTACATATCTACTGTTTACAGTGAGATCTAGAGCTTCAGAGCATCCATGGAAGTCTCTGGGAATTCGAGGTCATTCCTTTGTGCGTTAAGTGGCTCAGGCCGTGTGATGTGGAAAATGTGGTCAACTCGAGAAATTCCACGATACATTATATTACAGTAACCTGCCCCGGTGTGTATATGCCAGCAATGTCCAATGCCTTCACGGAACTTGAAAGAATGATGTTATCAAAGTTAAATAGTTTAAGTAGCCTTCCACGTAGATTCTTGTTCTCTTCACTTCCAGGCAGACGTCAATCAAGTTGTCGGGTCCATAGGAACGGCACAGGACATAATATGGTAGGTGAATGCGATACACTCAATTGTCGTTTCAGCGCTTCGATGACGTCGACAGTTCTTCAAATTCAGGCAAGATATATAAATTCGACGGCTGGCGGAGGTGGAACAGTTAAAGCAATAAGCCTATCATCGCCACTGCGACTGGCTGAAAAACATTCGCCTGTACAGAGGTTGTTTCTTGCATTAGCAGAGTCCACGGGCATGATGACCAGCAGCTGATACAGGTAAACTCGGAAAGGAACGCCAAAGAAATTTGATACGTACAACTATAGATCGTTCAGCATCCGATCCCGACTTTGTGCTTGTAACTGCACCCCCAGTTGCAGCAGTTGCTGGAGCTGTAGTAGTAATAGCTGAAGCTGCAGTGGTAATAGCCGAAGCCGCAGTGGTGGTCACAGGCTGCGTGTCGCCTCCGAAACTTGCGAAACATACACTCGAGCTTGCTTGGCCACAACAGTTGTCGACTCGTGTCTGTCCTAGACTTGTGCAGAACTGGCATACTCCGTCGACCTCTTGCTGAAACAGCTGGCTAGCGGCGCTGGCAGGCAGACTTGAAGTGTTGGGTAGTCCGTGAAGGTAGTTCGTGCATATCGATGCTGATGCTACTAATTCGCCTGAAAACGTGGCTGGGATCGTAGTCGCACCAATAAATTGAGAGAAAATGGCCGAATCTGCTCTGGTTAAGGCCACGAAGGTAAAAAGGAGGGTTTTGTAAAAGAGATTCATGGTCGAAGATCTTCTCAGTAGTATGATGATGAGTAGTTTCAGGATACCCTGTATCTGTCCGTCAGATATTGTTGTAAACTCGGTGCTTGATCTTACTTTTAGGCTCTTGGATGTGCAACTTTGTCAGGTTTGCGAGAAGGGATAGATCGATTATTCTTATAACTACCCCTTTTTACCAAGTTCGTGACTCAGTATATTGATATTTAAATTTACTAAATCGATGAAATTGTGCTAGGATCGGGAGATGAGTTCGCTATATCAAGACGCTAATTGGTCATCATGTGAGATGGGAAAGGCGTCTAATATGCAATGCCGGACAGAATACGAGAAAACACCCCTGATGAGCTGGTTATTAAGGTTCCTTGGGCACATGGTTTATCTCTTCATCTTGTCGTGCAACAGGCGAGATGGACTCTGATCCTTGATTGACGAATGGTAGACACCCTCGCTTTGCAGCCCCAGAATGAGTAAGGCTAGCGTGCCAGGGGAAGCGTGCCCCGAAGAAGCAGGCAGGCACCTAGTTCTTACTGGCGGTAATGAAAGGGGCTTCAAGTTTCTGGACAATGTCAGATCTTGCTGTAGACTAAAGCTGCTACAAGGGAAGGAGAGAAGCCGTCGGAGTTGGCGGAGAACGCGTGGAGATAGACTCTGAAGGTGCAAACTGCTGTAAATAGCCAATAACACCATCGCAAAATCAAAACGCCTCCGTGCATCAAGTAAATTTCGCAAGAGGCGAGAATATCAAACATTCTCAAATTGCACATCTTCAACATCCGAGGTACCCCCCATTTCCTCATCCTGCTCCATTTTCATTGCGCCGTTCTCTTCGCCTACTTGGCCCATTATGATATTCGCATAATTCGTTTCTCTAGCTTCCGGTTTCAGTTCCCATGTCATGGCAAAGTCGCCGGTTCTGACGAGATGGGCAACCATTTCCAGGGTCTCTTTGAGGTATTGTTCGGGCTGGTTTGTCCTGGCTTTGATATCCGCGAATTTCCAGTGAGAATACTCGCGAAAGAGGCCAAAGATTTCGTCCAAAAGCACGTTTCGCTCGCGACGGGTAGCTTTATTTTCTTGGGTACGAGCTTTGACGGGTTTGGCTTGTTGCTGTTGGTTGTTAGCAGCCATTACCAAATGAGACAGATAAATAGAGCTTACCACAAATCCACCGACAGTTCCGGCAGCAACTTCTCTGACGTTCGGTCCCTTGTGTTGTCTGATATCAATCAGACGCACCTTTCCTCTCGGCTCAAGCGCCTTCAAGGCTTTGGCTTCGGATATGCGCTGATATTCTGCGTTTTCGACTGGCATACAGTTAAACTCATCTGCAACCTTTCCAACAAGCGCCGTTTGCTCTGCGACGCGTTAGTCAACACCCTACCGTGGGTACCGCACAAAAAAACTTACTAGGTATCGTCTTTCGCACATATGGCTCCCATTTCCTCTTGGTCGCTTTCTTTCGCGCCTCCCTTTTCATAGACTCGTATAGCATAGAGCGCGTCTCGCCAAACATCTCATCAACCTTGTTTTTGTGGCCGGGTAGGTCCTTTTCGCTAAATATATAACTGTTCTGTACCGCGAATGAACCACTTTTGGGGTCGACGTTTTGTCGCTGGAGGATGTAATCTTTCGGGATGTCCGTACTGTGGGGGCTATCATTCAACCGCAGACTGATCTGTAGAGGGCGCGTGTTAACGAAGTATGAATATCTTGAGGAGACAGACGTACCCGTTTGATGTCGTGAGCCTCGCCCTCCACTCGGACAGTGCCGATCTGAATCTCCTCGTCATCATCTAGTTGCGACCAGTGCTTCCACAAGTCTGTCGGTATCCTCGTTAGCCACACATTCTGTCCTGCTTGTGTAAAGTCTAGGTCTCCTGTGTCTTCGTATAGGTCGTCGTCTGACAGTCCTGCAAGGTCTTCCTTGCTATCTGGATCAGGTTTGATGAAGGGCGCAGCTCCAGGTTCTTGTTTGATAGGCGCGGCCATATCGTCGGCGTTGTCCTTGGACTTCGAGTGCGCGCAAACCGATAAGATAGCGTCGAACAGTAAGCAATTTGTGTGATTTCGCTAATATGAGTGCGATGGCGAGATATACAACGCGTGGTTGTTTATTGACTTGAAAGTGAGGTCGTTTAGCAGAGAGCGGATTCGAGCTCCAATCTCGGTGGGGCGAGAAGCGCGGGCGGTGAGATGCTGTCGCATGAGATCATCCATCGACTTTCTCATTTACTCACCTCAAAATGTCTATGCGAATTGTTCTTTTGAATATAAGAGGGTCAGGGGTATTATTCCCAACGCTATCTAGTAATTATTCGAACTTCTATCATTCAATCTTCGCCGAAACATTGGAGTATCACGCGTTTATCATAAAGTGCTGATAATAGAGAGTTCATGCTGAAACATGATGAATCGATATTGCAGGGGATTCAATCATAAGCATTTACTTCAGTGAGGTAGTCAATATCAAAATATGTACGTAGTAGCATCTTGTCTGTGGCAGAAAATGATGCGGAGATGCTGCCTTATCGATAAGTGCGTCTTTAATTGGCAGCTCCGCCCACCATCAACAACCACTCATTCCTCCAGACTTTCCCCTCACGACACTGATCCTGTTCATCCCACGATTCCATACCGAAACAACATTCATCATCCCTACTGAGCACACAAGAATAGATCTCTCAGCTTATGGCCTCTCAGAAAGTGGCCTCCGCCCTTGCGGAGATCGAATCATTAACCAGCCAAGCAACCAAAGCACAACTCTACAACGACCTCTTAAGCAAAATCGTCACCACCTCCACGGGCCACGAACTCTCGCAAGACCTCATATATTACCTCGATTCCATTCTTAGCGAAACTGTCAGCATCGTTGCCGCACGACCCCTCCTCGATTCCTTTATTATTGTCCTCCGCGACCTTCCCTCAACCATCAAAATTAAAGTCGGACAACATGCTGTGACGCTTTTACAGTCTCGATCCGCGTCTGTCGAGGAACAAGACTCAAACATTCGTGAGATCTTGGCGGATGCGTATGAGGAAGAGGAGGAATACAGTGCGGCAGCGCGAGTGCTACAAGGGATTCATCTTGATAGTTCTCAACGACTTATTACAGATGCGGCAAAGGCGCGAATGTGGATCCGCATACTCAGGTTATACTTGGAAGAAGATGATACGACGAATGCAGAGTCTTTTTTGAACAGAATCAAGAATCTGCCTAGCAAGATTGAAGATCCTGAATTGAAGCTACACTTTCAACTCTCTCAAGCTCGTATTCTCGATGCTCGCCGTCGTTTCCTGGATGCTAGTCAGGAATACTTCAATGTCAGCCTGGCTGCCGGCGTCGATGAGAGCGACCGACTCCACGCTCTCTCTGCGGCAATCATCTGCGCTGTCCTCGCACCCGCAGGACCACAACGATCACGCACACTAGCACGTCTCTACAAAGATGACCGCGCAACATCCGTCGACGTCTACTCCATCTTGGAAAAGATGCATCTCGACCGCCTCCTAACACCAGAAGAAGTCGCCGCCTTCTCGCAAAAACTACAACCCCATCAACTCGCAAAGACCGCCGACGGATCAACCGTACTGGACAAAGCCGTGATTGAGCACAATCTGGTCGCTGCCAGCAGGCTCTATGAGAACATCAAAATTGATGCGTTGGGTGCTATCCTAGCCCTCAAAGATTCAAGCGATGAGACCGCGGGCGAAAAGGCAGAGGCATACGCTGCTCGTATGGTAGAACAGGGTCGTTTGAAGGGCAGTATTGATCAGATTGATGGCGTTATCTACTTTGACTCGGATATCTCGGGTGCTGGAAATACGGGCACGATGGGTAGGAATATACGGCTTTGGGATGCGGGTGTTGAGAGTGTTACGGAGGATGTCGAGAGGGTCGCTGCCAGTGTGGCGGATGCATTTCCGGTGAGTTCAAGCAGTTTGTTTGCAAATTTCATCGGCTAATTCGTGACTGTATCTAGGAGCTTGCTACTTCCCAGATGGTCCAGTAGACGATTAAGAAGCCTAGAATATATCCGATGGTTAGACAGTCGCCTTTATGATACTAGAGCTTCTGATTATCCACCAATAATAAATTAAATTAGACTTTTAAAGATTCAACTTTTACCTAAATTTTCTTAATGCTGAGCCCCGTTAGCGTCAGATTAGAGTATGTAGCAAAGCTAGGATTATCCAGGTCGTCAATAGCCGAATTGAAGAACTGGGGATGTTGTCACCCCGGAATTCGGAATCCTTGCACGGTTTACTTGCCATTGTTGAAATCGATTTGATAGATAGATTTTTCTCCTACCTCTCGAAATTGATCATAACATACAGACAGTCAATCAAAATCTCTCAAGAACAAAAAGTCCAGACCCGACCATATCTATCGGTGCTCTACCCGTGCCTAACAAGTAGCAATAGCCGACTAACGATTTGATCCTGTATACTAACCATGCCTAGAGCCACAGCATAAATGTGATGTTCAGTCATGCTACCATAAACAGAGCTGTACAATATACGATTATCTCGGTCGATAGAAAACAAATAACAGAGTAAATACTAAGCAGACAATGCCACGGCTTGGACAGTCCCCACAGAATTTCAGTCTCAAACACCTCGCTATAATTTGTGCCGAGGCATCGTGGCCGTTTCGGGTATGGGCTGGGACTGCACGATCTGGTCCGGAGTAAGTGGAACCCGAGAGGCAGCCGGACGGAGTGGTTTGGAGGCCGATTGCCTCAAATACGTAGTATGTTGAAAATTGTTGAGAAATAAAAGAATTGAAAGGGTTGGATGTACATATAAAGCCGATGAAGATGTAGACTCGAGTGTTACATAGAAATATACGGCGTATCTGTGTGTTGCTTTGTAAGTATGGAGGACATATGAAGATGACGTCGATGACCTTCACATGTGAAACTGCCAAACATTTTACTACTAGTGGTAGTAGTACCAGCTGGGTACGATCTGGGGAAATAGTACTACATATATCAGGTGAGTCTAGTTGATAACATAGCTAAACAAACTACTAACTGGAGCATAGCTGCTGAGCTACGGTAATTCTTCACATGTGATGCATTCATTTTCTGTCTGACTGTACGGAGTAGGGATGGATACGACGCTATACGGAGATTTACTCAACTAGTTAGTCGTCCACTCGTCCACCGCCTAACAATCTCTGCCTTGAACAGCCGAGTAAATAATTACAGACAGTAGTCAATAATAAAAATCATTCGACACTGGACACAAATGTAAAGTATGTAGATAGTATGCCCCCACGTGAGAGTGCTCGTACTAAGAATTAGCAACATGGGGGCTCGGATTGGTGCCCGTGGTGTCTGAGTGGATCTCGAATTTACCTCGGCCGAGTGACCGACCATTAGCCCATTCCCGGCCAGCTGCTTCCTTTGCTCGGTGCTCTTTCTTCCTTAAGAACATCCTCTCGTCTTGTTCGTCTCCTCAACCCAACTCTTTACTTTCTCCCTCTCTTACTCGAATATCCACCTCACACGTTAATCTCCTTTTTTATTTCTTTTTTGTGATACCCCATACATATCCTACATCATCATGGCTCCCAGGGTCATTGTCGTCGGTGGTGGTTGTAAGTTGCGCCAACTCCCCAGATTCCATCCCCGCAAACTGTCAATCTGGCTAACATTGACTCTTAGTGTCTGGTCTCAGTGCCGCCCACACCGTCTACTTGAACGGTGGAAATGTCCTCGTTTTGGATAAGCAGAGTGCGTCTCGTTTCGAGTTCCTTTCGCCATCGTAGCTAACCTGGTTGTGCAGGCTTCTTCGGTGGCAACTCCACCAAAGCCACATCCGGTATCAACGGTGCTCTCACACGAACACAGACCGATCTTGGCATTCAAGACAGCGTCAAGCAATTCTACGAAGATACCCTCAAATCCGCTCGTGACAAGGCCCGTCCCGATTTGATCAAGGTCTTGACCTACAAATCCTCCGCTGCAGTCGAGTGGTTGCAGGACGTGTTCAACCTTGATCTTACCTTGGTTTCCCGACTTGGGTACGTCTTTTCTTCAATACGCTAAGATGATACAAAGATGATGCTGACAATAGAAGTGGCCACTCCTTCCCTCGTACTCACCGTGGTCACGATGCCAAATTCCCCGGCATGGCCATCACATACGCCCTCATGCAGCGACTCGAAGAATTGACCGAGGCTGAGCCCGAGCGTGTTCAGGTCATTAAGAAGGCTCGCGTTACTGCCGTGAACAAGGAAGGTAACCACGTTACCGGTGTCACATACGAAGTCAACGGCGAGACTCATACCGCCGACGGTGTTGTCATCTTGGCCACTGGTGGTTATGCCGCCGATTTCACCGAAGACTCTCTCCTCAAGAAGCACCGTCCCGACACTTTCGGTCTCTCCAGTACCAACGGTACCCACGCCACTGGTGACGGTCAGAAAATGTTGATGGCTATTGGTGCCAACGGCATTGACATGGACAAGGTCCAGGTCCACCCTACTGGTTTGATTGACCCCAAGGATCCCACTTCCAAGTGGAAGTTCTTGGCTGCCGAGGCTCTCCGTGGTGAGGGTGGTCTTTTGTTGAACTCTGACGGTGAGCGATTTTCCGATGAGTTGGGTCACCGTGATTACGTGTCCGGTCAGATGTGGAAGGAGAAGGAGAAGAAGAAGTGGCCCATCCGCTTGGTCCTCAACAGCAAGGCCTCAAACGTTCTTGACTTCCACACTCGCCACTACTCTGGACGTGGTTTGATGAAGAAGATGACTGGAAAGGAGTTGGCCAAGGAGATTGGCTGTGGCGAAGCTGCTCTTAAGAAGACTTTTGACGACTATAACCTTATTGCCGAGGGTAAGAAGAAGGATCCTTGGGGCAAGAAGTTCTTCCATAACCTGCCTTTCAGCATTGATGACACTTTCCACGTTGCCTTGATGGAGCCTGTGCTTCACTTCACCATGGGTGGTATTGAGATTAACGACAAGGCTCAGGTCTTGAACTCTGAGCAGAAGCCTTTCGATGGTCTTTATGCCTGTGGTGAGTTGGCCGGTGGTGTCCACGGTGCCAACCGTCTCGGTGGTTCGTCTCTGCTTGGATGTGTTGTATATGGTCGTGTCGCTGGTGACAGCGCCAGCCAATACCTCTTCCAGAAGGTCCTCACTGGCGGTGCTTCTGCCGCCCAGCAACGTCTTGGCCAGATCTCACTGCACATCGACCCCTCCACTCCTGGAAAGATTTCAGTCGAGTGGAATGGTTCCGAAGGCAAGGACCCTGCTTCTGCTCGTGTTGAGGCTCCTGCTGCTGCCGCTACTCCTGCTACTTCCGCCCCCGCCAAGTCTGCCACTCCCGCAGCTAAGGATGTCTCTGAATTTAAGGTTCCGGAGAAGGAATTTACCATGGAAGAAGTTGCCAAGCACAATAAGAAGGATGACCTGTGGATTGTTGTCAAGGGTGTTGTCATGGACGTGACCAACTGGCTGGACGAGCACCCAGGTGGTGCTCAAGCTTTGTTCAGCCACATGGGTCGTGACGCATCAGAGGGTACGTTTTTCTCCTTTCTTGTTTATGACCTATACTAATTATACGTTACAGAATTTGAAATGCTCCACGACGATGAAGTCATCCCCAAGTACGCCTCAGAGATTGTCATTGGCCGCGTTAAGGGCCAACAGCCTCGTCTCGAATACTAAATAGCTTGACATCTATATAAAATATCCCCACCAAAACATAGATGGGTCACTTTTGTTTCGTTTGTAATGATGGATATCTGTTCATTTCAAGGAGTTTGATCTAGTTGTTAGCTTTTACGTTATGTATATTTACGAATGAATTCTTTTATCTTCATCTTCATCATTTGATTCTATAAATTTTACTATAAACGAGCCATATGCCTCAAAATCATCTTCAACCTTTTCACTGCTGGCCCGTCTCCATCCCCGCCTTCACCATCTTTGTGCACTTCTTTTTCCTTAATTTCGGTAGCTGCAGCTTCCACCGCCGGCCTTAGATACCCCCATACCTCATCGCCGTATCGCTCGTCGACATTAAACCATTCCTCCGCCCCGATCAAATTCGCAATAACCTCGTTCCGTAGCGCGTCATTATTTGCGTTGATAGTGCTGGTATCGTGCTCCGAGAAAAAGGAGTCTATATCTGGCACGAGACTTAATGCCGTGATTTTCTTTTGCTGAAGCTGCTCTGGTTGTTGTTTTCGGAATGAATCGAGAATCTGCATTTCGGCAGGTGAAAGACCTCGCGCTAGAGCATGAGGAAATCCTTCGCTGTCTAGCGGGTCGTTGTCGTCGAGATCAAATCCAAGCCCGTTATCCGTTCTGTCGTAGTGCTCGTTCTCGTCATCGTCCCATGTGACGAGACCCGGTTGAAAGGATGGATCTGATAGCATCATGACCACTTCCGCGCCATCATGTTCGTTTTCATACTGTGTCTGGGATTGTGCTGTAAAATCATTGAAGTCGGATTGTGATTGAGATGAGCGTTTACTCGGCGTAGATTCAGTAGATGTAGATCTATACACCGTCCCCGAGCGAGAAGCGTTTATCCATGCTATTTCGTACGCGTTGAAGTGGGATGATTCATATTCGTCTTCTATGTCGATGTTTTGGTCATGGCTGAAATTGTGGTTGTCGTAGAGGGCATGTTCTCTGCTCTTGCCCTTTCCCTTACCTTCTGCTTCATCCTCACGCCGGATGAAATAATTATCAGAGGAGTTGAAGAAGTCTCCGCTGTTCTCAAAGGAGTCAATTTCTGAGACGTCATGGCTATTTGGTTGCGAGGAGCGGAATCCTTCGTGTACTAAGCCAGTGGTATGTCCACCATCCTGATGACCMCCCGCCGAGGAGTTCCCGCCTCCGAATCCGTCGGTACTCCGCGTCTGCCCTGAATATGTTCCCCCCGAAAAAGAAGCAGAAGAAGAAGCTTTATTTCCACTATCCAAAACATGCGCAAGATCACCGGACAGAATTGCGCCGCTTGGTTTCGTGAGTGTATCCTGTATTAGGGTAGAAGCAGAGTTCTGTATTCGGGATAGTAGAGAAGGTTGTTGGCCATTATTTGTGTTTGACGTTGTTGCTGCTGTTGTTGCTGTTGTGGTAGTGGGTTGATCATCTTTCTTTGCTGGAGTTGGATGGCTCTTGTCTGGGTGGTTGGATGACATTTCTTGTTGATTATTTCTCAACTTGATTTATGCATAAGACTATACTCATTTTAGGATGCTGATTTAGTTGTACGTATAAAAGTTGAAGTTTGATGGTTGTCGGATATGTTTTTGATGTAATCCCTCGGCTAGAGAGATCCATGGATATTTGGTGGCTATCATATGCTAGCTCTCTCTTCTCTTTCTACATAGCTATGGCTTCTTTCTTCAATATTGAGGTTTTGTTCGGTAGATATGAAATTTTGAAGCACTAGATTCTCATGGAATTATCTGCTAGTTCCCAGATTATAGTTTTGTATATTCTGTCGAAGCCCCTACATGGATCAACTGACTACTTACCTACATATACATTTCCGGGCCATCGGGCATGTACCCCGAGTCACATTTCTACATAAGCTACCTAAGTACGAAGACGATGGACAAAATTGCGGTGACCATCCCGGTACTAATTGGTACTTAAGCTAGATAGTCTATCTGATGATACCCAGTCATACTAGGTTGAGATACTAGGTGAACACCCGAGTCTTGATCCATTGTCCGAATGCAGCTGTCATCCAGCTTTCGGGCAGCTTAGGTAGCTTAGGTAGCATTCATCAGTGTTCCATCGCAGTCTAGGTAGACATGTCATACACAACAGCACCAGAAAGATCTACTATCTACCAGATCAGGAACCTAAAATAAGAAATCGATCAAGTAGTAACTCGTAATACCATCTCAAAGGTGAGGCCCACTCAGCATTAGTGGTTAGCCTTAGCGATCAGGCTGCCAGGCTAAGCACGGCAGCGGCCGCTAACAAGAACATCCTCTCTCTCTTTAGCACCACCACCTTCACACTCTATCATCATCATCACCMCCCTCCCACCTGCCACTGTCTGCGTCTTCCCCTCCTCTATTTGTGTTCAACCTACCAGTAATCATCCCCCTCTTCTTTTTCTCCCTCTTCGCTCAATTACCGGGTCGCGGGGGTCCTCCAAACACGCACCTACCAACCTCCAACTCGTATTACTTGCTTGCTTGCTGCTGCTACTTCCCCGCCTGTTCCTTAATATCGCAGCATCCTTGACTTTAATCCCATACCAACATCGCGATCCGACGCTTCAAAACGAATCAATTACTTTGTTTCAGGTCAGTCAATTTTTCCTTGTAATTATTCGCGCTTTTTTTCCGTTCAACCTATTTGGCTAGCTGGTTATGCCCTTTTTTCCAATGGCCTCGTGGGTTGATACCGCCACCCCTCGCATCTACTTACCGAAGACAACCATTCACTCATTCCGTTGTTTTTGATTGAGAAAGCTTTTTGTTTGTGTCTTTGGCTATTGCCATTGCATCGTCTGTTTGCATGAACTGCTACTTGTTCCGGACCACCTTCCTATCAACAAACAACCTTCCCGTCTAACACTCGTCTATCCACTTCTTCCCATCCATCATCCCGCTGACAATATCAAAAACAGAATCTCCTTCCGACGCTTGGATAATCCCCGCTCGCGTGCTTTACGTATTTCAACAACTTAGTTACCTCGACAAATTGGCATTTTGAAAGATGGTAGACGGAGATCCAGGGTCACCCACCTGGAAGTTCACACAGTGAGTTCGATATTTTCGCCGGTTGGATGGGTTTGTGTTTGTCAGATCTGACTTGTGTAGATGTTTTGGAGATAAAGGAGATGTAGAGGATATCACAGAAGGTACGACAATATTTTCGGTGTTCATCGAGTTTATGCTTACAGCCACAGCGGATATTATTTCGACCGTCGAATTCGATCACACAGGAAACTACCTCGCCACCGGCGACAAAGGAGGTCGCGTGGTGTTGTTTGAGAGAAATGAGACGGTAAGACTAATCGACTAATATTCCCGTCAAATACTAAGTGCGGTAGAAAAAAACATGCGAATACAAATTTCACACCGAATTTCAATCCCACGAGCCTGAATTCGATTACCTCAAGTCCCTGGAGATCGAAGAAAAAATCAACAAGATCAAGTGGTGTAAACGACAAAATGCGTCCCATTTCCTGTTATCCACCAACGATAAGACGATAAAGTTGTGGAAGGTGTTTGACAAGTCACTAAAGGTCGTCGCAGAGAATAACTTGTCGCATGATCTCACGCCGGCCGGCGTTTTGGGTGGTGGTGCCGCTCGTCCTCCGCACATTTCGTTCAGGGATGCATCCGCCTTGAAACTGCCTCGAATGACGCATCATGACACGGTTGTTGCAGCTGTGCCTAGACGGACATATGCCAACGCGCACGCTTATCACATCAACAGTATTTCGGTGAATAGCGATGGCGAGACTTTTATCAGCAGTGACGACCTCCGAATCAACCTGTGGAATCTCAACATCCAAGACCAGAGTTTCAACATTGTGGATATCAAGCCCGCGAACATGGAAGAGTTGACGGAGGTCATAACGGCGTCAGAATTCCACCCTACCAGCTGCAATTTCTTCATGTATGCCAGTTCAAAGGGAACCATCAAGATGGCCGACATGAGACAAAGAGCTCTTTGTGACGAGCACTCAAAGCGTGAGCTTTCTCCTATTCTCTTTGATTCACAATTTTTTTCTTCGTCGTACTGACAATAGTAGAATTCGAACAAGAAGAAGATGCGTCGTCGCGGTCATTCTTTTCCGAAATCATCTCCTCTATTTCCGACGTGCGATTCTCTCATGATGGCCGATACATCCTCTCCCGTGACTACCTGACCGTAAAGATCTGGGACGTCAACATGGAGCGCCAACCTATCAAGACCATCCCCATTCACGAACACCTCCGACCGCGACTTTGCGATACATACGAGAATGACAGCATATTTGATAAATTTGAGGTAGTGTTTTCGGGCGACGCAGAAAACGTGATGACGGGCAGTTACAACAACAACTTCATGATCTACCCGACCGACCCCGACAAGGAGACAGAAGTTGTATTGCAGGCGGACAAGTCGGCATTCAAGGCGAAGAAGGTCGGAGTGCCTACGCCTATTAATAAGAATGGAAAGAAGAATGGATCAAGGGCCAATAGCCCTGCTGGTGCAGGTTCACGCATGAGGAAGGAAACCGACGCAGATCAGATTGATTTCAATAAGAAGATTCTACATATGAGCTGGCATCCATTCGAGGACAGCATTGCTATTGCGGCTACGAACAACGTATGTCTCTTATTCCGATCGTTTGTGGATTATACTAACGCACTGCGCAGCTCTTTGTTTTCTCAGCATTGTAATGAACGGAATGAACGCAATCGGGGTTCTGTGGCTGGTGTGTAGACAAGAGGTTTATTTATCTCAACGTACTACACAGCAATTACTATCTTGTTTCTATGTATCCTAGGCGACTCGGTGCATACCGACAAGGGAATTGCAGTATACAGCAGACAGAGCTCTATATTTAGGCGACTAGTAGAATAGTCTGTTCTCAATGCTAGATGACTTGGTTTTAACAGAATACCTATGCAGTAAATATGACAATAATAAAGCTAGTAGAAGACGTCATTACAGCACGGCACTAACCCGATTGAGACCCCCGAAAAAACCTGTGACATCAGCCAATCAGCGTGTCGTTGATTGAGCTCCTCTCGGCGATACGTAATTCCGCCCCCGCGCAATCAAAGTCCGGCAGCAGCGAATGAAAAACAGATTCCCCTGTTACTGCCATGTCATACCGCCCTCCGGAGTCGCGCCCATACTTTACCGATTAGACAAGAATCTCCTCTCTGTCGTACCTAAGCTTGTCGCAACCCTCTTCACTCTGTCGAAGCACACTTACAACGCAAAAGAGGTCGAGTGTGAGACGAGATACACTATACTCTGTGTTTCGAACGGTGGCCTTTCTTTCCCACTGTTTTAGATCTACTGTGCAGAGAAAGCAGCCTGTTACTCAGTCATGTCCGTGGCAGTTCTCCCTTAGCCCCGGATCTGGTCTCCTCTTTACTTCTCTTTCTTCAAGCTCTTTTTGCAAGACAGCGAGCTCTTTTCGGAGGAGATTCGAGAAGTGGCTCTGGAGTTGCTGCGATCAGAGCTGTGATTGCTACTTTTTGTGCTCTCCTGGTTTTTCTCCTCTCATGATAGTATGAATCCCTCTGGGAACGACGGTTGGCACTCTTCGACTGGAGGACCGCCCTCACATTCGAGTATGGAACAACCTCGTCCTTTGGGGTCCTATGGGTATGTTCTATTTGAATTATTGGTTTGCGTTTTCGCAAGCCTTGGTTGGAGCTTCACTGACGTTGTTTCTTCTCAGGCAAAMCCCTTCGCAGCAGAATTCGTCATCGCAACAAGCCGGTCCTGTCCTACCACCGCCAGGGGGTAAGTGTTTCTCTATTTGAAAATCATATAACGGCACGTATGTCGGAGTATTGGCTAATTTTTTATTTCCCAGGCCCGTACCACCCCGGTCAACCGTCCGGACATTCTCTCCCCGGCCTGGCAGACCTAGCCCAAGGCCACGGCGGACCACATCAACCCTCTCCATACGGCCAACACGCACAACCTCCACATGGTGCAGGTCACTCACTACCCGGCATTGGCCAGGCAATGCAGCACCCCTCCCCACAACTCAACCGCGACCGCGAACGTGACTCCCGCGAGCGCGAAATGCTAGAACGCCAGCGCCACGAAGACATGGTACACCGCGAGCGCGAACAGCGCGAACGAGAACGAGAACACATGGAGCGTCAGCGGGAACAGCAACATACCGTCCAGAGCCACACCGGTTCGATCCCGATTCACCAGCCAGTTGCGTCGAAAGTGCAGAATTCCATTCATGGACCGAATGGGTTGCTTTCGAGTATCGGAGGAGCTGCTGCTGCTGCGGCGGCGGCAGCGAATCCACCACAGGGGTCGCTGCAATCTGGTGGCCCTGCGAGTCTGTTTGGGGCTCAGATGTCGTCACACCAAGATAATGGTCCCAGGCCGTATATGCAACATCCTCAGGGGCCACCGGCGCAGCAGTTACTGGGGTTTAATAATGCTGCGCCTGCACAGATTCCGGGGAATGTAGCGGCGTTGGCGCAGGGTCAGCAGCCTATTCTCAATGTAGGTGCAACCTTGTAACGGACATCTTGATTAATTTGACTAATAGCCATTGGTAGGATGCTCTGAGCTATCTTGATCAGGTCAAGGTCCGCTTTGTTGAACAGCCCGACGTGTACAACAGATTTTTGGATATAATGAAGGATTTCAAGAGCCAAGCGTAAGATCTCCGCTCGCTGTTGCGCATTGTATACTGACGAATGCAGAATCGACACTCCCGGCGTCATCCAGCGTGTATCGAACCTTTTCACCGGTCACCCTGCTTTGATCCAAGGATTCAACACATTCCTGCCTCCTGGCTATCGTATTGAGTGCGGAACAGACGATAACCCAAACGCTATTCGTGTGACTACACCCTCCGGCACAAATACGCTGTCCATGGCTACACGACCTCCTAGGGCATCTCTTGACTCTGCCGAGGAAATGGGTCAATCGGCGGCGACATTGGCTCCGCCAGGCCGTTCCGACTATTATGACCATTCGCGACCAGGCTGGCAACAACCGCAGCATGCGTCTCAGCCAGGAATTACCGGCTCATATTCTCCCAACAGTCGTGTGATGGGTGGTGGTCTTTATGGTCAGCAGGGTCAGAACCAACATCAAGAACAGCACTATGAGTACGAGAACCAGCAGGCACAACAAACTTCTGCAGCTTCTGCGGCTGCTCTCCACCAACAGGAACAACGAGGCGTCGCGCAGTTGCAAAATGCCGCGGCTGTTACTGCTGCTGCCGGTAGAGGATCGCTATTGCAACCGTCCACGGGCACCGCAACTGGCCCTGGGCCTATGAATAACCTGGCTGGTATCGGCTCTAATGTCCTTCAAGGCACTCAAGCAGATTTGAATAAGCGTGGTCCAGTAGAGTTTAACCACGCTATTAGCTATGTGAACAAGATAAAGGTGAGTCGAATCCTTGAACGTCAGATGTTCTGTACTGACCGATTCAGAATCGTTTCGCAAGCGCTCCAGAGATATACAAGCAATTTCTTGAGATACTGCAAACATACCAACGGGAATCCAAACCTATCCAGGACGTTTATGCTCAAGTCACACAGCTTTTCCACACAGCTCCTGATCTGCTTGAAGATTTCAAGCAGTTCCTCCCTGACTCTGCAGCTTCAAACAAACAGCAAGCACAGGCTGGCAGACCTCCTATGGACGAGGCTGCACCTACTAGCAATCTTCGAGGTGAAGCTCCATACCCAGCAAATGGCCCAGCTCAGTCACAGCTTCCTGGTCGTGACGTGAAGATGCCACCTATGGGACAGTTCAATGTGAAAGACCCCGCCAAAGATACCAAAAAGCGTCGAGGTGCTCCGCTCAATGTGAATACTCTAGGTGCTCCTATTGCAGGATCTTCTGCGGACGCTTCCAGAATGGGTGATTTGCAATCCAACCGTGCAGGCAGTGTTCAAGCAGTAGGAATGGCTAAGGTGAGTTTTACGGTGATTTCCGCTCTTCACTTCACTAACTTCATCTTAGAGAGCCAAAATCCACCACAACAAACCAATGACAGTTGACGGCCCTGCGGTGTCACCAACTCTGGTGCCTGCTCTTCCAGAGCCCATCCCGCCAACCTTTTCCATTCTGCCCAACAATGACGAATTTGCTTTCTTTGACCGCGTGAAGAAATTCATTGGCAACAAACAAACCTTTGGCGAGTTCCTCAAGCTTTGCAACCTCTACTCCAACGACTTGATCGATCGCAACGTGCTGGTAAAGAGGGCAGCAGGTTTTATTGGATCGAATCCTGAACTGATGTCATGGTTTAAACGCTTCATGCATATCGAGGAGGCAGAAGATCGTGTCATCGATCTAAAACCAAAGCAGGAACCTGGTCTAGTGAACCTTGCTCATTGTCGATCGCTTGGGCCTAGTTACCGTCTTCTGCCTAAACGCGAGCGACAGAAGCCATGTAGCGGTCGGGATGAGTTGTGCTACAGTGTGCTCAACGATGAGTGGGCTTCTCACCCAACATGGGAGTCTGAAGATTCTGGCTTCGTGGCCCATCGCAAGAACCAGTTTGAAGATGCTCTCCATCGCATTGAAGAAGATCGTCATGACTACGACCATCACATTGAGGCGTGTGTGCGAACTATCCAGCTCATCGAGCCTATCGTCCAGCAGTTTTTGGTGATGTCTGAAGCCGAGCGTGCTGCCTTTGTACTTCCTCCTGGTCTCGGCGGGCAGAGTGAATCCATTTACAAGCGCGTTATCAAAAAGGTGTACGATCGCCAACGCGGAGAGCTCATCATTCAGCAAATGTTTGAACGCCCATGCCATGTTCTACCAGTTCTGCTGTATCGTTTGAAGCAGAAGTGCGAAGAATGGAAGGCCAGCCAGCGCGAGTGGGACAAGGTCTGGCGCGAACAGATGCAGAAATGTTTCTGGCGCAGTCTCGACCATCAAGCCATCACCAACAAAGGCATGGACAAGAAACTCTTTTCGTCCAAGAACATCCACAATGAAATCCAGGCCAAGTACGAGGAGGGTAGAAATATTCGCAAGAGTGGCTATCAGCTTCCTTCTCATCAGTTTGAGTTTGAATTTTCAGATCCTGCCGTTATCATCGACGCTACTCAGCTGCTGCTTACATACATTGAGCGCAACACTGGCTTGGGTCAGGATCCACAGCGCGTTGCAGCCTTTATCAAAGATTTTATTCCAATCTTCTTTGGTATGGACCGGGATACATTCCATATTTACATGAATGAGGTGGCTAGTAGCAATGATGAGACGGACGATGACGGTATGGCTGTCGATGGTGCGTCTACCCCTCAAAGTCGTCGCGTTGCTACATCAAAGAAGTTGGATCTTCTCCGTGACGTTCTCGAGCGTCGTGGTGATAAGGGTATGCTCGCAGGCACGGGTGTCAGCCGAGACGTGACGCCAGACGCTATTCTTGTTCCTTCGACCCCAGTACCAGACCCTACAGAGCCGTTTGATGTTTCGGAGCTCAAGTGGATGGAGCATCCTAATCAGGGCAACTTCAACCTCCAGCGTGAGTACAACTTGAACCAGTCATACGAAAAGAAGGTGCACCATCTGTACAGCAATTTGACCGTGTACTGTTTCTTCCGCTCCTTTGAGCTTCTGTACAGCCGTTTGCTGAAAGTCAAGCTCCACGAAAAGGAGGCACACGAAGATGTCCGACGCCAGCTTTTACCCAAGGCTGCCCAGGAGCTTGGATTGCTGGACAAGACGCCTAACGATTTCTTCTATGATACCAGCCCAAACGCCAATCTGTATCAACAGATTGTCCGCATGTGCGAGGAGGTTGTCAAGAACGACCTCGACGGATCTCACCTTGAAGAGACATTGCGTCGGTACTATCTCAAGAGTGGCTACCAGTTGTACAATCTCGAGAAGATCCTGAGTGGCATTGCTCGATTCGTTGCCGCTATTTTCAATGGTGACGTCAAGGATCGTAGTGCTGATATTGTCAATCTCTTCTTCAAGGAGAGGGAGAAGGAAGAGACTACGCACAACCAGGAGATTCAGTACCGCAAGCAGGTTGAGCGAATGATCAAGGACGGTGATATCTATCGCGTTACCTACGTATGTTACACCGCTGACAAACTACTGATACATACTGACTATTGCAGAACCCAACGACGCAAAAGACGTTTGTGCAACTGCTCACTGCAGAAGACAGCACTTTTGAAAACGAAGAACTAAGCCAAGAAGCTCGCTGGTCATACTACGTCTCAGCGTACACGATGCGCGATCCCACCGAAGGCGTTTCGTTCTCCCAGATGCGCATGCCTTTCCTGAAACGCAACCTCCCCGCCAAACTCGAGCGAGACGAAGAATACAACCGCTACTACCGCCGTCTAGTGCATCATGACGGGCTGATCATTCGCATCTGCGCAAACAGCTACCATATCCTCTACGAACCCGGCAGTTACGACTGGTGGTGGCGGCCCACAGCCACCAGCCAGGAAGAATCCGAAGAAAACGTGAAGGAGCTGGTAACAATCAGAGAGCGCCGCCACGACCGCTTCCGCGAGAAATTCATCAATAATCCCGGTTGGGCTCACGGGTTGAGTAAAGACGAAGTCGACGCATCTAATCAGAAGTTTCGTGCATGGGTTAAAGATCCCAATGCGCCCGAGGATGTTGATATGGATGCTGGCTCAAGTACTGCTACTACTGCTGCTACTGGCGACGCCAAATCAGAAACCAAACCTTCATCCGATGACCCCGCGACAACCACCAATGGAAAGGAGAGTAATGAAGACGCCGATATGCTGGATGCAGCCGAACCGGGAACCACCAAGACCGAGGAAGAGTAGCCTCTCCTCCTCTAAAATGAACAATGCAATTTTGATTTCCTTACGCGGTCGGTGTGCGGTGGTGGACAGTGGGCGTTTCGCTGGCGTTTTTTCTCTCTCAAGCCGTCTTCTCTCCTCCTTATCCTTTGGTGGTGCCGGTTTATCCTGGCGCAATGTGCATACATACGTTTTGAAGAAAATCTCTACATATGGGAGGATGGTGAAATTGAATCAAATCTTTTTTTATTAAGTTATGGAATGGAATAGGGGTTGGGGGTATGGGAATACGATGATTCTATTTTTCCTGATTGTTTGTGTGTTTAATCGTCCGTCGAGGGATAGTATATGCATCATAAATAGTAGTACGATAAAGAATTGGAGTGCATTTACCTTTATTCCAGTGTCATCTACCTAGGATACGTAGCTGATTAGATCTTGGGGAACCATGAAGCCTTCTCTGACTTTTTCTCCTTGGTAGGTTGTAGCTTATATGATAGATAGTCCTTAGGGGACTGTTTTCAATCGCAACGAAATGAGAAAGCAGCTGTGTAGAGTTTGTTGTTGAGGCTGTATAAGGATTCGTAGCAATAGTGAAGAAATGAATGTACACTAAAGTATTCGGCGTGCGGCTGTCACGCAGCTAGGCACCTACATACATCGATCCATGTACATAGTTACATAAGCCCCTCTTCTTTGTTTACATCATTAATTCACCCTCCACAGCCGACTTCTCTTTGACATAATAATGATGAGAAATATATCGATGAAATGGCATTCCTAGACCTCCCCACAGAACTAATCCTCCTCATCCTCCCCACTCTCTTCGAGCCCGATCTCGCGCATTTACTTCAAGTTCATCGTTCTCTGTATGGTATTGTGCTTCCATATCTCTACCGCCGACATCTCCAAGACAACAAAAACAACAGTACCAAGGAATCTAAAAATGAGGCGAATGGGTTCTTCCTTTGTGTTGCTACCGGCAACAAAGCAGGCGTGCAGCGATTCCTTACCCATGGCGCAGATGTAAATGCTGTGACGAGCGCGGTCTCCATGAGGCACGCGGGTTTTCATGCGATGGGATTTGTGCCGTGGCATGATATGCAAACCCCCTTAAACGTTGCGGCTAATAGGGGCGACGATGAGCTTGTATCTCTCCTCCTCAGCCATGGCGCGGGCGTCAATGGCTCTTTTGATAATCACATTGGAGGAGGTGGTGGTCGGCGCMCCGCCGTTCAMCCAGCCGTAGTCGACGCCCTCCTCTCAAACCACCCTAGCACAGTCCAGCTTTTATTGCAACACAAATCGCCCCTTTCGGGCCCTTACATGGAGCGCGGCGGACTACTCAATTGCGCGATTGCGAGGGAAAACTTGTCGCTGCTCGAGATGCTGGTTTGTGAGTTTGGCGCGGATTTGAACGGGTCGTGGCAGGAGGGTGTTTATCCACTGAATAGAGCGGTGGGGTTGCTTGGCCCCAAGGCAGTGGAGGTTGTGAAGTTTATGCTTGATCATGGTGCTGATGTTGCTTTAGCCAATGGTGATGACGATACTGGCGGCGGCGGTGGTGATGGTGGCGGCCAAAGACTTCTAAACCAAGCAATCCGCCACGGCACAATCGATACATTAAATCTCTTGCTAACCCGCGGCATCGTATCGCCCTCTTCTCATCCGCTAGACAACGACATCTTCCGCACATGGATCGTCGAGCGCTGCACGCCCGAGACAGTGCATCTCCTACACTCTCACGCTTATTTCCGTGCACTAGACGATACGCAGGACGACGTGCTCATGATCGCTGTGCGCGCTCGACGTGGAGATATTCTTCAACTCTTCATCGACAGCGGGGTCGCAGATCTGAATGCGCGACGTACGAGAGGCGGATCGACACTTTTGCATACTGCTGTTGTGCGGTGTAGACCGCTGAGAGAAGGAGGAGGACCACCACCAATCAGATATGCGAACATAACTTCTCGCGCATTTTCAGATCCGTTGGTTCGTAGAATTGAGCCGGATATTGACCCTCTGCACGTCTCGAGTAGGAGGTGCACGACCGAGAACGAAGAAAAGTGTACGCCAGAGGAGATTGTGCGCTGTTTGGTTCGTGGAGGTGCAGATGTACATGCGAAGGATGAGAGGGGGATAAGCCCGTTGGATCTGGCTGAGAAGGGTCCTGAAGTTGTGTATAAAATGCTTGTTGATAGTAGTAGTCCTGTATGATCTTCGAATAAATTGATCTTATCGCACTACCGATAAGCTGCTGCGATAAGATAAAGCTCTCCGTCTCTCCGGTGCAAATACCCGCGACATAACCGAACAGCTCTTTTTTGGCCCTTTTCTGGTTCTACTATTTGTGTAATCAAGAATTGGAGTATTGGATCGGGCTTCTGGGTCATAATCGGGGGACCAATTGCGTGGCTTGTTATGCGCTACGAATGGGGAAATGGATGAGTCGGCTAACAGACGATTACATTGTAGGTACTGTACTTTATGTGTATTACGTCGTATTGTAATGGGGTGTATTTGTATCGGAGCTATTTTTGGGGGACGGTCTTTGAGGTGTGAAATCGATGGATTGTATGAGAATCTGGATGGTTTTGCTTTTGTTATTTAATATTTGAATACTTTTCATATTCTGCTATATGGCTTGTTTTTGGTGAGGTGTCTCGTCCTGTCTGATGTGTATGTTGCCACATGGGACAGGAACATATGAGGCCGGAAGTAGTTGAGGGGTTACGTCACTGATATGAGACGGATCGTTCAGTATTCATTTTTCATTTCTATGTCAACGTTCAACTATCTGAGGCAGGACAAATACACAATCAGTGAGTATGAAATAGCTATTCACAGCATACGCAAAACTATATCTCAAATTTATTTGTAGACAAGGTTATGTTTGCGTATGGATTTTTCCTAAAAAAATACACTCCCCACCAGCGCAGCTCCTGATTGGCCAATGGATCTGTCCGGTAACCAATTTTGGTTTTATGACGGGGTCTGTCAGTCAGCAGTCATACGAGGCCTTTTCTTATAATACTTCTATCCTCCTCCTCCTTCTCCTACTTCTACTCCTTCTCCTCTTACTTCTTCACTTCTTTCTACTTACATGACTCCGGTCTGTGGTGCTGCTACCCAATCCTGATTTTTCTTCTCTCGGCATACCGAACCGGATTGAGAAGGGAGCTATCTCGTCTTATCACCATCTCCACTCTCCTCTCCACTGCTCGTTTCTTCTCTCTCTAAAATCTGGCGGAGACGTTCGGATCAGTTGCGACTGCTTCTATTTCGTGAATTGTTTGATTATTTCTTCTCTTCAAAGATTTGAGAAGTTCCACAAGATATCAAAATGGCCGCCTCAGCTCTACTCAAGAGCCGGGTCCGCCGGCCCTCGTACTTGAACAAATTGGCCAAGGCGGAGGATCTGATTGACCTGTTCCCTCATGGATCGTACATTGGCTGGKCTGGGTTTACCGGTGTCGGATACCCAAAGTGCGTCTCATACTTCAATACTTACCTAAACCGGAGACCGTTTAGGCTAACAGAGTGCTATCTAGGAAAGTCCCAACAGCCCTAGCAGACCACGTCGAAAAGAACAACCTCCAAGGCCAGCTCAAATACAGCTTGTTCGTAGGTGCCTCATCCGGCGCTGAGACCGAGAATCGCTGGGCCAGACTCAACATGATTGAGCGTCGAAGCCCTCACCAGGTCGGAAAGGAGATTGCAAAGGGAATCAACACCGGAAATATTCAGTTTTTTGACAAGCATCTTAGCATGTTTCCTTCTGACCTTGTCTACGTCGGTTCCAATTTTACCATTTAGGGAGGCGAAAAAAGCTAATGGATGTAGGGCTGGTATACGAAAGATCGACCTCATAACAAGCTTGATGTAACTGTCGTCGAAGCTACCGCCATCACAGAAGATGGCGGGATTATTCCCGGTGCATCCGTCGGCGCATCGCCAGAGTTGGTGCAAATGGCGGATAAGATTATCATCGAAGTTAACACTTCAACTCCATCGTTTGAAGGGTTGCACGATATCAGTCTTTCGGATCTCCCACCACGACGCAAACCATATCTCATTCTTTCGCCGGAGGATCGCATCGGTACGCCACACATTCCGGTTGATCCGGAAAAGGTTGTGGCTATTGTCGAGTCGGACTATCCTGATGCCACGCAACCAAACGCGCCTGAAGATGAGAGCTCCCGTGCGATTGCGCGAAACTTGATCGAGTTTTTGCAGCATGAAGTCAAAATGGGACGTCTTCCTCAGAACCTACTGCCTATCCAGTCTGGTATCGGTAATATTGCCAACGCAGTCATTGGCGGTCTCAGCCACGGCGCAAACTTCCATAACCTGAAAGTGTGGACTGAGGTGCTGCAAGACTCTTTCTTGGATTTGTTTGACAGCGGTCACTTGGATTTTGCGACTGCCACATCCATCCGATTTTCGCCAGATGGCTTCAAGCGATTCTATGATGGCTGGGAGCGCTACGCTCCAAAACTGTTGCTCCGCTCACAACAAGTCTCTAACTCCCCAGAGATCATCCGCCGTCTCGGCGTTATTGGCATGAACACGCCTGTCGAAGTTGACATCTACGCTCATGCCAACAGCACCTGCGTTATGGGCTCGCGAATGCTCAACGGCCTCGGTGGATCCGCTGATTTCCTCCGAAATGCCAAATACAGCATCATGCACACTCCCAGTACCAGACCTAGCAAAACAGACCCCACAGGTGTCAGCTGTATTGTGCCTATGTGCACTCACGTCGACCAGACCGAGCACGATTTAGACGTCGTAGTTACCGAACAGGGTCTCGCCGACGTGCGCGGTCTGTCGCCTCGAGAGCGTGCTCGCGTCATTATTGATAAGTGTGCGCATCCGGACTACAAGCCCATCTTGCAAGACTACTTCGACCGGGCAGAGTTTGAGTGTCTGAAGAAGGGAATGGGCCATGAGCCGCATATGCTGTTCAAGGCATTTAATATGCACAAGAATTTTGCGGAGAAGGGGACTATGAAGATTGACTCGTGGGAGTAGACAGCGATCGATCGATAGAAGATGTAAATTAGCTAATATGAGTTCTTCATTACTAAAAAATAGTCTTTGCCACTAAGAGAGAGTTTCTGGCTGATGTCCTGATAGACTCGCGCAGAACCTTGTCAGTGCCAAATTAGGAAATCATGTCTAGGGCTCAGGGCTCCGACAAGGTGCCAGAACGACGCTATAAAATGCTGCGCAACACGCAACCGTCACACTTATTAGACTATTCATAATATAGATTCAAAATTTTCTACTTTACATAGCCAAAGATCAATTTTTCTCCTGCATTTGAGAAGCGTAAGGATTTGTTCTTTCTGCGAGTGGAATACCTAGGTGGGAAAGCCAAGGACAAGTCAAGTATTGTGATCAGGAGGTTGTTTTGTAATGTATCTGAGTTCTAAATACCTAGGTAGTTAATGGATTGGGAAGGATGCGGCAGTGGCACTTGTATCACTGTGAGATGAATATCAGGTACCACACAGGTACCACACAGGTGGTTATATTCAGCTTTGAGGCTGCTGCGTGAGCACAATCTCCCTTTTGCAGAGGATTCGGTTTCAATATCGAAATTCGAAGAGCCGGGGGCGATTCGGACTGTCTAAGGATATAACATCGGACCAGTTGCAACTGGTACGAGGATTCCATGAGCCTCCATTTCGCGCACCAGATTGGCGACCATCAAATCACAGCCGCGAGCAACGACTAAGCTCATCGTTACTGGTGCGTATTCCGTTTTGCCGCTCTTGGTGCTATTGTACGGAATTTCGCCAACTATGAATAGGTTCAATTTCAGTTAGATTTCATGCGATAAGACTAGGAGTGTGGTAATGGGCATAACATACTTGGAACAACCAGATCAGGAACTCCTGCCAAGGGGCCAATGTTGCTATCGCTAAAACCCCAGAAAGGGAGCATTGGCGGCCTAAATTTGAAGAGAACACATGGTCAGTTTTTATGCAGCTGTTGATCAATATCGTCAATGGAAGTTGGTGGCCCATACCCGGAATACGTGTCGCGATAATTCACTGCTCCAACGCTGTTTGGGTATATGTAGATTGCCTGGGAGCAGGTCTCATTGCTTGTGGCGCCAAATCCGACGTCTGAGTTCCACCAGTCGAAAAATATGGTCTTGTTGTGCCAGGCAGTGTCAAACCCAGCTTGTCCGAGATTTCGACCAAGTTGCCAGCGGCTTGCTGGGCTAGGATTAAGGTATGGTGTGCGGCCGTCATGCTTTGCAGCATAATCACTGAAAAAAGAGACTCCAAGATGAAGCCATTGATATACGGAAACAAGGCTTCCGTAGGTCTAAAGTTTTAATTATCAGCTAGGAATTCGCCGCAGAAATATCAATCAGATGACTCACATAGTGAAGCATCTCCTGCAAAGATACCGGAGCATCGGGTGCCCTGGTCATGTTCCAGGTACCAATGATGTCGATATGGGTACGGTTTGTTCCTAGAAACTTTTCGAACTTGCTGACAAAGTCTTCAAGCAAAGCTGATGCGTCGGAATTGTTGATGGCTTCTGTTGAGAAGGAGCTATCTTGATAGAGAAGCTTCTTTGGATAGGAATAGTAATCTCCCTTGTAGTCTAAATACCAACTATGGACCACTCGAGCCCAGGTATCAGCGCTCCGGGCAAAGACTCCAGCCGTATCTAATCCATCACAAAGAGGGATAACATGATCGAGATCGACTGCTCCGGCAGTAGGACGATTTCCGAACAAACCTTCAGCACCGGCTGGACCGCGCATGGAACCCCCTGTATCGCTACCGACAGCAATATCAAGCCAATCATACGCAGCTACGCCTGCTCCAGGACCGGTGGATGAACCGCTAGGGTCTAGATAGCCATCACCCTGGGAAGGTCGGTTACAGATTTGTATTAAAAAAAAAGAGAGAGAAGACTCACTCGCGGGTTAAAAGGGCAATGAAAGTCCACCCAGTCGGCAGTAGGCCGATCGCCGTTAGCAAATTGAACCGTACCCATCTTGCCTATAAATACTGCACCATGGTCAATGAGTCGTTGAATAGCCGTACCGGTGGCATTGCGAGGGTCATAAAGAGAGTAATAGGCTTTATTTCCACCGCTAGTGCGTAGTCCGTTGACATCAAAGATATCTTTGACACCCAATCGAAGCTATTGTAAATGTCAGGATCAATTGAATAAAGAGTGGGAGTGGGCAAATATCTGACCCCCGCCAATGGTTTATCCGAGGTCACCGTAGAATAAAGTCGTGACGGGACTGCCACACTGTTCCCCAACACGCTCTTGTCCACAAATTAGCCGACCTGTATTCGGTAAATCTGGAATGTAATGCTATGAACAACGCACTTCAGAAGTAGCTGAGAGAGCACTATATCCGCCGTTTTCATTGCTGACTGCAGGCTCCAAAAAAGCAGATTGGGTATCTTCATACAGTCGGTGTGCCTTGAAGACCTGCCCTGTTTTTGCGGATAGAAAGTAGGGCCCGTTGGGGAGGGCCTGCGTGGTGCGAGTTTTGATGGCACTCTGGAGCTTTCCAGTAGAATAGTTCGGCGAGGTCAGGAAGACTGCAGTCCCCTTCGTTTCTAAAACCGGAAGAAGAGATCGAGCTTCAATGGATGGGGATCTAGCCCAAGTGTTGCTGAGATATATGACTGAGACCGCCTATTAGATACTATAGCTCATCGCGATGGTAACACTAATCACTTGCCGCTGAGAAATGCAGAACTGAAGACATCATCTTGCGAAATGTAATCTGATACAATAGTGTTAAGTTCGTGACCGGTAAATGTTGAGACGTTGCTTGAGATCACTGTCATAGGTATGACATCTACAGCAGGAAGATTTTCGACATTGAATGAAGAGGTTGACACATCCAACAGTTGTGATACTGGAACTCCGCCAACGTAATAAGGAATGTTGTCAATGACTGTAACTCTACCGTTGGCGATGGAAGCTGCGTCAGTGTAATCAAACATGCATATCAGCGATACTGCACAAAGCAGTATCTTTGAAGTCATTGGCCACTTTGGATGCAATCGAGCCATTTTACCAGAAGTTCTTTGTTTTGCGCTGATTTGCAGAAGAGATGGCTGTGATGCTGTATGTGCTGAAAACATGCTGGCACGATGGCATCCTTTTATAACCGTTCCGCCAGAGCTATCCAGCCGTCCCAACATACTGATTCCCAGAAAAATTCATCTTCTCATCATAGCATGTAGTTGCGTAATTGCATAAAGTTCAAGGACCTTATCTTCCCTACTCCAGTTGGCCTGCTGGCCAGATACATGACCACGCTCGTTAGAGTAGATATCAGACCACCGTTCTTCGGAGGTAGTGAGTAAGAACCGGTATCTCCAGAGTGGGTATTCTGTCTATGATGCCCGTTGTCCGCAGCTCCAACTTTGAAGGCCGATATTGAGATCTGCTGTGAAGGCCTCCGCTCTTATCATGGCCGTCGCAACATTTTCCGTGTTTATGGACAATTTCCAAACGTCACTACGTCGGAAAAATCTATCTCAACGTTATTCGTCGTGTGCATTGAGGCTCAACACTTAGTTTTCAGAATGGACTTTTATCCGGCACTAGAACGTCATGATATTAAGAAAAGATTCATCATGAACAACCGTATCTAGCAGATGACCGTGCGACTGATTGGACGTCATATAGACCTCCTAATATGTCATGGCAAATGAGATAATTGATACGTAAACCGGTGTAGATGGCTCGATTGAGGATTGAGAAGCTGTGCGATTGACCCGCACAAGATAACAGCCCACTGCATAGCCAACAGCCATTGTTCATAGAGAAAGTATCCAAATTTATAGCATGTAATCTCCCCACGTAAAGCGCTTGATTCCGACATTCATACGGTATCTATTGCAAACTACGACTATTCCATCTAAAGGAGGTGTCGCTCACCTACAAACTTACTTAGCTTACTATTAACTTTGCCTGTTATCCCGCTCTGTAAAAGAAGCAATAACGTGATTGGCTCAAATACTAATCAGTCCAGTTATAGTTCATATATGTAAGGATTCATCCAGTGTTGTATATGCTCTTTTGTATATTCTCTTCGTATACCGCTTCTGGTATGTGGAGACTGGAAGATAAAGGACTACCTAATGCGGGTGTCAGCGACCTGCATTAGCGCCACAACTAGCGTACATTCGACAAAGTACAACGTATAACCCTAAGCTAACTATCCTGGGGCTCAACACATACAAACGTAGCACTTAATTTCTGGCCACCCGTAATGCAGGTCAGCAGGCAGTTCAGGTGCAAATCCTACTCATGTGTACATTTCTCTATTATCGTTGTAGAAATTGTGTGACCTTCGGACCATGCTCCAGACTTGGCGTCGGAGTCCGGAATCATGGGCACAGGGGAGACAGTAACCATAGTCAAGCTCAGTTTGAGAAAAGAGACTTACAGAAGTGAATGTGTATATACAGGCTACTGAGGCATCTGGTGAAAATCGACGGATTCCTATAGACCTCTTCGTTTACCATACGCTACGAAAGCTAGTAGTCAGGGATTCACAGGCTCGCTAAGACCCGCCAGCCTGACTACGCAATTGCCTGTCAACAACAAGAGCGATGTCGGGATTTTAAGGAGCGAGATAAGGGATGAGATATCAAATCTCTGGTTCCAGGAATTAGTTCGCTCGCTAAGAGCTTCCTAGCCTCAGTATGCATCAGATCCCTCATCAATTGATACTCTCATGCCCTTAAACTCCCTGCATATTTTTCCTTTATCTACGATGTTTTAAAGTTTTTCGAGACCGGATTGCAAATTCGGTGTAGATAGCAAAAGCTAGAGGTAAAAATATGGAGCTCTAAGACGCAAAAAGCTGTAGAAACCATGCTAGTTAACATTTAATCGTGAGCTGCCAGGGTATTACCTGAGGTGATGATCCCTGTTATTCGTGCAGCAGCGGGGAGTGATCAATAAAAATCATCTAGACTGCTAAGATTGGGGGCTCTCTTGGTCTGCTTATTGCTGGCTTTGTCACCATGTCATCTTCCTCGGAGCTCGTCAAGGATTATTACGTTCTTCTACGAAGAGACCAAGCATCGCACCTGCTATCATCTATAATACTGAGTTACGGCGCCTTAATTGTATTGCAGAACACACTCGGCACGACAATATCGAGCCAAATTACACTTCCATGATAAAATTTCAACTCTGATCAGAGCGGGCTGATGAATTTACCATAATTCATTGGACTAACGATCGTATCGTTTATTGTCGGCTCCCTGAGCAACAGATTCATTCATTATCGTGCTTGCAGTAACAAGGGTATCTATGATCCCGAGACTCGGCTCTGGTTATCGCTTCGATTTATTTCATCTGTTCTCGTAGGAGCTTTGGTATTTGTACTAGAACTGAGAAGACAGGAATCTTTGAAAGCTAGCCCTTGCGGTAGGAACTAAAATCAACTCGATTGCGGCGGCTCCGAGTAGGATCGGTCTTTTCACGTATTTTTTGTATGTATATAACATTAGATGATATATCTAAGCTCTTTTTCTGCGGGATTTACAAGCACAATGGCCCCATAGAGACACCGACTCATTATTTTTATGGCACACTATAGCCAAATGGGCGACAAAATGTGTTTAACACTGGTAAAGTGAAGACACACAGCCATATATTATATACACGAATGAATTTGATTGGCTAAAAGATCAAACTTCTAGTCCCAATATAAACTTTTCTAAACTAATAATATAACTTTGTAGACCTCTGCCTAGGCTCGGTTTGGTGTGCGAATTATGGCCTTGTTAAAGTACGTACTTATACACAAATCGAAGCCTCGTTGTCCAGTCAAATTTGGCCGCCAGAGATTAATGAATTGTATGTGTATGCGTATACCATGTTCTTTCACTTTCATGGTTGATACCTGCTTTAACTTCCCTGTTATCACTGATTTTGAAATCATGATCCTCAATTTCCCAGGTCGTATTTTTTGGCTTCCAAGAAAATGGCTATAGTAAATTCCCCATTAGCGTAGCTCATCGCTCGGCCTAAAAACTACCTGTCCATCCATATTCGGTCCAAAATCAACGTCGTCGACATCATCTTTGCATTTCTCGACAGCACAAAATCGGTTGGTCATCCAGGTCCATGACATAGGCAAACCGGTTAGCAACGCAGTAGCATGGTCCTGGAATGGCATTAATTTTGACCAATCTTGCACATCCACATTTGTCTCTTGCTTCCATTTTGTGATGAGCTCTTCAACCCCAGAAATCGGTCCGATAACCTCGTCTTTTCTTCCGTAGAAAAACACTAAGGGATATCCAGGGTCACTTTCTGGAGTGATATGTAGTCCCATCACGCCTACCTCTGTGATCTTTTGCTCGAAGATATCCAAGAACGCATCGCCGCCGTGGAAAAGGGAAGAAATATTGGTAAACTCCAAATCCGGCACAAGGGTATCCCCAGGGTAAGAACACCTTGTCAAGGCGTGGAGGAACTTCTTGTCTTGATATCCTTCCGTCTTCAAGTCATTTCGCATATATTCATCCATTTCGGGAAAGGCGTTCATGAGTCCGAGCATGGCCCAGACATTTAGCTGAGAGAGCTTTTCGCCGTTGACGCTGTGGTAGGTTTGGCCAATGTTTACAGGTGGTCCACCGATAACTGCCCCAACGATGGGTAGATCATCAGCGTATTCAGTCTTGAATTCTGTAGCCCACTCGGTCGCTAATGCACCACCAGAATAACCGAACATAATGACATTGGCGTTGTCTGTGATGCCGGTATAATCTGATGATGCTAGGGCCGCTTTGATGGAGTCTAGAGTCTGGTACGCACTTTGGGGGCCCACAGCAAAGGCAGCATTACTGCCCTCGTAGTCGGGGATATTCAAAACTGCACCCTTCCGGAGGTAAGGCAAGAAGAAGGCGAGATTGACCTGATTCCAAGATCTTCCCCACCCCTGTGCTCCACTTTGAAGTCCGTATGAAGGGGCGCAGTTTGGGTCGGGAGAGTCGTATGCATTTTGAATAGAAATTACTCGGTTCAGGTTGGGTTCTAGTGGGATAATGATCGTGGTGACTGTGGCGTCTGCTTTGCCATTGAGATCCTGCGTTCTATAAAGGAGTTGGTATGCTTTGGCTTCACTCTCGGAGCCTGGGAGGATGGTGCCGATAATAACCTCGCGCTTTCTGAGAATCGTTCCAACTTCTTCCGATTTCCAGTCAGACCCCCATTCTGTCTCGTTTGGAGGCACATAAAAGGGGTCGTTGATGGGGAGCATGGGTTTGGAAGTGGACTTTTCCCACCCAGCAAAGGCATGTTGGAATGACAGTAACGATAGGAGAAAGAAGTTCGACAAGAACTGCATGGTGAATGAAATGGGATTCTTGAAAGAAAATGGATAAGACTTCCTGAGCCTGTTTCATCCCATAAGTCAGACTTGGCCTCATGGCTTATTTATAGCCTTCAACGGCGGCATTTCTTGGTAGCCGGCAGATGTGACGAGTTTGCGGATTTCTCACTCATATGATGAGTATACAGCTTTCAGAAGGCTTGGAAAGGAACTGATTTTCCGGACTGCTGTAGAAAGGGCAAGGATAAGCTGCTCGACACTACTTTTCTTTTGATTGTGTAACCTTTTTTATAATGACTAGCGGTGAAACATTCATTCAGAAAATGTTATGTAAGTCTCGTGCATGTTGAACTGTGGAGATTTCATGTCATCTTTCATTCATCTTTCAGGTTGCACCTTTTGTAGGATCTGGTGGGCTTCATAGACGTTCATTAATTCATGTGCTTCTTAGCGACGTACAGGGGCATTGCTCTATCATACCCGAGGCCTTTTGCAACGCTTACTTGGTGCAAAGTGCCCAAACATAACTCTATGTGTTCACCATCGTCATACTCAAAAACGACTGGTGATCAGGATAAAATAAAGGTCCCTAATTAATGCACTAGGGACCAACTCACAACTTTTAAGGGCCCAATAAAATGACTCGTGATCTTAAATGGACTTTCTACGCCACGCAAGGGCACGTTCAATGATGGTTGATGGATCTAGCTGGAGAGCCTGATGTCATTCCCTCCGTTCTATTGCAGGCGGCATGCCTAAGTAGGATACATCCACATGATATAAACAATTATGCCAAAATCTGTTATCACCCCTATTATCACCCCTATTTGCATCTTAATCTGACTAATTTGACTGCTGAAAAGTAAAGTTAGATGATGTTTCTGTTATTTTATCAATGATTCTAGGCCGTCTAGGTGGTTCCTAAAATTTAAACTATCTAAGATAGTGAGAGTTGCATATCGGGGAAAGTTAACTCGAACTGTTGAGGATTGCAAATCCCAACTTGAACATGAATGTAAATAACTGCATATGCACGATTTAGGCTATGAACCCGAATATTGAAGCCTACATCAATACTATAAGGACCCCGCAATCCCATACATGAACCCTCTACAGGATTCAACGAGTTATGTGATATTGTGTAACAAGAGCTAGCTAAGTACTTCTATCGGTTCTGAAATTATTATACACAGATCATGCTGATTATGGTGGCTGAAATTTCAAAGCATTCAACACCGACCGATCTAGATGTGTACTGCAAGGTAAGCAATAGGTGCCAAAATCCACTGCAGGCATATGTTACTCAAAAATATTGCAACGCGATTTGTTCAAGATAGATACTCTTTCGCAGTTATTCAATTGGTCTAACTTTGTCTCCTCCGTCATTAAGCTCAAACGCCAGTCACCTTGTTCTCCTGGGCTCTTTGCGCATTCAAGTTCCATTGCCGTTCGATGAGATATTTCCCTCTTTCCACTTTCCGAAAAAACATATCCCTTGCACGCACTATGAGTGGGGATTGTCTAAATAACGGAGTGCGCAGCCAGCCACGTCCTCAAATTGAGTAATAATTACACTAGAACCAGTAGAAAGCCCTTAAAAAAGATGAGTGACACAACCTCTGCTCGTTCTTGGGTTAGAAGTAGCTCCGTCCACAACGGGAGGTGAGTGACAAAAATACCTACTTTTATGGATCATTCAATTTGAAATCCATTCACACTTTCCCACGAATCAAAACATAAGTTCCTTCGAAATGCTCTTTGCGCTTCTCACTCTTTCGGCGTTAGTCAACGCTGATACGCCACGAGCGATGGAACCCAATCTGCGACCTCCCTGAGACTGAAAAGACATTTCCCGACGGATACAAGGCTGAAGACAACTGCAAAACACTCGGTGATTTGCAGGATGAAATCGAAAGCAAGGAACTAGACACTCCCGATGAGTGTGCCCAGCTTTGCAAGACCAAACCTGGCTGCCTAGCAAGTGTCTGGGCGTATCCGATCGGCCTCTGCTCGAGGTACAGGTCTGATGAAGTCGGAGAGGAGGTCAATGGCGCGGGTTTCATGCGCCGAGCGTCGCCCGTAACGGAGCCTCCTCTCACTGATCCAGGATGTGACGAGGAGTTGGGGCGGACAAAGGCTCTACTAACTGATACTCGGGAACGGAATGATGAGCTGGATGACGAGCTGCAGAAATGCTTGGATGGTCGCCGTGACGATAAGACGGCCTATGCCAGAGAAATCAGTGAGCTTAAAGGCAGGATCTGCGACTGTGAGGCCAGGCAGCCCGAAGTTGACCTCGTCTGGGAGCGACGCAAGGAAGCGATGGAAATCTGTGGATATAATGGACGTCGGACTATCCAAAAGGGAGGCGTCGTATGGGAACCCTTCTGCGGTCGTGGACCCACTCGTGCCAGAATATATAGACAAATGGCCGTGACCGTTGATGGGTGTCCTGAAGAGTGCACCAGGGACCCCAAATGCAAGTCAGCCAGCTATGTCATCATGAACGATCCTCACTGCAAATTTTTCGAAGAGGGAGAGCTTAACGAAGGTAGTCATAATTATCGAAGACGAGGACACTTGCCCTATTGGGCCCAGTATTGCATTTGTTCCCACTCGCCCGAAATGAAGGGCTTGCGAATGTTCCCATGAGAACAGGATATGATTGAAAACTTTCAGAACTTAATTCCGGGCAATTATCATGGTAGTACTTCAGGCATATGCCTTGGGAAGTCCTCTTCCTGAATTCCTCGTTCGGAGCGAGGAAATTCTGCAATTTTGAGATAAATATGGTTTGTGCCACTCCTTTAAAAATGTCAAATACGGATATAAACTGACTGCGTTAATTTTTGATTTTATCTATCAGGTAATTGGAAAGGAACAGCTCCTATTCCAGAGTATAATTTGGAGATGCTAGAGGGAAGATTAAAGGGAGACGAAAAGGAAGACTTCCTGCGTTTTCTCCGACGAATGCTATGTTGGTTACTAGAAGAAAGAGCGTCTGCGAAATAGCTTCAATTTGATCCTTGGTTAATGCATGGCCTCTTCAAGTAAACCCATGTATGGCTATCGCAAGTACCATATTTGTAATGTGCTTTTCATTGCCCAAAATAGCTCGTTTGACTCTGAGCCTTAGTTGGAGAAACGTAGCCAAGCGATATGAGATTGATCAGGCTCGTGTGTTCGAGAATTTGGCATCGTACGATGCCGAAACCCAAACCTATCCATTGATCTCGGCGTCATATTTAGGCAAACGAAGAGAAGACTGCGATGCACCGAGATTCCAATCTGAAATAGTAAGGATCTCATATCCAGATTTCCCTATTATTATCTAACAGTCATTAGAAGCGATTTTGTGAGTGACAGATACAGACAGTATGAAACATTAGGAAAGGTATCAACGTCAGAAAGAAAGAGAACAATGGAAGAGGGAAAAAGATCAGTCGGAGAGGCGAGAGCGGCAACCTCAACTTCAGATTTGATATCTGCAGCGGCAAATCGACAAACAAAAGTAACGCAATATTCTGAAATGTGCCGTACGTTATCGAGAATTTAACGAGAGCTGGAAATGTCTGGGTTGTGGCCGTGGTCTTTGCAATAATTGTGTGGAAGAGATCGATTCCAACGGCGCCTTGTTCAAGTCTGTTTGTCCATACGCTCATCGCAAAAAGCCGATTCAATGTTGTTTCGACTTTTATCCGAACGTGGTGGAAGCGTAACTCTCTCTAATCAAAAACTGCTTTAGCTAGTGGCCTTCCTTACTATAATTCATAAGGGAAAGTGTTCCAGTCTGTCACTACCACTTGTCCGCTCACTGACGCTGGCAGCTCACTGGACGAATTACCAGAGACTCCTCGATCTGGTTACCCTTTCCTCTTCCACTTGTCTTTCATGGATAATACATGGCTCTGGACCACTGTCTTATATCTTCCCGCCCATGGCTTCAATTTGTTGCGCCTGCAGCAATGACTAGCTTTGGTAGGGAGCTTTTAGTGCAAATTGATCCTTGATCTTGTTCAGCTAAGCTTTTAACATCAAGGATTTGACCTGATTCCATTGTGTATAATGACACAAAAGAAGCTACAAACAACTTAGTCCTCTAGAATTTCTAAATTGTTGTATAACATCTATTTAACAACCAAGGTCCACGTAACATGGATCTACACATCCCACTATAGTGCGCGAATTAGCGCATAAATCCAGGCGCCAAATCGTGCTTCTAGATATGATATCTAGGCTAGGGCTAATATATTGGATCTTGACACATTACTGCAAAAATACTAGAAATACATAAACCTGATTCATATGGATGGGATGATATCGCCCCAAGCTATGTGCCTATGATCTTTCAAAAGCTTACGTCTCATTCGTCGAAAAGCAGGCTTTGCCACGAACTTCTAAGAAGATCGAACCAATGAGACTGACAAGCTGAGAGAGTTTCTGGCTAAAGTTGGCCAGATTCCCAGMTAGTCTATAAATAGACTAGCGCAGCCCGCTCTTCTCTCTCTGGGGTCTGGCCAGAGCCTAGACGTTCTCTTCGACTTTCATCATGTATCTATCTATCTATCCATCTATCGTCCGGCTCGCGAGAAATGAGTGATTGTGGCTCSATCGGATTTGACGAGCGCCGGTAGTCCGAGTTAAGTGGATCGGGACCGTTATGCCATGCTTTAGCGGGACTGGATCCGGCGCTTAAGAGCAAACTGCACCACTTGAGTTCGTCAGGTATACTACCCAGGAATTAATTGTGCGCCTATTCAGTGGGAGCAAAATGAACTCTCAAAATGTGAATCAATACCAACAGCAGCAGGGCATTACTGAGCCCTATACAACTTATCTGAATTACCAGCACCTGCTGCCCGGCTACGGTGGCAATGTCGCGGTTCAACAACAACAGCATCACCATGATGCACAGGCTTCGCTGAGATTGGCTGTCTCTGGCGCCGAAGAGAACCAGGAGCAGTTGATTCATAGACCGGTATATACTCAGCAAAAACCACTAACTGTGGCAATAAGTATCACAGAAGAGACAGAAGCCAGACCGACGCAATCACCACAAAAATCACAAAAGAAACGACCACGCACCAATCCAAAAACCAGGCCAACAGCCACTCAATCAACCGACCTACCGACAGTGCCAATAGTAGACAGAGTTCCCTCCGGCAAAGAGCGGCGCCGCACACAGATGCGCATGGCCCAACGCGCCTACCGTCAACGCAAACAAAACGAGCTCTCATCTCGCGCAAAACAACTCTCTGAAAGAGATGACGTTATTTTGCGCATGAAAAAGGCGTTTGATTTGTTGCAGGCGAGGCTAATGGAGTCGGATATGTTGACTATTTGTCCGAGGCTGGAGGGACCGATGATGGAGATGGAGAGGGGATTCGAGGCGTTGGGCCAGATGGCAAATGATTCGGGGTCAGCGGCAGCGCCGGGGATAGAGAGTGGGCAGGTTAATATGCCAGACATAGAGACTGGCGTAGTCAATCCAAACCAACAGCGGCAATGGATGAGCCCCGATTTCGGGAGTGACAGCTCTGATCCTTTTGACCCTTTGAATCAACCGACTTATCCAGTTTATGGCACTACAGCACCTACGCAGACATTCGACATGCAGCAGCAATACCCGGATACATATCAACAGTATACTGGTCGAGCTGTACCAATGACGACAATGAACGAGATCTCTCTCCCTGCCCCGGCATATATCCCACCACCGACATCGTACAGTTTCCAAGAAACGACGTTTGCCCGTCGACTAATGCGCATATGCGTCGAGCGCGCGCATGATGTCCTAGTAAGCGGAGGCCTATCGACATTATCGCCGAAAGAAGCACGAGTCTTCAAACTGGCGTATCGAATCTGGAGCCGAGATTATCTCGTACAGAAGTTTCAAATGGCGTTGACGGGTATCAGCGATTTATACGATCCGTCTGTTCCTTTTCTGCCGTTAGGAGGTGCGGGTACACATTATATGCGAGAATCGCCACCGCCGATTTCGCAATCTATGTCTTCATCGTCGGCCATGAATTACGATCACCACAACCAGCAGCATCTACCAGCAGAATATCTTGCAACAAGCGGTCCCTTAACAACACACACCGCACACATCCGTCACAACGGGCCAGACACAAGTTTAATCGGCATCGTGTCCTCACTCGGTCTGCTGGATGACGGCAGCGAATGGTTCGACGCTCAAGACATAGACGGGTATTTGCAAGACATGGGTATAAGGTTAGAGCCGCATTCGACGACGTACCGGTTCTCGGTACCTGCAAATCCGGGTATTGCGTCGAGGAAGACGGTAATGGGTCAGAACCCGCTCGCCGGCATAGTCAATCAAAGCGCTGGGGGGAATATGATGGGCCAGGAATATGTTCCTGCTTATGTGGATATAGAAAGGTTCATTAATTGTTTGTCTCCCCTTAATCACCTTGACAGTCTTGGATGTGAGCTAATAGTCTGCCATAGCACTTGTCACAAAAGCGATGTGTCTGGGAAGAGCACCGGGGTTTAGGAAGAGAGATGTTGAAGAACAATTTTATAATTCTATCGAGGTGTTGCCTTCTTAGGGTGGTGGAAGCCAGTGTATATAAGAAGCCTTGCGGGATATGGGGCGTTTCGAGTTGACTACGTCTCTCTTTTGGTGAAATTTTATATAGCTACTGAGTTAGCCTTTGTTTCGGGTCGATCTGGATATTTCGGGGATATTTCGGGAACATTGTACATTAGCCCTGAACTTGTGAAAACTATCATCATGTTGTACATTCATATTGCTAATATCAATAGTCTCTACCAAATCAGATGTAGGGGGTTTTGATCAACAAGTTATGCAGTCTCCAGGACCAGATATACTGACTCTTTGCGTACCTTGCAGCTCCAAGACCACTCCTACGAAAAGATAAAAAATGATCAAAGACAGGTTTCAGTAGTCAATAAATGCATCAATTCGCTTTCCTGAACACCATCGGTGACGCCATCAAAACATGAACCTAATAATCAGAAAATCTTATTTACAATTCATTACCCCATTCCTGCGATCTTCCTTCTCGCTTCCATCTGTCTATCCTCTTCGAGTACTCCCACCACTGTCTAATAATCCAGTATTATAACAGCCAACCCGGCCCACCAATCGCCATCATATCCCCTACTTGCTTCCTGAAAAGAACCTATCTCCCATCAGCCTATCTCAGCTAAATGAAAGCAAAACAAGGATCGAAAAAACACATACCCACTAAACCACCCAAACAAACCATTATTTCCTTGCGCATCCTCATCAACAACATGTCTTCCCGCCCATCCACCATCGACATTGTAATGTTTCGTGTCCTGGAGACCCGAAAATAGGCCGCGACCAGCAGCGTTGCGTCGCGTGCTTTGTGTCGGCGAGTTGGACCGGACCCAGTAGTTCATGCCGGGATTGGCCATGGACTGGGTTGGGTCGTAGTTTTTGTGTTGTGATGAAGACATTGTAGTAGTAGAAGAGGTTGCTTGATTTTTTTGTAGTTGTGAGAGGAGACGGTGCTTGAGATGAGAGGTTATTGCGCAAATGCTTAAACGCTTAAGTCTTTGTTCGATTGATTGTTCTTTGTTTTGTTTTGTTGTTTTGGTATACAAAGTTCATATCTCGGACGTGTCTACAGATGCCTTTATATCTACGTACTCAGGCCCAGCCCTACATAGTACGATGTTGTCGAAGGTACATGGCATCACACCACCCGGGCACAGAACCTGGAGCTATCGCGGCGTACTCAGAGCGATGGACACTTAATTCTGGCATGATCATTCGACGCCGACCTTCCACCGAGCCAACAACCACTAAGTACAGAGTACGTATAAGAAAAAGATACGGAAACCTTCGGAGCGGCCCGATGAACGGGTTCATGTGAATAGTTTCTAATATTTGCAAAAGGGAATGACGTATGATCGTTTTAGAAGATAGACGAAAATTCTTGTATGTGACAACATGATTGAAACCTAATGGTAGTGGTGTTATATGCGTTTAGTTCGGCGCCGAAAAAATGCGGGTATGGGCTTAGCCGGCGGAATGACTGGCGGGKGGCGAGGAATTTCCGAGCCTCATCCGCAAATTATACGATGGAATTAACGATAGTAAGCAGAGAGAAAGGTTTTCATTGACTGGAGAACGCACTAATTAGCCAGGAATAGATAGGAAGATGCAGTGATTGGAGAGGAAATGATAAATGACGCAGCATTTCGAAGATAAGAAAGAATTAGACTCGAAAGGTGAGAGAAAAAAAGGGAAGGAGTTTTGTTAAAGAGGATGTCTGGCGGGGGTGATAAAGAAGATAAGGGCGAGGATAATAAGGAGACAGTGGAAGCAGCTTGAGATAGTTATACTCCAGTGAGAGCTCAAAAAAAAAACTGGACCTCGAGAGATTAGAGAGAAAAGGAGATAGAGATGATCGAGCTCCGGGAGGTAGTGGTGGAGGAGTAAAGAGGCATGCTGAAAGCCATCGAGAACGTTAATTAAGCACTCCAGGTTGAACTGCCTACAAGGACGATCCTGAAAGAAGGTATATCGTTGTAAACATGGACTGCGGACACTAAGAATACCCAGGTGGTCTCTCACTGTGATTGTGATTGTGATTGAACTTCTCCGGCCCTTCAACACTATAGAAGGCGTAATGAACTACGTCAGTTGATATGAATTTGGTCGTTCTAGCGAGTGTGTCATAGCCTTCACCTTTAATACCTACACATCTAATCATGTATGCGATGTATAACAGGTAGAAAGTTATTTCTCTCCTTCAATCAAACTGCTAGGGAAGTCCTATGGTATCCCGCTTTATAGTTGCTGCTAGCTATTGAGTTACTATGCTTTAACAAATACCAACTAGCCGAGCTGTCTACAGAGCTGTTGCTTCCTAGGGCTAGTTGCGCCAACGGCAATCGGTCATTTACTGCTAGTCTCGTCATCAACAAAAGTTCAGAGTATTCCGCTTATTTCACATGCGTTAGCTTGGTATTCATACCGATTCTGGTAAACTCATCCAAATCCTCTTGGGACAGTCCCAGCACTCCATTGTCCAGGCCTCTGCTCGCCTCGAAATTTTCCGGGTCATCAGGGAAGAATGCCCGAGCATAAGACAATCTGACAAACCCGGCCATGTTCCCAGCCTTGAGCAATTCGTGGCCGGATTTCCAGCGCTCCTTAGCAGTGGTATGAGTGATTTTCCAATCCTCTGGCTTGGTGTCCGTTACACGAAGAACGGATTCCAGTATATCTTGCTGGGATAGCGTGAAGGATGAGATGTACACTGCCTTGTTTTTGAAGTCCTCAAGGCTGGCACTGGCACCACTCTTGCCATCGGCTTGAATTTKATCGTGATCATCAGGAGAAACCCYGAGACTGAGAAGAGCGGCCACAGCCCTTCCAACCATCGGCATCGTCGATACACTAATCTTCGTCCTTCCATCATCCATCATAACCAAAGACTTATCCTCAAAATCAAATCCGAACCGATTCTGTCCACCACCGATGCTAAACTCATACCAAAACTCGCATGCAACACCAATATAGTTGCACCCAAGTCTTTCAATCTGTTCGCGAAACCGCAATTTTCCCGCGCCGATGATGGCGTCTTCACCCTTGGCTACGTCGAAGGGATCACCGCCAAATTCATTTGGTAGGATCCAGCTTACACCGGCCGCCACAGCGGCGGAGATGAGATTGTGTTGAATTTCAGGTGGAGGTGATATATTTAGAGTGATTATAAGGGCTTCTTGGCCTCGCAGGGCGTGGATGAGAGAGTCGTGGTTATTGTAGTCGACTTTCAGGACGGTAATGGCGGAGGGGAGGTCGTGGGAGCTGTCAGGGCGAGTAATGGCTGTGAGGGTGTGTTTTCCAGTGGTTAAAAGGGATTGGGTTATATGTTTGCCGATTCGACCACTTGCCTAAGGCCTTATTAGTCAGGCTCTTTATGTGAAGGTAACCTGGGACGAGGGAATGCCTACTCCGACGACAGCGATCTTCTCGACGTATTTTCTGTGGCCGGACGGCTGAGCGTTTGCATATTCCTGCTCCATGTTTATTTTACGTCCTTTTTTTTTCAATTTTAGAGCAAGATAGAAAAGGCCTTATTCCTCAGATCACCTATCTTCAGAGTTTAGATCTATAATGTTTTAAACACTGTTTGATATATCGAGCTTTGCATGTATGTCATCCCGGTGATAGCCGGACATAAGGGCTGAACACCGGACTATTGAGAAATCGCCATCAAAAATCCGACATTATGTATCAAGATTATTATGAGACTATTTGTGCATAAAAGATTCATATTTCCACCCTATTGAACGTGTTTCACGAATGGAAAGCTGTTTCCAAATTCGTTGCCAGTACTCTTACTGTTCCGATGTCCAGTCATCATTTACGACCACGCGATCATTGACCCGAGTACGAATTCTGTTAGCGATACTAAATAGTCTGGCTAATACGGCATGTTTGTCATGCCACGATTGTAAGGATAAGATCATAGATGAACGAAATCCAGTTTTACGACATCAGCTTCGTAAAATCATGATACCCCGGGCAAGGGTATAATCAATTCGAGTCATTGATGCTTGTTGAAGAATGAATTAATTGGGCAAAGTAAATCAATTCAGAGATTCTATCAAAACATTCAACGTCGACATATCAGACCTCTGAGAAGTCGATGGTGTTACATGGTGCCACGATAGCCCCTATACCCTTCTATAGATTCAAGACGAATTGGGAGCTAGACTTCGTCTCTTTCGCAGTCGTGATGCGGAATTTTGAATGCGACTGTCCTCCAGCATGAAAGATCCTGTCTGAATTGAGCGCAGCACCACGGTCTATTGATAGCCTCTCCAGTTAAAAACCCTTCTCAACACAATAAAAAATCGGTTATCGGAACAGGAAACATGGAATTCAAGAAGCCGTATAGCTCCTAAGCCATTTCGCAATGGCTGCATGACCTTCACTCTCTGCAAAGCCTGCGGCCTGATCACATACTGATGCTAATCCGTCTTGATCACCATAAGCGTTCAAAAGCAGCTGTAACATGTCTAGATGACCATGTTCGGCAGCTCCATCGATTGCTGTTCGGCCATAATCTGGCGCTGGGTCAGCAGTCACGTCGGCACCGCGCTCCAGAAGTTCCAAAGCGAGTGGAACGTAACCACGAATAGCGGCAGCTTGGAGTGCAGTTACTCCAAACGTCTCCGCTGGAGGTGCGTTGACTTCCGCACCATTTTTGAGAAGAATATCTGCAATTTCTGTTTTTTGTTCTTTAATGGCCTCTTGCAGGGGTGTTCCTACGGACCTGGTGGCTGGTATATTCACTTCGGCTCCATTCTGTAGTAAGATGTGAACAACTTCGACGTGACCGCACTTTGTGGACTTCTGCAATATCGTCGTCTGGTCGTCGAAATTCTTGGCGTTTATGTCAGCACCTGCATCAAGTAGCAGTTGAAGCAGTTCGATATCCACTGGTGTGCCACACTCAACTTTCATCCATGCTAAAGACTTTTTTAACATGTCATCAGAACGATTTTCGGATGTTTGTGATATGTGGTCAATAATTGTACGCACGGCTTTAACGTTCGCAGGATGTGCCCCAATCGCAACATCTAAGGCTGTCATATATCGCCAAGATTGATTGATGTCGGCACCTCTTTTTAACAAGAGCTCGACGATCTCGGAAGAATTAGGACGACTAAGTGCCTGAATGAAAGCGGTTTGGGGTTCAAATTGATCTTTCGTGACTGGATCATTGGGACTAGCACCGTGATCTAACAATAGAACTACCATATCACAGTTGCTGTTGTGAATAGCCCAACCCAGTGCTGAATACCCCGGAAAATATGGAGGGAGCATGCGAACATCTGGATTGTAGCGCAGTAATAGCCGTATGCCCTCCATCCAGTCCATGGCAGCTGCACACTGCAAGGCTGTCTGATTGCAGTCCCTCGACGGCAGTGCATGAACATCAGCTCCTACTTGGATGAGAAAATCCAAAAGCTCAATATTCCTCTGTTCAGCAGCTGCATGCAAAGCACTTACGCCCCGTTTCGGCCCTGCAGCTGCATTGATATCTGCTCCATAACTTAGCAATTCTTGAAGAATTCCAATGTCTCCAAAGGTGACAGCTGCTTGAAATGCCGTCAGCCCGTCAGTAAAGCAGGGTTTGGCGTTGACATCTGCACCAGAAAGTAGCAGAAGTTTTGCTGCCTTCATATGGCCTTTTTCTAAGGCAGCTTGAAGCGCCGTTCGGCCTTTCATCCGGCCTGGCGACGCATTTATGTTGGCACCAGCATGGATTAACATTTGTATAATCTCAAGACTTCCGCTTTCTGCCGCAGCCTGTACTGCTGTTCGACCATTGTATTGTCCAGCAGGAGCATTAACATCGGCATTACAGGCCAGAAGAAGAGATACCAACTTCATATTGCCCAACCTCGCTGCTATCTGAAGAGGTGTATCACCATGATTTATTGTGATCCTTGAGTCTACCACAGCACCTGCGGCAAGAAGGTGGTGTACAAGTAGAAAGTTTTCGTTCTTAGTAGCATGCTGGATGGCAAAGGCAGACGGCAATATTGTCTCAGCAAATATTTCACCTTCATCGTACAAGAACTTTTCGTCTATGAATCTAACCATAGGAGCTATTGGGGGAGATAAATTGACGAATGCTCCACTCTGCAACAAAAGTAGCGCTACTTTAGTGTTGTTGGCCTTTGTCGCAGCTTGTATTGGAGTTTGAAGCCCATAATGATTATCACATCCTGTATCCCATCCTTTCGTCAGTAGCAAGAATTGTCTGAGTTGGTCATCTACGTCGGCAGCAGCTCGGAGAGTATTTCCACCATGTTGGGGAACGCTCAGATTAATATCTGCCCCGGCCGATAAGAGCAGAGAGACTGATTCCACGTTGCCCTCAGACGCAGCTTGCATTAGAGGATACCCGCGAGGCTGATCCGATATCAAACACTCTGGATTTGCGCCATGGTTCAAGAGCGTACGGAGTATTCCAATGCTCTCTTGAGACCATAAAGACCCAACACGAGTTTGATTGTTCGCAGCGCTATCGATCGATTGTACCACAGGTACTGCCCCTAAGTCACAGAGGGCTTCAATCATTTGTGTGTTTCGTTCGCCGACTGCAAGTGATAGCGCAGTACGAAAATGCTTCTCAAACCCAAAACTCCATAGAGTTTCGATTGCGGTGTCGACAGCAACGTTTCTTGAAACTAATCTGCGAACCATGCTAACATCTCCCGACTGAACAGCGACTGGGAATAACTTAGTTGCAAAAACATCGATTGTAGCAGATCTCGATTTAAGAATCTCTGTGAAGATCCAGCTGCATGAACCTGAACTTGCCCATACATATACATCTCGAACAAAATCCGTGGATAGCAAATTGTTGGTCACCATGAATATGAACAGACTTAAAAATTGATATACTGTGGGATTGGAGTGAGTATTCAGGTTCGGCGCCGTATAGTTGTCTATTCGATTGTCTTCCACCATGTAGGTCTTGTAAATAGACTCTAATGTACTAGAATGTTCTGTGGTCACTTTTTGCAACAGCCTAGTGAGGGACTCTGAAATTTCAGGTTCAATGGGCATAGAGTTCTTGATGGCTTTTACCCATGATGGCCAGACGTCAGGTAGTGCATCAATCATGTTTTCAGAATCGAGATTGATATTGTCGAGGCCTGGGGTAGTTCTTAAGATTGAAGCAGGAACTAAGTCGGGTTGTCCGCGAAATGTCCCGCGGCTTGCTGGTCTCGAGTCATGAATCGAATAAGCAAGATTACCAGAATCTCGTCTGGTCATGATTCTCGTGAAATGCGACACAGAATGGATTTCCTGATTGAACAAAATCCACGGAAGGTTATCAATTCGGATAAAGCGATTGAACGACGGAAACAGTATAGCTTCTGAGGGAGGAGTAAGGATTGTGAAACCATCGGGAATTGAGACATTGTCAACATCTATCTAAGTCAATTTTGCAATGACACCGGAGCATGACTGCCACTGGCGGGKTTTACTCACCTTTCAGTCCAAAGATCCTGTCTGTGAAGCTGACATTTCTTGCGATCTCCTTCTCAAGTTTGTCTTGTGTAATGGGATTTCCATGAAATATGACATTGGTGGCTTTCCCTTTCGATCGTCGCTTTTGAATACACCTATCGATTTTTTTCCAGTCCTGGCCGCTACAATATCTGCGAATACCCCATTTCTTGAACATTCGAGTATATTGATTCGTGCTAGAAATTGTAAGTACTCATCTTGTTTAGAATTATGAAGACTCAAACCTTGCACGAAACCCGTGTCTTTGAATCATCCGTTGCATTACCTGCGGTAGGGTCGTAGTTCGATAAAGCGATACGATTTCTCCCTTGTGCCTCTCCCAGTCCTCGTCTGGGATAGTGCCGGATCGTCCTTTCGCCATGTTCAGATGATTGTAATAGCGCACAACAGAATTGAGAAAAGAAAGTATGACAGATTGTTGTTGAATATCTCTCCCTAAATCTCCTTGAAAGAAGCGAAATTCTCGAGATATAAATACTCGAGCCCCGTCGATAGAGAAACGATGACCCGGCCAATCCTTGTCCAACAGCTGCTCTGTAATTGGTCGAGGCCAGAATTTTTTATAATCGAGCCTCGTCGCAGAGCGATGACGACTCGGTCAATCCCTTGTCCAATAGCTGCCATGTGGTTGGTCAAGGCCAAAATCTGTTCAGATCCGAGCGCTCAATCGAACGACTGGACAACTTGCGAAGATTTGAGGCTTGGTGCAGAACTAGCCGCTGCAAAACTAGCATTTTGTGTAACAATTTTTTTTGGCATGTCGACTGTTTTGCAACGCGACTGGTCCTGAGTGACTTGCTGAAGCCAGCAACTCAGTCTGCATGTCCTGTTCTGATTGGTCGATAACAAAATTTTTTCACCAGTATCAGAGCGGTGTGTTCAGCCTTGAAGGTGAGTGATTTGGTCTTCAGACGAAAAAAAAGGAGACAGACGAAAGAGGTGTAGTTGCGAAGTGGGCAAATGGAAGGAAGGGTGGTAGTTGAGAAGGATGCCTTGATGCCTTGTACAGCTTCTTACCCCGCAGCCGAGACGATCGCCCTTCGTTCTCACAGTGCACCAGTAGACTACCATGTCTCCGCCAAAGCAAAATCGACAAGAGCTAGTCAAACAGCTTGAAGAGCTGCTCCAACAATGCGTTGACTCCGGTGGCCCCGGAGCGTCAGCCGCCATTGCTTCATCTGGCGAGATTGTATGGGAATCTGCAAAGGGTCAGTCTGATATCGTGGGAAGTCACCCTCTTGATGTTCGTCACCACTTCGGCATTGGTAGCATCACAAAAGTCTTTGTGGCGGTAGTCATTCTTCAGTTGGTAGAGGAGTCGAAGCTCGCATTATCCAGTACGGTCCAACAGATCTTGGATCCTGAAGTGTTTTCAGGAATTGAAAATGCTGGGCCAGCGAGTATAGAAAGGCTCTTGAGTCACCATGCAGGTATAGATAGTTGGGAGGACGAGCCTAGTTGGATCGTCAGAGGCAGAGGCAGGGATATACGCAACGATCACATCTGGGGCAAAACTGAGACGTTGGATTACATCCGTCGGCCCAGAGTCACAGCACCCGAGCCTGGTCAGGGTTACTATTCTAACACCAATTACACTTTGTTGGGCTTGATAATTGAAAAAGTTACGGGCCAACCTGCGGAAAAGGAGATTCGACGCCGAATCCTTGAACCCCTCGATATGGACCAGACTTACTTTGAAGGATTTGAGGAAGCAAAGCATCCAAAGCACTTACCATATCGATACCACTGGGCAACGGATCAGTTTCGTGAAACTGCTGGTGTAGCACCGTCATTTCCGTATGTAAGAGATGATCTAATTGAAGTTACTCCGTCCAACCTATCTACATCGTGGACAGCGGGAGGTATGATCTCATCAGTCCATGATCTTCTCAAATTCGCATCTACTCTTCGGGACGGACGACTTCTCGGCTCCGCGGGTATGAATATCTTGAAAGACTGGAAGCCTTTTCCCGATTCGTCCCAACAGATAGGCCATGGTATATTTCGATGGAGTTTTCTAGGGACGAGTAACGAGCAATGGCTAGGACACAATGGAGGTGTTTTGGGCTTCTCGGCTTTTTTGTTATGGAAGGAGACAGGTGATTGTGCTGTGAGTGTTTTGTCAAATGTGGGCTCGGTGCATTCTGGTGATGTACCTGCGAATGCTGTTACAGTGGTCAAGAATAGCGACTTTCTGGAGATAGCTGCACGATTAGTTGAGATTTCAAAGGAATCAGCTGTTTGAAATGCACGAAAACGATACTGATACATATTCAGTGCCTAGTCAATTTATACAATTATGGTATCTCCAATGATTTTTTGCATATGGCATGAAACCCCAATATCAAGCATACCTCGCCATCCCAACCTCACCGCCACCTTTCAAATTCTGCTCCGTTCTGACACCCGTCATACCACCCGCGACATTGTAAAATTCTCTCCCTCTCCCATCAGCCTGCATCCCCGGCCCAGTCCCAGGCTGTAGCTCATGAGCCTGCGTCTGTGTCTGCACCTGACCCACCGGCGGCCTACTCGACCACCACCAATATCCAAACACCGGCCCCGGATCCTCGCCTCGTCGGCGCGCACGCCGCCGCGACAAAAAGCCGTGTCCAACACAACCCAGACTTAGTATGAGTAGGAGACCGAGGAGGATTATGAGCACGATGAAGCCGTAGGATACTCCGTGCCCGCCCCTGCTTGTTGGTTCAGATGGCTGGTATGGAATTGCGGTTGCGGTGACGGTGACGGTTGCTATTGCTGTTGCTGTTTCTGTGGGGGAAGTTGTTGTCGCCATTCTGCCCCCTGTTCTTTTGTTTTTCGTTTGCGAGATGGTGGAGGCGTGGGTGTCGGAGTGAATGAATTCGGCGGTCGCGCGAGTCGCTGGTCCTCTTTACTGAGGCTCGGGGTGTATTTCGATGGTCTACCTCAGTCGCTGGGATCGCTCAAACTTATAGATGCCTCCGGGATATTGTATGACGGTCTCTTAAGGAAGAATATCTTCCTATCGCAAAGACAAGCGAGATCGACAAAGTCGTGATGCGATGCGGCTCAGTGCCTGTTCCAACTCCTGGAGAGTGTGGAGCCAGGATTTACGATTCTGTAACATCCAATCATGACTTAGCAAGGAAAGCGCCAATTTCAGAGTCTCCAAGAGTCCAAAGTCTGAAGGAGGCTTAGAACGCCATGTTGATAATAACAAGTTTTCATTGGCCGGTTCTCGTCTACTTGACTCGCTAAGCGTTTTGCACTAGACTTAATATAGTATAGCGCTTATATTTTGATTTGAGACGATTTGCGATTGGTGAGTTTGATACAATTGTGATATGAGCACAGATTCATAGAGACTTGAGTACCTTGTACTACGTCCTTTGATATGTTTTCTTCGCGTTCTGTTGTAATCACTTATGTTCACTGCTTCTATAAATTGATTGTTAATGTGGCAATCAATCATTATGATGTGGATGGTGCTTATATTGAGCTCGATCCCGGGATCAAAGGATAGAACCCAAAAGCAAGACCCATGGATTATGACTTGATCTATTAGGTTTTTGGTAAACCAATGTAATAGGCCTCAAATAAAACTTTTGACTAGTTTGTAAGCCGAAGCGACAATAGGAAATTATACATGCTTCTCTATGATGGCAAGGGCGACAGTTTGGACGATACTCGACGTATAGAATGACTGTTTGCCAGTTGGATATATATACCTAGGTATGTATGTGTACATATAACATTAATATACATGTATTCAGCGATGGGAGCAACGCTCATCAGTGCCCGGTGGCCATCAACCATTTACATGTCAACCGACAATACAACAATGCGACATGTGTGTCACAAAATACATGAAGCATCGAGCTTCTATTACTATCGAGGTAGTAATATTCACATACATACGCTTTGAGCACGCTCCGGCGCGAGTCATTGATCCCATCGCGAGATCGAAATTGATGCAAGTACGTGATCATTGTGATCCACAGATGACTCGTCGATCATGAAAACTCACCAAACAGAAAAGAACAGACAAAACAAGCTCTTTAGCATTGACTAGCCTGGTCTAGAAGTGTAAGCATATCAAAGATTTTCATAGATGATAGATCTCTCAAAATCTGGACTTGAAGTTACGAGTCTGGCCTGATTCACGAAATTAGGATCATCGTTGGTGATTACGTACGACTAGTTAAGTTTGCTAGTGGCCGAGACTGGTAATTCTTCTGTCAGGATCTTGGTTGCATCGAATATCCTTAACAAGTCTGCTATTCAGAAAGGGTTGGCTTCGACGAATCTCTTTGTGATTTTTGCAGATTCGGTGACTGCTAACTATTCACAGCCTCAATCAATTCCTAAATTTACCGCCGAGCCTCCACCGACTCCGTGTTTCAGTTTCATGAACGCAGAGGCGGCTGACTGACAAGCTCTTGGCCCCTTGGCGCCACTTTTTTCGTTGGCCAGAGCCTAGCAGCACTCCATACTATTGTGGTCTAGCCGGGTGGAGCGCAATCTGGACGACAAAGTGAGGGTGGATGCGGTGGACCAATTGATCGAGACGAGGACTGAGCCACCACGAATAGCGCGGTCGAGTCTTAGACACACGTACGTACATAGTATGCTGTCTGCTGCGAACAGGATTGGGACCGCGGGGGGATCGGCAGGTGGCGCTTGTTCTCGTTCTCCCCTGGTGAAGTGAGGTGACTGTATTGCGACCTGGAGACGTGGTGGTTGAGAGGAGTTTAACGCTCATTGTGAGTTGTCATGTGCTGATCCCACGACAGGAAACTCTCTACCAAGTCTACAGAGTTTGTTCGTGGGCAGCCGGTCAGTGTTGGCAAGGCAAGCAGAGTTCATCAGCGGAAATTGCACACGCTCGGCCCAATACGGAGGCGTGATCCCAGAATGGCTTAGCGTCAGGAACGGCCAGCACGCGGGCGGGGCTGATTGATGCTCGATCAGCCAATAACCCGCAGCCTCGGCAGTCCCCCTTATTGCTTTTTGGCTCCTGCTTTTCTTGGAAGCGTCGACAAGGAAGGTGCCGAGCCCTCTCCTTCCTTTTGTACCACTTGCCCATATTGACCAATGACACAGCCACTGCTCTTTCTCCGCGACCGCTGATTTGCTCACTCATTGTATTACCAAGATTAAGAACCGAGCCATCACACAACATCCGAAAATATGACTCCCAATACTCGTGACAATTATGATTCGAGTACATCTCTGTAAGTGGTACTACTCCGGACGACTTAGCAGATCATAATGCTAGAGCCTGCGGAACGCACTGAGTACATACTAAAATTTAGTAGTGCTGCTACTCCAGACAGGGGAACTACTTGAACAGTTTAACTCTCAGAGTCCTCACTTAAGACACGGCCAATCACGGCTGTCCGGTGCCTGAGTAAAGCGCCGCTTCATCAAGTGGTAACTTGGCGCGTAATACGAGGTACCGTTACTCATGATGTGCAATTATACTCCATAGTATACAGAGAGTATAGTCGTATCTGCTAGTATTAGTTACCACCCTAAAAAAGCCACCATGCGCCGTGGGCGAATCCCCGCCCGGCGTGAAATTGGGTTTCCCCATTGAGGCACAACGACTGGCCGTCAGCCCCTGAAAGCGCTCTTTCGGTGCCTTTGTTGTCCCCACGCCAGKCCCTGTCTGATTTACTCTTTACTCTTTAGCTGCCGTCTTCCTGCTGTTCTTTCTTTATTCCTTCGCTCTCTCTTTCTTCCTACACCTCTTGACGAGCATCACGACTCATCGTTTGACCACCGCTTCACTCGTTCAGCGGGCACTCCTTACAACAAGGAAAATCGAAAAGCCGAAGAAAACATATTTGTATTGCAATTTGGAAGTTATCAAGCGTATACTCGACATCGAAGATGAAGGCCGCTTTCTTGACCGCCGCGGCCGCCCTCATGGGCTCGGCCATGGCTCACGAACACCGTCACCACCACGAGCATGCTGCCCTCCACCGTCGTGGTGCTGAGGCTGAGGAGTCCTGCGGCTGCTACACCAGCGTCGTCACCTACTGGGGTGCTCCTACTCGTGAGTCTCGACCGCAAATGGATGTCGCAAGAAATGTACTGACAGAACAGTCGTCTCGGTCTCCCCCGTCTCGACCCCAGCTCCCACCACCACCTCGACCAGCACCACTACTTTGTTGTCCACCAGCTACAGCACCGTGACTGTCAAGGCCTCTTCCTCGACCCCTGCTGTGCCTCTTCCAACTAACTCAGTGACTGTCTTCCCTACTCCTGGCACCTACACCATCCCAGGCACCACCGTCACTGTGTCTTCCTCTACCGTTGTGCCTGAGGCCACTTCCACCGTCCTCACCAGCGGTACTCACACCATTGGTGGTGTGACCACTGTTGTCGAGACCTCCACCACCGTGGTCTGCCCCTACGCCACTGTCAGCCCCGTTGGCAGCACCTTCACCAGCGTCATCGAGACCACCACCTACGTCTGCCCCTCTTCCGGTACTTACACCATTGCCCCCATCACCACCACCGTCCCTGCCAGCACTGTCGTTGTCTACCCTACCCCCGCCACTGTGACTCCTGGTACCTACACCCAGCCTGAGCAGACCGTGACCGTTGTGGAGACTTCCTACACCTACGTGTGCCCCTTCGCCACTTCTTCCACTCCTGCTCCCGCTCCCGCTGCTCCTACCACCACTGCTGCCCCTGCTCCTGTCGCGACCACCTCCGTCGCTCCTTCGCCAGTTGCTTCCACCTCCACCTCCGCTCCTGCTGCTTCCAGCACCTCCACCAGCTCTACTGGCTGCGGATTGGGCCAGCATCCCGACTACGCCGTTACCTACACTGGCTACACCCACGACACTGGTGCTTGCATGGGCGCTGAGGACGTTTTGGCCGAGCTCAAGAACATCCAGGCCAACGGCTTCTACGCTATTCGCATGTACTCCACCGACTGCAACCAGTTGGAGACCGTTGCCTCCCAGGCCATTGGTCTTGGTCTTAAGGTTATCCTCGGTGTCTACATTGACGGCAGCGGTGTCAGCTCTGGAAACAGCCAGGTCAGCGACATTGTCAGCTGGGGTCAGTCCAACGGCTGGAACGGTATTGAGTTCATCTCCCTTGACAACGAGGCCCTCTCCGACGGATACTGCTCTGCCTCTGACCTCGCCAGCTTCGTTTCTTCCGCCAAGGCCACCATCAAGAGTGCTGGTTACAGCGGTCAATTCACCGTCACCGAACCCCTTAACGTCTGGCAGTCCTCTGGCTCCACCCTCTGTGGTGTTGTCGACTTTGCCTCTGCTAACCTCCAAGCCTTCTTCAACGGTGACGTTGCTGCTGAGGATGCTGGTGACTTTGTCGCCAGCGAGGTTGAGCTCCTCAAGGGCATCTGCAACAACGACCAGGTCTTTGTTGGTGAGTCTGGCTGGCCCACTGCTGGTAACAGCAACGGCAAGGCTATTCCTGGTGCTTCCCAACAGAAGGCTGCCATGGATGCTATCCGTAACTCCATTGGCCACATTGCCGCTCAGTTCTCCTACAAGAACGACCACTGGAAGAACCCTGGCGACTTCGGTGTTGAGCAGTACTGGGGTATCAGCGACATGCTCTCCAGCGCCCAGTAAGCTATCAGCAGTCTCCCATTCGAGCTATATTCGATGATTGATTCCCATTTATATAATCAATTGCCATGACGAATGGGATCTACTTCTGATCGATTCAGCAAGGCGTTTTCGAGAGATGTTTTACTTTTCTACTACCCATTTGAACCTTGGACTTTTCTTCTTGTCATTTAAAATCAACTCTATCCTTGGATTGAACCTTTCGATGTCCTTCAATTCGTTACTGGTAATATATTTGTGTGATTGTCTTTAATCTGCTTCCTGTCGTGAATTCCCTTGTGTATGTTTATATATATTACATTAATCCGTAGGAAGAGTTGTTCGTTACGAAGCATGCAATGAGCTTTCCACAAGTTTGAAGCATCGTAAGATCCCAATGCCTCGTAAAACTGTTCCTACCAAGACTGTAGAATGACTTGAGCTCATCAATTTCGTCAATCTGCGTATCTCTTTTCAAATCTAAGTTAACTCAGATGACAGACACCTCGTTGCTCTATCCTCAACCCCCCAAATAAAATGAATCAAAACTCAATAATCCTCTCTAAAATCTCCTTTGCCAGTTGACTCATGCCTGGCAGGGGTGATGGTATTCTTGATTTTAGGTCTCATAAAATAAGACACTGTGCTCAAAGAGACCAAGGATTAAAAGATCGATTCTCAGGTCTTGAGGGATCTATTAGCAAAAGTATAAGTCTTGTAAGACTGATATTGAAGTACTTCATACATAAAATCTGAACATCTCCAGAATTGATAATTTTGACGTTATAATCGATTTGGAAAACTCCAGTGATTGGGAATGAGATGCTGGAGTGCTGGTCAGATGACCATGATTTAGCCCTAATTCTCTAATTAGGAATGTGGTTAAACGGATCGCGAAAACGCCTGAAAGCAACTGTAAAAGCCAATAATGAGTAGGTAAGACACTATCCTTCAAATATGCACGCAGCTCACCTTTTAATTTTGCGAAAATACAGACTTTTGAATCGTCATCAAAGAGCACTCACCATGTCAAACCATGTGAGCAGTCGAAGAGTAATCCTCTTACACGGCCGATACGGCATTGTTGAGCAAATGGCTCATATGGTTTTTGTTGTGCTTTGTATGTCCGTAAATCCGATTTGCTAAATATGCAATATATTGTCTAATATTATGTATATGCTCGTAACACCTGTCTAAATGTAGTATTAAATTAAAAAAGTCCAAGAAAAGGAGAAGAGATAATTATCCACCCTCAAAATATTCATTACACATTACAAGAGGAACGCTTTTTTTCCCGCTTCGCGATGTACTTTCACGCATCACTCGCGGCAGCAGGCTTCTGCTTATCCCTCAATCCCTGGTCAGATGTCAAAGCCTGGTCAACATCGTACTCCTTCGTCCACAAAGAGAACAAGAATCCCACAGCCGAGAAAGCGCAGCACACAGCCCAAATAATCCTGAGCGAGTCCGCGTATGCGGTTCTGAGGTCTTGTTTCGTGGTTCCATCGTCCATGGCATTGATGACCTGCACAAGACCCGCAGCATCTTGACTATACTCTCGCGCATAGGGCGCCAGCTCAGTGTACTGCAGTAGATTGGCGTACATTCTATTTTGAAAGACGACGCCACCAATCGCAACACCGATTGCTTGACCAAAGGCACGGAAGAAACTCGTCATGGCAACCGCCATAGCGAGTGTCTCGTGTTTAGCAGATGCCTGAATTGCGAACGTCACAGCGGGGAAAATGACACCTAGACCGAATCCAACCGCAAATTCCAGGAAGATCCAACCGGGGATACTGGTGCCGACTCGGAGAATACACAGCAACCCGAAACCGATTGTGGTAAGAACCCAACCAACCCAGACTGCCCACCGGTATTTGCCAATTTTGGTGATGGTAAGACCGGCGATCATGGCACTGGGAGCGACGGTGAAGGAGTCCGGGAAGATAGCCACGCCGCTGATGATGGGTGAATAGCCCTTGACAGCCTCGAAATAGAGTGGCATAAAGTAAAGAGCGCACCAAAGCACGAGACCTTGAATAACGGTACCGATAAACGAGACTGTGGCTGTCTTTGATGTGAAAATCTCTACCGGGATGATGGGGTGCTCAGCGTAGCGGTATTCGTAATAGGCAAATACCAGCAGACCAACGAAACCGATGATAAGCGGTACGAGAGTCCGCCATGAAGACCAGGAGTACTGGACACCACCCCAGGAGAGAGGAATCATGAAAGAAGCTGTGCTGCCCATGAAGATAGTGGCGCCGATGTAGTCGATTCGTCGCAGTTTGGCAAGAAGGGAAGTTGGGACGAAGTTGAGGCGGAGGAAGAGGGCGGTCATGACCAGACCGATTCCAGCGAAGGGGAAGTTGATGTAGAAAATCCATCGCTACGATGATCTTAGTTGCATTCACAATGAAAAGGAAGTTGAGGGAGATATTCACATACCCAAGACACACTCTCCGAAAAACCACCACCTAGAACCGGCCCAGTAACCGATCCAATGGTCCACATACCGTTCAGAATACCAAGATACTGACCTCTCAATCTCAGAGGCACAATATCCGTGACGATAATTTCAGTGAGAGCCAAGATACCACCACCTCCAACACCCTGAATCGATCGACCAACAAGCATGGCCGTGAAATTGTGCGCAAGACCAGAAACAAGACAGCCCACAAAAAACAGCACAATACTGATGATCATGATTGGTCGTCGACCGAAAATATTGGATAGAGAGGCAAACAGAGGCTGTAGAACGGTGGAGGTAAGTAGGTAACTTGTACCGGACCAAAAAGCCTCGATGGCAGTTCCATGAAGGGCATTAGAGATGATCTATTCCCGGATGATGAGTATTAGCAATGATCTGGCATTATGTAGCACTGCGACATTTTGGATGGGGAATGCATACAGGAAGCGCAACAGAGATAGAAGTACCATCCAAAGCAACCATGAGCGACAAGGTCGCTAGCGTTGCAAAGACGAGTTGCGCGCGTCGTGTGAATCTCCATTCTCCGGTAGAATTCTCGGATGCAGTCTCACCTCCTACATCGGCGGCATCATCGCGAGGTTTTTCGTTATTCTGTTCGTTCTGAATCGAATTGTCGTCAAATACTTCTTTGTTGACTATTATATCCGAAGGTTGTTCAGGTGAATTGAGTGTCGCAGTTGAGACGCCTGCACTTGTATTATCCTTCAGTGCCTCGTCACCCAAATGACCCGCTTGCGCGGTCGATTGATCGCCCATTTCTGACTCTCAAAAGTTTTTTCTCTATATATAGGTGTTGATCTAGAAAAGTCGTGAGCAGGTCACTAGGGGTTGAAGGTGGGACTCAGACGGCCAGGGTGAGCTAATAGTCCCGACAGCGGCTCGAAATATCAGTCAGATTCTAGAGACTAGAAAATTGCACTTCGGAACTCTGACAAGGTCTCGATGATATTGCTCTTTGATTGTGACGGCTACAACATCAACACGCGACTATCTACATCTTTATATTTGACGACAATTGACCACGATGCATGACGTTTCAGCTTCAATTACAAACGTCAGTCATCTCAGCCCATTGAATTGCACCGGATACCGAAGCACTAAGCCATGCCATCCAGGCACCCAAATTCAACATTCACGGAAAGAATGGCTAATGATTGGCCCGTTTGGCTGCATGTCAATAGTTGCAAGGCAGAAAATCTCGGCTCTCGCATGTCAATCTTTCAGAGGATCTTTGCAACGTCGAACCGGTAAACGGTTTAGTCACTTAAGTGTCGAGCTGTTGGCCGTTTAGTCAACATAGGATTTAGCATGTAGGCTCGGTTCTCGGGAGTCGAACTCAACTCCAATAAGAGTTGCGAACTTGCGAATCCTGGCTGTCGGACGAATCAAGGGCTAATCTGGACACGTGGATTGAAGATTCAACGGGGCTTATTCTTCGACTTAAAAGCCGATTTGATGGAATGGACGGCCCTGTGAGTGGCTGGACTCGGCTAGATTAGATCCTTCGGCCCAGTCTTTCTCACTTTTCTGTGAAACTTTATGGAGGTATCGGAACAACATCAGACCGCACGAAGCTGCGGTCGCGCTGCTTAGCCTATCATGTCTTCGGAATGGGACAATTTGCGGATTCAACCCTAATTCTTCAAAACCTTGTCTTTTTCGCAACGAAGGGATCGGATGAAAAGCTCAAGCCCAGAATAGGAAACATTCTCGCGATGACATCTTCCTACCGAGTGAACACTTCGTAAAAATCACCCTTTGCTACCGATCAGATCATTATCAGGAGTATATTATACACGGTCCCCCCACCACTTCGCGACTTCTTTCGATTCGGTGACTCAGTTGGTGAGTAAACATTTAACAACACGAAAAAGTAATCACTAATTATTTGCACGCAAAGTCACAGTTAAGAAAGCCGCTAGTCCCATCCTGGATAATTGATGCGCTCGGGCTTATGGGTTGACCCGTGAGCATTCATCGAGACAAAAAATGAAGTGTTAACAGTTTGTCTCGTTTCATCGGATAGGTTGTGAATCTTCTTCAGGATTTAGCAGATCATACTTGTCCTCAATGCGTTCCTACACCATGATGAATGCTGGTGCCTTCGGATTGATGACAGAGTGGTACCGGGTTGAACACACATTACTCAATCGATGTCGATAATCATAAATTAGTATCATTAAACTGAAATCAATAGTCGCTCCAGCAATGCCTGGCAAGTGACACCTGCACCGTAAGTAATCACAAATTCGATATGCAATGTACTTGCAAATGCTCCCAGGTCACAAGGCTGAACAGCCTGCATACCCAGGTGTATCACACCGCCACCTCATCTAAAGGCATACCCAATATCCGCCTTGACACGTCTCTATATTCCTTACCAACACCTCCTCCACATTCCATCCCCAACCACCCTGCTAGACTCTGATCAGCCCCCAACATCCTTCCCAGAATTTCAAATGGCTCCTCACTCCACCCACGCTCTTGCATTGCGCGAGCCGCCCCGGTCAATTTATCGACAAACCACGTTCTCGTACTTGAATTGCTCGCTGCAGCTACAGCCCCGATGATGAATTGGCAGGATGTGAGATCCATGTAGGGACAGGGTGCTTTTGGGAGCTGAGAGGTTGTTTGTCGTAGTTCATCGGCGAGACTATGGATATAGGCTGATTCCGTTACAGACGGCCATGAAAGGTATAGGATCATCTCCAGGCTGAGTGCAGTAGAGTAGAGGTATTTGTTTTTCTTGTTTCGTCGGAGTTTTTGAGTCTTTTTTCGAAGCCTTGTTAAACGCTGTTCAATATCTTCGGCGGTATCTTGAGGATTCAAGTTGCCCAAGTTATACGATTTGATAGACTCACGCAGCAAGTCTATCAAATCGCATATTTCCGCAATCTGACGAAGGCTCGACCCGCTAGTATCACTGACCACATCAATAACCCTCCTATAATAAAACCTCGGAAAGTTAAAAACATAGTTGATAGCATCCCTGTTCTGCTAATCAGCAACAAGATCCCCTCAAAAACATCAAACAACAAGGAGTGAATCACTTACAAAGCAAGAATATCATAAAACCACCCCGGCTGCCTCAGCCCCTTCGCCCTCCTCTCGCCAAGAATCTGCACTAGGCCATCAACATGCACCTCCCACGCTGAACTCGCATGCCCCAACCTCGCTCCAAACGCCATCGTCATAACTGTCAGAAGAAATCCATCGGAATACGTCTGCCGCCAACTGATGCGTTGAATAATAGAATTTAAAGCCTTGGAGGAGCACGCATCAGCTTGTACCTGCCATGCTTGTTCAGGGGACCAATGTCTCAGTCCGACGGCCATTGTTGCGTCAACTAATGCTGGATCGGTGACGAAGAGGGATACCCATTCTGCCTCGGAGCGGGAGGTGGTGGGTGGGTTTAGACAGGTTAGGAGGATGAGGAGTTGGAGGTCTTGATTATTGTAGGTTGGGTCTGATGCAGATACCAGTTCTGTGTTTTCTTTCAGTCTTTTTTGACCCGTCTTTCTGGTCTTTTTGTTAAATTTTCCTGTTGGATTCTCTGCTATTCGCTGTCGTCGCTTTGCGAAGTTGGATTTAGTGATGTGGCCTCTCATGCGCTTCGCGGCCTCTAGGGATAGAGCGGGCGCATTGGTCGTGTTTAGGAATATAAGATTATCCATCTCGACTATGCCAATAACAGTAAATCATTTTTAATTTTTAAGATGTTGAAAGTTGAAAGAAGCAGGATGATGAAGGAGGTCGTTCCACTAGGACCGTTAGTAATCGACCCCGACGAGATATGGGGCTGATTCAAGAGCTTTGATTGGCGGTTGGTCAAAATCCGAAATTGATTTTCCTATTTGGGAATATGAGTTGACTACCTACGTGCTTGATTTCTCCTGACGCGCCGCAGCTTTTCCTTTCCGTTTAGTGCTCACCCCGTCGCCGCTTTTACTCCCTGAGTACTCCCTGAGTAGAACTGAGCACGACCTGAGCGCCGTGATCAGATCAGTAAGAAGCTTACGGGGATGCTCAATGATCCGCAGCTGAGCATACTGATTTGCTCACTGAGCGCAATGTATGCCTTTATACATCACCATTAACTACTCTCCTCTACGAGTTATAAAGCCATAATGTTAAACTTAAAACAGATTCACATACTTGGTTTTGCGACGCCTTATCTATCTGCTGGACCTTGTTTCGATAGCACTTATAAACTATCCTAGCTAGGATCCTACATTGCTAATGAGTAGTAGCGAGGAGTACTAAAGGCCATGAGAAGTTACGGCTCAACAGTGGGCAAATAGAGGAGAATACAAAGAGAGCGGTCAATGTCACAGTATGATACGGTTTTGATAACAACACTAGGTACTAATTAAGCTAGATTGTGACCGCGGGGTTAGTCTTCACGTAGTCAATCCTTTCAAACGATGTATCCATTCAACCTATTTGTTTGGCTAATTTGCCCAGAAGAAAATAACCTTATCATCGCTGTACTGTCCGCTGCCGAGCATCATCATCATCTGTTATGCTGCTCAGGGTTGATGAAGCCATTGTATCGTTTTTATCGATGAGAGAGCGCTCAAATGGCAGACTCACTTACGAGATTACCACGAGAAATTCTCGTGCTGATTGGCAGAAGCCTCGAGCATAACTATCCCAATAGTCTGTTTGCCTTGGCGTGCGCGAATAAACACTGCTCTTCAACTCTTTCGGTCATGCTATTTCAGACTCTGAAGTTCTTTGTGGATGATTTAGAGAGTGGACAACTTGCAAAAGATGTGCACTATTACTCCCAATCACTACGTGCCCAGTGTGGTGGTGTCCGTCGTCTGATCATAATGCATAGCGATAGAAAAGAAGGCAGCATGATATATAAGTATCCAAGTCTATCTCTCGAGCGACGACATCAAAACCGCCAATCCCATGGTCGCAGATTGACTCCTCTTGAGAAGTCGGGCGATGAGGAAGATCTCCTCGAAATTTATACGAACATGTCAGGCTCACAAACATCCAGACGTACTGTTCATGAAACAAATCATCTTTGGGAACCGTTGGCAAATCTGATTCCACAGCTGCCCTTGCTAGAATCAGTATTCTATCATGGTTTCAGCCAATTTCCGCCCTGTCTTCTAAATCGCCTTCACCAACATCGGCCCCAGTGCAGGCTTTACATCACTCGGTTTAATTTGTGGAGTCTTGGCTTTCGAGGCCCAGAAGATGATTATGAAATGACTCTATTGAGCTCACCCTGTCTTCATGGTATCGGGACTGAGTTTCGAGGACCTTATGGATACAGTCCTATGACGGAGCTGGAGAATGATAGATGGTACCTGCCGAAAGCTCTCAGATGCCTTATTACCGGTATGACGCCTCATCTAAAGAAGATGATCATGGTGGAAGATGATTGGCCAGCATCTCCGGCAGGACCTGAACCGCGACCTCCTTGGAAAGGCTTCAAAGAGCAGTCGGCTCATACGAATAGTCGTGGTTCCCTGCAGTATCTTCATATAAGTGGCTGTGTTGCTGACCTCTGGAAAGATGCATTCGAGAAATGGATTCAAGACACTGATTTTAGGATATTAAAGACACTCAAAATCAATGCTACCTTAGTGCCTGATGCTTTGGAATATATGGCTACGGAATGCCACTTTTCTTCTCTAGCGCACTTAGAGGTTAATTTCAACCTTGACGATGAATCTGAATTCACCCCTTTATATTTAAACACTGCCAGTTCATTCTTGACGTATCTACCCGTCTTGTCTGTTCTCATCGTGCGTGGATGGCACTCTGGCTTTGCAACATATTCAATATTAGAGCATCATGGACCACGTCTCATCAGACTCTCAATGATACCAGTCAGTGGTCAGACAATATCCCTACAAAACCTCAATTGTTTAGTTGAGAAATGTCCACTTCTCGAGGAGCTTTCTATCAGAATCAAGCGTTCTAGAGGTGATGCCCAAGAAGTATCCATTTATAGAAGAATTGGTTCATTGCTCCGTCTACGGTACTTAGACCTTCAGTTGGATGCTTCTGATCCAGATGTTATATCTGAAGTTGATGACCACGATGACGATGATTTCCTCGAGAGATATAACACTTCTTCCTTCGATATCCTCGACCAGCAATACCCAGAGGAATCAAATCTCCAAGATGATCACTTGAGAAATACCTTCATTAATGGCGCATTAGATCGTGATCTTGCCGAATGCATCTTCAAAACAATCACCTCGGGAAAAAGATCAAGTGTGCTTCAGTCAATGGATATTCAGGTCACTGGAGCAGGATGCCCTGATCTCTCCCAAGGTCAAATTGCGGGCTTCCAGGATGTCCTCGAAGTACTAGGTCTACCACACCGAGTGTTCAGACAGGATGATGGGGTATTGAGAGTTGAGCGGGTTGAAGATCCTCGTTGGCTTTTTAAGCATTCTAGCTTTTCTTATATGCTCCCTTACGTAAGGCATATCTTTAAGCAGCTCTGGCCCCCTAAGGCGGACAATTGGTATGAGAGTTGGCATAGCTTCCCACTGGCCGTGGAAGATAATGTCTCTTGATTCAGAGATGCGGGCAGTCTCATGTCTGGACTCTTCATGAACATGATTCTCTCAGAGATTCAATTGTTGTAAAGGGTTGTTTATCAACAAACCAGTGAAGAATATCGTTTTCCAGCTATTATTTGCAAGCAAGGGTTTCTTCTTTTTTTGCCCATAAGCTAGGTAGAGTTCCCTTTGGACTCTTAATGGGCCCGGTGGTTGAAGCACCTAGAGGGTAAATAGACTGCTTTCGCAAGAGATGGAGCGTCATATTGCTGGTAAAACTGAGCTGCGCAGGGAGCACAAGTCGTACTGAAATCTACTTAGTGAGCGGGACCATGAGCGCCCTCATAAAAGCGGCGGCAGCTGAAAAAGGAAAGCCCCACCTGGCAGGAAAAAATCAAGGGCGTATAGTCACCTAGGTATCGTTCATCACGACTGTCAGGGAGGAAAGTGGCAACCTTGAAGATTGAAAATATATATTTGAAATTGAAGTATAAATAGAACACTATGAACCTCATGAGCTGCTCAAGTTATATTTTCCATCGCTTTCTCTTGTTGGATCTTTTATAATCGAAATCACAATTCCAAGTCAAAATGGCAAGACAATGGATTCTAAATAGCCAACATGGCTTCGAAACCTCGCTTGAGTATCAAGAAAATGTCCCCGTGCCATTAGCAGACCAACTAGGCCCTACAGACGTTCTAGTTAAAATGCATGCTGCCAGTCTGAATTATCGCGAATTGGTGATTGCTGGTCCAATTGTATGAGTAATGCTCCTTCCAATAGTGGAGCGTATACTGATTGTGGTTATAGGGTGTCAATGGACCGATAACTCCCCCAATCGTTCCCGGCTGCGACGGCGCCGGCATCGTCGAAGCAGTCGGGTCCTTCGTCCACGAATTTCGTCCCGGCGATCGCGTCGTGACCAATTCCGGGCCCAAGATAGCCGAGTCTCGTGGTGATGACGCATTTGCAACTGTCGCAGATGTTACCTCCATGATGGGACAAGGCGTTCACGGAACTTTGAGGTCTATGGGGGTCTTCGCCGAAAAAGCGCTGGTACATGCTCCCAAATCTCTGGACTGGTTGCCTGCGGCAACTTTGACTTGTAACTGGCCAACGGCATATAATGCACTATTTGGGTTGAAAGGTAGGGAAGCTGGGCCGGGAACGTGGGTACTTGTTCAGGGTACTGGCGGCGTAAGTATCGCGACGTTGCAGGTCGCTGTAGCTGCTGGTGCGAATGTTGTTGCGACTACCTCTTCAGAAGAGAAAGCTGCTCGTCTTGGAGGACTGGGTGCAGCTCATACTATCAACTACCGCACCAATCCTGACGACTGGGGCGTTCAAGCTAGACGTCTCACACCCGAGGGACGTGGATTTGACATCGTTATCGATATTGGTGGCAATGAGACTTTACCTCAATCTTTGACGGCTGTTCGCGTAGACGGTCAGGTCTTGATGTTGGGCCAGGTCGGTAAAACCGCTGAGAATGTGCCCATGTTCATGGCTTTGTTGCATACTTGTATAGTTCGAAGCTTTCTTGGCGGCAGCAGGACTCAGCTCAAAGAGGTGATACGGTTCATAGACGAGAAGAAGATTTCGCCTGCCGTGGACGATGTGGTCTTTGAGTTGGCGGAGGCAAAGGATGCATATAGGAGGCTCAAGGAGAAACAGCACTTTGCCAAGGTGCTGATCAGAATTGATCACGATTAATCACTTGTGGATCAAGTTGATACTCAACAGTCCTTTCCTAATGTCTCATTGTTCGCTTTGAATTGCAAAATGGATGATTTGTAAATTCACGTCATCGAATTATAGCCGGAATCGACTCTACTGACCCATTTTCGTTCTCAAAAAAAATCGCTCCTGTGAAAGCGATTGTTTGTGTATTATATCATAGTAGTAAAGAATCTCTAGCTTCATCACTCAGCCCATTGAAGCTTCGAAGATCCGCTTCACGTTGGCCGATGACAGATCTGGGATCATTGTTCAGCCCGGCCTCATCAATCCATTCGTGTGGCAGATTCGAGTACCATCCCGGCGCATATTTCGTTTTCTCATCTTCATCAAACAGACCTATTTCATGACTCCTTGATGACGACCCTGAAGACGAATACTTTTGAGAGTACTGCATGCGATCAAATCTCATGAATCCACCGAACAGTTCATCCGTATTGGCAACCCAGATAGATTGACCATCCGACGTATAATCTGCACCACCAATTTCGCCAAAAAAGTCATGCATTTGTCTGGTTTCGTATGTTGTAGCGTTGACGATAGATATGCGATCTGCCGGTTCGCACATCAAAAGCGTGCGCGGTCCACCACCAACAGGCGAAAACCGCAAAGAGCGGTAACAGGCGCGGTCAGAATTCATAGTCTGTAGAAGCCGCCACATACGCACATCCCAAATATTTACTGTTCTGTCCTGATTACTCGTCGCTATGTGAAGCATATCCGGAGACCAGGCACACGCGAAACCAAAGTCGCGATGTCCGGAAAGTTGCTGAAGCGTTCGACCAGTATCAGCTTCAAGGACAAATGCTTCGGTTGAGTCACCGACAACGATCCGCATTCGACCGTCAGTTGACGTTTCTGAGCAGTTGACGGGAATTGGCAGTTCGTGATCAGCTATGAATTGATTATTCGCACAATTGAGGATTCGAATGTGCTGGTCATTAGAAGCAAAAACGACGATCGGAGACGTCCCTGTTCGACTTTGGACTACGTCGATATTGTTGGTGATCCCGTTTGCATCATGTGTAACAAAACCATAAGTGTTGTCGGCTTGATTTCCACTGACATGCATGCAATACTCGCCACCAAAGCCACCCGCAACAGAAATTCCATGTTTTGCTTGCATTGTTGAAATTTTCACTGCACCTTGAAAGCCCGTTTCAATCGGTGGGCGAGAAAGATCCATGATGCATCTCACGTGCTTGTAGTCCGGCGTCCATGTCAGTAATTTGGATTCATGTGCAAATTGTAGTGTATTGAACGACGTGATAGCCATCAAATTTCGCAATTGAAAATGTTCAATAGTAGCTTTCAGGTCCGAATATAATGCCTTGGGGTTGAAATAACGTTCTACCTTTGGCAGTGTGTGGGAGTGCTAGATTCAGTCTTCTGTTAGTCAAACCCATATTAAGGCGGGATAACAGAAGAATACACACGTTATACTTAGAGAAATCAAGATTGGTATAAGGATGGTACCACGCATCACGGAGCAAACGAGCGTCTTCACGGCGTACACCAAGCTTTGATTGCCACGGAATCTGTTGGATATCGTAGAATTCGTCACAGTCTATGGCTTGAGGTCGAATTATCCTCTCAGGTCTCAACCACTCAGAGACATTCGCGGCTTCCAGTGACGGGCCAGGAAATCGAGGTGGAATATGCGGACTATTGGAGAGCGACGCATGTAGCCAGCGTTGGATGAATTCCTCGACCGTAAAATTCCGCTCTTGCGCTTCAACGCCGTTAGTAATGCCATAATTATGTCATTTTATAAAAGATTAACCTACTAGTTTGCAAGGGGGCGTCATTATGACTTTCGGCCAAGTCTGATTGCTCTGCATGCCAGTAGCGATGGAAGCGATGGTCATAACGGCTGATAGATGTCAACATCTGTCCCGTACTGGAAGGCTCATAATCGCTATCGGTGTCAAAGTAGTCGGAGTCGTCGGTGTCATAATCGTCATCTCCAATTGCAACATAAGACTGCAATTCTGTATAAAACTTGCGAGTGTCATCAGGGTCGCTTTCATAACCATCGGATCCATTTTGTGGCGACAAGACCTGTTCTACCACGTCGTACCGTGCATTTGCATGTAGCTCGCTTGCAACATCTTTGTCATATTCCATCCGACTAGCTAATTCTTGAGCAAAATCAGTCAAAGCCGTCGTAGACATATCAGAGCCTGACTGAGACTCAGAAATCCTTGCATCGTGTGAGTCGATATATGTCTCTGCACTAGAAGATGGGCTATGATGGCGATGATTGCTTTCGGTTGAATATACAGGAACAGGGCCAGTCTGACCAAGAATATTATTTGGACTGTATAACGTCCCCAAGAATGGCGGATTGAATGGGCCTCCTACTCCCGCCAGACTTAAGAAAGATGGTCTTCTTAGGCTGGTCACTGCCCGAACAGACACCGGCGAGAGATCGATTTGCGCCGAGAAACTTGTCGGTGACATGAGAGCGGCACGAATGTTGTCAAATCCAGAACCCAGCGATTCGTCCAAGCCCAGCGTTTCCTCCAGGCCCAGCGTTTCCTCCATGGCTTCTGACAGGCAAGCCGTGGTCGTAAAACAATGTTATCGCTCCCCCTTTGTCTTGAGATATCCGTGTTGACTGTATAGAGAGCGATCCATCGCGTGGCTGACAACGATAATGTCAAAGCAAGTATTCGTGATTCTTGAAAGGAATCTTTTCAAAGGACTTTTTCTGTATCGGAGCTCGAATTGGTGGTTCGTAGCCTGACTCGTATCCTGATGGCAATATCGCTATTAAGTCGGTAGCTTCACGATACAGAGTCCACAATCTGAAGCACTCCCGAATTGAGAAGATTGAAAAAGTAAGTAAAACTGCGAGAAATCAAGCAGGGCTAAAAGATGATAATAACAATAAAGCAGACAGCCTCCGGTGAGTATCCCAATGCACGCTCCTACACCAGCCAATCAAAATCTAGTGGATGATGTAGCCAGCCTACCAGCGACCGGCAAACAGACAATACGATGTGATGTAATCACTACCTTGATCGATGAGGATGAGTAAGCTAAATCAGCCAAATGTCAGCTCGTTCCCATCGTTTTCTCTAACAAAGAAGGACAAGGTGCCAGGTCAGAAGGTTGCGATCAGACAATCGGTCAACGTAGTATGACGGGTGGGTGGGGGTCAAACAACGCCCATATACGTTAAAACAACGGCGAACAACAGCCAACAGAGTACACCAACTCGAGTCAGGCAGGGCACATGATTTAAAGTAGCTTTTTTAAGGATCGGCGAAAGAAAAGCTGCTCCAATAAGCGCGCAAATCCCGCAAAGATTCAAGACGAAGCTGAACAATCATATACATAACAACGGAGTATATTCAAGGTTTTGTACAACGAGGACGTACATATAAGCTGAATATTCAGGACTCATCGAGTCGTCGAGATACGAAAGTGCATATGCAGCCTCGCACGGTTAGCAAGCCGACCGGACTGTGCGACGTCAGTCAGCATGTGAGAGAGTAACACGAGACCCGGCGGAGAGGATAGGCGCTTGGTTGGGTGGATGTAGGAGTACTGAAGATAGATAACTGTTGCTGGCCTGTTCGATTTGTCTGTTTGATTGGGTTGACTGAAGTCAATTATTCAAGTAGAAAGATCAAATTGGAAGTGAAAGGTTGAAAGAAAGTTCAATCCGAGTATAAATTACAGCTTAGTCATGGTTCCAGGGTGATTGTGCTGTAACGGTAAGAAATTGATTGTATCGATACGGTGGCGTATCAATACCATATACATCATGCAGTGTGTATGCACGTCTTTCGCACTGGACACAAATAACAGCAAACTATTAATATACACAAAATTAATCTATAAGAGTATCCCCCGTAATTTAGCTACGATTTCAATCTATTTTGACATCGTCTAGTGCGGTTGACATGCTAAATTATTAACCAACCATCATGCTCATCTTCTGATTGCCCAACCCCTCTATTCTCCTTGACCTCTTTTGCGGAATAAGGCGACAGCATACCCAGCTTGCGAAATAATCCTACCAAGCTCCAGCAACATCAAAAAGCCACAAATTTTCGCGATCTTTGTCTCGAGGTGAACATTGTACATGAGTGCTAATCCAACTAAGATGAAGATACCAATGACCAGGCACCATATGAAAGGCAGAAGACGGACCGCAGAAATGATTCCATTGTCGCCATACACAAACTAGAATACAGCGGGATGCATATTCGACGCTGCACCGCACAACGCACTTCCAGCTGCGAACATCGCCAAACACCTGATAAACATCTATTTAGTATCAAAGACTGCATACGCCTTTTCAAGCGGCAAAATGAAGGCAACTGATTCAAGAACGTAGTCAACCCCACGCCAGCCAATTTGGGTATATTGGTCAAAGGTATCTGCGCTTACAATCTGGATGTCGGCGAAAATGGTATTGTCGTGACCATAGAGTAGATTTACGGAAATATGGCAATGCAAACGAACAGCCAGCGAGTCTCTGTCACTCTTTGCGCTACCTTTTTGGGGGTCTCGGCAACGGGAGGAATTCCGTTCTCTCTTTCCTCGGAAAATGTCTCGGTAGTCTAGTCTTCAAGTTTTATTGCGCTTTCGCTTGATTTTACTTGATCTTGTGAACTTTTCTCATGAGTTGATCTTCTTTATCTTTTTTAAATCTTCCCTTCATTTGAATTCGATTTCGGAGTTTTCCGAAGGCACAGCTTCCTGTTCAGGAAATCTCCCAAATAGGAAATAGAGCTCCGGCCGTACCGCATTTCATTGGCTGTCATAATTCGGCAGTTCAACGGAGTTAAGAATAGAAAGAAATACTTCATCTGTAATCATACTTAATCCCAAATGTAAATAGGCTTATGGGCGATATGTTGAGGAATACACAAAAATGCTCTTATTTACATGAAGCCCGAATACGCAAAGAAATTATCAGGAATGGTAGTGCTGAGAAGCTATTCCGACAAACACCAAAGTCAAGTACAAAAGTGACATCAGAAGGTTACCGAGGTATATTAGGCATTAACTGGATTGAAGAAGCTAACGAACAGATTGATACATCATGTTCAAGTAGTATTTATCGACACGACACATCCATATTCTTCAGTGACTATTCTGCACTATATCCATCCAAAGAGACTGATCATTAAAGGGAATTTTTTCCACCATATTGGAAACAGCCGACAAGCCGGCCTGATCTACCGCTTGCATACAGACTGCATATACATACATATTTGGAAGCAAAATACCAACTGTAATCACATTTCAATACAGTACCCGAAATTACATGACATGACATTAGCGTTAATTCTCCTGCCGCAAGGCTGATCACGATCACGATCACGATCCCTCACGACAAAAAACCTGACGAGTCCGAGACTACCTTGCAAATACATCCACGAGGTGACTCGAAGTGACAGATATGACAACCTGACCCTTCACTAGCTGCATTTCTGACGTGGTCCATCAAACTATTTGTATGCATCTCGCCGAATGAGTTGATATTTTCCTCGTTTCAGTGCAAGTTCAGCCCGGAGGAATTGTTCCGGATGCAAAATTATTGATGTAACTTGTGTCTGTTTGGGGTACGACCGGATTTTCGCCCGGGTACAAGGTTTGCATTGGCTTTGTGCAGGAAGCTGGAAAGAGTATTTTGGACGGGACCGAGTGTAAGCAGTTATGTACGAATCTGTCGATGCACATGTTTCGCTTAAATGCAGCTTTCCGATTGTGAAGCATTAGTCTCAGTTTTATTCATCTATATAGTTGGTTATATACAATTCTGTCAGGTTTGTATCGAGGTAAACTATTTCCGGCTTGATCGACGGACATGACTCGTGAATAACGAGGAGTTTTGTGACGTGTCAGATTCCCCGAAGTACCTGACAGAAAGAGTTACTTTCTAATAGGAACGATGTTTGATTTGCGATCAGTATCTTTATGTTCTCAATCACTCTCTCAATCCGCCATTCTCCCTCTTAAACATGACAAAAGGCGGCCCAACTCGTTTCAGTATTACATGTTGCCGTGGCTTAAGGAACATCGGCTCTGTGATGGCGAAATACTCCTTGTAATATTCTTTCGGTAGTTGGTTCTAAGGTTCGCTATTAGTCTAACATCTGCAAATCGAGAAAGAATAAGATTCATTGGATTATGTACCTGGATTAACCATTCTGCAGATTTAGACCTTTTATAATATTAGTACTGAGCTTGTCTTGAATAGCATGACAGCTTACCAATTCTCTACCCACGAGATCTTCCCCGGCTCTGCGGGGTCCTCGTAGTATTCGAAAAAGGTACATTCCGGCTCCGCGATGACTTTCTCATAGACCGGAAGAAGGGCCTCGAAGAATTTGGGGATGTTTTCTGGGCTTATCCAGATGGTGACTTGGAGGGATATGCCTTCTGTTGACATCGTAAAAATCGGAGAGGTTGCTGAGATCAAAATATATTACCGTGGAGAGAGGAAATGACAAGAGTGTACCTATGTGTCGTAGCAAGAGCTGGAAAGCCTGGAATTATATAGGATTTTTGGAAAAGTAAACACTTGATCGTTTTTTGTGCTTCAGCTGCTCCACGCTATGTGTTGAGTCGTGGCTCGGTTGTTGGAACTAGCAGGGATCCATCGTAGCTGAATCAATATCTCGGACGAACCTGTTTATTTTTAGAGATATCATTGAAGCTATCTCTAGGTTCGCCCGAAATTCAGTAATGTCATCAGCACGAATAAAAATGTAAGTATTTTTGAAGGATGTGCGGGAATATATAATTTCGGAGGGTCCAGGGGTTCCCATAATTAAGCATTTTCTCCCGCAAGGTATGTATGTGAGATGATCGAGGTACTTTCTCCGTATTCAATAAGGGGAATTAAATCAACTTTGCAGAACCTTACTATAGTATAGGAATTGCACAAGAATGATATTCTTGCTAATGGTTCAATAAGAGCTTTTACAAGTTCTTATTCTCTTTTTAATTTTGTCAAATTTTCATTTGTCTTGGGTAATATGCGGAGGTATAGTTGAGTTCAGCCTGGGAGAGCTTTCGGCCAACCACTGTACAGTGAAGGTTCAAAATATATAGCAGTGATTTTAACCAGGTGTTTGCTATTCGAAAATCCATTGTAAACAGTTTCCATCGCACTAAAAGCCTTGATTTAATCCAATATTCTATTCACTAACTCTACTCTTTACTGTTTTTTACTACACCGGTTCTTTGTATCCAGATTTGAGCTTGCAGGAAGATGATAAGTACGCAAGATCTAAATGTAAATCGATCTAAATGAATATGCACTATGTAGTATTTGAATGCATTACTCTATTTTACCCGGTAACTGTCGAAATTAGTTTTACTCACGATCCCTACCCCGACACTTTGTCCGCTTCCCGGGAGTATCGATGACGACCTTTGGAACCTCCGCTGGATTACCCTTCATGAGCACTCGCAGCAAATTATCCTTTTCCTTATTGTTTATATTGGTAGCTAGGTTGTCTTTAATAATGATGAAGATGACTTCAACGGCAATTTCCAGACACTTTGACAAAGGGGTATTGACCATCATTGGCAAAGTGAACAATGCCCATATTCAGGCACCTTCTTTCTATACAGCTGGGTTGCACCTATCCAAGGAATTCCGAATCAAACTTCATAGATAAATGTCATTCATTCATAAGGAAGTAGCTCTTGGATGTCAGCATTATTACTATGATACCGTCTGAGGTACAAACATATAGCCTGACGTTCAATCCTAGATCGCAACTCAATCCACCAGACAGCTTGTCCTGCCTTTTGATACCATAGCATCAGCAGCAACAGCGTACGAGGATCTTTCCTCCTAAACAAGACTTTGAAAGACTGCGACATACAGCTTAAGAAAGCAAGAACTTTCGCTAGGTACTCACGACTTTCCGGCGAGCCATTAAGTTGAGAGATAGAGTGAACCATCAGGAAATATGGGTTGCTCTCAGCGGTAGACTGCGCATCTAATTCACACAGACGGGCCAAAGATGGATAAACGCCACGGATGCCTTGTGGCGGCGCATCAATACGCAAATCAGCATATGTGTCGGCTAAACACCGAAATATGCTATCTGGCCGCATCGGGTCCATAAGTTTCCAGAGCACCCATTTCGTATCAACCATTGGGATCCAGTCTAGGTCGCTAGCGGAATCTTTGAGTGGCCATGCTTCTTCAGGATGTGTGGCCTCCACTGCGACAAACGTGAGGGCTCCGTAGAGTGCTGCGCAGGCCCAGATAGCATCCTTGGCATGAGGTACATCTAAATTTTGCAGATGCTCGCTGAGAAGGGTAGTAGACTGGGAAAAGTTGGATAATTCAGAGAGTGTCCGATGTGAGGGAACATTGGGTGGCGATGTAAGATAGCGCTCATAAGCACTTGAAATCGCTAATATGGCGTGCATGAGAAAGGGATACTTGAATGGTATGGTTAGCATGAGCTTGAAAATTAGTTGTGGGAAAAGGCCCAATGCAATGATCACACATGTGAGGTAGCGAGTGACGTAGTATGGAGACGAGGGAAGTATGTTAAGGGCTACCGAAGACTGGGGGATGGCGGGTAGGTAAAGACTACCTACTTCATGTGCCAGCTGAAGGCACCCATCTTGAGCGCCTCTCCAGCTGGGTGCCATGCATGTGCGAAAATGGTAAAGAAGGCTGCTTTGTTTTGAATTCATTCCAAAAGGTATAGTAAAGCCACGTGTGACGCCAATATTGAAGATAGACACCCTTGGATCCAGGCATGGCGCTCTTGAAGCTTTTCGAGCAACAAATGTGGTGTTACTTAGCAGTTTCAGAGGCTGCGCCTCGGTCGATAACTGCAATTCAGAGACATTCGCGTCGTAATTGCACAAAACGCCGTACGTCTTACAGCCTTGGCAGTGTGGTCTTGACTCATCACACTAGCCAGGGATGAATTATTAGCACACATAGCCGCAGATAGTACATGTGATTCGGAAAAGTGCTTACTTTCACTTTTCGAAGCTTGCAATTTCGACAGCCCCGCCTCGATCTACGTGGCTTGAGAGACCCCATGTTGGTTCGGGCTGCCTTATTCGTCATTTTCCAACTTGCAAATTTTTTTTTTTCGATAAGATATGTTGCAGCTTTCAGAGGGAGTCTACTTCAAGAATCGTTGGTAGGTAATTTGAAAGAAGTGCATGTCGTCTTTAGCCAAACGCGCTATTATCAGGTTACTACAGACCTTTCAGGCGCTAAACAAGGCAACATCTCCGAAAAGATATTGCATACAATATTCGATTAAAGAAATATGTAGGCGCTAGAGCTTTCCTGCGTGTATGATTGCGAGAGAAGGGAAAGTGTGAAGAAGTCGAACGGGGCTTCGAAGATTTCAATATTGGAGTCTCCGGCCCCGATTCAATTCAAGAATAGATCCAACCAGACCCACTCTAAAGGATTCCAGGCTAACCTACTTTCGCATAATAACACATACTGATTGGAGGAAAACGCTCTGTGGGGACCGAATGTTAACCCTAATTTCACTTTCAATATATGTACTCAAAAGTGACCAAGGACCGAAGCTGCTCGAAATGCCGCATCCGAGAGGCTTCTCGTTCATCTCGTCAACCAAGCTATGACTGAAAGTACTTCTGATGTAGTGATCCACCATACTAATATCTCGCTAGGTGAATCCTCATTTCCGTCATTCGCATATGGCCGGGCTCTGATAGGCAAGTCGACTTCTCGGTGGAGGCAAAACACAGGCTTAATCGATTTCGAGCGTCTTGTGACCCATAATCACAGTTTACATTGCTGTGAGTTGTTCACATAGGGGAATAAGAGTAATATGGCCTATATAAGACCTATGCCCTACCCTTTTCAACCCTTCCAAGGTTCTAAAAATCTGCCTGTCTTTTTACATCTTAACACATACTTTTCGAAGTATATAACCCGACATCACTACGTCTCATATGCTGTTACTCAATCTGTAAATATACATTCTCTCTTTTTACAAGATGAAAGTCTTCGTCACTGGTGCAACGGGCTACATCGGCCTTCCCGTGGTTCGGCAATTACTTGAGCATGGCCACGAGGTCCTTGGCCTGGCCAGAAGTGATAAGAGCGCAGAATTGCTCGAGTCAATTGGCGCTCAGGCACATCGCGGTACCCTAGACGACTATGAATCTCTTGCCCAGGCAGCAGCAGCCTCCGATGGCGTTATACATCTCGGCTTCAAGCATGAACAGATAGCCGATAAGCCCAAGGAGGGAGTAGACTACAATAGTCTTTGTGCGGATGATCGTGCTGCTGTGACAGCTATGTTAATGGCAATGGAAGGAACCAACAAGCCCTTTGTATTTACCTCCGGCACACTCATGATGGCGCGCGGCAAGCTGGCTCTTGAAGAAGACGGACCTGACATGGAGCACCCAGTGAGTCGCATTCGTGGTGCAAATGAAGCCGTCGTTCTGGGATTTGCGAAGAAAGGAGTACGCGCTATGGTGATGCGGGTGCCTCCTTTTAATCATGCAAAGGGAGATAAATACTCTATTGGTATGCTAGCTGCTAAAGCGAAGCAATTTGGTGTCTCGGCATATGTGAACGATGGAGAAAATAGGTGGCCAGCGGTTCACCTGCTTGATGAAGCTGTCTTGTTTCGGCTGGCATTGGAAAAAGGCGTAGCCGGATCAGTCTACCACGCCACTGCGGAGGAGGGAATTCGTTTGAGAGATGTTGCAGCCGCGCTGGCCAAGTCGCTGCAAATTCCTCTTATCAGCAAGCAGTTGGACGAAGCTCAAAAGTACTTCGGATTTATGGCGTTTGCGCTTCATGAGGACAATCCGACCTCAAGTGAAAGAACGAGCGCCGAACTTGGGTGGACCCCAACGCACCCAACGCTCTTGGAGGACATCGAGGCTGGATCATTTAAGGATTAACTAAGGCTTTTCATTTCATAGCTATATAGAGTACGTAGTAACTTACAAGGAACTGCTAAAAAGAATCGAAGGCCTCCTCTTGTTGTGCGAGCATTAGTTCTGGTGTAGATATTTTGGGACAGCGTCACAAAAATTTATTATGCAAACGAATTTATAATCAAAGTTATTTGAGTGCTGTTCATGATACTACTTCATTAAGACATTAGATATCATAACGGTCAGCGCCGTCTTTCACCGGCCGATATACAAAGTACTCAAAATCCGCTCTTTTTGCTGTGCCATTGAGATCCGAACATGCCACGCCAACAAATGCACCGGTAAAGCTTCCGTGTGCCTGATGTCCCCCACATTCATCTGACAAAAGGGACGCATCGAAAACCGTGTCGATTGTCTGCAATTCCTGTCCTTCCAGCGCATACGAAAACTGCAAGGTCTGACCACCGCGAATGGACAAAGCAAGTTTCACTTTGCCTGTCTTTGGAATCCGAATGGGTTTCAGACCAGGAAGTGTCAAATCACCGTCAGGCCAAGAGGCTTCGGAACTCAAAACGGAAATTTCACGTTCGCCGTCTGAGTCTGCCGTAACAGTCAGGTAGAAGAAGTTGTATGTGGAGTAGTAAGCTACAAGGCCTGCGAATTGACGCTCATCATCTGGCGAAAAGTCAACAACGGTCTCTGCATCGTAGGAGAAATGGGTCTGTCGTCGTGCTACAAGGGCCTGTTCGAACCAGCAGCCGATAGACTCTCTTCCAATGAGCGAAAGCTTTCCATTGTCGACAGAGAAGATTCGATCTGGCTCCGGGGTCCTCAACCATTGGAAGTCTTTCGGAAGAGTGCTATCGTTGAATTGGTAATTCTTCTCTGCCCAGTAATCCGACTCATCCCGGGCACCCGGGACATCGGTGTATAATGACGGAACAGGACCGTTCTTCACATAGAACCAATCATCCTTCCAGTACCCTTCTTGTATAGCCGTCTCTCGTCCGAGCACACAGCGGCGGTTTTGACCGACAGGCCGTCCCGTTAAATGGACAATATATGTTTTGCCATCCGGGGTGTCAACTATGCTTCCATGCCCAGAGCGTTGCAAGGCCACAAATGGAGCATCCTTGGATGTAACAACGTGTTTCTGAGGATGTACTTCATATGGGCCGGAGATACTTCGTGACCTCGCCCAAGTGCAAGCGTGCTCATACGCAGTGCCACCTTCGGCAGTAAGAAGGTGGTACCACCCGTTGCGTTTGTACAAATGTGGACCCTCCACAAGATCTAATTCCGTGCCTTTGAAGATGTTTTCTCGTTTGCCGACCAGCTTACCCTGAACTGGATCAAATTCTTGAAGTGCAATTCCAGCGAATAAACGGGGCCGGCGGCGATGATCCCATAGCATATTAACAAACCATTTCTTCCCATCATCGTCATGAAACAAAGACGGATCAAAACCGGAGGAATTGACATAGATAGGATCCGACCACGGCCCTTCAATTTTCGGTGCAGTAACGATGTAGTTATGTGCATCCTTGAAAGAACCATCTTTACGTTTGACGTCGGTATAAACGAGCCAGAATTTGTCACCATCGTGACTCAGACATGGTGCCCAAATGCCGCAACTATCGGGATTTCCCCGCATATCCAACTGGCTCTTCCGTGTCAATGGTCGCACGATGAGATCCCAATTAGCTAGATCTTTGGAATGATGGATTTGCACCCCCGGGTACCATTCAAATGTTGACGTGGCGATATAATAGTCATCCCCGACCCGGAGAATTGAGGGGTCGGGGTTGAAGCCGGGAAGGATAGGGTTGCGTACTGGCGGCATTGTATGCTGTTGATGCACTTAAGATTGAGGTATGGAAGGATTTGTGGTAAGCAAGAAGACGATGGAGGAGTCTTCCTTTTATCTTGTAGTTAAATAAGATTCATGCTCGCCGAACGGAGTATTTCCCGGATAAACTACCGGTACACAGGCAGATTGGCAAGCTGGGGTAATTAAGCAGCGCCTCCTCACTCCATTTCAACCGACTTTAGCCGGTGTAAAGAATATTATGGGTTTTCAAAACCTAAAACATAGGCTTGTACGTCGCGATGTATACATGTAGTAATTAAACTGTTAGCGATGTGATAGATTAAAGGACATAAAAGGCTGGCCGTCCTTGTCACCCTACAGGCATTTTGACATGCCCAACACTATTGTCTCATTTGGAGAACATGATTGAGGATCAAATAATGGCTCCTACTAATAAATCCAGGACCCAGCACTGGGTGCACACTTGGGCTGCAATGCCACAGCTTGCAGAGTCGACTGATCTGCCTGAGATCCCATTTGTAAGGAGGTTTCCCAACCTCACAACTATCAGTACTACATCACTAACATTGTTCTTCTTTCCTAAAGACTCTGCGGCAAACAGCTCGCGTGACTCTCGGTGCTGCGTCTCACATTCGCTTGAGATTGTCAAATGCATTCGGCCTTGAACCTCTGACCGTCGCAGAAGTGGCCATCTCGCGTTCTGCGGGCAATGTTTCGGGGACCAATGCGCTTGAAGAGGGGACAATACGCCACGTTACTTTTTGTGGGGATCGCGAAGCTCGTATTGCTGCTGGAGCACACATTGTCTCTGACCCAATTGACTTCGGACTTCTTCCTCCGGCCACCGCTGTGACTATTAGTCTGTTTCTGCCAAGCAAACTTCCAGCACAAGGAGTTACCTCCCATCCTGGCAGTAGGACCGATTCATGGTTTGCCCCAGGAAATCAGGTGTCTGAATTGAGGTTTTCCGGAGATGGCGTGGGGCAGATAGAACATTGGCAAGTTTCTTATTAAATGCTATCAATATATGTCATATTACGAGAGGTGCTAATGATCTGTAGGTATTTTATCAGTGGAATTGAAACTCTTGTACCTCGTGACTTTGGTGCATTTGCATTGATTGGAGATAGCATCACCGACGGACGTTGTAGTACAACAAACGCCGATACTCGATGGCCAGATCTTCTTTTTGGTCGCCTGCAGAAGAGCCCGATCGTACCACCACTTTCCATTGTCAACCAAGCAGCTGGCGCAAATTGTGTTCTCGTTGACGGCTCAGGTGGTCCCAGCGTCCTTGCCCGTCTAGACCGGGATCTCCTCTCTCTGTCAGGAGTACGTTACGCATTGATTTTCGAGGGTATCAATGACATCGGTATATCTTTAACCGATCCAGAGAGCCAGGCAATCTTGCAAAAGCAACTGATCGCGGGCTACATGCAAGTTGCTACTCGGCTTTCTGCAGCTGGCATTATTGTAATTATCGCAACATTGACACCGTTTATGACCAGCGAAGAAGGGGAACATATCAAGGTATTATCTCCATATTCGCATCCTGCTCGCGAAGTGACGCGGCAGCATGTAAATGCGTGGATACGCAGTCATGGTGCAGCCTTCTTTGACGCTGTTGTTGACTTTGATGCTGTGTTGCGGGATCCGGAGGATGTCTCATTCTTAGCAAGTCAGTACGACTCTGGGGACCACCTACACCCGAATGAGAGAGCCTTCGAAGCACTGGCCAGTTATTTCCCCATAGATGTATTGGGTATTGGGCAACTATAAACAGACCTTTATATTTAGAGATAGAAGATTTCACATACATAAGACTCACTATTAGAATTTCACCCCGGTTCACTCTTTTCTTTTATTAGAAAAATAGTGATAACAAATTAGGGGAAAAAAAGAAAACGCGGTATTATATTGTATCTATACCATGCAGAATGAAAAAAGGATGTCAGTCTAGTCTACTATACCTGGAGGCAAGAAGGAAACATAATCTATGGGCGCCAGCTCGGTCCCATCTGGCATTCCTGAAATTTCAAGCGTATCCCCTTTGGTCACATTGACGGATTCAAAAATAATCCGTGTCGCGGAATGGCCATCCCGTAAATCTGAAAAGTCATGTAGCAGCACAGTGCTCAAATCGCCTGCCCATTCGCCAATGACCTGGCCTCCCAGTGACAGTTTATAATGTGATGTACCGCCGAGGTGATCGTAGTAATTTACTGCAACACTGTAAACTCCGGTCTCGAACGGTATCGTACATTTGGCTGTTCCTGGTTTGTCGTTTGATGTTGTAACAATGGCCTTGCCGCCAGAGGCTGCTTCAAACGGCGTGATAAGAATTACGGTATATCCCGTTAAGTCCATCGATTCGGCTTCAATCCGCCATGGATAGTGCCCGACTCGACCATGCTCGTCAGCGATACCGCACTTGTCCATATAGAAGTTGTTGACTGAGTCACGCCACACAAGCGAATGACCAGCTTGATATTCGAGTCGGAACAAGATGTGCTTGAAACGAGCGTCATCAATTAGTCCGCGGAGAGCCTCCCACCTAGGTGCAAATGTCTGCACGTTGGCAGCTCCCTCGTAATGTGCATCGTAGAAGTGCTGAATTACAGTCTTGCCTGACTTCAGCCGTTGTGTGTACGGCACATGATGAAACCAAAGGAGCAGTTCATCGGGAGTGGTTTCAAGTTTCTCATACAGTTGTGCAATTTCAGCTGGATACTGTCCTGCGTATCCCGTACCTGTAGCGACTGTGCGATCCATGCCGATCCCATGAGCGTCAGCTCGGGTCCATTGGCCCCAGCCATTTCCATCCATTGAATCGGGTCTAGGACCATAATGGCATGTTTTCGTTATTTCACACAGGGTCTGAATCCCAAGATTGCCAGTATAGTTCTCATATGTTGGCCAAGACTCCATGGAGATGCTGGATACGGTGTCGACAACTGTCGGGTTAGCAGTGAAAGTTAAGCGTGTCCAGTCTCGAATAACGCTTTCTGCATCACTCAATGGGTCCCAAGCATAACGGCCATAGGCGTACAGATTGGACATTGCAAGATGACTTCCCAGCCACGTTGAATCACTACCAACATTCACAACAGCTGCATAGCCACTTCGTTTCCAGTCAAACCGCTCACCCGAGACGATTTTATGGACAGGTGAGGACTTCCCATCGATCCGAAGGTCAAAGTCTAAGATCGTCTTCCAAAGAGGAGGCAGGTAGCAGACATGGCTTTGTTGACCTAGATATTCTTGCGCCACCTGGAATTCAATAATAGCTGGTGTTTTCCGAAGGTGGGCGAATAACGGGGAAGTCGGTTCGCGAACTTGAAAATCGATTGGCCCATATTTGATCTGCACCAGCACATTGTCCGCAAATAAGGTATCCATATCTTTGAAGAATTCAACCGCTGCATTTGCTCGGTCATTCTTCCAATTGGACTCATCTAGATGGTGATTGTATACAAAAGCCCGATAGACCACGACGCCATCGCCATAGCGTTTAAGGGCATTCGCAAATAGATTTGCTCCCTCGGCTAATGTCCGTCCATAGGTGAGTGGACCGGGTTGGCCCTCGGAATTGGCTTTGATCAGGTATCCAATGAGGTCGGGGACATGTTGATGCAATTGAGCAGTAATCCGATCCCAAAACGCAATGACATCGGGATCTAGTGGATCAGACGTCGGCAGACCGGCCAGAGTCTTGGGAGTATCAAAGAAGAGTGCGACACCAATACGCACGCCCCATGGACGCATTGCATTCGCGATTCGCCCAAGACCCTCCAAGTTTTTTGGACTGAGCAGGTCATGATGCGAGTTTACATTGTTGACGATAATCCCGTTCAATCGGACAGAAGCCATAAGTCGAGCATATTGAGAGACACGAGTTAGGTCATCTTGAACAACCATGTCTTTGAAAAAGATAGATGGTCCTCCGTATCCGCGCTCGATACTACCGTCTAAATTGTCCCATTGATTGACCCATCGAATCGGCGCGCTAGGGTTGGAGATATGACCGGAAGGACATGGTTTGCCCTGGGCAAGCAACATCAGAAATTCGAAGGCGCCGTATAAGGTTCCACGCTCATTTTGCCCCAAAATGTGTACGCTTTTATTGCCATGGTTATCAAGCCAGAAGCCGTCTTCTTTCAGAGGCGGAATTTGTGTAACATCTCCGCCCGCCTGCGAGAATTCATGAATAGTCCCAATAAAAATTGCAGTTTTATCGTCCTTCTGACTGTAAGAGGCGAGACTATGGGCAATCTCAACCTCTTGCTTGAGGATTCCATGTAATCCTTTCTGAACCTCCCTTGCAGCAGTATAAACAGGGCTAGTATCGTCGCTACTCAACGCAATGACACTCTCATATTGTTCGGACTGTGAGATCAAATCAGAAGCTAACGGGGCATACCGTAGCCAGGCGTCAAGGCCATTCTCGTCGGGAAGCATATTGGTGAGATAAAAGGGAAGCGAGTTTGATTGTGTCTTGTAATATGACGGTAGAAAAATCCCCGATACTGTCTGATAACTATATCGGTACAGTTCTGGTGCTCATGAGCTTCTATTAAATCCAAAAAAAAGATACATGGCTTGGGCTTCAATTGGCGTATCACAGTCGTTTGGGTATGTATTAGGCTAAATACGGAAGGTTATTTGTACAGGTAGTCGGTGTACCCCCGCGATTCACATGCACCAATACGTGCGCTTTCTTGTTGTTAGTTTTTGGGGGTGAGCTTACCATTTGTCTGGCAATTATTTTGTTTCATCTAGATCCCATCATAGGGTTTCTTGGAAGAAACATTTGCATTGATTACTCAATTTACATTTAGAAGCAATACAGTTGGGGCCTATGGTTCCATACATGGGGGTATTTCTACAGTTCAACTTTCGTACGAGCTTTAGGCCCGGTGCTGTATTCTGCTAAAGAACAAGGACAGGCTCTCAACGCACCTATGCGAACACGTCATGAGAACGGATAATATAGTCCAGAAAACAAAATAACCTTTCTCTGTTTCTCTCCCGTTCAAGCATCGTAGTTAGTACCGGCAAGTTTATCCTCATTAAGCTCTGCAAAATCCACCTTGTAGTTCTTGAAATCCCTAGTTTTCAATTCCTTCTTCGAGAAGAGAATATCCAGTTCCATAAAAGTTCGGCCCTGAGTCTCTGGGAGACGGAAGAATGCCCACGTAAGAAGAAGAAGATTGATACCACCGGTCAGAAAGCCTGTCTTTCCCTTCCAGTTACCCTCTGTTGGGTTGAGGATGTATGGACCAGCAAAATAGTTTACCAAAAGGGACAGGTTGTAGGCGTTCCGGGACAGACCGATAGTCTTGTTGCGTAGACGGGTAGAAGAGACTTCGCTAACAAGAATATAAGCTGCCGGACCGACAGTGAGTTCATAACCACAATTCCAGAGTAGATACAACACAGATTGTGCGTAGCCGACAGCGACCTTTGGCGGGCTTAACGAAACAAATCCGACCAAAAATAACATGAGCGCCATCCAGGAAAGTCCCGCGAGGTATAGACGGCGACGGCCCACTCTAGCAACGACGGGGATCGAAATGATGTTGAATAAAATGTGAAGACCGCCTTGTCCCACACTCATTTTATATGCGTCTGATGCTGCAAGCCCGGCCAACTCAAAGAAATAAGTCGAATATGAGGAAATCACAAAGCCGCACCACAACTGCGCGGCCCAAGCGACGCAGGAAATTTCGGTTCGCCATAGGTTACGTCCACGGAAACAGTCAAGATAACCAGCGCCTTCGTGCATATTCTTTTCTAGATTGTTTGTTTCAACCATAGCAGCCACTGTACGGCGGACTTCTTCCTCAGTCATGTCTGAACTGCCCAACCGTTTGACCACCTTTTCAGCAGCCTCGAGCTTGCCCTTACGCACCAGCCACCAAGGTGACTCTGGTGCGAATAAAACTAGTGGAAAAATGATGACTGGCCAGACCCACTGCACGGCAAAAGGGATACGCCAGGCCCATATGGACAGGTTTTTGTTGAGTGTGAGGAGAACGGAATACGAGAGGAGCTGTCCGATGCCCCAACACATAACGATCCAAATTTCTAACAATCCACGCAACACAACAGGAGAGAGATCTGATGCATACGCTGGTGCCATTGTTGCAAAGATGCCCCAGCTCATGGCTGAGAGCAGCTCTCCAGCAAAAACAACAGATATATGTGTCGCAAAAAAAGACACGAAGATAAAGGCAGTCAACCACGTCAACCACAACAACAACGACCGCTTGTATCCCAAGCGATCAGTCGTAATGGCTCCAATGTAAATACCAATGATATTACCGACAGAGCTCGAGCAGCCGATTGCGAGTTGCCAATGAGCGGGTATCTGGTAGCCAGAGCTGGCACTGACGTACTGACCAAAATGGCTCTTGAACGACGGGAACGCAACGAGCGAGCCAAGAAGTGCACCATCGTAACCATCCATGATAATCGTTAGAGAGATTACCATAGACCAAAGACAAGCTTTGTAATGCTTGCGGATGGCCTCCGGAATTGTCAACTGGTGCTCCTTTTCCGTATTCAGGCGAGCATTTTCCCAGCCATGAAGGTGTTCCTTCGTGAGTTCGACATGAGCGCTAACTGTCGGAGGATTCTTCTCAGTCTCCATGCTGTAATGTTGTTATCGTAAGAATATCTTATTGCTGGTATTTTGTGGAGAAATGGCACGGCGTAGGATAACTGGGTTGTTCTGCCAAAATATAACGTAGATGACCAACGGATCGACCAAGAGTTTATTGGACAATCATCTCGGTTAAAATGCTAAAAGAAAGACACCGGCAATTGAACCTACAAGCCAGTCTACCTGCCCACTCCAACATGCCACGCGTTCTGAGGCCTGAATTGGGAATCTGGGGGAATGCGGGGAGATAGGCCATGGACTTTTCAAAATATCCAGGTCCAATAACGGTTGATATTCCATTCCAAAATAGCCTAAACAGCATTCCATCCAACGGTGGCGCATACTCTTTGTTGTTTATACCAGTTTGATTGGCTTGACTTTCATATTCCTCGGCTAGTGGCTAAACCCTAGTCACGCGCAGTTGATGGGATTCAATTCAGCCAACAGAAGCCGCGGGAAAAAGAGAACTTAAGCTTTTCTATCCGAAGTTAGGACCTTAGTACACGCAAGCATGCTTCCGACGGTTGTTTTGCTTCTCCAAAACAGAGCATAACGAGTCAAAATATAATAACCCTAATAACCCTAAGATCGCGGACTATCGTCCTTGATCATCGTTCAGGACATGGACATTGCAGCGACTTTGACATATCCACATTGACCGATTTAGAGAACATTGCCAGTGTTGTAAAGACGATATTTTCATTTTAATTTTATTGTATGATGCTTTTCAGACCGGTCTGATTTCCAGGAAGGAAGCTGGTGCTACTTTTGTATTGATCCTAGAAGTTAAGTCGGTAGAGAGAAGAAAAGATCCTACATGGTTGTTGATCCACCTAGGTAGCCAATATGATAATCTTGGGTCTCTCCTTCATCACGATTGAAACACTCCATGATTCTAAGATATACCTCGTCGAAACCATTCCCTCTACCCAAGCCTGAGCCACCAACGGCCCCTATAGTCGCAACTTCATTGGACAAGGTGTCCCTCAATTCCACTACTGTTATGCCCCAACTTTCACATGAAGCTGTGAGATTCGTCTATGAGAGAGGGGCTGGACTTGGAAAAAGGCTTCACAACATTGAAGGAAGCCCTAATCACCAGACGTGACTCGTCATTGATTTACAGCGGACGTATATTTATATATATGGACATCAACAGAATTAGACCGAATACTTGTATGAGATAGCAAGTCATTTGGTGATGATTGGATGACAACATTTATTATAGTTTCCCCCCTAATTTGATACAGTCCTGGTCTTTGAATCCTGCAATCAACGACGGTACAGCTTGGAGATCAATACCTCAAGTGTTCAACTGTTCCAAGACTATTTCTGTGGGTACACCCAAGGACGTCGGATTCATTGAACAACATCATCTATCAACAGACGGCTTACATCTATATTTCACTCAGGCCCTTTGTCTGACTTTTCCTGGTGCGGGAGTTCTTGCCCCCTGGTATCCCTAAGAAGGACCCTGATTGCTTCTTGACAAACATCGAGTTCTTACCATGATAGTTCTTTGTAGATTTGCTTTGACTTTCTTTTTGGTGTGAGATCATCCTACAATAGCTTGGGAGGACACCCTTTATATTCTAGCCACAACAGAGATATGATCATAAATCTTTAGACTGCAACGATGTCAGCTTTATGAAGCGGAGATGCCTAGATAGGTAAGATGAAAATCTCAACTGACCGTGCATATTCCTGTAAAATTTTGATATAACGAATTGAAGGCCTTTCCAGATCTGCATTGATGGTATCGTAGCTTCGGTCGTTCTAGTGATAAAAATGTAGCGCACGAGTATTCTTCTTTAAAGAGATTGGTATAACAAAATGTTTTCGATTATCTCACTTCATGAGATAACGTGATACAAGATTCAATGGTTGGGGGGCCTTCTGTTTGCTATAGTCAGATTATACTGTACGACATGGACTAAGTGATGTAGCGACAGCCTTCATCGTCATGACTCAGGCGACAAATTTTCCACTTTCCCAATCAGGAATGTCAAACACTCGAAAACTGCGCCCATTCAATCCATATGCTCTGCTTCCTCTTCTCCTCCCTTCCTTGTGCTAAAATACCTCGTGCTTCCCCTCCTCTGTTCTCCCCACGATCTCTTCTCTTTAAGCACGAGAGCTCATAGCGACAGCCGAAACCCTGGATGATCCCCCACCCGTCTGCTGAAGAGCGGCAAGACCGCATATTCAAGGCACAGGAAACAATAGATGACTTGAGTTGCCGTATCTCGTCTTGTGCAGGGTTCAGCCACTGGGTGAGCAATTGGACTGAAAGACTGGCAGTACTGGGGCAATTAGAGGATAGAGATAGATAAAATACAATTAACCATGACGAGAGACCTTGATTTGATTCACTTAAGAGACCTTTCGTGATTATAGAATTCAAATGGGTATCCGCATTACCGAAAGGATAGATATGATGAAAAACTATTGCACTAGTAATCAAGAACTGGAATGCACATGCGATTTCTTCCTGATGATGAGTAGCAGAATTTGAAAAGAGCAGTATCCCGAGCTGGACCGTAACGCAAGAATAAAGATAAATCAGAATCGGTATTACAGAAAAGCTTCTTTGATGCAAATGTAAATACCGATTTGCGGATGGTTGCATTCTCACTGTCAACGGACTAATTTTTACCGTATTCATTAGTACAAACTGACCGCGTGGGGAGGCCTTCTGTTTGCTATAGCCAGATTATACTTTATCACATGAAACTTTTAAGTAGGCATACAAAGGTGAGATGAATATCAGACACGTAATTTGATTGACTTTGTATTTGTATTCCAAAGGTAATGACTAGAATTCGGTCATAGACAGCTGAAATTATCGAAGCACGCTATCACCAAACAATAGGCTTCATGAGTTGCCAAAATAGCTACCAAATAGTATATGAACGCAGACGTACATGCTGATAAATCATACACACTCCCACGAATTCTCGTCCGTGTAGTTCCCAGGCCCAACATATACGTTCCTCTTTGGATACTTACAGTGTTTCCTTGTATACTCTACAGATCCATCAGTCGCAAGTTTTGCACCACGCACAAACTCCGGTGCAACTCCTTCTTCAACCCACTGCACCATAGCCCACAGTACATTATCTTCAGGAATTTTTTCTGATCCCGGAACATAGGTTGCTTCTGACTGTCCGATGTAAGCGGCTCCTGAACCGGGACTACAATGACCCATGCCACTTATAGCAAAGAAACGATAAAATTCATCTAGGTTCGAGGGACTGGTGTTGGTAGAGTCGGAGAGGTGTTTGTACCATGCTTTAGAGCTGTCGGATGTAATGATGGGGTCTTCCATTCCATGATAATGAAGGACTTTACCGCCCTTCTTCTGAAAGCCAGCGACGAGACTGCTGTCCCATGTTGATATGTCGAAGGGGTTCTGATGAGCAGCAGCTTCCGCATCTGCTAGTGTCCATGTAGTAGGATCCCAGTTGGAGTTGTTGTAAACGACATATCGAAACCAGTCCGTGGAATACTGGAACGGTTGACCGGAATAGTAAACGTAGGCAGCTTCCACTTCCGAGCCAGGTTGCATGCGAGGATATAACCATTCGCCATCTTCACCGATCAATGGGATGAACACCTGATTAACTGTGTTCGCCTGCACTCCAGTAAGGCAAGATGATAAATCAGTGGAAGAAGAGTTGCAATCAACGTCTCAAAAATGGGATGACACAAATCCGGGTCTTCGATGATACCATCCACAGCTCCATCGAGAGCATCGCATTGTCTTATGATTTCATTGTGAATCAGGGTTCCCCACTGATTCGCTGTGACAAATGTATCTGATGTATTGGTGCCAGTTATACCGAGGAATCTCGCACCCCAGTTGGAGAGATTGATGAAATTGAAGGCTGGTGAACCGGCAACGACACCGTCGAAATCATTGGGGAACTTTTCGAGGGATTTCCATCCCTGCCGGCCGCCCGTTGAGCAACCAAGATAATAAGACTTATTATATCCGCTGTTTATTTTAGTGTAGAATAGTTTGGTGAGTTCTTTGCCAATTACTACGCCAGTGTGTAATGCACGGTAGGCGAAGTCTTCGAGGATCTCGGTGTTGCCGAGGAAGTATTTCCCAGTGTCGCCAAAGTGGCCGTTGTTTGTGCCCACAGTGGCAAACCCAAATTGTGTTGCGTATAACATGTCCGAGTATTGAATACCTACGCACATTATCAGCTCTGGGGTATCTCACAGGCAAGAAGATGGATACTTACAACCACCCAGCCCTCCATTTCCAGTACTCAGAAATCTCCCCGTATAATTTCCTGGCAACCAGGCTTCCATATAAATCTGACTCTTGCTAGAAGTAGTCACGTTTAGACTGACCCGACAGAATTCTACTGAACTGGCACTTGAAACGTCATTACTTGCACATGCAGCTGGGGTTGTGGCCATGGAAATGTTTCCGCCTGAAGGAATGTATGTGACTGAATGGAGAGTCACATCATTCTGGAACGCTTTCTTGTTTCCGTTTATTTTCGAGGCGAAAGCTTCACATTCGGCCTGAAAGGACTGAGAAGAGGTTGAGGTTGATTGTCCTCGAGTCTGAAGATATGACTCGGGAAGGGCGAACCCGAACCCTACAAAGAGGGATAAACCATGTAGAATTTTCATCTGCATAGCTTATAATGTTTTGTGCTACTCTAACAATACAGAAAAGTAATGATATTTCTTCAAACAATATTGGTCAACTACGACGATAATGCTCATATTTGTAGCCTTCTTCTGTTTCAAAGTACCTAGGCAAATCTACACAAACAGCTAAATAAAAGTATTCAGACAACATAGAAAGCGAGGCTCCAGAAGATGTAAATGCCGCGATACTCTGCCGACATCGACCTTAATAGAATAGACTTATGCGCTACGACGTCTCTGAGCCACTGATCTACATGGCCTTTTCTCCTGCAAAACTTTCTAATGTGGGGTTGATCAAGGGATCCTTGTTCCTAATTTCCGGGGTAGTCGGATCTCCGCTTTTGGAAAGTCGGAAAAGTGGGAATTGATGGGAGTGGTCAGTGGTCCGGCATTGGGAAGCAGTCTTGTCAATAATTAGAAATATTGGAGGTGACGAAACAAAAGGAAATGATTATATTCGACGCGGCATGTAGGTACTCAATTACATGACCGCATCTATAAGGTTGACGAATGGCTGGGGCGGGGCTGGCGGAGATTCTTCGGATTATCCAATTTGTCCCTATAGACAATTCCTTCCACTCAATCAGACAGGCTGAAGACCTTTTCAAACGATTTGCTACCGATATATTGGCTGAGTCCTCTGATAAACGTTTGAAGCCCGTCACTTGGGGCATCATTGTACTGACCAGGATATCCACTAGATGTACATCGCCCTGCCGAGAGCATCCCATTGAGGTCGTCCAAGACTCCGGAACCCTTCTATATACTCTTCAGTACACATAACAAACCAGCACTTCTCCATTTCTGTCGCTGAATGTAAATCTACAAGCAAACTGACGTAAAGTCAGTCAACAGCCGTGTTCGTAGTAATTGGAAAATCAAAGTCATACAAATTCAAATTCTCAGTATTGATTGAATGAAGAACGTGTAGCCACGACACAGATAATAGAAACTACCCGATGAAGGACAGTGTATTTGAGGGTCGGTCAGCTGTGCCGTGTTATTGCTAAGAGACGCCCCACGGAGTTTTTCATTTCGCGGAATTCCAACGATTTGGGATTGCATAAGTTGTTGTTTCGAATCTCTGGACGGATCGTATAGGTGCCGACACATTTTGACTAGGGATATCAACGGCGATTGACCAGTTGCCCAGTTCGTTGTACAATTCCAGGAGATAGGGGTATCGTAATTTGAGGAGAGATTGATCAATTTCATCACTGTTTCCGCTGAAAAGCTGCTCCAGGACGCAGCTAAACTCAGCGATCCCCAACTCCGTCATCTTCATAGGCCGTGATCTTGGTAACGAGATGATAAGAGGTGAAATGAACGTCCTGAAATACTCTGTATATCACTTTCCCCAAATTTGATTGTCACAATCTATAAATTGGAGATATATTGCCCAAAACGAAAAAAGATTTGTTGATGAACTGTTCTGATAATCCATGGTAATCATCCTTCTGGTCATCCTCATTGTCTTCTAGACTGTCCTCATCTCCATATTCATATCCATACCGCGACTGAAGTAGTTGCTTGGTCACAATAACAAACTGTATAGTTTTGACCCTATAAGCGTTTTGCTAAAACTCTGGATTTCGGGAGAAATAGAACTCGATGGTCTATTGGTATGATGACATGTTGAAAAAAGAACCGTGCCACGCTGCGGCGAAAAAATTGGTTGACTAGACCAAAGTCCTTCAGAAAGAGTCGATTTGCCTCTGCGTAGTAATTGATGTATTGTATGTGGACTAGACCAAGAACTGTAGCTGTAGTATTCATCAATTACGTATTGGACATGCAAGATAATCTATAAAAAGGATTAATTGGCCGTAAAATAATCCGAATCGTCACCGGTAGTATACCTACCACGTCTAAGATTTCCATAGGTAATCGATTCATTATCGTAAACTCTTTTCTCGTTTCCCGACACCGCATCTCTCACTCGATCTGATAGATCCCGAAAACGAAACATCGTAGCATAAACAAACTTTTTGGGCTGGTCATATAGAGCGACGTAATTGCGACGAGGCAGGACGAAGCCGAGTGACGTGAAGATAAAAAAAAAATCGGCGCAAGCGCAACAAAAAATATGCGGCTGCCTATAGGCGAGCTCAGAAAGACATCAAGAACCAAAAGTTGTAAAGAAACCCGAAAAGCGCAACCATAATGAGCGCATAGCTCAGTTCCCAACATACAGGTGTTCGGAATTTAGAGCACCTTCTAGAGAGGTTAACCCTTTTTCTGTCTATCAGTCATTCTTTGAGTCACTTGTCCAGTCCTCATTTTCCGGATGTTACTGCCTATGAATGTATGACTTCTCCTCATGGTAGGACCGGGAAATGACTGGTCAAAGACATCATTCTTCGTCAAGTCTCGCAGGCGGCACTAGCTTGCATTTGGTAGGCGGCGCTGGGCAAACACCCTGCCATTCTCTTTGTCGTGATTGTTCTACCGGTTGTACTACGTCGAACCGTGCCCGGGCTGGGCGTCGCTTTTCCGTTTGTATTCAACATGCCCATTCTTTGAAGGGCTCACGGTGGTGATCTATTGGCTAGAGAACGAGGAGATATCAAGATGAGACAAGGAATTAGGCACCAGCACGAGAACATGTAGTCTCCTTATGCAGAAGGATTACACGTGACACCATACAGTAATTGCCCGGTGATATCGGAAATACTTCCCAAGACAGTCATACGCAAGCCAAAATACCCATTTGATGGTCTGGGGGACTCCCAACAGCAGAAAATGATGACGGATCTTGACCACAATGCCATGGGAGGGCCCCTCACATGTAAATAACAGTCAAGTAATATAAATCTGGGTTCCGTTTGCTATATTTACTTTATCGGGTATAGCACACTAATTTGCACATTCAGAGTAACAACTCAAACTCTCTTTTTCTTCTATAACAGTGCCAAAAAGACACTATTATGAATAAAGGATATTCTAGGAATAATGTTAATGCGGCAATGATACTGTGCCTCTCGATACCGATTTTTATTTACAACACATGTATGGTGATAAAATACGGCTCCTGGAATACTCGACTCTTGAACAAGTGCCCTAAACATACCTGGATATTTTTAATATGTGTAAATAGTCCTCTGTATCCACCACTAAGTAAAAGTGTTGACCTCTGGGACAGGGCTATCATACGCAGGGTAGCTTGATCTACGAAATACTGGCTGTACGTCTTCATTTAGGTGCGAGTCATTCTTTCGAGCCCGTTGCGGGAATAGAACGCCAATTTATTGAGAATATCGAGAGTGTTTGAGCCCATATGAATGTCTTTTCTCTTACAAAATGATTCATGGTATATGTTTACACTATAACGACGAGGGCCAGTCAAAAAACAGAAAGCTATATTCTTGAAAACAGATAATTATCTAATATGTACCTCTTGGGAAGCGAAGTCGCTCATTGACTAATGCTCGGTATTAACAGAACGAGTCCACATACGACGTCGTGTTTCGTTATTTCCCTTTGTAAGTGACTGGGAAATCTGTCTTTGTGCTACCCGGATGTTCACGTAGCAGTAGCAGTAAATCTAAATTGCTCTGCCTTTGTCCTCGGTCGGGATGGTTATTTGGTGTGATTTCAAGTAATAAGCGAGATAACTGGATAGCTTCTTCAAGATCTTCCGTGCTACCTGTGCGTGTATATCGATCTTCTAGTTGTGAAATTAAGTTGCTCAGCCTCCATCCTCGGTCAGGATGGTTATTTGGTGTGGATTTAAGTGACGAGCGAGATAACTGAATAGCTTCTTCAAGATCTTCTGTGCTACCTGTGCGTGCATATCGACGTCCTAACTGTAAACTTAAGTTGCTCAGCCTCCATCCTCGGTCGGGATGGTTATTTGGTATGGATTTAAGTGACGAACGAGATACTTGGATAGCTTCTTCAAGATCTTCTGCGCTACCTGTGTGTTCATATCGACGTCCTAGCTGTAAACTTAAGTTGCTCAGCCTCCATCCTCGGTTAGGATGGTTATTTGGTGTGGATTTAAGTGACGAGCGAGATACTTGGATAGCTTCTTCAAGATCTTCTGCGCTACCTGTGCGTGCATATCGACGTCCTAGTTGTATGCCTAAATTGCTCAGCATCCACCCTCGATCCGGAAAATCATCTGGTGTGATTGCGATAGATAGGCGGAGTACTCGGATAGCTTCTTCAAGATCTTCTGCGCTACCTGTGTGTTTATATCGACGTCCTAGTTGTATGCCTAAATTGCTCAGCATCTGCGCTCGATCCGGAAAATCATCTGGTGTGATTTGAACTGATAAACGAAGCGCTTGGAGTGCTTTTTCAAGATCTTCTGTGCTGCCTGTGCTTTCATATCGCCGTCCTAGTTGTAAACATAGATCACTCAGGCTTTGGTCTGGATGGTCCTGAAATGTGCCTTTAACTGGAATTTGGGGTACATCAATGATTTTATCGTCAATTTGTCCTGTTGTTGGCGGAATGTTCTGGGTCTTAGATGAAGTAGGAGGCCAATGACTGGTGGCAAAATTCGCTGATTTGACAAACCCGACAAAGGACAACCCGGACATCTGTTGTAGCTGCGCCCATATAGAGATAGGTAACGATATAAGTACGAGAGTTGAGCAACTCTCGAAAGACGCTTCAATATTGAAAGATTCAACCTTTATCCTATACACTTCTTCAAGGCGTTTTGCATTTAGCCACTGGACGAATTGTTCGATATCTGGATATACCTCTCCTCGTAAGGAGACAGAGAGAAGAGCTTTCAATCCAGGTTGGAT